ATCCTAATTACATTGGATTTTCTTTCTCGCTCTCGGACAGATCTTTCTCGCTAACTGCCTTTAAAATTACCCATTTTTCAATTGCTTCCATCGTGCCTTCGACGTCGTTAATATTAAGAATCTTTTTCAGAATCATCCAACTCTCGATCCACGGCCTCGTCTGTCGGCCTCTCAGCAAGCTCAAATACTGAGCGACGTCCAGCAACACCAGCATCGTTACCGACGTCCTCAACAAGATCTCTCAAACTCCCAAAGCTCCACTTTCCTGAACCAGGAACAACTCGGTGCATCGTATCCGTCCTTAGCTAAATACAAGGTAGATCGTTCGAAGCAGCAACAGATTCAACGACTGCTCGAACAACAGAAACAGCTGCAACAATTAATCCAGCAACAACAACAGAAAGTAGCTCAGCAACTGGGCAATTCTAATTACTTGAGGAACGGTCAAGCTCAGTATCAAACCGAGATACCTAAGCAACAATTCAATAGCCAGTATCAAGTTGGCAACAATCGGTTCCAGAATCTCCAGCAAGACCTGTCTCAGCCTTTATTCAGCGATCAGCAAACCGTGCAATTGCAAGAGTATGTAGAAAAGCAACGGGAGCTGGAATTATTGAAGAAACAGAGGGAACAATTGTTATTGGAGCAACAAGAATTAAGAAGGCAACAGGAGCTCCTGAGGCTTCAACAATTACAGAAACTGACGTCCACTACTTCCATACCTGTCCCTGTCACGTCAGCCAGCACAGTTTCAATCAACACCACTTTGTCTCCTCTTCTGGTGTCACTGTCGACAGCGAGGAAGATCACTCCATCGGAGACGGAGTTGTTCCTCAAGGCGATAGCCACTCATCAGCAGAAATACTCCACGGCGCCTATTCCACCTACGACAACTACAAGCAGGCCAATCACCGTCGCGACGGTCGTTCCCAAAGCGACAGTCGCCCCAGACATTTCAGAGAGTATACTGAATCAATTTGCTCGACAGGGTAAATCTAAGCCTCAGATTAAAATCGTGTACCAAACTGAAAAGCCAGCGACAGGAAGGTCCGCCAGTGGCAAAAGCAGGTCCAGCTCTATGGACAGGGATGCTCTGTTGAAGCAGCTGAAACTGGCCCTGGCAGAGTCCGTGGACGATGATCTTAGAAACGTTACCACTAGAGATATAGTTCTTCCTAATGGAAAGAAGATTCAATTGATAGATACTTCCAACGGGCTGACTTCCAATGTACCCACTGGTGGTTCCACGGTCACGGCGTCCACTTTGGCTCTAACTACACCCACGGTTAAACCACCGAAAGCTATTCTAGAGGAATTGACTAAGGGCGTTTTACCACCTGGAGCGGATTTCGAGGTGATCAGACAGAAGAGCGATGGGAAATTGGAGGAAATCGGAAAGGCACCGATACAGAGTTTGCCTGCTAAAAAGGTGACTTTTGTGGTTCTCGAGGAGCAGCCTGATGGGAGTTACAAAGTTCAAGGAGTGAAAGGAAACGGGGATAAAGAAGGAAGCGATGTAGATTCTATTGTTGAGAGGATCAAAAAAGGGGAACTGAAATTGCCCCCCAGTTCTTTGAACCCTGCTACTTCGTCTACACTTCAGACTGTTGGATCTAACGATGGTAACTTCGTTTCGAGTAAACAGCCTTCAACGACGGCTTCGAATGTTGCCTCTACTAGTTTCAGATCGACTACTGTAAGACCCACTTCAATTTCATCGAGATACACCGATGTGTAAGTATAAGGAAGAACTATGGTGTAAAGGACAGTTATCTCATTGTTTTTGTTTCTTTATTACTTTTACCTTGAAACAATTCTAAGAGCACTAGCGTGAATTTAGATTCTTAGAAATTGAGCAAAGTGCCCTATCATTTCACTATTTCATCCCGCTATTTTATTGCGAAATACTCATTAAGATTGTGTTTCCACAGCAAGCCAACGGAATACCCTAATCACGTTACAATCACACCGAATTTGGTTTCAACGACTGACAAATACCTTTCGTCAGCTTCGAGCGTGGCCAGCCACGTGTACAATTCTTTCGGCACGATAAACACCAGCTCGAAGTCGACGCCGGATGATCAAGATCATCGAATAACTGGGAAATATCCGAGAAATCATTTCATACCGACGATGGCTCCGGTCAACGAAATCATTACGACAACATCCTCGTTGATACCGACCACTTTCTCTCAACATTCGACCAATTCTTACGCTTACCAGCCGTCCAGTGAAACTTCGACGACTCTCAAGCCAATTCCAACCATAGCCAGACCATCGACCACCTTACATAATGAAAATATCGTTTATCAAGAGAGCTTCGAAAAGTCTACTCTTTCTCCTCCGACTGAATTCCCTTCAACGAAGAATCAGGTCTTCGAAAGCCTGGCTACGTTGTTGAGGAGAGAAGGACTTTTTGCTATGGCTAAATACCTGAGGCAATCGGGCCTCGACAACGTTCTCAACGAAACTGGTAAGCGACACATTCCAAAATTCTATACTAACCCTTTCACCACGGTCATCTCTCAAAAAGGATTCTAGCTCCAGGGGATCTTGGAAGACCTCGGTCTCAATTGCGTCGAACGTATTGTCCTAGCAGATGGATTAATTATAAATAGGTCAATTAATGTTACAAAGTAATTTAAACTTTTCTATAAAGAGAAACGATGATCATTGCTCTTACTACAGAGGAATAGGTATGTTGAAACCTTCAGCGATCCGTGAGAACATTTTTCTAACGAATGTTGCATGACTAAAAACCGTCTGTCGGAAAGGAACTAGAGATTGTATAAACAATAAAGCTTTATTCTTGCAACGGTAAGTCAATCAAGCAAGTGTAATATCAGGTATCTAGTCATTGTGTTTTTTGAAATGGGACCTCCCCCTAAATTATCATTTTCTTTAAGGAAATCTGCCATGCTCGATACTCAACGCATCTTGTAAATCTTGAAACTATTTTTTTTTTTTTAAACACTCTGTATACATCATCCGTAGCGAAAGGGTTAAAGAACGGCAGCAAGCGTCTGGTTCATTGTGATCACGAGAGCGAACGCATCTTTCACAACCGAGACGATAATTATCATCCGGTCGTGTTCGACGCGAAGTAACACCGTTACACTCGTTTGCCTTTTTAATCGAAGGAAGTGCACGATTTTTGCGTCAAGCTAACGTGCCAATAATAAGAACTCTTCGGTTGCACGATTTCCTCTGACACGTTTTTCAGACAATGTTTGTGTTTGCTTCGAGAAAGGGATTGGATATCATTGAAGCGTTTAGATCATTACGCAACGTACTCGTGTAATTTAATGAGGATAGATAAATGATAATGTTCGTCGTTAAAGGATTGTAAAGGATATAATTAAACTTTATTGAATTATTTATTATTGCAGGTCCGTACACGATATTCATCCCGACAGATAAGGCTTTCAGGACGTTGTTGGTACAGCTTGGCGGACCAGAGAAAGCAGAACAAAAATTCCGTGATAACCCTAGACTCCTTAGTGGAGTGAGTATTCAAAATTTCTTATCAAATATATAAATTAACTCTGTAAAGCTGAAAATTAATAACTGTTATGTTAACAGCTTCTGCTTCATCATGTGATACCAGGAGCCTTCAGGATCGATTCCTTACAAGACGAAATGACCGGCATTAGCTTGGCCGGGACACAATTAAGAGTGAATGAATATCAAATGCATGATCATGAATGGAACGACATAAAGGTATACTTTTGTTTCACAAAAGCTTCATTATTTTCCACTATGGGTTTCCCTATTTTTAAACGACTGATTCGAGGCAAATCAGACACTGATGTTTTTACCTTATATTCATTTTCACAAGCAGGTAACAACAATAAACGGAGCAAAGGTAGCATCAAATAAACGTGATATCGAAATCCCACAAGGAATTGCTCACGCCGTAGATAGGGTCATGTTCCCGCTCCCTGTAGGGGATTTGGTACAAACATTGCATGCAGATCGGGAGAAAAGATTTACCACCTTCCTAAAGATCCTTTATGCTTCGGGTCTTCAAGATACGTTATCAGGTAATATAAATATGAACGCTTGGAAAGACATAGGCGCCTGTAAGTATGCAACCATGGCGTCAGGATGCGCGCGCATCTGCATTTCAGCGAACATGAAATTCAATTTTAAAGTTATTTTAACATGAAAATAATTATTATAGGACCGAAAACCTTCACTATTTTCGCTCCAACGGACTCCGTTTTCGAGTTGGCCTCGAAAGATGGAACACCGGTCTGGTCAGAAGCTGATGGACCAGAAGCTGCGAAAACGATAGTTTTGAAACATGTAACACCATCGACGTTATACACAGCAGGAATGAGGTATTATTTACAAAAAGATACCCTTCGTCCTCAGTCGCCAATTCATATCCATAAAAATGGCGGTAAGTGCATGGTAAAAAGAAATATTATTTAAAATTTTTCAATACAAAAGAAAAGAAAATTCTTGTTTGCTGTTCTAGGGCGAGTACGAGTAAACGAGGCACACGTTACCATGCATAATATACCAGCAACAAATGGGGTCTTACATGCGATTGATGGTATATTATAAAAATATATAACAACTTTTAGGTCCTACCTTTTGAAAAGTTATGCATTTCAGCTAATGCGTTAGTCGCAGATTAACAAAACTATTTAATTCTTTGTAATTCATTGGCTCCAAGTTAGTACAGTATCCTTGATGCTGGATCTTAGAATTTTGAAAACACTAGTCTTTAAATACTTTATTTCTATAGGGATAAAAATCTCTGCGACTATTAAAAGAATAAATTTACTAATTGAAAAATTGATACAATTTGCCATACATGTTACCCAAATATACAAAGTGAAGATAATGGGACTTTGATCAAGGTATATGTGTATATGTATAGAAAATGTAGAGAACTAATTTATATAACATAGATGTATGTTATCTACTCGTGCGTTGCATTCGCTCAAATGCAAAAAGTTAATTACTTAATTGTATAGAAAATACCATTATTAGTATTACTGTAGTTTTTATTCTTTTATAAATAAACATTCAGTGTTTTTCACTGCCTAATACATTTCATTATTGTTTATATTGCACTAATACACTAAATTATTTACAAATATTTACTATTATTCGATCAAGGAAAAACCTTTACCAAGAAATTTTATATTTTCTAAACTGTTATCTATTACTTATTCGTTTATATCAAACTTGTTGAAAAATCAACATTGTTTAACATATTATGCTTACTGTCATGTGTTTACGTTAAACATATAGCAATAATGAAATCTATGGTAAACAACAATAAAATTGTTGTTCAGCTTTTTTAATAATTCGTTTTGTATTTCTTAATTTCCCTCATTATGTGATGAATATTAGTCAACTGAGTTCGCGCATTTGGCGGTAATATCTTGTGAAGTCTGTTGTAATATTGCACTAATTGTGTCATTGCACGTTGAAACAACGCTGTTCCCAGTACCAGACTGGGAAATGATTTCAGTACCTCGCGATTAATTTCTTCTAACGCCCTTTTCCAATTATTTGTAAAAGACTGTACCAGCGCTAATGCTTTTCCCTCTTGTCTTTTTAAATCATCTGCTTGATCTTTCTCGGTTAAAGCCTCTGATTCTTTCACTAATTGTATTATACCACCAAAGTATGGACTTAAAATTTCCTCAACGTATTCCGATGAACGTGCATTTAATTGATCCCGAAAACTTTCAGCCTCTTTTGAATTGTCTCGGGTTCTTTCCTAAATAGTTGAAATTAATGTTGTCTGATATTCTCTCTTATTGTAAGTAATTAAAAATTATAACAATTTAAATTTAATTTCTTACCATAAAAACACCAAGAACCAAATCATAGTTATTAATGAGAAAAACTAATTGTTGAGTTCTATCAGGAAACGTAGCTGCCATTCTTAATAAGAAATACTGAACAGCTTCCCTTAATTCTGCTAATAACTGTGTCGCCCCTTCGCAAGGAAATCCCTCGACTACGCTAACCATTGCAGCACTAAATTCAGCATATCTTCTTGTAATCTATAAATAAATTTTTGGGAATAAAAAATTAATCCTTCTCGAGTATAATGTTTCAAACTTACATAGTGCGGTCCAGTTTCTCTGGTTAATTTTAACGGATCACAATCCTTTATACTTTGAATATTTAACTGGAAAACATACTCAAATCTGAAACATGCAAGTAATATTACATTCGTTAACTATATTTAAAATTATATTAGTACATTCAAATAAATACCTAGGCCAAATTACTGATGTCATGTTATCCCAATACTTATCCAAAGCCGGCACCGCTCTTTTATGACAAGTTAATTGATAACGCATCACTAAATGTAAGCAAAGGAATAAAGCAATTGTATCATAGCAATCATCCACAAAAGATTGCAAATTTTTCACCATCAAGTTTAATGTCTTTCCCATTACCTATTGGAAACACATTTATCATTAATTTAATTGAAACTACATCAAAAAATTGTTTTACTTTACCTGATTAAAAATATCCATTGCTTGTGCACCACGAACTTTAAAAAATTCGGTTAAAAACAAGTATTCTCGACAAGCATTATCTACTAAAGCATACTGTTCGCTTCTGAAAAGAGCTTCGTAATGATACTGTTGAAATAAAGTACATAATTAAATTTTGTTAACTTCTTGAATAGTTAACTATAATTTTGAATAATTCTTAGAACAAAAATCCATAGATACACATACTCTTGTTTTTGTGGCAGTATGAGGTACAATTATAGGCGCTTCCAATTGAGAATTTAAAACATCACCTCTGTTACCTATAGAAAATACAGTACCCCTGTGTTTTAATGTAGTTTTGTGAAAAATGCCTCTTCCCACGTTATCTTCAACTCCCATTAAATCATCTTTAGTTGCTCCTTCCTCAAACTAAAAAATATTTGATAAGCATCAATAAATGTAGTTCTTTGTTTAAATATTATACTGTTACCTGTAATTTCATTAATCTTGAAGAATATGATTTAAAATATGAATAATATATTTTACTCATTGTGCTAATATATTCTCCACAAATTTCTTCCGCTACGTTTCGTTCGTTCGCTAAAACAAACTCAAAAAAGAATTTGTATTTCAACATATTATTCTGCGGCACTTGATAATTTGTCATTGGTTTCCTGCACTTATAAATTTGTTCCAAAAGATACGTTCTGATCTTTGCCAAAGCTTTCATTTTTAACTTCTCTAATATATCTTTCACGTCTAAACAAGATTTTGCTTCTTTAAAACTTTGCTCCTTTACAAAATTGATTTTATGATTTAACGTTTGCAGTTGGGTTAAAAATTCTTTTTCCGTTACAGGACAATCCATAATTCCTCTGTGTATATTAAATTACATTATAAATATAAAACATCTCGATTTATATAAGTATTTATATAAACATCATTCTTACGCTATAAGAGCTTCTGACACTGTCATATCCTCTATAAACTGGCTGAGAGGACCTCTAATTATCTGCCTGTTAGACAACTGTTGACTCATTGCTACAGATTTACGTTGGAGATAAAGTATTTCTGAACTAATGCTCCCTAGATCTAATTGAAAATTCATCAACATTGATTCCATTTTCTGTAAGAAAAAAGTAATTGTAATAAATTCATTTTTACCATTATGATCGTAAATGAAGTCTGACCTCTAGTATGTTATCGCATGCAGCAATTTGATTATGAAGACTGGCTATATTTTCACTCTCTTTAATGTAGTCCTGAATAGATTTATTTTCGACTTCCTTTAATTCCTTTTCAATTTGTCTGGAATATTGGCGTAAATCTGTGCCAGTCTTTAAAACATCTTGGACAACATCATCTCCAAGATCCTGAGGCATTTGAGCCTCGTTATCATCAAAAATATCTATTTCACCCGACATTTTACCACACCTACGGTACCTCAAATTAATTTAATTATTTTCATTAAATCTATATTGCACGTATCATTTCTGTTTATATTATTTAGTGATTACACATACTGTACTCACTGTTGACATTATGGCATCTGGGGTTCCAAGGACCCCGAACATCAATTGATTCTACACACCGACCCACCATCAGGGGTTCCAAGGACCCCGAGAGCATCGACACTGGCGCCACCTATCGGGAAACTGCGGAAACTACTCATCGAGTAGTTTCAGCCGCTTTCGTATAGATGGCGCAACGGCCGAATTTTAGTCGTGGGGTGTCGAGGACCCCGAGCATCAATTGACTATATACCGACCTACCGCCTGGGGTTCCAAGGACCCCGAGCATCAATTGACTCTACATACCGACCTACCTTCAGGGGTTCCAAGGACCCCGAGCATCAATTGACTCTACATACCGACCTACCATCTGGGGTTCCAAGGACCCCGATCGTTAATTGACTCTACATACCGACCTACCATGTGGGGTTCCAAGGACCCCGAGCATCAATCGACTCTACACACCGACCCACCATCTGGGGTTCCAAGGACCCCGAGAGCATCGACGCTAGCGCCATCTGTCGGGAATTCGCGGAAACTACTCGCCGAGTAGTTTCAGCCGTTATCGTATAGATGGCGCAACGGTCGGATTTAAGATTATTCTTGGGGTGTCAGGGACCCCGAGCATCAGTTAACTCTGCATACCGACCTACCATCCGGGGTTCCAAGGACCCCAAAGCATCGACGCCGGCGCCACCTATCGGGAAATCGCGGAAACTACTTGTCGAGTAGTTTCAGCCGTTTTCGTATAGATGGCGCAATGGTGGAATTTGAGTTTATTTACTATAAAAGGTTTAATTTTGCAATTTAACTGTAATTAACGTTTTAGTTTGTATGTTAATTATAAATTTGTATAATATAAGGATATATAAAATAGGCCGGTTGTCCACTTGCACTCAAAATACCCTCACATCAATTGTCTAATCAGTGTTTGAATTCACCATTGATCTTTCTTCCTGAAGAAAAATAAACGGCTAAATTTGAACTTTGTTAATTAAACTGCAAAATGTCATTCAGTGACGAAGATGTGGAAAATGAGGAAAGTGATGAGGGAAATTTTAAAGACCTTTATGGTGTGCGAGATGGGGTACTGTTTGTAATTGATGCGACACCTCCAATGTTTGAAAATGATCCAGATGAAGGAATTCCGTACTTTTTACAATGCATTAGGGTAAAGGAATCATTTATATTATTTTACAGCTAATGTATCTATAGATGCATTTATTATTAGTTTCTAATATTTATTACATTCTATATTTATATTTTATAATCTAACACTTAATTAAGCAATACAAAGAAGTTCTTAAACAAAAATTGGTATGGTGCAGACAAGATTGGATGGGTTTAATTCTATTTGGTACAGATAAAGGGGATACAAATTCAGGAACAAGACATATTTTAACCCTGCAGAAATTAGATGTTGTTTCAATGGGTGATTTAAAAGAAATAATGGAAATAGGTAATTATTTTTATGATTGCAAGTAATGAAATAGTAAAATAATTTTGAAATAATTTGTTTAGATGAAGGAGGCAAGTGGAAATATTACAAAGATATTGCTTCTACTACAGCTTATCCATTACATGATGTTTTATGGGAAGCAGCAAGAGTATTTAGGTCTGTCACTGTTACTATGCCAATTCGGAAAGTTCTTCTTTTTACATGTAAAGATAATCCACCAGTGACTGATAATGAAAAACATAGAATAAGAGTAAAAGTACAAAGTTACAATGATATAGAACTTCAGTTATTTGTTGTTGGGCTGGGTGAAAATTGGAATCATGATGTCTTTTATAAAGATTTAGAAATGCTATCTGAAAAAATAGATCCTGATGATTACGAGAGAATGTCTTTAAGAGATATAGTGCAGCAAATAAAATTACCATCTAGGAATATGGCAAAACTCCCTTTGAGACTCGGAGAAAATGTGAATATAGATGTTGTTCTTTGTAACCTTTGCGTGTAAGACAGAGTTTTATTCAAATTTCTTCTATTTCCTTAGAATTTTATTAAATCTAGAAAACAATTGTTTCAGTAAAACAGAATATTTGAAAAAGAACAACATAAGCAAAGCTACAAGTACTCCATTAACTTCATGCACGTATTTACAAATAGCCAGTGATGGAGTATGTATTTTACCATAATATCTGTTCTTTTGTGTTACATTTTTTTAATAACTTTTCTAATCTTAACGTAGGGAGAAGCAGGAGATGAAGAAAGCAAAGAGAGAGCATCTCCTGTTTTAGAAATGGATGTTAAAAAATATCTAACGTTTGGTGGTAAAAATATATTTCTTACACTAGCGGAAGAAAGGACTTGGTGTACAATGCGAGAACGAGGCATTGATTTAATTTGTATAAAACCTATTTCTTATCATCCGTTGTACCACTTTGGGCCACCACATTTTGTCATACCTGTTAAAAAAAGTAATAAAGGTAACAGTAATTACAATTTCGATGAATTATGAATGTCAGTATATAAATAATATTATATAAATTTGGATCTTTTTTCAGATAAAAATTTATTATTTGGGGCGTTACTTCATAAATGCGATGCAAGAGATTTAATGATAATATGTGCAGTGTCAATACGAAAACATTCTTCACCCATTTTATACACTATGATACCACATACTAGAAGAGGAGGATTTTATTTATATAAAATACCATTTAAAGGTACACTTGTAAGATATACAAATTTGATTTGCACATAAATTTTCTGTGAAAACAAGAAAAGAAACAATCTTTTATCTTTTTTCCTAGAAAATGTTCGAAAGCTTAATGAATCTAATCTGTCGGATTACATATACGATGATAATGAAAATCCACCTCCAACCAATGCAAATGGTATTGAGTTATTCGAAAAAATGATAAATAAATTAAACATTGAATATAATCCAGATTTGTTTTCAAATCCTAAACTTCAAATTCAACAACAGACTATAGAAACATTAGCCTTACAGTTAGAAGAAAGTGATCCCCCACCTGATACTACACGTAAGTTTTATCTAGAAAATATTAATAATACGTATTTATCGTTTTAACGAATAGAAACTGTAACATAACAAAGTAATAATAATATTCACTTACATATAATTAAAATTTTATTCCAGTTCCAAACACTGAAGAGATACGGGAACGGGTAAAAGACTTATTGGAAGAATACAATGAAATATTTAATGAAGACACTGATAATTCAAGGGTTGAACCGGCCAAGAAAAAAAGTAAAAGTGCTGGCACAGCAGGAGAAAGTACTGCGTTAGAAGATCCAAATAAAATCCGAGAGCTTGCTATGAATGGACAGGTATAATAATAAAAACATTGTTTAAAATATTAGTAATTAAAATTTATAGTAATATTAATAATTGAAGATTTACTTACTTTTACAGATACAAAAGTTCACAGTACCTCAGTTAAAAAACATATTACAGAAGTTATGTTTAAAAACATCTGGTAAAAAAGAAGAGTTAATAAATAGAATTAAGGAACATTATAAATGAAGCATTAAAGATTTTTAACGCAACAATTACGTAACTGGTTTACGAATGGAATTGCATATATATATTTTATATTTGTGCATATATATTTTATAAGGGAAAAACGTGTACTTTGATTAAAATAAAGTGTTACTTATAACTCGTCTTTTTGAGATGTGACTTTTATATCTCTCACGTTTCCAATGAAAAGTGGTATATTAGTTTGTTTATGCTCAATTATAAACATGAAAGGCCGATCGACAATGAATTCTTCCGGTAAGTTTGCCATTCGACAAAATCTCATATTAGTAACTGAAATAAAACCACATGAATTTATATAAAATTTGAGGTAAATATACCCTTCATTTGAATGAAATATACCTGTTGCGGCTGCAGCTTCGGTACCTGTTTCATCAACTTCTATTATCGCTTTATGCAAAATTTTGCTAACTTTCAATGGTTTATTCGAAATGCGATTGAAATTGGCATTATCTTCAAATATTTTATTTACGCGGAGCTAAAATTGATAACACATGTGAAGTATAATTCTTTTATGTACTTAATATATGTGAAATGTTATTCATACCGTACGTAAAATAGTTTCCAAGTCTACAGTAAACTCTATTTTAAATTTTGGAAGATATAATTGGACTTCTCTGTTCAATCGAGATGCATTTTTAAGTATTTCCCATGAAAAATTACTTTGCAAATTTGTCAGACCATCTACTTCGTCGGGTAATAATATTGTCATTATGATATCCATATTCTGTAAGATATAGTGTAAGTTTTTGATGTATAATATTAAACATTTGAACGTACCTGGTATGGAATTTCAATAAACTTTGCATGCAATTTTGGTATTTTACCATAATTGTAGTTGGATTTGTTAAACATTGTTGGTACTGATTTTGTTTTATCTTTAGCAACATAGAATTCTCTATTTTGTGTCTTTTGCTTATCAAACATATGTAACCACTTACCATTAAAATAAATTGCATTTATTAGTACCAATTTCGTTTCCTCGTCGATATTATCTGTATCAAAAAAATTGCTTCTGTTATATTATGATACATGTTTCTTGATTTATTATACAATAAAAATATTTACCTGAAGATACAAGATCTACTATTTTATCATTTGTTTTTGATTCAATCCACGCGTTGATTTTCATAGCTGCATCTTTACTGTGCTTAAAGTCTATACTCATAATTTCAGATTGATAAGCTTCTGCTGCTATTGCTGAAAATTCTGTGTGTAATTCAAATCCATTTTGAATACATACCGCATTTGCAATATATAACTTAACTGTTGTCAGCTCCTTATAAGGAAATGAACTATTATTATATTAATTTTTGTTTTTAACACAACCCAACTAATATAACTTCTTACATTCAGTTGAGCTATTAAAGATTTATATGCATCTTGTATTAAATCCTTATAATGGTAACGAATACCATTGATCAGTTCATCAAAAGTTTCAGCTTCTGCTCCATGAGAAAGTAAGGATAATATCATGTGGATACTTAGCGGTGAACTAACAATATTTTTATCATTAGTGGCAGATAATTCCTAAAATATAAATACATTGCTTATTTTATTAGTTATAATTAATAATAAACAGACCAACTATGTCATAAATTGATATACTTTTACTCACTTTATAAAAATCTGTTGTAAAGTCATTGCAAGAAACAGAGAGATTTTCATGCATATTGTTTGTACAAGCCGGAGATGTACATGACTGTGCCATTATAGTTGTAATAAATATATTTAAAACTAGGAGAAAATTACTTTAATTAATATACTGAATTATCCTAAGGATTAATAATTATAACACAGTATATATATATATGTATATTTCATGACATAATAAATGAACAATAAACTATCACCTATAAATATGAAAAATATCATTGCTATTATAAAATAAGACTGTACAAAGAATACCACATCTAATTTAATTGGTAAAAATTATTAAATTCATTATTTATGTAATAATTTCAGATTTTATAGATGGTTTTTAGAAGAGGTTAAGTATGACTGGAGTCGTTCAAACCCGACTGACAAAAGCCATCTGACAGAAACTAAACCAGCTGTTGAATAATACAAAAACAAACCGCAAAACATTATAAAACAGAATGAACTCTAAACTATTTGAAACATATACAATGCTTATCATTCGAATTTCATACTGAAATTAAACTTTATATATTATTTTTTAAATACGTGTCAATACCTCTGGAATTCCCTTTATCCTTGAATCCTAGAATATAATTCTGTCGATGCGTAGATGCGCAGTTAACAACAGTAAATTACAGAACAACTTAAGTATTTAAAAATAAAAGCGATTGTATTTATATTTATATGATAAGAAAATTGTACTTTGTTTACTTATTTATTATAGATAACATTAATTTCATACTAAAACTTAAATGTTATAACAGAATTAATATTATCTATAATCCTCTGGTTGGAAAAAAGTTATAAATAGCGTTCTCCAGTTATATTAAATGTTATAATTTTAAATTCAAATATTTCCATTTTGACGCGATTGGTACCAAGTCTGTTGTGATACAACCACCCTAAAATCAATTTACTTTTTTATTATTCGAACTACGCTGGGTGATTCTACTGATTGTAACTGTACAAAAAAATCTGAATAGCTATAACACGTGTATTTTTGTCTCTGAAAGTATTGCGAATTTGAATTTTCAATAAGACCGTACAAGCACACAATTCGGGGGCAATACATTCTCGCTCATTCAATGAATAATGAATGACATTCTTGGGGCGAATGACACAGTCAAGGATTCCAGCGTGGGACAATTCACGCATGTTAGCTTTTACCATCTCCAATCGATGTACTTTTTTTAAAAATCAATTTTCTAAAAAATTGTACATGTTAGAAGAAATTACAAAGAATCGCTTTTATCCTACTCTTGTTCCCTACGACGGTTCTCGCCTCTTGGTTACTCTCAATTTCTAGTCTTTTTTTTTTTTTACAGAGAATTTCTATCATTCTAACTCCTTGTTCTTCTTCCATTACACGATCATTAATAACAGCTCTCACCTGTTGCATCCTCTATTTCTCTGTTTCTCCTTTTTACTTTCTCTTTCAATTTTTCATCTCGTCATCGCCTTTCTTTCTTTTAATTTCATCCGTTCTTTTTTTTCTTTCCTTCTGCTATCTTCCTCTCTTCTTCACTATCACTCTTCCTCGCCTTTCTCTGCCGCTTCTTCAACAGGTACCGGATGGTCCAGGCAACTGGGCCAAGGTATGTCTAAAAATGGTAAAAAATATCAAAGTCATTACCAGAAAAAATTAAATGAAATCTTTGCTGCTCCATTTTGATTTCAAGGTCAATTTCATTATTCCAAATTACAATTGTACATTCGTTTAAAGGTCTGTCGATGCATCTTGGTATTCTCTACAAAAAAGTATCCAAGCTATTCGGGTCGAAGATCGATAGATCCAAGATACAGCTTGGACCAGACCCATGGGACACCCTGTATATATATATATGTACATACTTACGACGGTCGTATACACGAAAAATGTGTTCGTCAGTCGCAGCACACATCCTGATTACTAATTCACGAAGCGGCGGACTACTTCCTTGGCGCGTTGTGACACCAAATCCCATATTCCAATCGAATGGAGAGTCGACGACGGACACGCTGATCCTTACGGACTCCCGGATCGCATAAAATGCTGGCCAAATGCGCGAACACTGGACAGAAATCGGAACGTGAATAAACGAATAGTTTCGATTGGAATATACTCTGACAATAGAATTAGACATTGTCAAATAGATTGCGAGAGACAAGGATAGATTCTATATCTTGTCTGTCGCAAACTATTTAAGGCGAAACGATACAGAGAGTGGGAAGGACACCATAGCTTCCCTGAACATCTCTGGTCTAACTTGTATAGAGTTGGGTAATATCGGCTCGGTCAGCTGATCATAATACTGGACGGCGTGGTCCACCTAGCCGATACAAAACGTCCCGCCGCGACGTGTTTAATAATTTATTACAAAGTTGACAGAAGCTACCCAAGAATGGGAGTCGGTTATTTTGTAGAGCAAACATCAAGGAACGTAACAATATTTTTCTTAGCACACCCTGTACGGTCATTTGAAAATCAATGACGAAAAAAAGCACATATACAGTGCACGCAGGTGAATCAAATTCGTTTCTAATGTGCTAGAAAGTTACCGTTTGTCGCATCATACGAAAGTGCACTAACGGATGCGATTAGAATGCTCTTTACAGTACGACTTTTACAGCAAATATAATTTACAGCGTTAAAAATTGTGAAATGGTAAAAGAATGTAAGTAAAAAATCTGATAACTCGAAGAATCTGATTCAACGGATACGAGGAATATGATCTATCTAGTTAGAGCGAAGAGGAAGCTGCCTGGTATTTACAGTTAGACGATCGCTCCAGCAATCAGGCGTTGCTTTCGCTCCTTGTCCTCAAACAGAATTCCGGATTTTCGTTCACCTGAAATCGTACCGTCCGCCCATGCGTTCACATACCTCTACGTACTTTCGATTAAATTTGCCAACTCCTCGCTGTTCGTCCAAACTATTCGCGATATTTCATTACCGCTATCGTCAATCGTTGCGAATACCTAAAACAAATATTTCAAATTAGATAAGGAAAAAAAATGGATCTATGAAAATTCAAAGGTCACCCAAATATATTGGGGGGAATACTTTCCCTTTGGAGAAGCTGCTTTAAAATGAATGATTTTATCTGGTTAGCTTGAAATATTAAACGAATTACTGTTAAAATTAATTAACGTACAGGGTGGCTCATTAGTGGTGGAGCGCACCGGTTCATTTACGAACGGCGGAACGCGCGTTCTCAGGAGAGGAAGAAAAGGCAATGAGCCACGTGGAGAAGACGAAAAAGGTGTAGTACACGATCGGGAAAGAGGACGACGAACGAGAACGAGTGCGGTGGAGGTAAGTCGGTATAAAAGGGTCGTGGCGAGCCGTCTCGTCTGTTTTAACACTCTGATCGGTTAGCTTGGTGGATCAGACGCGTGGATCGAACGGTCCGATCATCCTAGACACGGGTCACCCGGTGCTCCCTGATACGAAACAGGACATTCGTCGAAAGAAAGAAAGAAAGAAAGAAAGAAACGAATTGAGAGGTGAGTCGAAGGGACGTTGACTCCGTGATACCCTGTTCGATCGTGGCAACCCCTTAATTCCTGGATATCGATTCGTGAATTGGTGAACAACCGGAAGTTCCTCTTCAAGGAAACGATGTTCTCTAATCAGACACTACGGGTTCAGTGACATTGTGTACAACGATAGTGGACTAGCTGCTCGTGTGTCGACACCTTGGCATTCAATTGTGACCGATCGATCGATACTTCGAATTCAATTCGCGATATCGTCGTTTGTGAAGTCTGAATGAATCTAATAATAATAAAAATGAAAAATTCCTTTATTTCTTTTCCTTTTTTTATTTTTTTTTTGTAGAACAATGAAGTTTGCGATAGCATTGGCGGTGCTGTGCTGCCTGACAATCGGGGCGTTCGCACTACCAACGGCCAAGATATCCGAAGAGAAAACGTTGAACCGTAACGTGGTTGGAACGCAAAGGCAAGCGGCCCAACCACCAGCGGTCAGCGAAGACGAGGACGACGACGACGACGACGACGACGTGGATTTCGATATCACGGGTGACGACGACGACGACGACGACGACGAGGAGGAAGATGACGACGATGACGACGATTCTGATTATCTGGAACGTTTCATCGAGGATATATTAGGTAAAATAACGCCTCTACTCTATTTCGATATCGAAGATACGTGAATCGAGAAGTACAGCGACATCGCAAACGTTAGCCGTTATGCAAACATCGAAACTTCCGGTTAGGCGAACAGAGAAATTCTGACGCGTAACGGTACAAAATATTTCAAACTCACTCGAATTAACATAAATCGACGGGGATCTCGGTTCGAAAAGAATTTCTACGCGCTACTTCCTTTGCATTGACCTAGATCTCGAAAGATGAATTATAACTGCGAGTAGTTTTCGCATTATCATCTCGTCGTTGAGCTACTTATATTCCGTAAAACGAATAATCGACAAATGATTGCAGGCGAAGAGGACGATGACGACGACGACGACGAGGAAACGAGCGCCGTAGAACCCGTTGCCCCAGCATCGCAACCGGCCGTCCAAGCGATTCCGGCCGCTGTCGAAGCTGATCTAAATGCCGCGGCTCAAGAAACGGAACAGGCGGCGGAAGTTGCGGCCGAGGCAACGGGGGCGGATAACGAATCGACCGGTGCCGAGGACGAAGAGGGTAACACGATCGCCGAGGGTCAGGCGGCCTCCAACGTACACGAGTCGACTTTGGAAGTTGCGGAATCGGTGTCGAATCCTGTCCACGTTCCCGCCGTGTCTACCAACGTGGCCGACACGGACGACGAGGACGACGACGACGATGACGACGACGACGACGAAGACGTCGATCTCGTCTACACCGAGGAGGAGGAGGAGGACGAGGACGAGGACGAAGACGACGAGGATGACGACGATGTCGACAGCATCACCGACATCGCCGGCGCCAGACAAGCACGTGAGTTCAAGAGAAAGAGCAAGAAACACAGTTTCAACGGGCATAAACACGCGCGTAAATCTCGCACGCGTGCTACACCCCCCTCCTCGAAGGCAACCGTCTAACGAGGAGGAGGGAAACGAGCGGGAAGTCGCGAACAATCATTCCTGATAAATCTGCTCAACTCCTATCGCTCTTTTCATCGCTGCGAAGCAGTCGATGCTTCCTCTGTCGTTCGAGAGTTCGGTTAAGCTTATTAACGTAATCGTTGCCGAGAAGTGATCTTGCTTTTTTTTTTTTTTTTTTTTTAACATATATTTTGATACGTCCTGTATAAAGTACGATTTCTCTAAGGAGAAAAGTCTTATTTTTGATCGGTTATCTGATATATGAATTTACGAAAACATGATTGGAATGGTATGATAGAAATCAAGGTAACAAGTAGACCGGAAATAAAACACTAACGTCGTCATTCCAATTAGCAAGATACCAATCCAAGGCAACGAACGCGCGAACGCATGAAAGTTAAGTAAACGAGCAAACATAACGTGGTCGGAATAAAAAGGCTTTCGTCTGTGATCCATTTTATTTTTGCTCGTTTATGCTTCGGCTTCTCGACAATCGGTTCACGAATGATTTCATTTGAGAAATATAACCTAACTAAATTTCAAAATAGCTTACCGCTCTTACGGCTAACAGAACTTGCGCACTTTGAAAAAGGCAAAAGGTCCAGTACGAGGTTTCATCTGAGAAGCTCCTATCGATTGATGCTGTTCGACGAATTTCATTCTTCTCATTGAAAAATTATCCTGAAACGAGTATTTTCATATTTCATTTCGTTGGTAGTAGTTGTAGTAATTTAATAACGATAATATTTATTCTATTTCTAATGTTTTTATTTATTAACATCGATATCTTTAATCATAATCATTTGCATGTCGAACAGCATAGGAAAATTCGAAAACGAATATGAAGGGGATTGTACATAGCTAAAGTATTCGAAACTCGCGTAAGAACAGCAATGGAATGAGAAATAATTCAAAGTACCTGCATTTCTTTCGCTGACTACAAAATGAAGAGGTTACCTTATATTCATTTAATAGTACAGTGCTGTCCACGAAATGGGATCGTTGCGCAGCGCAGTGTTCCCACCACAGGCGTCGGCACGCGACTGCCCCCACGAGACTGCGCAGCATGCGCGGAGAGTGAGCGCGCATGCGCGGAATCGCAATGGCGGCTTTCTCGCTACTTTTCATATTTTGAATAGAATTTATTATATTATGTTTCTATTGACTTCAGAGAATATTTTTAATTGATTTTTATGGGTAGATATATCCAACTGAGCTCGAACATGGTAAATATCATCAGTACACAGTTATATATATGTATATAAAACTAAACAGACAGCACCGTATTATTTTATAAGATGCTTTATACATCCGCCTCAAATTTTTATTTCTTTTTCTCTATTTTTCAGCGAATTTCACTTTAAAATGCATGCATGAAAAGTAATTATAGATATTGGACGTTAATGCGAAACGAAGGAAAGGTACTTTGATGGTGTGAGATAAATAGTATTGAAAGGTGCTTTGGCTTGGTGACCTCACGTCACGTATTTTCTTTCTTTTGTCGAAACATTTGTAAAAAAAAAGAATAATGAGGGATTCCGCGTGTTTTTATGTAAGAGTGAGAGAGAAACAGAGCCACGAATAACAAAATAAGCGATTCGGTAACTGGCCACTTATTAACGCAATCTTTTTTAATTCAAAATGGATTGTTTTCATTTTAAAAACACCCCTTTGAAAAACCATGGCCAAATACGGTGTCGCTTATTTCATTGTAATATAACGTTTCTGTTTAGAAAAAAGAAAATGCTTGTACAGAGGCATTGTCCATTCTGGATTGCAAAATACAGATAATTTATTGTTTTTACAAAAAAAAAACAAAAACTTGTGTATTGACTTTTATTTCTAACACCATCGTCCAAAGGATAAGTTCTCTTTTCCTATTCTCATGATTTCTCGAAATGTACTGTTCGTTTCATTTATCATTCGATGCGTGATGTGTTGTCACTTAGCTTTTTTTTAACCCCTTCGCAGCGGTTGCTTCTCGTACAAATGCAGAATTATTAATTAGAACTCTAATTTTAACCCTCGCTCGTAAAGTGGAAAAATTCGTATACCGTAATACATTATTGCGAATGGATTTATCGCAAAATTATCTTATTTCTTTCAAATACTTTTTTCTGTTACTTTCACGATATAAATAATTATGCATTTACGATTTCTCAATGCTTCTAGAATCGTCCGTTGATTAAAGAGAACCATACAATTCTGAAATATTGAAACTTGGAAAATTCCAAGACATTTTGAAGTCCAGAAAGATTGAACGTTATTTATTATTGATACGTCGATCGGTCCGATGATCCCTTGATATATCCACCTTCGAAACGGAAGCTATCGTTAAATGTAATCAGGAAAAATAAAACCGTGATCGATCGCCGACAGGTTGACGAGGAAAATTGTATCACACGATTTCTGATCGAGGACGAGAAACAGCCATGACTTTGGCTGTGGGTCAGGGTCGCGTACGGAACCAGATTTTTCTACCGCCACTCACGTTCACGCTTTTACACGTTGGGTCACTGGCCTGGTTTCCGTTTTGGATCCGCACTTGCTCGGTGAAAGCTGAGAAAAAAAAAAAAAAAAAAAATTTCTACCGACGCTATGGTCACACCTTTGCTGGACCTGGCCGTTCCAAGTCCTGTAGAAAGTTAATTGACCTGGACTTCTGAGCATCTAATTAAAAGTCCTGCCGCGTTCTGACACGCGTTTACGCGTGGAAAGCCTGCCCAGTCTCGGTACTGTAATGTTTCATTGGTATTTGAAGAATCGATAGAAAACCCTGATGGTTTATAACAATTTGATGATGACACGAAGAAAGTGGCTGAAACAAGATCAACGAACGGGGAGAGTTTTTAGGCACCTTATCCATACGTGTTCACTCAGACAGGTCTGTAGGTGAAGAGAAACGGGTCGTGACACAGATCGGATACCAGTTTGGCTTTACCAAAGGATTCCGATATACCGTTAACATTGTCGCTCTTTCTTACGAACTTAATTCATCGAGGTCGGCACACGGAAGTTTTTCTCGTCCATTCATCGCATACCTTAACGCCACTTTGTATACACTCCGTTTCAAAATTAAATACCTCGCACGAAGTGCATACGAATTGAAAAGATATTATTATATGTTTCAGGTGGCATGCGATCGGATTCGAGCAGCGACGTATCAGCGATCTACGTGGCAAAATACAATCGTTTCGTCGACAACATCTTGGAAAGGATAAATAAAATCTTGCGCAACAATTACGATCCGGTGACGGTGAAACTGACCAATCCAAATACTAGATCAAAGACGAACAAACAAAAGAGCAAAGGGAAATTGAAGAAGAACAGTAATAAGAGCGGGACGAAGAAAAGCGGTGTCGATAGAGTAACGATCACTACCGAGAAGATCGCTATGGATCTTCTTGAAAATACACAGGTATAATATACGTCTGGTAGAAGAACGGAATTGTTGCTAATATGCTAATAATGATTTATAGAAAACTTTGGAGAATACCGAAAACATCACTGCATCTTTGAACGCGATCGAAAAGGAGGCACTCGCAACTACTTCGTCCGACATTGGGAACAGATCCATAATGGAATCCGCTACAAAATCTACAAATCGACGCACGTCTGGTACAGGCAGTAAAAAAACGAACAAAAATCGAGGTACAACGAAAAACAAAACGAAGAATCAAGTAACAAATAACAAAAATAAGGTAAGCATTAACGTGAGAACAAAGGACGAATAGTTTGGTCTGATAAATAAAATTGAATCCACAGGCGAAGAAAGCTAAGCCAAAAGCACGGGCAACCCTTTACGGACTCGCGAGCCTTCAAAGATCGGGTGATGTATCGGTGAACATGATGAGCGATCACACCATGATAAAGACGAGATTCACGCTGGGTCCTCTTATATTGAAAGTTGAAAAGGAATTCGGTAGAACGGCGAAGAAAGAACTGAGAAGCGCGACTGCAACCACCGCTGAAATGTCCGGAAAATTGAGTCTTCGAGTTCTTCACGGTGGCGTTGCTACCCTCAATTCTATTCGAGTTCTGCAACCAAAACAAGTGTGTTAATAACCTGATTTATTGTATTATTTTGTATATCGTAGTTAGAAAATTAATTGAATTTTATTTTAATTAGGTGCGAGTGGAAAGCACGGACGATCACGACAGAACACGTGAATTCGTATGGAAAAGATCTTCCCACATCGCTCATTTGGTTTCAGAGAAATTATCGTTAGCTACAAAATCAATGCTCCGACCTCCACCTGTTACAATAACTTCCGCATAAAATTTCGTCGTTGTAAACTGTTGATCTTTTTCGAAATCAGCTAATCTACCCATAAAATTGAACCATTTTTTACATTACTGGAAAATGGTTCTTTTCTATGGCAGTCCTGTTTCTTACTGTTCGAACCAGTGGTAAAACATTGCATCTTGTTGAATCTGAAACAATAAACAATTGGTTTTAGAAGAACATAAAAGAAAAATTAAGATAAGACAAGATAAGCTGATCAAAGAAAATGCCTTTTCATTTCAGGTCAACATCAGATATTTATTTATTTATTTATTTATTTGTAATAGTTTCTACGAATTCTTTGCAAAGTCAGAACTTTTTAATGCTGCGATATTTTTAATTCTGCGTGACAATTGAGCTTACGTTTAAATGTAATAAGTTAATAAAATGGCAAAATGAAATATTCGGAGATATGAAATAATTTCATTTTTCAACTGATTATATTTTTTTATTCTACTTAAATAACTGATAAATGCTAACTATTTTTATGCTCATTTTTATCTGCACTTTTTTTCTGCCATGGTACGTTTTACATATCACGTACTTGTGATAATTATATTTCTTTTTTTTTCATTTTATATTTCGTTTTTTATGGTAAACACACTATTCTGATTTTACTTTATCTCATTTCATTTACATAATTATGTAATCACATATAACCACTTTTAAATGAAACTGTTAGACTTGCTGTATCGCTTTCGTTCCTTTTTCCACAATGTCCAGATACTTGAAAAGATTTTTAATTTTATCATTAAATTTTCCTTAGTCATAAATTGTATTCTTTGTTTTTTTAATTATCCTAAAATAACCCCAGTAATTCCTATCAAATTTCGAATCATTATCTATCGTACGTGATGTAGTCGTTAATGATACTTTTTGTTCGTTTTATCATTTATAAGATTATTTTAATCGGATCTCTGAGAATTTTAGGATAAAGCTGGATCGCATTTATATTCATATAAAAATTTAAATGTCTCAATAATCTATATATATATATATATATATATATATGTATAATTAAAAATAGTTTATAAAATATTTGAAAATATTTTTCTTTTGATTCTTTTAATTACTTACGTTTCATAAAATTGACCCAAATAGAAAATCGTATCATGTATACTGCTATTTATGTCTTATCAGTGTGCGTATAACGCGCGCTATATAAATACACGTATAACATCAATAAATCGCAAAGTATAATTTTCTTTCATTTTTCAAGCAACTAAGTAGTTGCGTTTGCGACGTCGTCACGGAGGTATTGAAAGCTGAGTTGAGGTTACTGCGTTATGTTTGAACTTTCCTTGATTCTCCCTTCCACAAATAATGTGATGTTATTGGTAAAACGCGACGGTGCATAAAGTCCAAGGAGTCGCCTCATAACATTCCTTTACGGTTTGGAAAAAATACGGTAATTATTACATTTTTTTTAAATCTACCAGTATTTATTAATTGATTTGATTAATTCTTACACAATCTGAATTTTTCTATCATAGCTACTCTTTCTTTCTATTTTTATGTTTCAATTAGATAATGTAATATATTCGAAAAAGAAACGCAAGTCATACTAACACATATCAACGTTATTATTTACAAATAACCATTTGTTAATAATTTTACAATTCATTTACTTACTTGAATAAACAAAATTTTACTTGTGGTATTTTTTTATTTTTATACTTAAGCATATAAAATTTCAATTTTTATAAACAAATTATATTGTTTATTGCAATTTGTATATTCTTATGTCATACATTTTATTAATGAAAATTGTTTTTCAGATTGCACTTGCACAGGACTTAATTCAGCAAAAAGCTACATATAATTGCTTTACATAATGGGTCCCTTAACGACAACTACCAGACATGTTTTTCACAACATTTGTAAAACTGCTGTGAAGGCAATGTCTACAAATGTAATGTTAAATCCAAAAGATGAACCAAAAGAAATAATACTTAAATATTTGGATGGAAAGGACAATGGCATTGCAGTATTGGGACTGAATCGGCCAAATGTTTGTAATGCACTTGGAAAGACTTTAGTTAATCAGTTAACCGATGCTATTTCTTCCATGAAAGAGGATTCAAAGTTGCAAGTATTGATTATTCGCAGCATGATACCAAAAATTTTCTGTGCTGGTGCTGATTTACGAGAAAGAACAATAATGGACACTAAAGGCACTGCCCAATTTGTTTCGTGCTTAAGAAACATGATGAACAACATAGAATCTTTACCGACCCCAGTGATATCTGCCATTGATGGTGCCGCATTAGGCGGAGGATTAGAGCTTGCTTTAGCCACAGATATCAGAGTCGCAGCATCAGAAGCTACAATGGGTCTTGTCGAAACAAAATGGGCAATTATTCCAGGCGCCGGTGGTACACAACGACTTCCAAGAATAATCGGACCTGCTAAAGCAAAAGAACTCATTTATACGGCACGTTTAATTGACGGTCAAGAAGCGATGAAAATTGGTCTGATAAATCAAGTAGTTCCACAAAATAAAGAGGGGGATGCTGCTTATCAGTCTGCTTTATCTATAGCCAGAGAAATTTTACCCAATGGACCACTTGGAGTAAGGTGAGTGGGAAGTATAAACTACCCTGGCTTATACATACTTTATATATATTTTGTTTTAGAGTGGCAAAAACGGCGATATCAAAGGGACTTCAAGGATCTATCACCGATGGGCTTGAAATTGAGGAACAATGTTACAATGAAATTGTACATTCAAAAGACAGACTCGAAGGACTTGCAGCATTTGCAGCAAAGCGTATGCCCGTTTATCAGGGAATGTAAACACAGAAAATTGACGGGCATTATGACTTACGCTTAAATGACATATCGAAAACGTGCATTTTAATACTGATATTAAAAGCTGGGAACATGCCTCTTTTTTACAATACACTATCATGTTACAACTGACTTTCACGTACATATAATTATATAAAGTCAATTATATTTACATTTGGAAAAACAGTTACAGAAATAACGTTAAATAACTTTTACCGTAGTTTACAATTTTTAATAATTTTTGTATGTAATTTACATTAATCCTAAGAAAAACAATCTGTGTCATGTTTAATATTTGGTTTTATATATTTTATACTAATTGTTATTGTTGATGTATATGTACATATATATAATATATATGATTTTATTTTTATAAAATAAAAGCGTTTGTAACAAATGAAAATTATGCTGATTTTCTTTAGATTCCAAATATTAATTGCATAAAGTACAGTTAATTTAAAAAATTTTCGTTGCTAACATTTTTTTATTTTACTTAGGAAATATATAGTTATTTATAAAGATTTCATTTGGGAATGATAATTTATACAGTAACTATTAGAAATGAAATGTCTAGTGGTAATGTAACATGTAAAAATACTTTCTGTTTATTAAGTAAAACATTTAATGCACTAACCCGATACTTGTTGTATAAACCTTTTTATACAGTTTATACAAATGAAGTTAATACATTCTTACAGGAAGCAACTATGTTTACTAATACATCTTTATAATATATAGCATAAAACTTGACACTTTTATATTATAATAATAGAAATAAAAAGGAGCACCCTGCCTTTCAAAATGTAGTTTAAACAGAACGAAATTAAACAATTTTGTGCATTATGCGCATTGCAAAGGCAGAGTAAATTGTTCTCGATCTTTCTGTTCTTTAATAACAGCCATAAGAACCTTAAGTTGATTAATCGTGTCTTCCGGACAAGTTACACGATGACCAACAGTTAAATCGCTTTCATAAATTTCGTAATCGTTACCACCTTCCATCGTTTTGTCACCGAAGAAATGTATTTCATCGTACCCTTGAATGTGTCTGAGACAATACGTTTTGTCCCAACCAATAGGAAAAACATCGAAAGATATTTGACCACCTTGATATATAAAACGAAAGAAATTTGTTTCACTTTAAGTTTTGTATATTCCTTTTTGCTGGCACGTAATACGCGCTATGTATAAAACTGTTCATTCTTTTAATTTAATTACACTAAAAATTAATTTTTAAGTATAAAATTTTACTTACCAATACTGTATCTTAAAGCAAGATCTGGAAATTCTTTTTTAAGAGCTTGAATAAATTTCTGACGAATTTGATTTTCAATATCGTATTCATAAAACTGAATACGTTCCTCTTTAGTACAGTTACGACCAATTGGTGATATATTAAGCATACCTGTTCTAAATTCTATAAAAGTACCACGTTTGATTGGCAAATGTAATTCAGATATATATTTTAAACAAAAGTTTATAAATTCTTGCAGCTTCTCCTCGCCGATAACACTTTGTATTGTCTAAAATATGAAACTTGTTTGAGGCAACAGTTAAAAATGATACAAATTTTATATGCTACATCATATTGCTTACTTCTGTTGGCAATTGTTTACCATCATGAAAAGCAATGAGTCCATTTTCTGCAAAAACATATTTGTATTTCTCAAATATGGTTCCACCACCCAACTGTTCTTTCAGTTTTTCTATATCTGATCCTCCGACCACAGATATATCAAATTCTTTTCTAGTAACATCCAAAATAAACTTCTCCACATCTGGCTTAATTACCTGAAAAAATAATTCAATTAGCACACATACAATATAACAAACATCTTTATAATTATGTAGTATTTGTACCTGTCTAGGATCAGTGAGCGTGCCATCAACATCAAATAAACACATTATCTTCTTAGACATGGTATATAGAATGGTTTCTCTTAGTTAATTGATCTGAAACATATGTTTCTAAATTAAATTTTTATTAAGCATAAACAGAAAGTGATATTAAAAAACACAAATGTAGACAATAAAGTTTTTTAATATATACCAGAAACCAACATAAATAATCTTTTTTATCATTTTTAGTCTTCAAAAAATTACAGTAAGATGTGAATAATCTATAACTTTCCCTCCACCTATATAAAAAATTAACTTTCTGACAGATTTTAAGTATCCTCTAAGATTCATTTTTTCAATAAAATTAATATCTATATATATATATAGATTTCTAGATCGACGAACAGAATGAAAACAATAATCCATTTCACTCACGTTTTTAAAAACATAAAATCTGTAAAATTAATTTCAATGTATTTATTAAATTGCAACAATAATGACATATAACCTAATATAATAAAAATATCAAAAACACATTAATCATATCATTTCAGTTTTACATGAATTAATTTTTTTCTCTACGCTTTCGTCGATCTCGAAATTAAAAAAAAGAGAATAAATAAAAAAAAAGTACAGACAGTTGTATATAAGCAGTTAATACGTGGCTAGATTGACGCCCTCTTTATGGGATCTAATCCCTGCGCTTACGGCTACAATATTGCGAAGAATGTTATTGAATAAATTATATATCTTTATTTATCTTATCTTATTTGGTTTACATCATTTAAATGCAGACAAATTACCGCCTAAAAATGCCATCTTACTTTTGGGTAAGTACCTATGGTTTGTAAAAATATAATAAATTTAATATTTGTTTTAAAAATAAAATTTACAATTACTATATCTTTTTGTTATAAATCAAAAATATTTAATTTTGTTGTATTTGATAATTTTACTTTTATATTTAATTTTATTTCTACACAGCTGATGATGGCGGATTTGAAATGCGATCCTATTTAAATAAAATTTGTCAAACACCTAATCTGGATTATTTGGCAAAAGAAAGTTTATTATTTAACAATGCATTTACTTCGGTCAGCAGTTGTTCTCCCAGGTAGAACTTTAGTTTAAAACTTGCTATTTACAAGTAGCATAGATACTTTTCATTTTTAATTTCAGCCGTTCTTCTTTACTCACTGGATTACCCAGTCATCAAAATGGAATGTACGGTCTTCATCATGGAATTCATCATTTCAATTCATTTGATAATGTTCAGAGTCTACCAAAAATGTTAAAGAACAATAATATAAGAACAGGTATATTTTAGTTTAATAACTAATGCATGGTTTGAACTCAACTTTGCATATTTTACAGGTATCATTGGTAAAAAACATGTGGGACCAAGCAGTGTATATCCATTTGACTTTGCGCAAACAGAAGAAAATAATTCCATACTTCAAGTTGGTCGAAATATTACAAAAATTAAGCTCTTAGTAAGAGAATTCCTCTCTCAGAATAAAAGCCAGTATGAATTTATTATTCCTCAAATTATTTATCTATTGACAAAGTATAAATATGATTTAAAATTTTTAGACCTTTCTTTTTATACATTGGATTTCATGACCCCCATCGATGTGGTCACAGACATCCGGAATATGGAAGCTTTTGTGAAAAATTTGGTAATGGAGATATTGGTATGGGTAGTATACCTGATTGGCATCCAATATATTATCAATGGGAACAGGTAAAAGTTCCTTATTTTGTTCAAAATACAGAAGCTGCAAGGCGAGATATTGCTGCTCAATACACAACTATTTCTCGTTTGGATCAAGGTATACAGATTAATATCTAAGATTCTCTTACTAATTTAAAGTTAATTACAACAATTGAACATTTTTTGTTAAAGTAAATTTATTGTATATGTAAAACTTAAGTACTCAAGCACTTAATTAATAATAAGCTGTATATTTAATATTTTAAAGGTGTAGGTTTAGTTCTGAAGGAACTGGAGAATGCTGGTTTTAAAGACAACACTCTAGTGATCTACACATCTGATAATGGTATACCATTTCCAAACGGTCGAACGAATTTATATGAACCAGGTATTAAAGAAAATATTTATAACATTACTTAAACATAATAATAATTAAATTTTTTTGTGTTAGGATTAGCAGAGCCTATGATGATCAGATCACCAATTCCTAATCATAGGAGAAATAGTGTGACATATAGTTTAACATCCTTATTAGATATTGTACCAACATTATTAGATTGGTTTAACATACCATACATGAATCAATCCCATGCTTCATTTAATGCAAATAAAGTATCTGCTCCTCGTTTAACAGGAAAATCACTTCTTCCGCTTCTTGTTGAAGGTAAATCTGAAATATTTTCTCTCATTAATATAAAATTAATTTCTAACATTATTTCATTGTGTATGTTTGAAAATAGAGCCTGTAGAAAATAATACAAGTGTTTTTGGCAGTCAAACACATCATGAAATTACTATGTACTATCCCATGCGTGCTATTAGAACTAAAAGATACAAGCTCATACACAACATAAATTACAAAATGCCATTTCCTATTGATCAGGATTTCTATGTATCACCAACCTTCCAGGTAATCTGCAAACAAATCATATAATCTGTAAAATTATGAAATATTCTTCTCACTTATAGTAATAAATTTTTTTTATATTTGAAGGATATTTTAAATAGAACTAGAAACAATCAACCACTTCCATGGTACAAAACATTAGGAATCTATTATGAGAGACCTGAATGGGAATTATATGACTTGAAATATGATCCAGAAGAAACAAACAATATTGTCTTTAACTCAACTGCAAAGGTAGATAACAAAAATTGAACTAGCAGGATTTAAAGCCTCTAATTACATCTAAACATTTTTTTTAGCAAATATTTATAGATTTAAAAGAAAGATTATTTAAGTGGCAGAAAATGACCAATGATCCATGGCTTTGCGCACCGAGCGGCGTTCTCAATGATATTGGAACTGCGAATGCTCAGTGTATGCCACTACAAAATTTTATTTAAAAACAATTTATGATAAACTTTTTTTATGATGATATTAAAAAACCTGAAATACTCATATTTATAAACATTTTGATACAATTACGATATTAAAAAATATACAATTTTTTTTGTGAAATCCTTACCTGTTGAAATAAATTATAATGGAAAAGTAGGATGTAGTAGAGAAATGTTTTTTACATCCTTTTCACGACGTTTTAGAAGAATTTCATTCAACTGACGAACGTAAGTTGAAGACTTGTTTGCAGATTTCTCTACTGCTTTTAATTCTGTTGATATTTCATTCATCTAAAATACGATAAAATTGATTAGAACGATGGACATAAACCTAAATAGAAAAGTCATTTGCAAAAGTAAAAGCTTACATATTGTTTGTAGCCCAAGTATCTGTTGTATTTCTGATTGTTATTATAGATTTGCTTAACTTGTATCATAAAAACGAGGCACAGTAAAAGACCACCAAGTAGCACAAGCAAATTTGTGTTTTGTAAACCGCGTAAAACAAGCATTATTTATGTTGAGGTTATTTTGGTTAATTTATAGTATCTTTGTACAAAAGATTAGATAAATGTCACGTAAAACGTGACTCAAAAATACTTATATGAAAGTTAGGAACATCATACGTTTATATTAGTAAACATACCACTTATAAAATAACAAATAACATATTACGTGCAACACGCTAACGCAACACCATCTCTTGTTTGAAAGTTCAGGTAGATTAAGTAAGCGACTTGAAAACTCTTGATTTATTACATAGAAAATATTGATTTGTAATTATTTCTATATAATTAGTTTACAAATTCAAACGTTAATTATAATTTAATTGTAAAATTAAATCGTTTACGAAAAGTGGTTTCAAATTCGATCACAGCGCCATCTATACGAAAACGGCCGAAACTAGTCAACAAGTTACCAATCGATTTCTCCGGGAACACCAGCGCCACCTATCGGGTAACCGCGGAAACTTCTTGTCGAATAGTTTCCGCGGTTTCCTGATAGGTGGCGCTAGTGTCGCTCGGGAAATAGGTCGATAACTTGTTGAGTAGTTTGAGCCGTTCTCGTATAGATGGCGCTAGGGTAGAATTAAAAAAATTTTGTAATTAATTAATTTTTAAATAAACGATTTTTATTTAAATAATTTTTAACACGTACAAAGTTCAAATCAATGTTGTTCAGATTAGAAAAAAATTATCAGATAGAATTATTAGATAATAAACGATATCTCGGTGTAAGGTGATAGCTTGTATTACACTGAGCTAAACATTGTGTCAAATAACTGTTTTGTGTCATATATTTTTCATTAGCTAATGAAATATATTAAAATGTTGACACTGGAAACATACCAGTTAACTCATCCAGAATCGCTGACAGATGCTGAACTTAGAGAAATTTTAGAAAATGTAAGTGAGTATGGTTATGTTCTTTAACTAGCTTCTTCGATTAATACTAAACAATTAATTTGTTCGTGAATTAAACTCTTACTTATTTAACTGTAAATATGTTTAATTTTGTTCAAAGGTTCAGAACACTTTATTAATTAATTCAAAGAATGCATTTTTTTACTACTACTATGTATAATATTGTTTAAATATTTTCTTAATCTATTTATAGAGGTGTATAGATTTTAATCATTATAAAAACTTTACAAGATGTGAGTTAATAGAACTGTATAAACGAGTGGCAATGCCATTACCTCAAAGGCAATCTGAAAATAGTCAAAACTCAAATGTAAAGAAAGATAACGAGGAATCAAATTCAGTTAATGAGTCTCACCAAAATTCTGTCCCTTTGTAAGTGAAAATCAATAAAAATAAAAGCTGCATTATTTTACTCTTTTCTGTATAACAGTAGCCTTTGTTGTATAATTAAAAAAGAAAAGATTTGGATGTAAGAACTCTAAAGTTTAAAGATTATGTATATAATCTATAAGAAATTATTTAATGAGAAAATATAAAAATATTCTACAGGAATGATACAAGTAGTACAAAACCAAATGTAAATGAGGTAACAAAAGCACCTCAGTTTTCTAATATGAAGTCAGCAACATCTCCTGGAAATGAATTTAAATGTACAACTAAAAAAGTACACTTGTGTAATTCAAGTAATATAATAAAATGCAATGGTGTTGATAAACGTAATAGCGATGAAAAATTTGATGTAGGTATATCAACTAGTTGTATACAAGATGGTCCATTTAGTATGAATACTTTTAGCACTTTCATTTAAGTGGTAGGCACCAAAGTAAATGAACCATTTTGTATAATATTAAAAATTAGGTAACTGGTATTAGAATAAACGCGTAACGAATCTGTTTTAATATTAATTAATTAAGAAACTTTTATATGTTATAGGGAGCTCCATCTAGGAAAAGACAGAAAATTACATGGCCTTAATAATATTACCGTATTAAATATGTATGGTATAAAAAAAAATCTTTTTTTTTTAACTAGAATTATTTTTATCCCTAAGTTTCTTGATAAGTAATGTTATCCATATAAGTGATTTTAAAGTATTAATCTCTGAATCATGTAATATATGCATCAACAATATGACTACTACAATAGAAATAGCCATGCTTGGTGTCTGGAATTTTTTCCTCATCTTTTAATTATTTAATTGAATGAGATTTATAGCACTGATTAATAATGGTATCCATTGCAGTCGATATGTTATTGGCTAGATCTCTTGTTGGCTACATGTATGTATTCCAAATTAGATTTTAAGCATTTTGGAATTCATACATGTACATGAAATCTGATATAATTCTAGTTATTTACTAAATTTTTTTTTAATTATAAGCATTGTTATTTTGTTATTATAATACTATTGTATTATGATTATATGTATGAAGAATAAAGAATGAAATGTTTATGGATTCTATTGGAAAATTTTGTACGAAATAATAAAGAAATTTCATATTTTTATACACAATGGTTTTTGCGTACGTATTACCTCAAGTCTCTGATACATTACACTTAACAATGTATTACATACACTGTGTTATACACTTTCGCGTTTAAAAGGAATTAATCACGTGGTAAATTGTAAGATGAAAGAAAGTAAAAAGCAAGCATTCCTTAAGCAGATCGTACTGATTCTTTAATATTCATCGAGGGTCGTTCGTACGTGACAGAAACGTTACACTTACAGTTGGAATTAAAATCACATCACGTTATGCAATAGTGAAAGTAAATCTATTGTAAGCTAGAAAATGTGTTGACTAAATTGATTGTATTTCTCTTAATTTCTTACCTATAATTTGGGATACCAAATACTCATTATTCATTAAAACTTCTTGTTTGTTTCAATGAGTACTACGTGCCTCCCAAGTTTGACCCAAACTTCTTTTTGTACCCAGTAGAAGTCACTGTTTATACTTCAGTTTGATGCACTTCTAATAAAGGATCCTGAATATAAAAATAATTATGTATTAAATGAACCTTATCTAAATGAATATTATCTATTATACATGTAATCTCAAAGACGTCCGTTTCAAGTGAACTAATAAATGTACTTTTGGAAGCGAAACTTTTGCTGCATTAATGAAAGTATCACGTACACAGGTGGAGCATCGATTCACGTACGACGAATAACAATCGGGTACCTATAAATACGTTTGTCAGTACAAATCAAAGTCAGTACCCTTCTTGACTTTCGTTCAGTCGTACCATTACTTTAAATCCGATCAGCATGGTAAGCGAGGTGAGAAGAGATTTATTTGATAAAATATCGCACCGTTAATTGTTCTTATTTTATTGCATTATTGGCGAAAAAGTTAGTATATCGTATTTGAAAGTGACTCAAGTATTCACAGAGCATTAGTCTTCCGAGAGAAGTCTATAAGTTGCATAACAAGTGTACAGTGATACGAATGCAGTTTAGGTCTATGATGTCTGACCATAGGAGCGCTAATACTACTTATACCATTCCAAAGCCTGATTCCAGTCTGTTCCTACTTCTTATCCATTCCTCTTACACAGATTGTGGTCTGAATAGTACACGCTTTCTTCCATAAGTCATGGGACATCTTAGAATTACTGTAATTCAAACGGAACAGATTTAATTTCTATTAAAATGTGCATGTAAAATTGACATTAGGTCTATGATGTCTGACCATAGGAACGCTAATACTACTTATACCATTCCAAAGCCTGATTTCAGTCTGTTCCTACTTCTTATCCATTCCTCTTATACAAATTGTGGTCTGAGTAGTACACGCTTTCTTCCATAAGTCATGGGACACCTTAGAATTACTGTAACTCAAACAGAACAGATTTAATTTCTATTAAAATTTGCATATAAAATTGACATTAATTTTTATCATTACAGAAAGTAGTTATCGTACTGGCGATAGGAGTATTCGCAACGTGCCAAGGAGGTGCAGTTCCTGTCGCAGCAGTCCCAGGATTTCCGGCTGTCGCCAAGCTTGCATCATTCGACCCAAGACTTAATTACGATCCTCATCCTCAATACACTTACGCATACGACGTGCAAGATGCTTTGACAGGGGATTCAAAATCGCAACAGGAGAGCAGAAACGGCGACGTCGTCAGCGGAAGTTACAGTTTCATCGAGGCTGACGGAACTAGAAGAATCGTCGAGTACACGGCTGATTCTGTTAACGGATTTAACGCGGTTGTGCACAGAGAACCGGTGGCTGTTATTAAACCGGCCGTTAAGATTGCCCCGGTAGCTTTCCATCATTGAGAAATCTTGCTAATTTTATTTATTTTTATCCCCGGTGATTCAGACAATCATATCGTTACAGAAAGTTTAATTAATTCCTCTGACTCGACTTGTAATTCGACTTAAAAGATTGTCATTCTGAAAGTTACCTAACAATTTTGGAGAACTATAAAGAAAGCGAAACAATATTTGATAATAGTACAAAAATGTTTTGTACGATAATGATGATGAAATTGAAAACGAATTCCTTTGTTATACCACGTGTTATACGGCTAGTCATACCGCACTGTACATACTACAAACATTTTGTAATTAAACGTTTATATTAAAGTATTTTATAAAATATTTTTATGTATTTATTCCATGTTTCTCCTTTGTCGAAATACTAAATAAGAAATCCTTAAGTTATTTCAACCTGACAATCTATACTCCCTTTGGTTGCAACAGTTTAAAGTTATGGAACTTCAAAGCTTATTAAAATATTCAAGTGATACAATATATATTTTTATCATTAATATATGTTATTATTATAAAAAAATTATTGTAGAAATTCAAGAAAAATTAATTTTTGGGATCTATGTCTATTAGACAGACACTGATTATTAAGTCTATATCTTGTTTTTCTTGCACGAATTCAAAATGTTAACTTTAGAAAGAAAGAATAAAAATTTAGTATAGAAAGCACCGAGGATGAGGAACGTTCCGGAAGACCACCCCTACCTGCAAAAGGCATCCATATTGTACTTTTGTAATGTAACTTTTGCAAAATAAAATTATTCTCCATAAGTTTAATGAACAAAATTTACCTTTCAATGTATCTATTTATCCAGGACAAAATGGAGTAATTTGTTCTTCGCTCTAGCTGAGTAAGCGATGGTTCCTTTTACTGTCACAATGAAAAATTGTCAAATACATATTTCCATGGGATGTTTAAAAAATCCAATTCTGTAATAGTACGTGGGTCCTCCTTTACATTCATTTGTAATTTAGCTCGGCTCGAAAGAAAATGGCATTGATTTTGTCACTCTTGAAATTCATGATCCTGTCGATTGCATGAAGATACCGATATTGAGCAAGGATCGAAGAGACACAATGAATTTATTCCCTTTCGAAATTTCGTTGAATAGCCTCGAATAACTTTCTTTGACATATCGGCATACAAATGACGCACGCATAGACACATTACCAGCCACATCTCATTGTTCTTAAAATTCAAACACTACCTAGCTAATTTTAAATAAGTCTAACAGACATCCAATATAATAAGCCAAAAATTGTGTCAATTTTTTGCAACATCCAATGGGCGTTGAATATCAATTTGAAAGGAACCCAGGTGCCACGATTGACCCAGGCAAATCCAGAACGTGTACGAATACTTGCTCCACCCAGGAACCCCATGAATAATCAATGAACCAAACGTCCAACGGGTTAAGCAACCCTTTTGGTAATCCTAATTAAGACATCGTACCGCACTGTAAATACTAACGCGATAACGATCACGTAACCATTAGTAAAACTTTTTCGAGACGGTCACCTTAAGTCGAGGGGGTAGGGTTACAGCGGCGGAGTTCACGGTGCGTTCGCGGTTTCGTCGTACGACCTCGAACGACTCCCGTACAATCTTCGACGTATTGGCATACAAGTCGCGTGTATACGCGCGACGATATGAAGAAACATAAACGTGCATAGCCGACGTTGTGTCGGTCGTATATCGCAACATTTATGAGGAGGTCACTGGATGGTAAAGGAAAGATGGCTAAGCAGACTGAATAAAAGAAGGAGAGGCTAAGTGGGGGCGGTGTGTATGCATGTGTGTAATACGGGTGACTTAACGCAAGTTTGGGTGCAAGGAATAGCTCGGTTATTGTTACCGAATGACACGAAACCATCGACGGTCATCGCGCATATAAAAGTACGAGGAATCTTACCCCGAGGCATCAGTCTCCTGGCGATCCTCGTGCAAACAAACATGGCTGGAAAGGTAAGGAGAGCTTGTGTACGGGTTCGATTTTCACCTACGATAAGATACACAGATAAGTCTCCCTTCTCGGAGGGAAAATATTTTCTAACCCACCTGCACTATTTTCAGCTCGTCGTATTCTTAGGCTTGGCGGTCCTTTCAAAGGGGGCGGTGGTACCAGCGGTACCAGTGCCGTCTGCTCCTGTCGTGGCGGCTGTACCAACGGCGAGACTCGAGGAATTAGATGCACCGGCTCAGTACAGTTTCGCTTACGACGTCCAGGATGCTGTAACCGGTGATTCGAAGGCCCAATACGAGACCAGAAACGGCGACGTGGTGCAGGGTAGCTACAGCTTGATCGAGGCTGACGGTACCCGGCGCATCGTCGAGTACACGGCGGACCCTATAAACGGATTTAACGCTGTAGTCAGTCGGGAACCAGCGACCGCGGTCGCCGCAATCGCCGCGCCTGTCTTACCATACGCACCTGCCATCGCACCTTCTGCCGGAGTTGCACCTGTTTTGCCCGCTGCAGCTGCACCAGCGCCGGCTGTTCCGGCCAGTGGCCCGGACTCCGACGTGGAGGTTGTCGAGGCTAGATCCGGTCCTCTCGTCGCGGCTATGCCGACCAGTCGGGACCAACAGCTCCGTCAACAGCAAGAGCAGCAACTGCAACAGCTCAGAGAACTTGAGAAGCAACAGCAGGAACAGCTGCAACAATTGCAGCAAAGATCTAGACAGCAGCTGCAGCGACAGATTCAACAGCGCCAACAGCAGCAGAGGATACAGCAAGAACAGGAGAAGAAACAAGAGGGACAGGAAGAGCAACAGCAACAGCAAGGAGTGCCAGTGAGAGCTTTCGCTACACCTGTCCAGGTAGCACCGAAAGCTCAACGACTGGTAGGCCCGTCGCCTGTTAGAGCGGTCGCAAGTTACACGACGTACCCGAATGCTTACGCCTACACCGCTGCCTATTCCTCGCCTTTGGCTTATGCATCGCCCCTCGGCGGTCTTACCTACGCCCCCGCCACCGCCCTCCTTTAAAATATTCTCTTTTTTTAATATCGAATCGTTACCACACCCTCCTAATCGAGGATACTGAACTTGCAATAAATACTTATTTTACAATAAATGGAAGAGAATCAATTGATCACCGTATTCCTGAAATTTCCAATACATTTATCGAATGGGTCGGTAAATGCTTTCGACCAGACAAGACTATTTCTAGGTTTCGTCTGGTATCTCCGAAACAATGGATTACGTCTCGGGATGTACGTGACCGTCCGTGAGCATAATAAGTAAAAGCATAGCGAATAACGTCGATCAATGTCACAGACAGACGCAGTTCGATCGCTCGTCACGTTCAATCGTCGAGCTTTGATTCATTGTTCGCTGTTACATAAGTTGACGTTACGGTGCCATCGTGTTTCAGCTTTTACGCAAGAAAAAAAATTGCGTGTACGTACGCCGACTGGAGTTGTAACACGACTCGACCTTCGACTACGTGCCACGTAACGAACTAGACGCGTCCTGGGAGTTGCACTTTCGATAAACTTTGTCGTCCATAATGCAATTTCGCGTACACGTCTCGGTGCAATCCTTAAAATAAAAAATATTTCACAAATTGTTAAGACATAAAGTTATCTTATCCATTAGTAAAATTCTTTCAACCAGGAAACATTCAATCAATATAATTCATATTGTTACTTCTTAATATCTGGTAATAAATAATTCCTCTCTGCGAAGCAACCGGTTTTGCAAATAAAGACAGTGATTCACAGTAGTTTCACGTTTCGACTGTAATTTACGAATGCAAGTCTGCGACAGCTGTTTACACTCCGCGACGAACCTGAAAGAAAATGAAAAGAAATTTCGAGAAAATTATATTCATTGAAATGTAATATTAAAATGCAATCTCGACTCACATCATCTTTATCATAGAACACGTAAGCACTAGTGGCGACAATTCTGCAAGTAGTATCTTCGCGTATATGTCAGCCATGACGTTGTTTAGTCGACAACTGGGTCATTTTGACCTGTAACAATAAAAATTCTACATTTTAGTTGATAATGGTCATTAATTTGAGCCGACAATTACGATGGTATTAGATATTAGACGTAACAAGAGCTAAATGTGTGACGGTCTGACTTATTACTGATATTATCACTGTATCCCTTTCTAAGCGCATTAGACTATTGAAATTGAACATTTACATCAAGTTCTATCGCTCTATTCTTAATCAAACATTCTTTCTGTTAGACAACAATGTTTCCAATAAATAGCATATGTTTTCTTTGAACAAAATGACCCTGCATTAAACGCGTGAAGGTTACAAAAAAATGTACTCGAGTCTGCTTCCATATGTTCACATGCTTGGAATGGAATTCGGATTCTTACATAATATTATGCAATACCAGAATACGTACCACGCGTTTTCACTTTGAAACTGTATCACTTTGCTGGAATAAAAAGTCGTTTTTCATTCTTTTTTTACCAGCAAAGTGGCTGATCTACTGTACAACATATTAGTATCAGCTTTTCATGAAGAATCATTTGTTTTCCGCAGTATTAAATATATTTTAGGCGCATCTTTGAAGAATACGGTTTTAAAAAAAACGTAACAACCCGCTGGACATGTTTCGCCTGATCGAATTTGGAAAATAATCAGTAATTATTTTCTTTTAGAAATACTATTTCAATATGATTCTAGCGTTTATCGGTGTCGGGTAAGAGCGTCGATTTTGTTGATTCGGCTGCGTACCTGTTCGTGAAGTTTCAACTTTCACCGAATAAAACCAGAGCTGAATTCGCGGTCGTCAAAGTAACCGCGCCCAATGTCACGATGTGGCCCATCGTAATCGCGCCCCGTATTACGTGGCCGGCTACACAAGAAACCGGTTCACTTTTGGCAAACCGGTTACACGGAAAGAATTCGACCAGATGGACAATGGTTCGCCTTGGGCGAAAGCGACCATGCCTTTTTTTTTTTTTTCTCGATTTCAATTAACGAACGATCGTGAAACTGCCTCGGCCCGATACGCATTCCTCCTCTCTTTATTGATCAATTTAATGATTTATCCGTTAAGATGATCAAGGTCATTGCTGATCGACGTTACGAGCTTAATTAAACGGAAATAAACGAAGAGGATTCGCAACGTTAACGAGGGTCAATGATATTCAGAGGAATTATTTTGGTACATGTTTCAACAGACTCGATCGTAGAATAGATTTGTATTGTAAAACAAATGTGAAAGCAGACGGTCCCGATACCTCATTGTGACCAATCAATCGGTACTTGATAATCGAGTCACGCAAACAGTAGAAACAATTGCATGCGATGTCGCGATTCCAGTATGCCTTTCTTTTACGGATTTAAATGTTACAAGGCGTTTCTATACGCATAATAATGAAAAATCGATGCATCTTACGATTCCGTGATGATTTATTTAAAAAAAAAAATGTCTGACACAACTGTATCGTTCTAATTCCCCTGAATTACGAAATAATTTAAATTGGAGCCTGAAATTTGGACGCCTTTCTCCACTGGTGACGGACTCGGTTCTTATAATTAAAACGAATGTTGTGATCGATTTTCCTCGTTTACACGCTTACGAAACCGTCAACTTCTCCTTTCATCCATAATAATTACAATTTACTTGGACCTGTTTGGAGAAACAATGTCCGTTTCTTAAAAGAATACTAATTTCTAGAGCAATCTGAACATTACTACTAATTACTGAACTACTTCTTCCAAGGTTTCAACAAAGCAGAAATTCGGCATTGTTCAGATTGCGAGAACGAGTACGAAAGTAGTGAAAGCTACTTTTGGTGATTCTTAGAAACGCCTTAACCAACGAGCCGTGTTAAATTGAAACTCTACCCTGTGCCCAAGGTTGCCCAAGGTTACCCAAGGCTATATCTCCTTTGTCTTCACCAGACAGTGTCGCTAGTTTTACAAGATCCAGTATTAAATAAACAAATAAATAAATAAAGATGTATGGATACATTTGTAACGAGTTTAATCGATCACAAACAAGTCTGCTAAAAAAATAAATAAAAAGTTCAGCCTGAGTCCGTGGTGTGGGGTTTAAGACGTAGGTACGTTTACAAATAGTGAGGTTGAGCGTAGGTCAGGGCCGGGGCAGCGGCGTACTTGGCGTACGAGACGGGGTGAGCGGAATAGCCGATGGGTGCTGCGTGAGCGACGGCGTATGGGGCAGCATGGGCAACGGCGTATGGGGCGGCATGGGCAACGGCGTATGGGGCGGCATGGGCAACGGCAACTGGTGCGGCTACTTTGGCGGCGTATACTGCTGGAGCGTGTGCGATGGGGGCGGCATACTTGGCGACTGGAGCGGCAAGAACTGGCGCAGAAGCGGCATAGGTCAAGGGTGCGGCATGGGCGACGGCTTTCACGGCAACGGCTGCTGGCTCCTTGCGGACTACCGCGTTGAATCCGTTGACTGGGTCAGCGGTGTAGTCGACGGTGCGCTTGGTGCCGTCGGGTTCGATGAGAGAGTAGCTGCCCTGGACCACGTCTCCGTCGCGGCTCTCTTGTTGGCTCTTGGCGTCACCGGTCAGGCTATCGTGCACGTCGTAGGCGTAGCTGTATTGGGGATGAGGGTCGTAGTCAGCGTCCACAGTCTTGGCAACGACGGCCTTAGCCACTGGAGCCGCGACTAACGTCTTGGCCACGGGAGCTACAGCAACTGGCGCAGAGTAAGCCAATGGGGCGGCATGAGCGTAGGATAAGTGTGCAGCAGGTGCGTAGGTCAAAGGGGCTTCCCGCAGGATTCCGGCGTTGGCGGCGGCCACGAACGCGGCGAAGGCGATGAACTGAAAAATAAAGTAATCGTTAGAAAATTGCTTATAAAAATAGCTTGATCGTTCTATCGGCTCGAGGAGATCGTGAGGATCTCGTGTAAGCTCTCGAATGGATCAGAATCCTTCACCCACCTTGGAGACCATTGTTGGAATGATTAGGTTGGTTTGGATCGACTGAGCGACTGATGATGTCCAACGTTTATTCGGACTGCTTTATATACCACCGATCGAGCTGTTACCACCGATCTCCCCCACCAAATTGCTCGGGTTTTGCCGGGCTTTCAAACTTTGCTAACAGATCGTATCAACGTTACCGCACTTGAACTTGGTCCGTGAGAACACACATACATTCACCCTCGTTGAACATTTTCAGTCTGAATGTTACATAGACTAATAGAATGGAATAGAATCTCAATGATGAAACGAACTTGCCCAAGGGCGAACGTTCGTTCTTAATTCTCCTTGTAAAATTAGCAGATATTTGAAACAATTACAGTGAACGTATTTAAATTATTCGAATTTCGGACAAATTAAAATTCTTTATCCAACTTTCATTTTTCTTTAGCTGTTTGCCACGCGTTATTTCAATATCCTGTTTACGCTGTTCCTTCGCTTTCCTCGATTATTATTTTTTAATTTAATCAAAATTTTAATAATAAACTTAAACTAAAAATCTAAACAACAGGTCAATCGAAATTAAATTCCTTTTTCTTTTCTTTTTTCTTCATTCTTCTCGCCATTGTGCCCATACAAATTTGCCTTGGATTTATCCTCAGGAATTCCTTATACTACGTCGAGAACGACGTTGATTGAAATTTAATTGTACCAGTTGCGAATCGATTTTCGAAATTTCTCCAAATTCCGCGTGAAAGAATAAAAGAAAGAATTCATCGGTACCGGTACGTCGTGAAACTTTCCAGTCGGTGTATCCTGATCTACGTTGATCGTTGCGTCACGTCTAACGTTACTGGCAAACTGAAGTGGAGCACTTTCATAATGGAAAAAAAAAAAATAGGTGGGCCAGCCGAATCGCGAGGTCCGTCTCGATCGATCGATAGCCCCGGGCTATTGGAGAAATAAAACTGATCCAGATCCAAAATCAAGACCTACGCCTTCTGACGCCCAACTTGAATAAGTGTCTCGCACGGTAGTCGATTGGAAGGTAGTCAATGTCAACTTAAATTCGAGCGAGACTCGGGCTCTCTTAATTTGAAAAAACATTTTGGAATTTTATTATTCCCTCGACATCGACCACTGCATATTGTTATTCTCTACAAAATTTTATTAAGATACTTGGGTCGAAAATTGATTGTTTCAAAAGATATCTTAGGGAGAGCTTAGGAGGTCTCTCCCTGAGGTATTTTTTCAATCAATCAATCAATCAATTTTTATAGAGAATTAACAAACGCTTCGACTGGTGTACAACAAAGTATGCGGTTCCATTTTTAAAAATTTACCTGGAGGATCTCCTTGTCTCTCCCTAAGATATCTCCCTAAGAGTCTTCTACAATAATCTTCCTTATGCTTCTTATTCAACCCAAAAGTAGAGACACCTAAACCATGGTCATTAATAAAAAACAGGGTAAATTCTAATGAAAATTTCGTTGTATCATATTAATCATATAAAAACCAATCATTCTTACGTCATTAACTTCTTACATCATCGGCGCTTAACCTCGTTCTCTTCTTATTTTTTTATACCACGAAAAAAACCAGTTGATTCCACCAATTATGGAAGAACTCAAGGTTGTTGCAGAAAATTTTTTGCACTACTGACCTATAGTAAATTGAGTGACAAATAATGTTGATCATTTTCAATTACCACTTTTGGATCGTCTTCTTCACGAGGATCATTCGCTTCGAGAATAATGGGACGTGGATGACTCGAAGGACATGGATAAGTTGACACTGAAATTTAGAACAAGAAATTGAATTGCTGTAATTAATGTAACGAGCAAGTATCCAATTTCACTTTTACTTCCTTATAACTGCATGCCAATTAACTGACAATGAAATTCACCACATGTTCTCATCTTTCAACGGTTAATTATTGGGTTCGGAACCAGCATACCTGATGATCGTTATGTGATAAATACACAACTTTTTTGTAATCTGTAAAAATAATATTTCATCAATTATATCATATTTTCAAAGTACCTAACTGCATTTTATTTGCAGTATAAAACAGGCAAAGAAAATTGTTAGCGTATTTCCCATGATCAGAAAAATGGGTGGACGGATTAAGTAACTTATGGCAAGGACGTGGCCTAGTCCACCACGGCGATGGTGTTCGCGATGGTCCAACGACTATCGTCACTGATCGAATTGTTCGTGTTGGGTGTGGTCCGATTTCTTGCTCAATTTTGTGCCACTTTGCGGCCGCAAGTCGGGTGGCCGTCGAAGGTACCGTCACCCAGTTACGTCAGCTTACCCATAGGTCCTGCTCACGGGAGTATAAAAGCCGAAAACAACCCGTCTGTGGTATCATTCGCATTACAGACGTACAGATCAAGAGATCTACCGATCGAGCAAGCAGCAATGGCCTTCAAGGTATAACAAAACAAGAACTCGTGGTTCCTTTCGATGGTACCTTCAAGCTTGCCCCATTATCGTTATTCTAATGCGTGATAAAATATTCATTTTCGAATAATCTAGTAACTTTTCGCATTCTAAGTATAGTTTTTGATCGAAAGTAAAACTTGTGACCTACTCTGAACACTTTCGTGTACAACTTTCATTGTCCATTCGATGAACTGTTAATTCCTGGCCTTCTTTCTCAAGGATACCACCTACATTTAACAACTGTACATATTTTTAACAAATCTATCAATTTGTTTACAGTTTATCGCCTTCGCCACCCTGGTAGCAGCCGCCAATGCCGGGATCTTACGGGAAGCTCCTCTGTCCTACGCCCCCGCCGCTCCCTTAACTTACACCCATGCCGCTCCATTCGCTTACTCTGCGCCAGTTGCCGTGGCAGCCCCCGTCGCCAAGGCAGTGGTCGCGGCTCCAGTGGCTAAGGCTGTGGTTGCCAAGACCGTGGACGCCGACTACGACCCTCATCCCCAATACAGCTACGCCTACGACGTGCACGACAGCCTGACCGGCGACGCCAAGAGCCAACAGGAGAGCCGCGACGGAGACGTAGTCCAGGGTAGCTACTCCCTCCTGGAAGCTGATGGAACTAGACGCATCGTCGACTACACCGCCGACCCCGTCAACGGATTCAACGCCGTCGTTCGGAAAGAAGCTGCCGCCGCCGCTCCTATCGTTGCTGCCGCACCTGTAGCCAAGATCGCCGCTGCTCCAGTTGCCTATGCTGCACCCTTTGCCAAGATCGCAGCTGCCCCAGCTGTGGCCTACGCTGCTCCAGTCGCGAAATACGCCGCTGCCCCCGTTGCTTATGCTGCCCCAGCCCACGCTTACATCCACTGAATCGATTTGTCGTCTTTAGGAATAATGTTTGTCAAATAAATTACGGTTTTTTTTAGCAACTGCACGGATTAGTTGTATAATTCTTGAACGTTCTTACCCTTTGTTGCCTTTATCATTCATTATAAGAACATTTCAACTGGTGCATATTCAAACATCCATTACCTGTTTACTTATATGGGTTATATAGCACCTGCAAGGATTAAGTAAATGTAATTCAAAGAAAAATATGTTTACTTTCACCAAAAACTAGTTTATACTTCGTTCTCATAAATCATGTGTGTAAAGTAAGGCGAAAGATATTTCAATTGCAGAGCATGTGGAGGATTGATCATGACGGATAAAAAGATGAACATTGCCTTAAATGCATTGTGCATAAGAAAGGATATGTATGTAAGTAACGAGGCGATTTTTTTTATGTCCTCGCTTTCAACTGTTCCTATCGCTCGTTAAGGAGGCTGAATTTGATTAACAATTCACGGACAGGCTTCTTGTTGTTCCAACACTTTCTCTGCCAGTGCCAATGTTGCCGGTTACACAACGTAACCACGCCTTGTACCTATCGGGCTGTTTATGTGTAATGCATGTAATATGAGTGGGTTGCGTTAATCGGGGCAAACCAGATTCGGACGAAGGTGCAAACCTTGATCCACTTACGATCTGGTATATTCTTCTTTTTACCGCCCTTTTAATATATTTAATTTAACTTAATTGTATTTAAAGGTATCCTTAAAGAAGGGTAGATTTACGTGGTCCGGGGCACTACCATTCATCTCACAAAGGGATTCATCTCATCGGTAACACACAGCTGCACAAATACACATTTTGTTTTTATTTAAAAAATAATTATTAATAAACTTTATTAATAGTATCAAACAAATAATAATAATATTAACATCTTTTTCACAAAATACTAACCGAAATCTTACCCTACCCTCTCTGGTTCTGCTAACCTAAAAATTATTATTATTATTATTATGTAGATAAATTACTATGATTAAATAATGATTTGCATTCAAAATAATACTTACTGATGGATCGTTATGTGATCCTCTTTAAGAACATTAGATGTATCTAATGGGGTTAAAAATACGAATTGACTTTGTGGATGTGTTTTTGCATGATCCAAAAGAATGTCCATTATAACTCGTCGATTTACTTTATCCTAATTTCAAAAAATTATTCATACATAAAATACGTATTATTGAACGCAAGGAAAAGCATAATGCTCATGAAGTATATTCACCATAAAAACGTCAAATTCATCAAGAAAGTAAAAGGGTAAACCGGTACAGTCCCAGAGTGCTAAAATGAAAGCAACAGTCGAATACGACCTTTCGCCGCCCGACAATGATCTTGCATCATTTATTGGTTTTTTATTATCATTTTGAGAGTGCACTTCAAGTTCAAGTTTTTTTCGTCCGTGATCAATGTTTATGGTACCCTACGCGAACGTAAAAATTCATACATTATATAATAACCATATTTGTGTTTTTTAAATAAAACAACTCGATCTGCGTACCTTCTTATTTCGCAAAGCGAGTACATTTGAAAATGAATTTTGAATGTTTCTTCCGTACATATGTTTCATATCAGAAAACGATTTCTTTCGTTCTTCCAGTCGTTTTAGATGTAACTGTAATACGTGTGTATAAATTACGTTAAATAATGTTTAGAAACTAGCATATCTAAAACCAATTTTATATTACTTACTTTATAACTTTTATCCATTTTAGAAATCAATTGTAAATTTTTGCCAAATTTTGCTTCTTTTTGTTTCAATTCCTTACGTAATTGATCTATAGTTCCAAACTGCAATTCTATTTGACGAATTTTTGCTTGTAATTCTTTCGACGATCTTTCGAGTTCACTAACCGACCTATAAAAATGATATCACACGGGCGATGCAGGTTTCAATATTACAAGAATTAATTTGTTACTATGAAATATAATTAATTAACGTCGTTATTAACCTGTTAGTATTTATTTTTTCGCATTGAGCTGCAGCATCGGATACCGCCTTTTTGGTGCACCTCTGCTGCCTTTCAAAATCCGCTGTTGCATTTTGTAAAGCTTGCTGCAATGCATGCAACCTTTTTGCAGCGTGCTGAAATTTTGCATGCATCTCTTCTTTCTCATTTATTAATTCTTTTATATTTTCCCGTAAATTATTAACTTTTGAATCCAAACTCTGTCTCGTCTCTCTACAACGTTTGACTTCTTCTTCTAAACGTTCGACAGTTTTTTGAAGTTCAACAACATTTTCATTTAAACGCGATTCTTCACATTTCCCTTCCTGTAACTTTTTCTCTAACTCGTTTAACTCACTTTTCTATATGGGGTAAAGAAAGTATCGCATTATTTTTTTTTAAATATTATGTAAATATTCATTTCTAAATAAATTACTTACAAATAAAGCGATAGAGGCGGTTTCGTTTGATTCAATTTCTTCTTTTAGGTCATTAATCGATGCCTTGCACCGATTCTGATTAGCATTAAGTTTTGTAATATTTTCGCTGACAGATATTAACTCGGCCCTTATACGTTTCTGTTTTTCAACAAGTGTGCCATATGATTGCATCGCCATTTGTTTTTCATTTTCTACAGTAGAAATCTCTTCTTCCAATGCACTATTTACACAAGAAACCATCAGAGTATAAATTTAATAAAAGTATTTGGAAAAATGAAAGAAAAGAGGGAAAAGATCATACTTGATTGTATCTCTAACAGAAACTTGAAGAAATTTCGATTTTAAATAACGTGGTCCGCCGTAGGTCCTATAATGTGGATCAGGATAAAAAGTGTCACCTTGTTGAGTGAAAGCTCTTTTACAATTTCGTGGTACTTTAGATGAGTCTGACATTATATCAGCTGCTTCCGTACTAGTTGAAATTAACATGACACATTCAACTTCGCGTTGATCAATTAAACAATTGGTAACAACCGGATCTGATATATCCATTATGTTTAAGAGATTAGAATAATTTGGTGAATAAGTACAATGAGCACCAACATCATGGACCTAGATACAAGTGTACGTTTTGACAGAGTACATTGTATTTGAATGTTCTATAAAACTCTACTTACTTTATGATAAAATTTACTGCATATGATCTGCGGTGTTTTATCGTTCAGGTAGATTTCTTTCATAATTCTATTTAATACTTTGGCATCGTAACTATTATCTACACAGAATGTACTAAAAGTATCACTTCCTAAATAATTTTCCACCGCGGGAGCCCACGTTGGATCTTTTATTTTTATGTATTTTCCTAAGTACAGATAAAACATGAAATAAATTGAAAAAAATTACCGAGTCGGTTAGAATGAAACATATTTTACCGAGAGGTCCGCGTGGCTTTTCTTTAAACTGTCCGCTAGCATGTTCTTCATCGATTCTTCTCAATAAACGTGGTATATGTCGACCGAAAACGGTCAATGCATTATCAGAACACTGTTTCCTTGCACTTAATTCTCGTTTAATTTTTTCTTGAATAGAGTGAAATGATTTTAATCTTACAGTGATCAGGATGTAAGAATTCTTAACTAACAATAGCAATAATGTAATACTTACGCATACGATTTTCACAACTGTTAATTTCAAGCTTTGAACTTTGAATTTCTTTTAGAAGACGCATTTCATCACTTTCTAATTGCATTTTGTAAGTTTTCTTAGTCCGTAATAATGCTTCCACCTCGTTTAGCTTTTCTTGAAAATTTGCCAATTGTTGTTTCATTTCGTTTCTTTTATTTTGCTCTGCATTGTCACCGCTATAAAATGAGAAAATACACGTAGAAACATTAAAAATAGTATTACCATTGTAGAAATTATAAATAGTGAAACCTTTCTAATCGTTGTATTTCTTTTTGGATCATCTTAATATCATCCTCAAATCGTTTTATTTTACTTTGTATGCTACGCCACTCGTGTACTTTAGTGGCATGCGTATCTTTATTCACAGAGTGCTCTTGTCTCACTTTATTATACGCTTCAGAACTATTACTAATTTCACGCTCTGCTTGTTTTATTTCTTGCTCCAATGTTCTGTAGAATTAACATATCATAATATGTTACTCTTTTATACTTAATTACTAATACGTGTAATTGTTAAAAGTTCATACTGAATTTTCTTATTTATTTCTTCCTCTTTTGCTTCTGTAGATGATTCAGAATCTTGAAGTTCTTTTAAATTATTCTCACAAGTTTTGAAAACTTCCTCAACTTTTTGGAATTTTTTTTCCTCCCTTATAGCCTATATTAAAAATGATACATTTTATATTATGTTATATTAAAATTTTCATGCATTTATCACTTACAATGGCCCAAAGTAATTCCATATCAAGATTAACGACTTCATCGCGCAATTTATCAATTCCCTCTGCTCTCTTTATATTTTCTTTAAGTTGCTCCACTTCGTTTCTTGCTTCAGACAAAGTCTATGTAAAATTTTTATTAATATGTTTAAAATAAAATAATTATTTCCGATAGTATAATAAGAAAACATACCTCATTGTACTGTTGTAGCTTTCCATATTCCTCTTGGCACGTTAATTCAGCTTCTTTGTAATTATTACCAATTATATCTAAGAATGTTGCTTTCATAAAGAGTTCATATTTTTCTTCAGATTTGGAGGATACCAGGAAAGTTCTTGATATGTCTTGATTCAATATAGCAATAGGATTATCTATCTGAATATTCATGGCTCTTAATATATTATCTAACTCGTTTCGTTTTGTAGATACCACATCCCCTGTTATAAATGGCTTGATATTAGAGATGCCCGAGAACCGGATGATCGGGATGGGAGGAGAACTGATCGGATCAGGTTGGATGAAAACAATATGAAGAAATTTTGTAAACCTTTCCAATTCCTTATTTTGTAAGACGACGCACTTCCAATATTACGAGTAACTGTTATCGAATCACCGTAAATATCTGATTTATAAGCCATAGGACCTGTGTTAAGTAACATTACTTCAATTATTGCCGAGTTCTTCCCCTTCTTTATGAAATCTATAAATGAAAACATTAGGTAGGTACAGATGAAATTATGAAAAATCTTAAACTATTAACAATAATCATACTTTTTACAGATGCCCCGCGACTAGTAATATTTGCTCTTGCACCAAGGCCGACCGTCAATGCTGTTAATATCGCACTTTTTCCGCTTCCGTTGCGACCAATGATAAAATTTACATTTGGATTTAATATTACTTCCAGGGCATCATGGCACATAAAATTTCGTACTAGAATTTTTTTTATTTTGCCAGTTTTGCACTGTAAAGTAAGATGAAAAGAATATGTAATTAGTAATATGAAAATTTTGTATACATACAACAAGTTTTTAAACTTAACTAAATAAAAGTAATTCCAAATACTTACTTCTTTCGTAAAATGAAATGCATCATCTTTTCCTCTTGACCGTTTTGAAGGACATTCTTCTGTTCCTCCAGATTTCCTTTTTGTTCTACTTCTAACATCATTTGCCATGGTTTTAAAAGTATAATCTATATACAAATTATATACTTTGTTTAAACAATAGTTTAAGCTTCCACAGCGAATAGATACTTGTTGACTTTAATATAAATTACCTTAACTTAATATCCAAATATTATATTGCTTCATAAATGAAAATATGGCAACTGCTTCCTACAGAACTGATAGCTTCCAACCTATGACAAATACTGTAATTTATCAGTTACACAGCATGATTCATATTCATTTTTTAATAACTTGTTACAAACTAGGAGGTTACAATGATAAAACATTGTGAGAGTCGTTTCTATTCAGATATCATTATCTAAAATCAATGAAGTAACATGAAAAACATTCTCAATTTCATATCAAATGCTTAGATAGTAGATAAATGCTTGGGATAGATGTTGAATTGTCCTTGATTTTTTGATAGAAATCAATTGTTACCGAAACTTTTGTCATTATAATATGTTAATCATTTAAAACAATTGATTTTTTAACTATAACTTTCTCTGTTTCATGAATAATACCGGCTTAAAAATTAATATACTTACGCATAAACTTTTCCCGCCACGGAACAGCACCATTTTCTTTTTACGTCTTTACATTCATTATACTCAAAACGAAGTAGATACACGATTAACTTCATACTATTCTTCATTTCAACCAATCGCATTGAGATATTATTACACAACAGAAATTCAACATCCAATCAAAGAAGATTTTCAAAAATTCAAATTAATATAAAAGAAAGTCATGATTTTATGACTTTGTGTTTTTTTTTACCATTCTTATTGAATTTTATGTAAATGTATTATTTGTTACCCTATGATACATTTTATTCGTTCTGCATGTATTATTATGCAATTGCGGAACAAAATGTTTGCACTATACAGTTTTGGAATTGCATTATAGTTGTTTCATGTGTACATAAGTTGAGCACCATTCAACATCTTATGGAATGCATTTCTCCCCACTACTTGTTGCACAGTGCTTTAAAATTTGAATTGTTCGTTAGTACGGTTAATCCTGGTACGTAAATAGGTTGTATGCCATCGAAAATTGACGTCATTTATTATACAATGAACACAAATTTATATATAATTACAATCCGTTGAGTAATACAACTTTCTGCATTATTTCAGATCCGCCTTGTATCGTAATTCCTCTATTAACTTAGAATTGTTCGATGAAATGTGAAAACTTATCAAAAGATGAGCGATTCTGGAGATCATGTTAAATACAAATGGACCCCCGAAAGTACTGCATTGTTAGTATCAGTATGGTCAGATAGACAAGTGCAAAAACAACTTGAATATGCATCAAAACCGCAGCTCATTTGGGAAAGTATTGCACGGTATATGAAAAAAAAAGGATATAACGTTTCTGGTAAACAATGTCGATCCCGTATGAAACAAGTTCTGGTCTGTTACCGTGAAGCTAAGAGAGCTGGTACTCGAGCTGGGGTAGAACAATATTATGAATCGATAGATAGAGTTCTGAAGAATAAACGTATGGAAGGAAATAACATGAATGGTATAGACACTGTAGGTAAGCTGTTTTAAGGATAAGGACTACTATTTATTTTACCTTTGCATTTTAAAATTATTCAAGAAAAGTAATTGATCTTTTCTATCTTTTACTAGACGCAACAATGAACGTAAAGTCTCCATCTAAAGATGCAAAAACAAACAAGAATTTGCAAACAAGATATAAATATCAAGAGCCTATACAATCATTCCATCGTACTGAAGCACTATCACCCACTTGGACATTAACACGTAACAATTAATTCGTTGATTAATACTATCATTGATAAGGAAATATATTTTAAATACATATTTTACAGGTGAAAATGAATATCCAGATTCTCCTGAATCGAACGAAACTGTAATAGCTCGACCATATAGGGTTTTCTCTCCTACAAGAGATGTAGCTATTAACACTGGTGAACAATTGACTCAGGCAATTGGTAAACCAATCCAGCGTAATTATTTGTCTGAAGAACCGGTACAAGCAACTTATAAACAAAACTTTTTATCTAATTACGGGTACGGAGAAATACCCTACCAGAATACAGTACAAAATGTGCAGAATCAAATAATTCAAGAGAACATGCAGCAGAATCAAATAATTCAAGAAAATATGCAACAGAATCCCAATTTACAACGAACCTGTATGCATAATCAACCGAATATGTTGGTTAACAATCTAAATCATCCGCAAAATTTTAATCACGGCTTAACAAGCCAGTCTATGGATGTTCCCGTACAAATTAGACCAGCAATGGTACAAAATCCTAATTTAGAACATATAATTCTACAACAAAATCAATTACAACAAGTAAATAATCGTGCGATGCCTCAGGAGCCTAAAAAAGTCACGTTTGGACACAATTTAACAAGCACGTATCAACAACAGTATGGCAATTTAATAACTCACATGCCTGTTGTAGTGAATGCAAAACAAACCGGCTCGTTATCCCCTGATTATTCACCAGATGTATCTCAGAATTTAAACGATGCTTTCTGTCAGTCAAAAAGTACCGAGGAAACAGATAACTTAAACGAAACCTATAACAAATACGTACAAGTGCCAAATCCTTTAACGGTACAAACTCCTGATGTTTCTGTAATAACCAACAACGCGACATGTAACGACGACAGCTTATTAGAACTTTTAATAAATTCACCGACTCCATCAGAAATTGATAATAAATCTAAGGATACTGCTGTTAACACGGATGATATTCCGTACGTTCCATTAAGGAAAAAGAAAGTACAAAAGTTAGAGCAACTTGTGTTAAGTGCTATTAATTCTCAAAACGAAGTTGTTAATAAGGTAAGATACAAATTATTTCATTTCTTGTTAATTTAATTAAACAGATCTTTGATTGACGTGACGTTGTTTCAGATCCTTACTGCCCAAAATGATATGGTAACAAAATTCTTAGATATAGACAGAGATCGTCAGAACAGGCTTGAGAACCGTTTAGATGATCTATTAAAGGTAATTCATAATTCTGCACAAATGAAACAAGCTTCAGAGGTAGATATTGGACTACCTCCGGTGCCTCCAGCACCACCAGAGCCTATGATAACATCTTTGGTACCTCCTCCAAAACCAGGGGTTGCTCCTCCAAAGTTGGATTTGGTACCCCCAAAACCATGTAGGGTGCCTTGTACGATGCCTAATTCTAATATTGAATTAATCAATCAAAACCCCATAGCCACTAGGCCTGGTGTAGTTTCGCCCATAACCAGTCCAGTAAAGAAGCCTGGCACTATATGGTCAAAATTAGGACCGGTATCACAGTCCCCTTTCGTGAAAGCACAGCAACGCTTAGGCTTTCAGCCTGTCTCGAATATGGATACTCGTACTCAGTCCTCTGCAGAAAGACGCATAGCTAGAGAACTGGACAAGGGTATGGATACAGAGACTCTATTGTACGAGACGAAAAAATTCTTAGAAGCAGAGAAGGAATTAGAAGAGAAGATAGAAAATGCTCGTCGCGAAGCAGCAATGAGTCAAACGTTAAGTGCTCGTAGGAAATTATTTACACAAAGAGAGCCGACTACAGCGATGATACTGACCGCAGCTTTCTTGGAGAACGAATGTCGCGTTTCAGAGCAAGAATTTGCGAATTCTTATGATAGAAATGATGGAAATATGAAAAATACCGATGATGATTTATTAGCAGGACAAGGGGAAAGCTATGAACGTTTGCGGCAATTAAGTATTCGACCTAATTATGTAACTAGCGAACCTTGTAATACATCTACACCGGCTAAACCTGGGACTGTTTCTAATAATAATAATGGAACATCTGCACCACCGAAACAGACGATCCAGCAGTTGGCTCAGCTTGTAATGAATACAGGAAGGTGGAAAGATACTGTTGTGGTAAGTGAACAACGAAACGGTAGATATGAAAATCAGATAAATGCACAGGAACATCAGGATACGCGTCCTGTTGCTTGCAACAGGACATTCACTTTGCCAGAAAACAGAATTCCATCGAGAGAAAGTCAAATGAAAACTGATGAAAATCATATTCAAGATTGGATAAACAAGGCAAATGATCCCAGAGCGCCGTACAGTTCTTCGTCCAATGTAACAAATCAGAAGCCTAATTTTCCTGTAGGTTTTACAACCACGATGTTGGATACTGGAGGTTTAAAGAACAGGGATTCAAATACTGAAACGAATAAACCGATTGGGTTCAATAGTAACACTGTACCGTATCGTAAACAAAATGTACGGTTCATGGATGATTTGGCTGAATTACAAAGGATGTACTTTGAAACGGTTTACAAACAGCAGCAAATGAATGATAGTTTACCTTACGTAGTGGGTAATGATCATATGCTTTCGCTTCAGAATCAGCAAATGATTGAGAAATACACCCACGAGGTAAAACAAAAAAGACAGTCTAAAGATACTGACTCTGACAATGATGAAGAGTTTTTGGATACTACTACCAGTATGCCTCCAGTTGTTTCCCATCGAGGTTCCCTCACCTCAACTGGTACGGTATCTACGGAAAACGCGCATTCCATTAAATTTCCAAAACCAGATAATTGTGTGATTAGTTAATCATACAAGTATGATAAGAAAATTTTGATACTATATGTGCAATCAATTTTGTTTGATTATAATGAAATTGTTGGATAACTTTCTTTAACTGTATTTTCACATTATCCTGACTCATATTTTAATACTATTAGATAGTTTCTATAGAAATTTTACTATTTTAACTACATTTGTTGATTGCAAAATATTAATTTTTGCCTTACCGAAAGGCAATGGATACGTTTGATTATAATTATTCGTTAAACTATGCAATGAATGTTACAAATATTAAGTATTTTCATAGAAACTTTTTACTTTATACGTGTATTATACTACTAAAACTTACGCTTTTAATAAAAATTATTTTTTGTTAATTATTGTTATAGCTTATAAATTTTTATAAGAATTTTAAGATAGAACTGAATTTGCTTACTTTTGAAAATAGAAAAAAAATGCATTAAACCAATTTTGTTGGATTTCAAGGGTATGTCGGTTTCCAGGAGCGTCAGATTTTATGAAAAATGTTGATGATGCTGTAATGATAAATAAATTTTTATTTGTACTCTTATGCATGATGAATTATTGAAATTGATTTTTTATATAAATCTATACCTTCAATAATCCCAATTAAGATGCGTTTACATTTATGTAATATTAAAAAGCAATATTTTATTTACTTAAACTTTCGGTTCATTAACATGTCCTGTAAATAGTGTTGTTGCAGTTGCAGCATTAGAATCACCCTGAGATAGTTTAACAATGTTGTAGAAGAATGGTCGATCTACTGTAAACTCCATTGGAAATACCATAGCAAATGGTACTATCTGCACAGCTGTAAAAAAAAATTGTTGCATTATATGGATTAGTTTATCTTTTAAACGACAGTTATGAACGTTCCTTTCAATTTTTGTTGTTATGACAATTAATTCACAAGTACAATGTGTAAGTAATAGACAAACACTAGGACAAGACATAAAGACAATGCAATATTTTGTACATCCATACACCCAATTATTGAAAGGATATGTTAATATACTATATTATTATCCAGTATAGTTACACGTAAATTATGGTTTAATAACGTGTCCCAAAAATAGAGTTATAACAGTTTCAATTTCTTCAGAATTTATGCACAAAAGGTATAGCCATGGTCGATCGACGCGCATTATCACAGGTGGAGGCGCGAATAATATTACGCTTTCTTCCACAGCTTCTAACTCTGAAAAAAAAAATTGAATTTTATCCCGAAAATTAAATTACATTTCTTTCTTACATTAAGTTCTTAAGGCGATTGAATGTTCGGTGAATTATTTTAATACAGACCCAGAGAAACGAAACATCGGTATTAGAATGTAACTTAAAATAAACCATTTATTTTCTTCTCCGTTTTAACGAGAACCTACGTTAACATTAGTTTTCTCTTTCATTTTTGTTCATAGTACATGTTACTAAATCTTTCCACTACCTTTTTACAAATCACCTTACATAAGTCCATCATTCAATGGTAAACCGACATATTTAATATATTATTATCCAGTATAATTACGCGTAAATTATGGTTTAGTAACGTGTCCAGAAAATAAAGTTATAACATCTTGAATTTCTCCAGGGTTGGTTTTGGGAGTTCTGCACAAAAGGTATAACCATGGTCGATCGATGCGCATTATCAGAGGTGGAGGCTTGAAGGACAGGCTCGTTAGAGCAAATATTACTGCTGAAAAAGAAATGTAATTTTATCCCTTCAATTAAATAACATTTCTTTCTTACACTAATTTGTTAAGGCGATTTAATGTTCGATGAATTATTTTAATGAAGAAATAAACAATTTATTTTCTTCTCCGTTTTAACGAGAACCTATGTTAACATTAGTTTTCTCTTTCATTTTTATGTAAATTTTTCCACCACCTTTCTGCAAATCACCTTGCATAAGTCATTAAATATAAATTCGAAGAAAATATATATATAATAAAATAAAACATGACATTTTAAACTAACATGTAGACGATACACGTAAAAATTTACAATGTTAATAAAAACAGATGACAATATCGTTACTTATAAAACTAATAATACAATTCTTAATGCTTAGGTTCGGCAGTATGGCCACTGAACAATGTTATGACGGAGGATACTTTGTTTCCATCGTCTTTTGTGATTTTTATGATATTGTAATAAAATGGACGGTTAACAGTAAAATCCACTGGAAATTCCAAAGACAGTTTCATCATAATGGCACCTGAAACAAAGTAACCGTGAATCGCATGGAATTTAAAATCTCAGGTGTTGCATTTTTTAATGCGAGGTGAAAAAAGAAAAGAAAGAAAATAGCTTGAAGAGTGGTCTAAGAGGATCCCTATAACTTTATATATCTACTTCTCTCAATTTGAAGAATATTACTCTCTATCGCAAGTTGATAACATTATAGAAAAATGAATAATGGAGAAGAAACTTCCATAATATATTGATAAATGTTGCCTCTCTATAACTATAGATTTGCCAACTGAGATTAAAAAAGTGGAAAATTAGAGAAGTACAAATATGTTAAAAAAAAAAATGGATCAGTTTATTTTATTAAATGTTGAAAGTTCTGGTCATTCGCACGATTTTCAAATGAACAATCGACACTAAATATTGTTTAGTTCGCAACCTGTCTGACAAGTTTTATTAAGAGAGAAAGAGATTATTAAATCATCGAACATTGATAACCGGTGATCATCGCCAATCAAACAACTATTACTATTATACGAACGAGCATTGAACATCAATCTTTGCAGATCCTAAGATAGAATCCTCTTAATGATTTTCGTTTCAAGGAAATATCATTGCATCATATGTACAACATGCATAACAAAAAAGAAAAACAATTCAATTGCAAAAAAACAATTACAAAAAAAAGACGTACATACATATAGTCGAGACTGTACGTATATTAATCATAAGACGATACCTAGGCACAGCTTCACAGGTGGATACATTAAAGAGGAGTAACATTAATTATTAAAAGGAGTTGTTTAAGCCAACGATAAGTTTAAATTGTCATGGCACAGTAACGCGTCCTGTAAACATTTGCAAATTGATGTCTCCTGTTTTAAGGACAGCATAAAAAAATGGACGATTTACCGAGATTTTCGGTACTATCTGAATAGAAGGTGGCACCACAACCGCTCCTGAAACAACGACAACACATAACACACGTATATTAGTTGGAACATTATTTAGATCAATCCACGAAGAATGCTTTTCTTCCAGCTAATTATCTGGTGAAATAATTGAAATATATCGCACAGAAGATTAGTTAGAAATATACATCCCAATATCTTATGCACAACTATTTATTTTTATGCTCTACATGCCTGATGTATTCAATGCAACAATTTCTTAAGCAAAACACTTCATTATTATTATAAAATTTTATATATATATTTTTTTACTACTACTTAAAACCTTTGGTTAGTGGGGACTAGACTCAATTTTATTGTCTATCAAGGTACTTACCCAGATATGCCATCATCCTTCCGGAGGAATGATTGTACAAAAATTTATAGGGAAAATTATATTAGTTGACAATGAAATTTTATGCATATCTGGGTTAATGTGTTTATAAGGAAACGAACGCGCATAAAACAACTAAGGCAAACTGATAATTATTTAACACTGGGATCGTGAATATGTCCAGAAAATATAGAAATAACTTCTCTATCTTCGGTTTCTCGATTATCAATTAATTTGACGATATTATAGAAAAATGGACGGTCAATCATCATCGTTTCCCTGCCGTGTGTCATACATCGTGCTTCGATATGTACTCCTGGAACAAATTGTAATAATGACCGGTACTAATGAAACTTGGATAATGCTTAGGAAAAATATTCTTTTGCATTCTACCATTAGTGCGTTATGATTAAAATGTTGACCTTACTACATGTATAAACACGAAAAAAAGATGATAAATACCTGTTGACGATGGGAATCAGGATTTTATATGAACTTTCATACCCTTAAAGTTGTTTCTTTTTTATTATTATATTATTGATTAAAATAATCACTTAAAAGCGTCAAATTACAATAAATTCATTCAGAAACGAGTTAATTGTTAGCCAAGCTGTGATATCACACCAACGAACAAAGGTACGTTATTTTGAAGAATTGCGAAGTAAAAGGGTTTGTCAATTTTAAACTCTGGTGGAATCGGGGCAAGACCTGGAGCAATCGAATCTAACATCATTCCTAAAAAGAATTACACATTATACACGAGCGATCGTGATTTTCTTTTTTCTAAATTGAACATTACTTAATGAAAGACAACGCTTTTCAGTTGTCTCAGCAAGTATTTTCAAGTTATTCTTACATAATTTTTCTGTGAAACATGTTTCACTCAGAGTGATTAAACTTCAAATCCATTAGATGTTAGGAAATTATTGTTACATAATAAATATGAGTTATAGCAGAAGAAAAATAAATTATAAAATAAAGTTTGATATTTGTACATGAAAAAATCCAATATTGTTTAAAAGAAAACCACAGAAAACATATTTGGCATTTATATAAAATTCATTCATGAATGATTTCAGTGAACACGTCGTTGTTAGCATTTGTTGAATGTTTACTGATATCATTCACGTTTGGGCTCTGTATAAACACGTAATACAGAGATATCTTTTTGTTGACATTATCAAGGATGAAAATAGATAACCCGTCAATAGCTCAATGTTACATCGTTGTACTTGTAACTTGTTACAAGTACCTCCTTCGATAAAGTTACTTGGTAACTTTGTACACCTTAGTGAAATGCATATGAGTAACGACAAAGTTTTGTTTTCCATATAAAAAATCATTTATTAAAATCAATTTTTAAAACTGGCAGACGAATGGCAAGATAGTGCACAATACGAGATATTATCATTGGCCCTAAATTGATTTGGTATCGCGGAATGTAAAGAGACGTAGAAATCGAAGTGTCCAAAAAGTTGTTCGTGTAAAATGATTAATAATTATATCGTTTAAAATAAAAATACGAACACTACGACACAGCTCTTGCTATAAATATAATAACATTGTGGTATTTAATAATCAACAGGAAGGGTCGATTGACGCAGAACTCAATGGGCTTCGGAGGTGACCAAAAGCTCGAAAGAGGCCTTACACTGAGACCTGCCACAAGCAATTAACAGTGAATTATTCACTTGAACCGTAAGCACAAATTGCATGGGAGTAACATTGGATAGGTCGTTACTATGTGCATTTTAATTAAAACTACTGAATTATGTTATCACACAACCAGGATAAGAAGAGGTAGTGTGCATAAGACATATGCTAGCGTGTAAGTGGCTAGGATATAGAACTATAGAAGATGCTGCACATGGATCCCTCTGTCCTTGTTAAAAAAGTGATAAATTAACAATTTAAAAAATCTCGTTTTTCTTCACCTCTCTTCCTCGGTTTTGTCAAGGACTGTAATAACTGATGTTTAATACGTGGTCGTTAACATATTTGATTAGATCACACCTAATCCTTTCCACTTAAATCCTTTACTGAATAATTAAATAACTTTGTTCTCAAACAAGTGTGTTAGAGAAGTGATTTAAACAATTTAATATACTTGCCTATGTATGTACAAAGACGATTATTTTTAACACATCAAACAACTTGAAACACTGTACAATAAAGCAATAAAAAAGCAACAGATACGATACGAATTTATCGACAATGTAAAAAAATGTATTGTAACTCATGCATTGACATGACAAATTTGTATGGAATGTAAGGGTATATGTGTAACAGATCTACAGAGGTGTAAATTGTAAAAAGTTGTGGAATATTATTTAAAAGCACAGAAATATTGTAAATTAAGCAAGCCATTAAACTATGCAAAATATCATTTCAAACATATTATTTTGAAAATGAAGAAAAGTGTAAGAATAGTACAAAGAATAAAAAAGTTTAGCGTTGTAAAGATAAGAAACATAGCTATGGCAATTTCTTTTTAATGACCTATGATGTCATGGCTGATGATGATTGCCTGAGGCTCAGCCCACAGGTAACAGTAAATTGTCCACCACTTGAAAAGTGCTAGCTGTGCAGATTTAATCTAGATATACATAAATTTGAACTTCGAAATTTTTTTTTAAATTACACAACGTTTTCATGTTTGAAATAATACTTTGCTTAAATAGTACTTATGTAATTTCTACATATGTAGAAATTACATAAGTACTCAAAAAGAGAAGAAGTTGACTTACCAGTAGCGGCAGCAGCTTCGCTTCCTTCTTCGTTCACTTCGATAAAAGCCTTTTGTACAACCTTACTAACAACCAGGTCGGCATCGGCGATACCAGAAAAGTTGGCTTTTGAAGTAAACATATCGGTTAGGCCCAGCTGCGAAAACCAAAAATCAAAAATGTAAAAAAAAGATATTTTAGAGTTTTGTACTTACATTACAAAAATTGAGTTAACTTACCTTATTTAACGGTTCGTTCAGCTCTATTTTACTTTCAATTTTAAACTTTGGTAGATACAATTCTACTTCGCGTTGATGTCCCTGATGTAGGATATCCATAATATTTGTATTTTGTAATTTTTTTTCAACCTCTGCCAAACCATTGATTTCATTTGGAAGAATTATGATCATACTCAGTTCATCGTCCTGAATGATTGATTTGCTTATTATTATAGATACAACGAGAATACCAACAATAATAATATATTAATCTTTTATTAAATTACCTTGTATGGCAATAGGACGAATTTAGCATTCAAATTTGAAAGTTCACCATATAGATAGGAACCTGATCTGAACATTGTGGAGACATTTTTTACCGTATTTTCATCGACATGGAATGGTCTTTCTTCAGTATTCTGAGGATCAAATTTATCTTGCCACTGACCCTTAAAATATACTGCATTTACAAGTACCATTGCTGTCATTGAATTCAAATCACCTATTTAAAATAAAATATTATTAACAAACTTCAAGTTATTTTGATAGTTTTTGTTATTGATATTAACGACATTACTAACCAGGGTTAACAATTTCTTTAATACGGTCATTTGTATTTTGTTTAACCCATGTGTTAATAGTATTGGCAGCTTCTTCAGATTTAGCAAAGTTTACTAGTTGAGTAACAGAGTGAAAATACTTCTCTGTTAACTCAATGTAAGCTGGTTTAACAGAGAATTTCTCAGCAGCAAAAACTTTATTAGCAAGAAGAAGTTTAGCCACTTTAACATTCTGTAATGAAATATATGAATAATAACACGCAATAAAACTAAAATTTGAAATAGGAACAAATATTGATACCTACATTAAGATCATCAATAAGTGATTGATAACCAGATGTACCTAGAGTATCTGGTGATGGAATATGAAGTGCTTTTTTTAATTGTTTTTCTGTTTCACCACGAGCTCCAAATGCAGCCATAGCAAGAACAACAGCTGCACTAAGAGGAGACATTATAATATTACCATGATTTTCCTCTAGCACGCACTAAAAAAAAAAGGTTTATATTTCTATAAATAATCTATTTCTATTAAAATATCTTAAAGCTATTATTGCATTTTTTCACCTGAAATAAGGAGGATGAAAATTGATTTATTCCTTCCGAAACAGCGCGAAACGCTTGGGTGTTGTTTTCTGCTTTTGCCATTGTTAGTAGAACAAGGCACACGCTCAAAAAACTTTTCTTTACTGTAAACATTCATTATTAATAATTCAATGTAGTAAGGAATGATGTAACAATCAAATATAATTTTTAAGCATAACTGTGTTATCTATGTTATATAGTATGTCTATAAAATTAGGTGACATAATTATAATATCTTGAATGAAAGGTAGAAATAAAAATATTGACATTTGATAAACATAAACAGATAAAACAAGAAACAAATATACCTTTTAACCCTGCAGTAAAGTGAAATGTATGTGTAGGTAAATTCTTATCTTTTGAAGTAATTTTTACATTGTAGATCACTTTACAATTACAGAAAATGACTTCCATAAATTGTTATCACAGTCAAATACATACATGTTACTTTACACATTAGTACATAATGTTTTATATAATTAAATTCAATCTGACCCAGTGCCTTATACTTAAATATATTTTCAATTTTGTATCCAATAATAAAGACATTGTTATGGATCAAAGTAATCCTAAATCACCCTAGATCGACCATCCGTCTTTCGAGGGTTAATGTTTTCGTTTGTAAGTAAATATAATATTACATATCAAAATTTCAATTATGGAAAAAAGAAACTGTAATCTTGAAACGATTAAACAAGGGAAAAAAGCATGTAACAGGCTCATCTATATATATATATAAATATATGTGTATATATATACAGGTTCAACATTTCCTCTAAACTCTCCGGGGAAAACCCGTTGACGTTTTTACAGAGTCTTGTTACTTATGTATGTGTATATGTATACAATTTAATTAACAAGCCGTGAAATCGGAGATATTTTGTCAGCAGATAAATTCACCAGTATATACTCAACCCATTTATAGAAACTTATTAGACAATTATATGATTTTAATAAATTTTCATATATAATTTTCCATTATAATTATAGCATTCACAAAAGATATTGTATGAATTTTATAATGACTAAACATACAGTTTTATTATAAAATATTTCAAATTATACAATAAAAAATGATACATGAGAAGATTACCCATTGATAAAGAATTATCTCTATTTCAAACTTCATATTTCATTTTCGTATTTGTATCATTAAATTAGAATCAAGCATCAGTAATCCTTTATCAACATATTATAAGTACAACTAATATTTGAATACTCGAATATGCAGACTGAATACATTATAGTGTCTACTACGAAAATCTATGTAGCTTGAAATGGATGGAATATACATAATTTGTCCTGTTATTTTTTTTGCGCCTTATGACGTGATCGAATGGAAATACCAAGACGTGCCGTTTATTTCCTACATACAATACCACATAACTTACAACGAAAAATTTCTCGTTTACACATCCTTGAACTATGATCACGTTTACTTTGACGCGATAAATATGCGCCACGCTTATTATTGCAGCTACCAATTTTTGTCAGAAGAAATAGTATAAGAATGTTTCATTGAAAAATCTATCATTTTAAATAACAGATCTTCATCAAATTTAAAATAAATTACAGGCTTATAGAAAAATTGTTATTTCCTAAAATATTATTGAAAAACAAATATTATCATTGAAGATAAAAGATAATCTAGAAATAATGTATAAAGAGATGAACGAACACCAATCCATTAAATCTTAATAAAAATATAAGTTATTCAAATTTCAATGTCAATAGAAATTATGGTTAGCAAACAGCAGAATACCGTTTTGAAGGATTTCTAATTTACATATTTAGGTCATTCGATCACTTCATCGAAATTCTATATTTAAGCTGTATTTATAAGTTACATTTTTCAAAATATTACGAACAAATTACGTATAAATTTTCTACGAGCAAAGATTGGTCCCAGGATCATCTGTCGTATTAATAATTCTTCACGCGAACATTTACTTACATATACTCATACTGCAATTACTTTATTGGACCACGTATTCTTCTTCGGCAGTCAAACGTCGACTGGAAGAACAGGCAACAGACTGAATATAAAACCTTGATAAAGAAGTTCAGGGAAATCCTAGCAGTTGAAAGAATGGGCCTACCAAGGATCGGTAGCGAGTGAATAACCAATCAGTAACCGCGTATTCGATCGCAACAAATAAATATCTAAATTTTGAATCTGATTGGTTCTTGATTAATAAAAAAAAAAATGTAAATATAAACAGACGGATGGTTCGAGCAGCGGTATTACCAGCAATAACTTTCCGTTCCTCTTTTCTTTGAAGAGCAATGTTTTTTCGATCGTTTTAATTACACAGAACATAAATAAAGATAATGTATTATATCTTGTGTAATATACTATTTTTTCATGTTTGTTTTATTTGTTATTTCTTAGAAATATATCGTCAATCCTGTAAGAAACAAATACGATATGCACATTTAGATACATGTGTTATTTTCTTACCAAATTTCAAGATATTATTACAGGGTACATATTCTTAGGTTTTTGTACATTTTTAATCGTAAACAATAGTAATAAGTATTATATCTCTGTCCTGTTAATCGGGACATATCATACGTATTTATACGTGGCTCGTACAGTATGTGTCACAACGGAATTTTAGTTGTGAACGAATTAAAAAGTCATATAATTCGTAATAAAAAAATATGCTTACTGAATTTTAAATGTTGGAAACAAATCCTGATACTCCCGCGCAGTTGATCAGTGTTATCTCTTGGATAAGATAATCTAGAACATCTACTTCTTGCAATACAGCTGAAGATTCGTTGTTGCCACTTACACACCTAACAAACTACAATGATATGATTACAATAGGTACATATATGTTACTGGCAATTCGATAAATCGATACATTCGACAGATCGATCAATTTAAAAACGTGAAGTTGGGTACAAGTCGAAATATCCACGCACGAACGTTAAACAATTCTTTCAGGGGCCAGCGGCTTGTAAAATTTATTGAAATAAAGACAATACCGTTTTTTTAAACTTAGCATATATGGATTTTTGGAACTAAGGAGTGGGGAGGGGAAGGGATTAATATTTGTACACATTTCATAATTCTATTAAAAACCAACATATGTTTTAAAAAAAATTATTTAAATTTTTCTATACATGTAGCAATAAAATCGTAAATGAATCTGGCAATCTAGTGTTAAGGAAGTCTATTACAGATTTAAGAATGGGTACCACAGACTGTACTTAAATTCTCAAATGAAACTTATGATACAAAAATGAGTTAACATTAATGCAAAATTGATACAATTTACAAATCATCGATATTAATGAACAACAAACAATATATCAAGAAATAGAAACATTTTACCTGATGAAGTGAAGCAGCTCAGCCTTCACACTTGAAATCGTCTGTCTATTGGGCGCGGCTGGTTACAAAACTGCGCTCTACGCACCCACGTAAACGAAGATACAGTATCGATAAGATTGGTTCTAAGATTCCTAAGGCATATCTAGTTTTATTTTTACACCAGGAAGAACCAAGGCTGCTCTCAAATCTTAAAGTGCAATTTCATAAAAGATACGTATTATTAGTTACTGATAAACTTTAGGTCATAGTTTTGTAATTTTTTATACGTTATACTTACCATATTCTTCATTCGAACCAATTTTTATGCCTTTTCAAAATATCCACGATCAATAGTTATACCACGCAAAGTTTTATTTTTATCGCAACATTTCTCGTGGTTCGGATTTTTCTGACAAAGTTCGCAACCACATATTGGTTCACGTGGCTCTTGAGGACCAGGTGGACAAGGTAGAGGCTTCGGTTTTGTTTCGCAACAGCACGGCGCACAAGGATCCTGTTTATTATGCATACTTTACTAATTTTGCAATCAAAAATTACTTAAGATTAACATTGTTATGAATGAAAGGGATCCTATATCCGAGCGTTGCGTCAGTCAAAGAGCATCCATCTTTTGAGGGATGGAATATTTAATAAATAAATCAGTACCTGCATTTTGATAAAACAACGAGGCTTAACAGGCGGATAAATTTGACCAGGAGATGTATATGGAGATGTTTTTGGATCTGTTTCTGAATCTGTTTTCGAATCTGTTTCTGAATCTGTTTTCGGAGCTATTCTTGGAGTTGCCGATGGATCGTCTGTACCGTCTCCTCCACTCTTTTCGCTTTCGCTACTTTCTTCGTCGAGCTTTTTCCTTTTTTGGGGACACGCTGATTTTATTTGTAAAGCAGTCCAAGTCAATCCAGAATTTACTAAGCAAATAAATTATATTATTTACGAAATAGATGAAGATAATTTACATCTTACAAAAATAGAAATTTTATACCACAATCGAAAATTTTATTGAACACTGATTTATATAAATCTGTGTCACCCATAATTTGATTAATTTTTGTAGAACAATCACTTTGAAATATTACAGAGTATTATCCATTTTGATTATTTCATTCATCAATGCATTGATAATTTTAAATGTTCTTAACCAAAATTGTAAACGTATTCAAAACTGATAACCACTTTTATATTTTAATTGATGTTCATATTCTACTTACGAATTTCGCACTAATAACTTGCAAGATCAAATTAACCTCGTTCAAATTAAAATGGTTGACAAACGTATTTTTTAAATTTCAATCGTAGCGCCATCTGTACGAAAACGGTTGAAACTACTCGATAACCAACGGTAGTCGGTAAATTGTCGAGGAGTTTCAGCCATTTTCGTATAGGTGGCGGTAAGATCGAATTAAAAAAATATTTGATTTTTCAAACAATTATTTTATTAACTTTTCGGTCTTGGACTAATTTTTACTGATTTCTAAAAAAATGGGAGTCAAAATTGTGTCTTTTCAGTTGTGAGTGCGAGGTATGATAAAAGAAGAACTGGTAAAAGAGGCACGACTGTCATAACAGTTATGCTCTGTACATGCAGAAATCATGATTTCTTGGACAAAGGCATGTCCATTATTCGTTCAACGAGAAACCATAAATACCTGTTTCGCGCAGCTCAGGTAGGCCCTCTAGTCCTTGTAGTCCCTTGTAGTCCTATACACGGTGGATGAGAATTTATACACAAACAAAGCAAGTGACACCTTCAACGTCGAAGAAGATACTGAATATAAAACCACCAGATACGCAGGTAAGTGCCACACTGCGCATGCGCAGAGAAATTATGGTTGAGCCAATCAAAATTAACATGCGCAGCATGAACAAAAACACGTTGTGTGACAGGTATGGTCTCTCGTTGAACGAATAACAGAATACATTTAAAATTATCTATAACTTATTATTAAAAATTAAGCAACAAGAAATGGATGATTATACAGTACCATTAGATGCTGAAACCGAAATGTTTTGTACATTGTATTTGTTTAAAAATGTGCAAAATTCTAATGAAATATGTAAAAAGGTTATGAGTGGTGAACTTCCTTGTTGCATTATAAAAGCATCGCTCATAGCAGATCCATTTCAATTAATAATAAGTTCAAACAAAGCTGCAATTAATGCAAAGATGAATCAACTTACTACGAAGAATGTATATAATGAAATTTTGTTCAATTTATCGATGTCGAAAAACATATCACGTGCCCTGACCGAATTCGGCATTAGCGATAGTGATAAAAACATATTAATAGCAATAATACACAAAGCGGATGAAAAAACAACATTAAATACAGTTATGAATACTATAAAAGGAGAAAAAATACCAGTGTCAAAATTACCTGAATATACAGATCTTGAATTAATAAAACAGACATACAAAATTGATAAAGATGAACTGAAGGTTTCTAGTTTAATTAATTCAATTGTATCTAGAATTAGTGGTAAAGATTTCATATTATTAAGATAAAATTAATAAATAAATATTACTGTATGTTACACACTTTTATTGACTGTATTTTGTAATTGTAGTATAATAATGTATGGTTTATATCAAAATTAATTATTATAAATCTTACAACAACTTAAAAACTATTTTTTTTTTCTTAGGTATTTAGTTCATAGTGTTCTTAATATCAATGTTATCATTTATGAGAACACAATAATTTACAAAGAACGCAAAAAGGATTTGATGAAAAGGAAAATTAGAATAGTTCAATCAAAAATACTTTTTTCTCTTTTATTCACTCATAAATAAGGCCAAAGATGTGTAGAAAACAATTGTTATATCCGCAAGGACACAGTATGCGTCAAATCCTGCGGAAGCAAAGTAGCAATTTAAGGATAATACCCTTAAATGCATACAAAAGCAATATAATATTGACAGTTTGTTATGTATACCTTGGCAAACCACATATTTCGCACATTGCAAAATCTGCTGCATTGAGAAAAGTGCAATGAGAACATGTCCAGAGTGTTTGATCGGGAGGTGGATTTGCCATTGGTTCTGTACCAACTCCTATTCCACTTCCCCCTACCAGTACAGGAGATGACATTCTTGAATTGCTATCAATGGATGACTGTGACGAATGCAATGTAGACGCTGTAGTTGCAGAGATAAGTTGTTCAACTGTTGCCCAATGTTCAGATCTTGCCCATTCTATTGCTTTTTCTTTATCTTTATTACGAACTGCTTCTAATAACGGTGTCATATGGTCCTACAGGAAAGCAAACATATTGTATCTGCTATAAAAATACACATTTTTGCAACATAAAAATTTAACATTGAAGATACCTTCATTGGTAACATATCCATTGTTGCGATAAACAGTAACAAATGGAAGTCTGAAGCTGCTTCTAGAAATTCATCTTGATTAAATTGTTGCATGTAAGAACAAAGTGAACTAAATTCCTGAACTTGTCCATCGACGAGCCTAAGATCAAAATGGAACTTATCATAATCTGTTATAATACGCTACACCGTTACATCCAAAATACGTACCTATTTTCAATTGGAAATGGAGTAATATTATCGCTAACATAAAAGGTAAATTGTGGAGTAAGTGGAGTAGATGCAGGTACGTCTACCAATAAATATTCTACTGGCAAAGGTCTTGCTAGCCTTGACACTTCATTTCCATACGAGTCTTTTTCCTATTAGCAACAAAACCAAGTAATTTTTTAGCCCTTCAATATATTTCTATTACGTTTAGTAAAAAATTTAGTAAATTTCATTCGAAAATATTTTAAAAAACCCGCTTCAACGTTGTGCATTAGGCCGGCCCTGACGAGTACATAAGTGGGAGGACTGGCTGGACCGTTTCATTGGTCGGTTCAAGCAGGTATAACGAGGCTCACAAGGAAGGATTATGAAGGCAAGTCCATAATGCTCGAGCTCGTAGCCATTCGAGAAATGCGCGCGCAAAGGTAGAAGCCGCAGACGACACCGGCACCGTTTGCCACGAGTCGGACTGAAAGTGCATAAGAAAAAGGAAGGAGACGAAACAGGAACACGGGATAGAGGGGGAAGGAAGAGGAGAGAGACAGGAGGATTCGAACATCCAAGTGGGAGAAAGATACGGGACGAGGAGAGGAGAGCAACAGCGTAAAGCGAGCAGCGCGCGCTGTGGTGTGTGTCGGTCGGTCGGTCGGTCGTCGCCGCCATGCTAGTGGTTAGTTTAGTGAACCAAACATCATGATGTGGCAAAACGTTCGCACGAGCTAAGACTGAAGTAACGCCGCGTTACCGGCGCGCCGTCGTTATGTTATCCATAATAACTCACAACGTTCGATAAGCGTAAACACGTAACGTGAATACAGTACAAAGAAAAAAAAGAAAAAAAAAAAAAAAGCTTCATATAAAAGCTCTAAAGCGACAGGCGACGACGAGAACGTCGGGGGTGCTCGATTACTGCGTGCGGAACCGCACAACACTACCGTCAGTCCCGATGTAAAAATTTAAGTCAAATTATAGATTCGAGCAAACGTAACCGAACCGTAATCATCGTCACGGTATACACACGTTAGGAGTGACGAGTGCCAACGATCAGCCTCCATCGCGCGGCAAGGAGACGATCACGAATCGTATACACGGTACGAAAACATTTACGGTTCTACAGTCGAGCGAAAGAAAGAGGAAAGAAATTTCTTCGTGTATATGTACGGTGTATACATGTGTATGTACCTAATACACTATGTACATACGCATACATATGTGTCCTCTGTGATATACTGCGTACATACATACGTATACGAATGTATGCGCATGCATGTTTGTGTATACGTGATAAGGAAAAATGTAGATGTTCCGAACGCGCGCGCGCGCGCGTATTGTATACGATTGTGACATAAGAAAAAAAAGGAAAAAAAAATAAAAGAAACGAGTATGCGTGCATGTGCATATAGGTATAACAGAAAAAAAAGAAAGGTAGAGAATTGACAAACGAGAACGAGAACGGTAGAGAAAAAAAAAAAAAAAATGCGTGCGGGTACAAACATTAAAATGGTACAAGCGAGAAGAAACTACATACAATACGCGTAGAGTTCGTGAAACAGTTTTTTTTTTTATTCGAACCAGACTTGTCACGAGTAGTGACAGCATAATATCGCGTACAGAACTTGACGATAAGCTGTAAGAATCCGTATAATCATACGAACGAAGGTTCTGTCGGTCGCATGTATCGGTGTCTGAAATGCTTTTGCAAAGAGATTTGATACCTTTACCCTTTCTTACTTGTTTCCCCGTTAAAATACCATTCTCACTAGGAAACGGTGAAATCCATGATATATCAACTGTTCCGACGTTCTTAGGTTTTGGCGGGACTCTGCACGCATGCGCGTCCCAATATGAAATGTCATTTTTTATGTTTAGTAGTGTTTAACAAAATTGTTGCATAATAAGTATAGCGTACTTATATCGAAGTGTCAGATACGAAGCTAACCTTTGGAAATAAGTGCACAGAGTAAATTGCATATTGGTGTGTACTTGAATGTCCACCATTGTAACGTAAATACGAGAGAAATGCAAGAAAGTAAAAATATTAAATTCGATCTTTATATTATTATATAGTTATACAAATAATAGTTTCGTCAAAATCTTTACATTTTCTTTATTTAACTTTCAACAGAATTTGACCTCTGCCGGGTTTTTTAAACTGAATTTCTATGGGAATGGAATAGTTAAGAAACGTAAATAGTATACTTATGTAAGCATTTCGTGTACTTGATTGTAAGGGTAACGACGAATCCAGTTAAACAACTCTCTTTTGTCGTATTTCAGATGCTGGATCCGAGCGTACTGACGGATTTAGAGGAACTGACGCTTTGCAGTTATTGCAAGCAGAAGTATAACGAGTCGGAACAATGCCCGAAATATCTTAGTTGCAAACATTACTTTTGCCTACGTTGCATAGAGAACAATTTGTTAAAGGGACGCGAGTTGTTTTGCGCGCATTGTTGGAAGAGGACCGAGTTGGGCGATCAAGGACCGGACGCTCTACCGACGCATTCTTCTCTCCTTGCTTTAACGAACAATTTGTCCCACTTGAAAATTACGATGAACAACACGTCTGGGAAGAGCAACGATAAGGAGAGAAAGGTGAGAGAGAAAAAAAAAAAATATGAAGAAATTCTGCTTATTTACATTGCGCCAGTACGTACGCGAATGACAAAGAAGAGCATACAGCTATGAAGCCCTACACCTTAGTTCAACTTCTAATAGTTATAATAGGATTACGTTACATACGTAGAGTCCGCGATAGTTAAATTTTTTAAAACAAACAGGAATTTTGAGTATTTTTGTAAAAAAAAATTTCAGAGCGAAAATTGTCACACGCACGGAATGCCTTTGGCATTATGGTGTGCGACGTGTTGCACGGCGCTATGTAGAGCATGCGCGACGCCACAGGAACACCCAGGTCACCAGATTAAATCGCAAACCGATGCCAAAGAACAACTCATATCCGATGTAAGTATTTTTCAACGTATATAGTAAGTAAGATGATGGCAAGGCATTGATGGTTCATTCGAATAGGTTCAGTTGGAGTTAGTCGCTATGGGAAAGTTATCAACGGAGATTCAAAGGCTGGCTATGCAACAACGAGAGTTCTTAATAAAAGTGTTGGAGGCGTGTGTTACGTTGAAGACTCACGTCGAGACTGATCTTCAGAACGGTTGGAGTCACTTTCCTGAGATAACGGACGCGCGTGAAACGCTTGGAAAAGCGAAAGCTAGTCTACAGATGATCGACAATCCCGGGGACGTGTACAGTTTGCATTCGCAGTTGATGATCGAGAAGCAAAGATTGCAATCGAAGCATCAAGAGATGATGTTACAATGCCAACTGGATGATTTGATAGGCAACTCGGGTGTGGTGTTCGATTTCGCGTTGTTGAAACAAGCATTGGCAGGAATTCACACCGGGGAACCGATAGTTTCCCAAGGAGCGAGCAACGGCGGTCGATTACCGAATCATTTGGCGGCCTCGCAAAATCCGATACTGTTCCTCGCTAATTATTGCATGTCGCAGCTATACTCGAGGCATGTAGTCAGCAAGCAACACATGCAAAACGGTTCTATAGAGTATCATTCGAGCATGATGCAGCCGCAGGCAGCTCCGCCGGGTTCGGTTCACGTGCACCAGGGTCCACCATCATCGGGAAACCCACAACAGCTTCTCATTCCGCCTGGTTCGCCGTCCGTTAAACCCGTACCGCCCGCACCGCCGAACGCGATCTTACATCCGCAACAGCAATCGACCTTCATACCGGAAGGGGTTGGTACCGGTGGCGGAGGTTTGGTAACCGTCCATTCGTCCTCTCAACCACCGTCCAGCGGAATAGCAGCGTCCCTCCGAGGGCCGACGAACCCTTATCCATTGTATTATTTTAATATCGAAGTTAACGGATCCCCGCACGGTCGCATCGTGATAGAAGTGAGGCCGGACGCAGCGCCGAAAATGGCGAAGAATTTTAGCGTGCTGGCTACCGGTGAAGTTGGAGTCGGTTACAAGGGTTGCACGATATTTCAGTGCTGGGAGGGTGAATCGGTGATCACTGGTGATTTCGAACTGAACAACGGTCGCGGAGGGAGAAGCATATTCGAGGACGGTTATTTTATGCCAGACGACACCAAGTTTCCTGCGGTCAGGGGTGCTGTCGGAATGCGAAGAACCCAGAAGCGCCACGATAATCTCGGTATGGTCGGTTCGCAGTTTCGTATAATACTGCAAGAGATGAGGGGTTTCACGGGGATATTTGGCCACGTCGTCGAGGGTTTAGAATTAGTCGAGAAGATATCTACGTTCGGCGATCAAACCGGGAAACCTACGAAAAATATTCTAATCACGAAATGCGGTAAGTTGTAACGATAATGCTGTTGCGGCTCGAGTATACCGAAACGTTATTAACGTTACTCTCCGTGTATACTTAAACGTTCTCCCGCTGTTAGATAACGATAAATATTTTAACCCAGTCACCACGGTATCTCCGGACGCGTCTTTAAATAAGGGATGCGCGCGGGTAGACAAATATATCGAGTACCCTATGTTTCGGGTATCTAAGCGTCCTTGATGTTTCATTCAATTGTAATCAGTTGTACGACGGTTAATCGCTGTTGTTACCGAGTTCTACAGGAGATACCGTCGTGACCCCGTAGGGCTCCATGAATCGCGATGCTCTCCATACGAGTCGACAGAATTTAATTAACTATTAACCAACCAGAATTCTAAAGATGTTGAATCTATTTTTAAAAAAGAAAACTGGGCACATAAGAGATGAATGAAGAAATAAAGATCCATATTTTCCTACTGATTGAGAATCAGTAAGATTCTGTATCTACAATAATTAACGATGATCGATAAATACGTACCTCAGATCGATCGTGATATCGATACGACTTCTAGCTGTACGATATATTTGTTTTAGAAGAAAAAAAAAAGGTTCGATGTTTATTTTCGCTATTGGCGTATTGCTACGTATATATATATATACACACACACATATATATATATATATAGTTGATAGAGGGATTCGCACGGGATTTAAGAGAAACGGCGTCGCCCTGTGAGCGCTGCTAATGTTTTAGATTAATAGATATAGTGAGAAAAAAAAGCATTAAAAAATGCGTGTAGATTGAGGAATAACGTACGGAAGATAGTGTGGGGGGAGGGGGGCAAACTCGTGGAGTACACGTATATACACGTATATACACGTATATACACGTTCATTATATTTGTAAAAAGAAGAAGACAAAAAAAAAAAAAAGATTCACAGAGAACTCGTACAAGCGGGAACTTATTTTTTTTGTTGTTTGTTTTATAAACCTCTAAATGCGTGACTTCGCGAAAAGTCAAAAAAATATCGTGATTCCATAATACGCAGGTCGTTTAGAACGTAAAAACCGAAAGAATTTCGTCGATGCGTAAGGGCCAATTCTATTTCGTCCGGTTAAACGGTCCCCGTTTTAAACGAATATCGCAAAAAGGAGCTAAAAGGGAATCGGTAGATGTGCGACGCGACGAATAACGAGTCAAGGAAAATAAAATTGCGGTTCCTATCGAACGACTCGACGGATACTTCTTCCCTTTTCGCTCTTTCCGGTCTAGTATACCGTCGTAAATGAACTGTATTTAAGATTTAGATCTCAACATGAAAATGTATACAAGGCCTAACTACTGCTAAGTAGATTTTTAAGCCTCGTCGTCTGATTGGAAAGAAAAAAAAAGAAAAAAGGCAAAAAACGAACGAATACATATTAAAACGAATCATTCCTCGATTACTGTAATATCGATAATACTACGATAATGTAATATCGTTAATGCTATTCGTCTGAGTCCTTGTAAATCCCATCGTTATGTATCATATTGCTATGTGCTCGTATGTGCGGAAAGAAAAGGAAGAAAATTGAAAACGCGTCGAAGAAAAAAAAGAAAAAAAAAAAATGAAGAATAATTAATAATAAAGTGTTCTGTAAGTCGGAGCGTATAAACAAAGCGCACTCACGTCACGTACCGTAGGAAAATTGCACGCCCTCGACGTCGCGGATGCCTTTTTCGAAGAAAGCCTCATTCGATGTTGAACTTGAAAGTTTTAACACTTGTTAATTAGCTAATATCGCGTGTGTTGCAATGGGGAATGGTATTGCAACTAAATTTAATCGCCGTTAGAACGTAACGCTGCGTAATAAAAAAAAAAAAATTGTACGTATGACGATCGAAGGGTGGTCGAGCTCGAATGAATTTCTCTCGTTTCGGTCGTACGTTGAAAACAATCGAAAAAAACAGTCTATACTTTCATGTGTGTGTGTGTGTGGGTGGGTGTGTGGGTGCGTCTGTCGGGTGTATGTAATGTGCGCAAATACGTATATAAAATTTATGTTTTACCGAAGCGAGCGAAGCTAGAAGCCCACCTGTATACATAAAATATCCACGCGCGCGCGTATTATATATATATATATATAACTACATATATTTTTATGAACGTGATGAGGTAACAACGCATAGCTTGTAATATTGATTCTAACAACCGACGGTTTACCTTGCCCCTCGCGTTCGAGTTACAACGGTTGAGCGGCTATAATTTTCGATAAGTTTTTCTCGTATCGTTTCTTTCTCTCCCGACTCTTTTTTTTTTGTTTTCTTTTCCTTTTTTTTTTTTTTTCTACTCCCTCGTTCACCAATTTTAAGTTAAGGGTGTAATCATTCATTATGTACGGAAAATTGAGATCGTTTCTTGTTTACGGCCTACGGAAGCGATCATATCCGTAGTGCATTTGCATAAACAGTTTTATTTTTTCATTATACACATGTACGAAATGAAGTTCGTTGCCCAATTAAAATGTAATCTATCGATTTTTGTGGGTTATAAACTGTTTCTCTTTCACTTTTCTGTGCGTGTGTCTGTCTGTATTTTAATGCACACCGTTCGCCTTCCTTCGTATCGTTATAATTATACGTCGTGTTCGATTTACAATCAGTATCAAGATCACTTAGACGCATCTTAATTTGGTAATAGAAAAGTAGTTGAATATATTGAGATAAAAAAAAGAGCGTACTTACCTTATAAAAAACATCCGGAACATACTGTTTATCTGATGATTCAATTACATAGCCCAATTCTGGCGCATCTTTCGTAGGAACCAAACAGCCATCCCGCACTAACGCCATACATTGATTAGATACTTGATAACCTTCCATGTGAACTTGATTCTTATCATCGCCTGTAATCATTGGCACACACACACACGGTACTTTAGTAAAATGATATATTACGTTTTACCATGCGACACGATAGAAGTAACTTACCAGTAACGCAAACGGTAACAAACTTTGAGCCAAAATAATTACTAGGAGAAAAACGACATGGATTTGGGTGTTCATTTTGAAAATACCCAGCCATAATGCACTCTTGAGCAGATAAAAAGTGACTTTCTATATTTCGTACGTGTTTCACCTGAATAAATTAAATTCATGCTGGTGATTAGAACAAGATATCAATTGTTAAACGAAAAGAATTAGAAATTCTCGATCAATTTACCGTTCCCTTCTTGATATCGTCGGCTATAAGATCCGTAAAAATCCATCCAACTTTTCTTAGATTAAGTAATTGAGCCAGTTCATCGACTAACGCTTTTCTATCGTCCGGTAAAAGTCGTATAGTGTCTTTTGTACTTTCCTGAAGTAGGTACAGCTAAATGTAGCTATGTTCTATTGTACGTTATTGCTAATCTCTACTTGTTTTATCAACATACCTGTGGTGGCTCATAAATAGCTGCGACGACAGCTCTGATTCCTAATGGAACGTCTGTATGCATCTCGTATTTTCCATACAAATATCCGATACGTTGATGGCCAGTGTTGCGCCAGTAATTTAAAAAACGTTCAACTAAACTTGGATTCTCAAACATGACGTTGTCCACGTGCCGATAGGTTTGACGATTTAACGTAATGGAACTTGGTTGACATTTACTACAGATACCTCGAGGCCAAGGTGGATGATCTTTACAACCAGTCTTTACACGGCAGCTTATGTCATTTAATTGTATAAACTTCCCTCTGTAAGAGATGGAACCATTCGTATCCGGAATACATAATACGATGTGCACATTTAACTTACCTATCACCACCGGCAGTGAATTTCTTCAGATACGCATGAAATGATAAATGTTTTATGTTTTGTTCTTTCAGATAAACTTCATCGAAAGGTTCTAACGGAGAACAATGAACACAGCATCCATTTGGACCGTGTCGACATCTGTTAAATAAGTTTGTATGTTCATAAATACGTTTCATAACATGTGTATATTTCAGAAAATCTGGGGTATCCGATGATCGGGACGGATCCTCGCACACCTCTACTATATTTATATTTACTTACAGCTTTTCATCGCGCTTTCTCTGTATTTTACCATCAAGTTTTCGTAATTGTTCGTCAACTTCATCTTCGGTTACATTTACATTTGGTACGGATCGAGACACAGTGACACTGCGGCTTGCTACTTCTGTTGTATCCATTGGTCCTGAGTCTAAATGTCCGAGGATATGATATTAAATTAACGTTACAATGCAGTAAGAGAGTAAAGTAAAGAAATATAATTGAAACCTTGTGAAAGATCATTTGAAGTGTTACTAGTTGACGGAGTGCTCCACAATTGTGTTCCATTAAGGGGAGCTAAATATAACATATCCCCGTGAGAAAGACCTATCCCTGAAACTGTTCTACTGCGAGTAGATATGATTTCATCTTTGTGATTTCGTTGTCTGTAAAGTCCAAACCCAAAGCTGTTTAATTCAAAAGCACTGAAAACCTAAAAATATTTTGAATTAAACATTGTTGTATCTCTCTCATAAAATACTATTTATTTATAATTAAAATATAAACCTCTTCAAACAACTGAGAAATTGTGTCAGAAGGATTTACATCTATGCGTTTTGTTCCCTCTGAAGATTGCACACGCAGTGTCTGTAAACAGAAACATATCAACAACACTCATAAATTAAAGAATATTTGATGCATTTGTTAAGATTCATATAATTTAATTCATGGTACTACAATATATTTTTTAATTACTATGGAACTTAAAACGCATGTACAATTATGTGAATAAGGTTTTAATATATATATTTTTATTGTTTAAAATATTATTATGGAAAATTTAAAACAAAAATGATAAAAAAAAACAAAGGAATAAGATCAAATGTCTAGAAACTTTTAATAAGTCACGTTAATGACACCGCATAAACTGTAAAATTTCGTTGATTTCTAAAAAGAACAAATTATTTTTTTAATGAAATGATGTTTGACTTGAATCAAACAGACTATGTACATTGATGAAATAACGCTAATCATTTAGTAGCAAGTAACTTACAATTTGCCTAGACTTTGACATTTCGCCGGTGTCGACGAAGCATCAGCTGTTCAACCTCTGTTCAACTTGCTTGTTCGTAACGCTATATTGCGAAAATCCCTAGTAAACGTAAGAAAATTGTCGAGTCAACGTCTTGTACTCTAACCTCTTTTCGTGTAAAATACAACAAGTACTGAGAAAAAAAGTTAAGTACGGTGCTCCTTTATCACTTTCACTTTCAGATTATTTACTTTCTTTCTTAAAAATTTCGACATAAAAGAGATAATGTATGAAATGTCTGTGTCAACGTTGACAATCGAAATTCGCTGTTCGTCGTCTCGCGTTAAAAAATTTAAATAAAACTTTAACGATTGCACATTATCGTTTTATTATTGGTAAACAGAAAATTAATAAATACGCAATTACAAACACAAATTAGATAAGTTTGTGTTTAAAAAAGAAAGTGTCACTCGTTTTTCCAACTTCTACATATACACCCTTTTTCCCCCACACAAATGAACACGAGTAATACGCTTGCCAATTATTAATTTTTAATTCGTATGAACATCCAATTCGGGAGATTGATATTGTAATTTTATTTTATTTTCTTTTTTTACCCTATTTTTCGGAGCTTCCAAGTTTATAATGCAGTAAAGATAAACGTTACTTTTATGTTTTTTGAAACATCCCATATTCGCTGAGTAATCTAGTGTTATTTGAACTGTTTTGTGTTATAGCATTGGCCCGCTTGTATTCATTTTTTAACACTTTCGCTTATACAAGTTTCTTTTGAAATATCACGCGATATTTAATCTTATTTTTATTATTTAATTATTAGTGCTTGTATTATAAGTAGCAACAAAGATTATTGAATTGATTGTAAATTATTAGTCATTGCAGTTTATAAAAATTGTATACAATGACTTGTTTATTTCGAACCTTGTATTTAATCACATGTAGTGACGAATAAAAATATTGGCATTTTTACAATTTTATAATATTCAATTTGATATTTTGTACAGTAACGAGCATCGTAAACTTCTGCAGGGAAAATGGCGTCGTCCTGGGTTCCGGGATTCCCGGTTCTCGCCGGGAAAAAATTTTCCCGGGCTCCCGGTTTCCACCCTTCACCGCAGGTGACTTTGGCGGAAATGACGGTAGAGGGAAGAGGACCCCATATTAAAGGTCTATGGCGTCCCACCACTTGTAAATGTTTACGCGGGAGACCGTGAATTGATAGTTATGTTATTATTCATATTTCTAAATTGCATATAAAAAAGTATATATATATATGAACAAAAAATTCGGTCATACAGGGGTTGATGTATTGTGTTATTGATCGTGATGCCAGTAGGCAGGCGCTGTCTACGCGGGATGACCCTCTTTCCTCTTTACCGTTTCTTCCTGGCAAAAACGACTGCTGCGCCGTGTCTCCGCATTGGTCTGCGACTCTAGCGAAGATTTCGGCGCGATCAGTTGCATTTGCTAACCAGTAGCCATCAAGCAAGAAGAGGTGTCCAACTCTTACGCGCTGTGTCATCGTTCGTTATTGATTATTATTGGACTGTATTGGCGCGATAACATTAAGTTCTTGTAATATTGGTTCTTCGATCGCTTATTTGCTTATCATCTCATAACCTAATAATCAATCCACCTGTTAATGGGTTACCGTCAATGAAAACAAAAAGGTAGGTGGATGGAATTGTCAAATCTTCTACTTCCTGTTCTTCATATTCATTCTGCTTCTAGGTAATTGTCATTATTTCGTTTCCCTACAGTTTATTTATCTTTTAACTTGTTCTTAGCTTTAAATGTGCCTTTTAATGAAAATTAGCATAAATAGTGTTATTTATATTGAAAAGCCCGAACATTTTTAATCAATGCCAGTTAGTATTATTTCTCTAATGGAGTATTGTTTATTATAGCACGTATTCGAAACGTGTAGAACAGCGTCACGTTCGTAAAAACCGCGTAACTAACGAGTTTAAACGTGGATATTGCAGTCCTACGTAGTCAGTCATGCTGATTCATTCTGGAAAGTGATATTACGAAATCTATGATGATATGTATAGAGAAGCGTTAGGTACAATTGAGTGATCGAAACTATGAGATCATATCTGAAACAATTCACGAAACATTATTCAATAACGATTGTGAAATTCTATGAAACTGATTTCTTATTTGTGAACTTTGGACGTAAGTAGTTTCATTCTAGAAAGGGGGAATACTTGGTTACTTTCTAATTAGAGTTCCTTAACTGAAGGTATTAACACAAGTATAGTATGATGTCTATATGCTTAATCGTATTATATCTATTTGTTGTAAGATATAACAAGATCAGGTGGTCTCATATTTTTGGCCAGTAGTATAGGTGTGAATTGATTCCGTTTGCGTACACTTATGTTCAACATGACGAAAAAAATGTCAGTAGTAATAGACGATCAAACGTCTATGAATAGTAAGTGTCAAATTAAGACTAACGCGTTCAAAATACCGCCTCGACTGATCGATCGATCGATCAATTGTCGATGGTGGACGTTTTCGTACATTTTTCCTTGAATTAACAGAAATTATCATTCGTTTACCGCTGTAAGTACGTGCCAATTTCTTCGAAATTCAAAGCGAGTATGTTCGGTCGCGCAGGCTAACCTAAAATAAGTATATTTATGTCCTCTACGCATTACATTAATCAAAGTTGACGTAAAGAGGTGCGTCTAAAATTCCTCATCTTATGTAAAATAAAGTAAATTAACATTTATTATTCACGAGTTAAGAGATTCGTTAATTATTATGGAATTTTCTGTCAACCAGGACGGAAATCGATGAATCGATATTAAATCGTCTTTTGATTGGTCGATAATTTGAACGTAGCCAATCGAATATATTCGACTTCCGCTTGTTCGATACAAGAGTTTACGCGGGAAATAATCAATCGTCTTGCGAATTACATTATTTAAATTAATTATAAGTATTCAGTTGCGTTGAAATGGTTGTATTTTTAGTACTTAAAGTATTCTTGGTAGCGGTAGTTTATTAACCTTTCAATTTATGCTGGTTTTATCGCCATGTTTTTCATTTCTTCTTTACTGTAATTATTTTGAGCAGTGTATTTACGTTTCATTCGCGTTCACGCGTGGGCGTCGCGGTTTTTTCCTTTGGTTTTTAAATAAACTTCATTTATTTTAGGCTGTGTCTTTTTTCTGTTACAGTTAGGCAAAATGGAAAACGCAGAAGACGTGAAGACTACTGTTGAATTGTATATTTATGACCTTTCAAAGGGCATAGCTGCCATGATGTCTAGATTCGTTATAGGTAAGTTAAAGATATTAAAAAATAACTTATTTTCCTAATAATCTAAGAATTATTTTTTAAAGAAGATTGAACAGTTTTAATGAGGAGCAATTATGTGAAAAATTAACATGATACATTGAGGTTGCTATAATATTAAATATTATTGAGAACGGATCTAAAGAATTTCTGTGCTACATACGAAACTTTTATTATTTTGTACAATAACCTAAATATAAAAACAGCTTAGAAATAAAACATTGCGGGATAAAAGTAACTTGGCACGAGCGTGATTGTCCTTAGATTCTTTGTCTGTTGTTTCGTATCATCTTAATTCACTCTAAATTTGGAATGCAACACGTTTTATGTTAAGAAACAGGAATGCAACAAGGACGAGACTAAAGTACCAAAGTACTAAGCTAATAATAACGCTAAACTAATAATAGTACAAAACTGTTATAATTATCTTTTAAATTCCACCTTACCTTTCATAGGAGAATAGTTCAATAATACTTTTAAAAAAAATTTAATATCGAAATGGAAGATGATACGGCGAAATTGTAACGGTGCAAGGCGGGCGGAATGGCGAAAGGCGCGGTTGAATTTAAAGGAAATTTCTCAGAAACTTGGTAAAATACAATACGATCGGACGAATCTTGTTCGCGAAGCTTTTGCATCGTGTATATCCAAGGTTCGTTTGCCACTTAAGAACAGTTGTCGAGCTTGCGGGTCTATTTTCAGAAGACACTACTTGTAAATTGTTCGCGCGCTTGGTATTTCGCGCTGCATGCAATTCTCTTTACAAATAAAGAAACAAACGGACCAAATATGTGGCTCGGTTCATTGCGTACATATAATCAAACTCAAAAGCTAATGCAGTCAGGAAAATGAACCGAGTCGAATTATTGTTTTATGCTTAAGTTAAGTGCAGTCAAAGTTTATTTGAACAATCGAGAAGAATAGACTTTTTACCAGCGGTTCCCGTTCCAAGAGATTACATAATCGAAGCTGGTATATTTAGATTCAGTTTGGAAAATTAATAAGTGGAGTGTGTCCGCAAAATGTTGCATAACACCTGAAAATGGTGTACCGTCGAGTTGGATGGCCGCTGCGGCTATTTCTCGCGGTTATTTCACCACAACGTCCCTCCAAGAAACGCGTTGCAATAAGAAGATCACGAATGTGCTTAGCTATTCCCGCGATCAGAAACTGGGTCGAAGGAGACCGAAACCGACGATTACGAGCCTGAGGCTGGTCCAAGCAAACGCGAATTTAAATAATATTTTACCGGGAAATTAGCAAGGGAACTTGTTCGATCGAGTTCTTCAAGATATTGGATCATCTCGATCGGAGGAGTTCCTTGGTTATCGAACGAAATTTATTATTATTTCTTGGCTACATCGATAAAACATTTCTCTCGTAAATATTTCTATCCCCGATAATGTTTGTTTTCAATTTTCTTTAATACGATGAAAATAATGGTATCGATTTATGGTCAATGATCAATGGTCAAGTTTCGTAACAACCTTGATCATGATCATCGGTCTCTTGGAAGACAACCAAAGTATTTACGTTCATCATTATTGTATCACAATAATGACGGATACCACGTTATTGTATTAATACGAATCGCTATTTATGCATAGGTCGACACGTGGAAGGGATATGGCACACTGCGATCGTTGTATACGGAAGGGAGTACTTTTTCGGCCCGTCTGGAATTCAGAGCGCCAGGCCTGTAAGTATTTTTAAACAAAACACCGTGGTGGCTTGAACGAGGTGAAAATTTGTCACCGGAGAAATGAAACGAAGTTGATGAAAAATGCATCCCTGCCACCGAAATTCTGACCGATCGGGACGTACTAGTCGTAGTGTGGCGAGTCATTCTGGCCATACGATACGCTAGATACGAGGGGGTACTAAATTTGGTCTGGTTCAGTCCAAAAATAATTCATGCTTTACTTCACATTCTCTTTCTCCGGCACCTCTTCCTCATGGCTCCCCCGTCCTATGTTTCATCGTCTACCTTCTATGCGAATGCAAAATATGTCAGGCTAAATTACACTTGGTAAACTTAACACAATCGTGCGATAATTGAGCCGAGAGAATGAAAGAAATCAAAGGGTTAAAAAGGATCAATCCTCTGTCGTTAACTTCATAACAATAATTGATAATTTTTGTAACAGCCACGAATGGTCAGATGAGGATATTAAAAGAAGGTGAGGTATTCTCTTTGGGAGGATTAAAAAAGGACCATTAGAAAAATGATGGTGCTTCAAATGTCCCCTTCGACGTCATCCAAGGATCGCATCCCTCGTCACGACCGACACTGCGGTGGACGAGTTACCGAAAAACATATTAACCGATCTGAATAAGCGACGACGTCATCGAAAAAGCAAACTTAAAAGCGTCTACGAAGAGCGTGCGCGCGAACACGAATGTCGTTTATCTTAAGTTACGCTTGCCGGCTGCGTGGCGTTGAATCCCGAAGCGTCGCGACGCCAGTTCTTATTCGAGTGGTTCCTTGACGAAACAAGAAACGGGACGGCGACGCGGCGCGTTAAACGATTCGACATTTTTCCACTTGCATTAGTATTTTTCTTTTCATTAAAGTACACGCGAATAAATAGTGAGTGTTGTTCGTTTATAAGTGATCAAAATATTATTGTTTTTTTCGGATTTTCAATAGTTACCTCCGTTTCTTCAACTTCTTTCTTTTTAACGATACCATCTTATACGTTATAATTATTAAAATGATTTTATTCATTTATCGTGCCATTTACAGTGTTTTCAAATACGATTGTATTTGAAAAAATGATGGGATTATAATTTTTTAAAATTTTTTACTTGATCATTGGATCAGTCTTTTTCTTTGGATCCTTTTTGCGCCCTTCCTTTTTCTCTTTTAATTTCTACATCGTTTTCTTGCTCTACGACAGAGCACAACTCTCGAAACATCTCCTTTCGTCGGTTATTTCGAGCGTTTCTTACAGGGAAGCGCAAGTTTGTCATAGTTCTAAAATTACACGCGTCTTACTAATACCAGAGGGGGTGGAAGTACTCGACGCTAAAGTAGCTGTCGTAATATTGACACTGACGCTGTTCCCTCGGAAACATCTTTTCGGTATTATCATCCATTCAGATTAATTTCTTACTTCCAGGGTGGCACAGTGCTGGGAGAGCCGCTGAAAGTGGAAAAGGTCGGTGAAACTTATCTGCCGTACTCTGTGTTCTTCGAGTATATCAGCGGTTTGGGAACGTCCACGTTCGCGTAAGTTATTTACAAAAAAAAATGAAAAAGAATATATGCGAATAATTTGACGAACGTATCGTTTCAATTACAGACCGAACACCTACCATCTCTTTAATCACAACTGCAATTCCTTCACGGACGAAGTTAGTACTTTCTTAGCGGGCAAAAGTATCCCCAAGTACATCCTCGAGTTACCGGAAGAAATACTTCGATCGTAAGATCTCTGCGTTTGATTTTTTAAACGTTTCGATATTTCTTGTACTATTATTCGTTTCCATTTGCCCATCAGGCGGATCGGGCAAGAATTGAGTGGTCTCATAGAAGGTTTATGCAGCAGCGCGAGCGGATCATTTATAGTCGGCCAAACATTCCTCGAACCGAGAAATCGTAGAGAAGTTTCACCAGAATTTCAACTCTTAAATGAAGCTATCGAGGAAGCAAGGTAACTGATTGCTTTGCATCGGCCATTAATAAAGAAATCGATGAATTATTAAAAAGAAGAGAACGTGAATTTTGCGATTTTAACTACATTCGTGCCATCCTGCTCGAGTAGTGTCTTATTTTGAAAAGAAAGATGATCCCTGTTTCTATTAATCCCAGGTTAAACTCAATCGCCCTCGAAGAAAGAAGAAACGAGATCAACGAGAAATTAGCGAAGAAGGATAGGAAGAAAAAAAAGAAGAAGAAGGAAAAGAAACAGAAAGGAAGCAGAGACAGAGGTGCGAGTGATACCAACAGCACCGGTCCTAGCAATTGTATAGACATGGCGGAAAGTGAAAGTAAAAGAATACTTCAATCGATACATTAATAGATTACTTTCTATCGATTCTTCCTAATAAGTGTATCATTTTAATGCGAACGAAGGTGCAGTTAGTGTGAGTGAGATGCAGGCTACCAATGGAGACACCGCCGAGATGTTACCATCGGAAAGAGTTATGCAGATGGAGGAAGAGGAGAAGAAGGAACTGGAAGAGAGGAAACGTTATCGGGATCCTCCTATAGTGTTTAAAGATTTATTAGATGTGAAAACAGAGTACGATGCGTTAACTAAATTGTTAGAAGGAAAGTTGAACGAGGATGAACGAGTATGCATGGAAGAACTGAGGCAGTATGTTTTAGAAAATGAAGGTTCTTGGGCGCTTGGAGACAACTTTTTAAATTTCGTAGGTAGGTTAGCGGTCGTTAGCGAACTTCTCTTATATTTTTAAAGAATACATGTTGAAATAACGTTTGCATATATTTAGGACGAGTTTTGTACGATAAATCTCTGGCAAGCGACACTAGGGTGAAACTACTAAATATACTCTCGGTAGCTGCCTTGAAGGACGACGTGATCCTTTTATTGCATCAGGACAGAAGGGAACATATAATTATGAATTATGCCTTCGACATTGACCGTCATCCTCCAGAAGAACAACTTCCCCTTGCACAGTTTGTAAGTATCCCAGGTATCAGTTGAAGAAGACATTAATGAAATTCATGAATTTTATGTTCTGTATTATGATTTGTAGCTGGCAAATATGTTTGAAAACCTTAGTAGTTCAGAATGGTTATTGTACATATCGGAATGGCAACATCAAGCTCAAAGTATCAGTAATATAAGGGTGACAACGAAAGTTGCTGTACATTCGTTGCTTTCGAACTCTGACGATTTGCAAATTCGTGGCGCGGCTATTATTCACAATCTTGCCTGCAAGGAGGTAAAAACTGTGGTCTGTATCCTTCCTAGCCGATTAACCATCTTCCTTTCTTCTTTCGTTTACGTCTAAACTCACACATAGTAATTCTGTTAGAAATCGTTTCAATTTTTTCTATCGTTACAATCTCATAATAACTAGTGTCCTACGTGTGATATCGCTTAACAAATGCTTACTGCTTCTTCTCAAATGTTGTTTCCATTATCGTTCAAGCAATGCAACAGCGACAGTGACGCTTTCACTATTTTTAGCAAATAGAAGTGCTGCCTTTATTAATAAATCAGCTATTACTTGTAAACTAAAACGAGGTTCTTAACCTTGTATCAAATTTGATAACTGATTCACGAACGAGCAACGAAATCATAAAAGGAATTTCTCTTATTATTAATAGCTCTGATTCAGAATATACATAAATATGCTTGTTGTTGCTTGATTGTAACTATCTCTGTATACATGTACACGATACTTCGTTCAAGTTCATACAATGGATATTTCTCGAGAGATCGGCTACTGTTTTTTCAGAAAATGAACAAAAGCAAAAATCTGCGGCGACTTTTACCAAAAGGCAGCATTTCTAAGGTACATGTCTAAACAATTATATCGAACCGGTTAACTACGGTAAGTCGTGTATACCGTTCTAACGAGTCTCTTCCATAAATTGCGGGTCTTCTACGACCAGAAATAATACGATTTAAACGTCATCAACGGGATCTCACATTCTGCATCGAATTGTCGAAGAAGGAAGTTTTAGCATTTTGTTTAAAGAACGAGCGTTAATCAAGTTCCAAGTGTACAATTAATTGTTTTATGTTTCCTGATAATCCATAGGTGTTCGATGACGTCGCCGTAGAATTAACAATGGCATTGTTGCAATATTTTAATGGCAATCCTGCCGAGGACCAGCTGTACGCTTGCATGAAGTCATTGGCGCGTTTTACGCAGATCAGTGGCCAAGATGTGCCTCAACTTATACAGATGATTGGGCCAGAACCAAACAAATTTCGTGGAATGTCTGAGAGGGTTGACGAGCAAATTGATCAAGTTAATAAGAAACTTCGTTAATTTTACCTGTACGAGTTTCATCTTGCGAAGAAGAAATCCTAAATTCCAAATACGATGCGAACGTTATCATTATACTGTATCTGAGTTTTTACGTAAAGATTTTATTAAAAGTATTTCCATATAATGCATTATTATTACAGTTATTATTGTTATCATTTAACGTTGTTATTAGCATCATCATCATCATCATTATTATTATTATTATTATTATTATTAGTACATTATATTGCTGTTATTGAAAATTCAACCACTCTTTTCATTTACCCTGAAACACCTCTTTCTTCCCTTCACAATTTTTATAAATAAAAATGGCAAGACGAAATTATAGCATTCATTTTACTTTATTTGATACTTCGATACGATATTTCTTATTCTTTATTCAAATATAAAGTGTTTAACTTTCTTATCAATACAGACACAATTTAATGATGATATCTCGAAAGCAGTATCTTAATTCATTCAACAAATATGTAAAGTGGCAGCGCAATAAAACATTGGCAATGAACTGGGTTTCCTCGATTTATTTCCAAGCAAATATACACTACTGTTCGAAAGTTTCCAAGTATTTAAATAAAAGATAATGCGAAAAAGGGAACTTCTTTAACTTTTAAAACTTTCGAAATTTTTGAACGGTAGCACAAATAGGCGCGCAATTTAAATCACACATGTACCGCTTGTCAACCTGAAATGTCCCGAGTCAAACATAGAACAATGCTATATAATAGAAATCAAGGTTTTCCGCTATATTTTGCGATCTTTATCATAATATCAAGAACAACGCAGGCGAAATTAACGGTACCCAATTAATCGTAGAGTCAAGTGGTTCAGCTCTCTTTCGCCGGCGCCAAATGTTTACCATCAGCTTTAACAAAAAATAAATCAAATGATAACGATATGGAAGCCGTGAAACTATACTGATAGAGAGGTAGATCGACCTTTATGTTTGCAGTGAATGGATTTAGTGCCTCAACGTGTGCATCTCAGTGCGCAACAAACTTCTTCAAAGGTGATGATTTCATTTTCTTTTCAAATTAAAGTGACAACAAGTAGTTACGAATTGCTACTTCCCAAGAATACTGTAGTACACTAAATTTCATAAAATGCATGTGCCTGAGAACCAAGTTGTTACGATGGAAGAACATATATTACCGAAGAAAAGAAATGATAAAAAAAAGTGTTCGATCTCTGGCTACATAACGATATTAAACTGGTTACCGAAATACTCTCGTTTGAATGCTGTTTCGGATTTAGTAGCTGGATTCTCCCTAGGATTAACTTTAATTCCACAGAGCATTGCATACGCTGCACTTGCAAGCTTAACAGCCCAGGTATTTCTTTTTTTTATTATTTTACAAAACTATGAGCTTTTAGGGTGAATTAATAGGTTAGGGAAAAATGTAAATCGTATTTTCCCTAAATAATGTGTACATTGCATGTAATATTTATATAAAAACATTTCTATATTTTTATACGTAATAAATAGTAAGATCTGTCTGTATATCCACGAGTTAAGATCGATTGGGGGCACCTTAGATAACATAATCATGCGAAGATCAATTATTGAAATAAGAACGAACGAGACAGGAAATCTGTACGCTATCAGTACCCAATGATTAATCATCAATTGTTTACTACAATATGTGGTACTGTTATCTATAATACGATCCATGGATGTATAAATAATTAATTCGTAATATGTTTGATTTCATGATGGTTTTTGATTACATGTAATACGGGGTGCATGCCGGGTCACCTGCAAACAGGGGCCAATGAACACACACCTGCCCCTTTGACATACTACCCGCCATGCTTGCCCGTATAGACAAATTTTATTGTAACAATTCTTGCCTGATCGAATAAATATCGAAACACCCTTTTTACAGTACGGTCTCTACTCCTGTATAATGGGAAGCTTTATATATGTAATTTTTGGAACAATCAAAGAAGTATCCATTGGGCCCTCCTCCTTGATGTCCCTCCTAACTTTGGAGTATACTAGAAACATGCCGATAGACTTTGTTGTACTCTTCAGTTTTCTCGCTGGATGCGTGGAATTACTTATGGGCGTACTACGTTTAGGCTTGTATTTAAAAATTTTACAAAATCACCTAATATAAACTTATCATTAATAATAATTATTTATATGAATGACACAATTTTTTTATACAGGATTTTTAGTAGATTTTATATCGATGCCGGTCACATCGAGCTTCACATCGGCAACTTCAATTATCATAATCATATCACAATTGCCAGGACTGTTAGGAATAAAAGCTAAAGGGCACACTACTGCTGAAAACATTGTTAAAATATGTCAGAATTTGACAAAGATTCGAATACCAGATTTCATCCTTGGACTTTGCAGCATTGCGTTTCTTCTATTCTTCAGAGTGGGTTTGCTAAATAATTTATAATGGAAGTAACTAAGGTTGTATTAATATTCAGCTTTTATGATTAATACAGAGATTGAAAGACATCGACTGCTGTTTTACGGATGATACCGACGAGACGAAGAATAGCAATAAAAGAAAAGTTATAAAAAAGACCTTATGGTTTCTTTCTATTTGTCGCAACGCGCTAGTGATTCTAATTACTGCCATAATAGCATTTTGTCTGGAGAGAGCAGGATCGTCACCATTTATTCTTTCAGGTGTTTATCATAATTCAATGTATTAAGAACAAGGAGTTATTTTAACCTGGATTTATTTCAATTTAAAGGAAAAATAGAGTCAGGACTTCCAAAATTCTCGTTGCCACCTTTCTCCTCTCAAATTGGAAATCAAACTTTCACCTTTATGGACATGTGTTACCATTATGGCACAGGATTAATCATATTGCCCCTTGTGTCGGTGTTGGCGAACGTAGCAATCGCTAAAGCATTTGGTAAAAATAATAAATGATATCGAAACAGATTTCTATCCAAAACACGCTACGATAAACATGTTTGGTAATCATGTGTGAAACGTCAAATATTTCTAATTTTATAAACGTTGCTGTGCTGTTAAGAGATGCCAAGATTGCAGTGCTAAATTTAGCTTCCTCTTTTTTCGATTGACGGTTAAATTTTACGAAATATCAAAATATCAGTTCCTTATAATAAATGTAAAATAAACACAAAAGATAATAAAAATCTTTGCCACGTGTCCTGGCTTATGTCGCGAGGCTCATTAAGCTTCGCAATCACTGGAAAATCCCAGGCATTGATTTAATCATTTCAAATCCATATAATTCCATTTAAATTATGAGCATTGTAAATCTGTGTAAAGAACTTCTGCAAGCTCTTTAACTGTATTTAAATATTTTTCAGAATTTTCTTTTATTTTCTGAAAATGTTGAAATACACAGTCGTGAAAAAATTTCTTTATTAATCCACATGTTTGTTAGCGTATTTTGAGTACAAGTTCATAGTTTCATAGCAGTGACGTATCAATGAATCAGTAACACGTGTTTATAATTTTAGCGGACGGCAGTAGCGTAAATGCGACCCAAGAAATGTTAACTTTGGGTTTGTGCAATATACTGGGAAGTTTTGTTTCGTCGATGCCAGCTACAGGTGCATTTACCAGAAGTGCAGTGTTTTCTGCCAGTGGTGTGCGAACACCTATGGCTGGTGTTTATGTCGGTAATATGAGTATTATCAATATGCGATATGTTAGATTTGTCTTTGGTCCCTCAAAAATTGAAAAGCTAATCTTGAAAAATTTCGAAGATCACAAATTTGAACTGTCAATCTAACAGGTAGTTTATGTTTCAGGAACAATGTCGCTATTAGCGTTAAGCTTCTTGACACCATATTTTTATTACATTCCACGTGCTACATTATCAGCTGTATTGATAAGTGCTGTGGCGTTTATTATAGATTTGAAAATAATACCATTACTCTGGAAAGGATGCAGTAAGTATGGAATTTTTTACAGTACTTTCTAATACATCAAATACAGCGAAGAGAAGGTAAAAAAAAAAATTGCGCTCATGTATTTCTAATTACAGAAAGAGATGCTATCGCAGCAATATTTACATTTTTAGTCTGTATCATCGGCGGTGTGGAATTGGGGCTTTTAGTCGGTGCTCTCTTTAATTTAATTTTTTTTCTTCGACCATCGGCGAGACCAAAGATTGAGATGATTCAATGCAAGGTAAAAGGTAGTGTTGTTACACCTAATTTAATATTTCCTTCTTTATCCTTTGCAAATATATTACCTGTTCAGTTAAGAGAATTTTTGTTATGCACAGTATATTCAAAGTTTTTTTTTTTCTTTTTCAGGCACAACTTGGCGACAAATACATAATACTCAAACCAGACACCGGATTATTTTATCCTGCCACAAACTATTTTTGCAGTAAAATAACAGAGATAATTCGACAAAACGATGAAAGTAATATTGCATTTATAATTGACTGTGAAAGAATTCGCAATATTGATTACACTGCCATAAAGGTACAAGTAAATCCTTGGTATTTTTCTATGTTATTCGATTGACTATTAGCAACGACTGTATTTTTTAATTACAGAGTATCGAATTGTTACTGACAAATATCAACGCAGAAAAAAGGAAACTATGGTTCCTCCATGTCAATCCAAAATTATATGAAAGTATTATAACGTTTTCTAATACTAAATATTTTTATTTCATCAACGAGGAAGATAAAATATCATCGATCTTTTATGGTACGTGTATTGTTACTATTAATATTTTCATTTATTTCATTTATATGTATTTTTAGATGGTATTCTGATAAGTAATAAAGAAGAAACGAAAGAGAAACCTTTAGAATACATGACAGAAAATGCAACGTTTACGTGCAATAGTGACAATCCAAATAATTTAGAAATTCTTCATAATTGTACAACGAAATCCGAAGAGGTTGCAGAAGAAATGGAATTAATGTCACCACAGTCATCGGAGACAAAATAAAATTAAAATGATAATGATAATTTATTATTAAACATGAAATCAAAGCAATAAAAAACGTACAAGAGATGTTACATTAATGATGAATCTTTTCGTTCTTTTAATGCTAATGTTTCCAAACAATTCAAAATTTCTACAAATGCCTGTGATTGGTCATTCCATTATGGCGTCCTCCCATTTTGTCACGTGACTTGCTCTGTATTATCCACAAAATGGCGGAACTTGCCTGTGGGAACGCAATCACGAAATTATGAAATTCTAGGCCCATTTTTGTCGGTAATGTCACCTCGTTGCATTTCTATTTCTACAATCGACAACGAAGAAATCCATATTATATTCGTAACTTTTCAGAAATTGGTCGCTTGGTGCAGCACTTATTTAGGAACAACGAATTTCTGAACATGGACCTCTGATTTTTCCTCTGCTCCTAATAACCTGAACGAAATTCAAGTCAAAAGTGCACATGGATTATTAACGTGTTTTAATAGGTTTTTATTTGTTCTAAGTGTATCTTAATAATACAAGTAAACGATCTATTAATTATTGCACATACATAATCATATAGGTAATTGTAAAAGGTGTGTTACAATACAGTTCAAGGGATTCATAAACATAACCTGTTTATTAACTTCATCTTTTTCTATTTATTAAAATATTTAACACATATAAGTATCTTTGTAAATTAGAAAACGTATGTTTAACAAAACATTCAGATTGGTTTTCCTAATTAAAACAATTCTTAGTGTTTTATGCTATAAACTAAATTGAAGAAAATACATATTTTTTATTTTTCAGTTGCCAAAATGGTGTTATCTTGTCGGTTTTATAAAGAAAAATATCCGGAGGTGGAAGATGTAGTAATGGTAAATGTACTTAGCATAGCTGAAATGGGAGCATATGTACATTTATTAGAATATAATAATATTGAGGGTATGATTCTTCTTTCTGAATTGTCTAGAAGACGTATCAGATCTATCAATAAACTTATTAGAGTAGGAAAAACAGAACCAGTTGTTGTTATTCGTGTTGATAAAGAAAAAGGTAAAGTAAACAGAAGTTTTGGATGTGTAGTAAATTGAAAATGAAATTAAGGTACAATGTTTCAACTTTATTAATTGTTTATTAATTTAATTTAGGTTATATTGATCTTAGTAAACGGCGTGTATCAGCCGAAGACGTGGAAAAATGTACAAAAAGATATGCAAAAGCAAAAGCTGTTAATTCAATTTTGGGACATGTAGCAGAATTATTACATTATGATAGTGATGATCAGTTGGAAGAATTATATCAAAAAACTGCATGGCATTTTGAAGAAAAGTATAAAAAACAAAAGGCTTCTGCATATGATTTCTTTAAACAATCAGTTCTGTAAGTAACAAACTACACAATGTAAAAAAGGATGTAATGTTGTTTGCATGTTAATGATTATTAAAACATTGTGACTTTAGGGACCCATCAATTTTAGCAGAGTGTGGTCTTGATGAAGATACAAAAGAAGTATTATTAAATAATATAAAACAAAAATTAACTTCTCAAGCAGTCAAAATTAGAGCAGATGTTGAAGTAGCTTGTTATGGCTATGAAGGAATTGATGCTGTGAAAGCTGCATTGAAAGCAGGTTTAGCTCTTTCCACAGATGAACTCCCCATTAAAATTAATTTAATTGCACCACCATTATATGGTATACTGTTTTTATTATTATTTCACAAAATGTTACTTTTAATATTGCAGTAACTCATTAATAAAACGGTGCGAAATTAAAAGAATATTTTACCGCGTTTTCAGTTATGACAACATCTACACCAGAAAAACAAGATGGTTTAAAAGCATTAAACGATGCTATTGATGTTATTCAAAATAAGATAACATCACTGGGAGGTGTATTTAATGTCCAAATGGCTGTAAGTTTACCGTTGTAACGCTAAGGTAGAAATTTTCGCATATCTAAGGCTATACTTTTTAATTTGTAGCCGAAAGTCGTTACGGCAACTGATGAAGCAGAATTAGCAAGACAAATGGAACGGGCGGAACTTGAAAATGCTGAAGTTGCGGGTGATGACGATGAAGAAGAAGTAAAGGGAATGGATGGATTTAGTGGTGGTGAAGGTGAAGGTGCGGAAGATGATAAAAAGCCTGATGATTCTGATTCTGATAAAGAAGAATAAACAGAGAATACATCGATCAGTGTTTCAATAACTGACAGTTATTTCTGGGTTACAATCATACTTGTATAAGTGTGGTACTGCCTTGCTGGACATTATGCAAAACATTTTAAATAAATATACAAAAGTCACTGTATTATAATTTATAAATAATTTTCTATTAACTTCGTAAAATAAACATAATAATAACATTTATATAACTGCTAATAATATAATTATTTTTTTTTTTTGTAATATTTTTATTTCTGTATTTGGAAAATTTTATATCTCAAATTACAATCTATTGTATATTTATGTCAGAATATGTAATCATTTTACTCAAATTTCAGTTTTTTACATTTTTATTAAAACTTTGTACAGTTTTATTCAGATGGTTTATTCGTTTGCAATTGTAACTTCCACTTCAACACCAGGTTCAATGGAGATACTTGTGATTTGTTTAACAATTTCAGATGGTGAATACAAGTCAATAACTCTCTTGTGAATACGCATCTGGAAACGATCCCACGTCTTTGATCCTTCACCACAAGGCGTTTTACGTGTTGTTATCCTCAAAATTTTCGTAGGCATACGAACTGGCCCCTTTACTTTAAGTTTCTGTTTGTTTGCTCCATTGATCAGTTCAGAACAAACTAAAACATGTAAGTTATCAGTAAAATCCATATAGAATATCAATATTGAACAATAATATCATGTAAAGGAATTTACCTTTTTCAAGAGAGCGTACATTACGCGAGGTAAGCGTAATCCTAATTCTGTGAATAGGAGTTACTTCTTGTCCTGGTTTTTCAGGGTTGTCGACTTTTGTGCTTGCCTAAAATATTATTCCATAAATTAAATGTGTATAAGGTAATAATTATAAAATGCAGTTGTAACGTTCACATGAAACAAACATAGACCGCATGTTTGAACTTGCATCTAACCTAACATGCCGCGATTACTTGTAAAATATCTGATTGATTTTAATACTTTTCAGCTAACCAAATTAATGATTTCAATGGAGTAATATTAACCAAATAAGTGCATACCATTGTTTAAATATCTTCCTGGCCGAGATAATCAATTTCTTTTTCTCAAAACTGATCAGCGCTGAACCAGATATCGCACACGTTGCATGTGCCAAACAGAAAAGAAGGAGCGAAACCTAATTTCCGGTTGACAGTAATTCGAGTATTTATTCTATTGATCTTAATCTATAATATCAATGTAAGTATTTGTTTTTATAAAGTTCTATTGCATATTATATTATATTTTTAAACAAATAATGTAATGCAATATTGAATTTTATATTAATAAATATTAAGGAAGGCAAGTTCATATGTATGCTCGTTTATCATCATAGTTACTTATCGCAAGATTTATTAATAAAATCATTTCAGATTCCTGTAACCGTGTATTGCCAGACTATTGGTGAAACATGATTTTCTATATATTTGAACCAATGGAATTCCCGTTATTTTTCCTTCAGTACCTTTTATGCTGATGTTGTTTAACCACTTGAGTCTGAAGTATTCTCCGGTCTAGTTAAATGTAGATGACTTCAAGTGTTCGAATTGCGCTGTCGCGTCCTTAACCGTTTAGGAAAACGATTTTGCTAAGATTTCTCGTCACTTTACCATGCCAGATATTTATAAAAAATTCAGAAAGTTACGTCGAAGGCGTCATACTCGCACTTAGTAACAATTGTAGAGCAAAAGTGTGTGAACTACAAAAACTAAGATAGTGCCGTGTATCCATCACATATATTTGCTTTATTGATATTTTGAGTGTCACAGGCCTTGTGGTGCCTATGCATATCTTGAGGTAATGCATCCTTTAATAGTTATTAAACCTGTTACCTTTTTTATAATAATACATTTTAGAATACTTCATCTTTTTATGTATATTAAATAGCTATACTGTTTACATTGTTTTCTTGTATTTGTGCATGAAAAATGGACATAACCTACATCATACATTGTAATCATTTTAGAATATTTATGTAGCGTTATTATGTACGGAAATATAAATTAATGTGCAACTGTATTCGGTAATAGATTGAGTTAAGTAATGTTCTTGTAATTTAATTTGCATTTATTTTTTGCACCTAAGGATTTATATTTAATGTCTAGTTGATACAGAAGCTAGAATATAACATTATACATTTTTGTATGTATCATACTATAAATTATAATTTGAAAAGTCTATAAAAGATGCACATTTGAAATATAATACAATACTTATCAGTAATTTATCATTACATTTTGTATGTTATTACAATGGTTATAGAAAATGATTAATACATTATTAACAAAGATTTTAAGAACAAAATACTTTGAATACTTAGGAATAGAGTATTACATATTTTAAATTATAGTAACTAATAATACATGTAATATTACAGAATTTGGACGGTGTTCTAGATTATTTTAAGAATATAAAGTTTCTTGTATTTGGTTGAATCATTTAGTAGACAATATGTCAGAAATAGTTTACCCGCAAGGGTGCAGATCAGTCACAGAAGATCTGGGTCCAGATGAACTTATTAGAAGATTAAAGGTATATCAATGGAAAAGAAACATTTATTATGTACAGAGGTATAACAGATAGATATAAACAGCTGACATTATACTTTATTAGACATTAGCTCATACATTACAAGCAATGGGACAAGATGAAGGAATGTATCAACAGTATATACCACTTGCATTACATTTGGCAGAGGAACATTTTCTAATGCATCAGAGTAAAGATGTCCAACTTCTGATTGCTTGTTGCATTGCCGATGTTTTAAGAGTTTATGCACCCGAGGCTCCATATAAAGATGCAGAACAGGTAATAAAATGGTACATTGAAAAATAAACTTCATATGAAACATAAATCAATATTTTGGTCACATTTTTGTTTGTTACAGGTCAAAACAATATTTTTATTTCTGATTAAACAGTTGGCTGGATTAAAAGATCCTAAAGACCCTGCTTTTAAAAGATACTTTTATCTTTTGGAAAATTTGGCATATGTGAAATCATTTAATATGTGTTTTGAATTAGAAGATTGTCAGGAAATTTTCTGTGCACTTTTTTCTCTTATGTTTAGGATAGTAAAGTAAGTATAACTTTAAATAAAATATCAATGGATAGTATGTATGAAGCTATTTTGTAATTCTAATTTCAGTGATGAGCATTCTGGGAAAGTAAAAAGCTTTATGTTAGATGTATTGTGTCCACTTATCACAGAATCAGACATTGTTAGTAATGAACTTTTAGACATTATTCTTATGAATATTGTAGAACCAAACAAAACACAAAAGAAGAATGCATATTTACTTGCTAAAGAACTAGTGATTAAATGTAGTGATACATTAGAACCATACATTCAGGCAGTGAGTAGAATAAAATCTAGATATCTTTTTATTTGTAAGTATATTTTCACAAAAAGCAAAGAGATAATAATATTAAACTTTCTATATTTAATTTTTTTTAGTTCTTTAATCACGTTTTAATTCTGGGTAAAGAGGAAAAGAGTTTACAAATCTGCAAAAAAGTATATGACTTGATTTATGAGTTAAATCACATATGTCCCAGCGTCTTGTTGTCCGTCCTTCCACAGTTAGAATGTAAACTAAAATCTTCTTCTGAAACCGAAAGATTGGGTGCTGTAGCGTTGTTAGCAAGAATGTTTTCTGAGAAAGGTTCTCAGTTAGCTGTACAGCATACACAATTGTGGCGAGCATTTTTAGGAAGGTTCAATGATATCAGTGTATCCATTCGTATAAAATGTGTGCAGTATTCCATGCATTTTTTACTAAATCATCCTGAACTAAGAAAGGATATTACTGATACATTAAAATTAAGACAACATGATGCAGACGAAAGTGTTAGATACGAAGTTGTTATGGCTATAGTGACTACTGCCAGAAGGGATTTTGAGGTTGTTTCAGACAGTGAAGATTTGTTAGAATTTGTTAAAGAAAGAACTTTGGACAAAAAGGTATGTAACCATTATACGAAACATTGCTTATGTAATAATCTTTGTTGATTTTTAGTTTAAAATCAGAAAGGAAGCAATGGCAGGATTGGCAATGATATACAAGAAACATTTAAATGATGCTGATGTTCCACAAGCCACAAAAAAGGCTGTCACTTGGATAAAGGACAAAATACTACATGGTTATTACATGGCTGGGATGGAAGATAGATTACTGGTAGAGAGATTGTTAAATACCTGTTTAGTACCTTACCAACTTCCTGCTGGTGAAAGGATGAAGAAATTGTATCATTTACTAGGCACAATCGACGACCATGCATCTAAAGCGTTTGTAGAATTACAAAAACATCAGCTTGCGTAAGTATATTTCGTGTTAGGTTGTTTTGTGTATATAATCGAATATACTATTTTTTATATAAAATTTTACATTTTAGTGTACGACGGGCAGTAGTTGAATGGTTAGAAATTGTAAAGAAGCCGGACGCTGTGGTTGAGTTGGTAGCTAAAATTCATCAGATATCTCGCTTTTTACCAGACCCTATGAAAGTGCAAGAATTTCTACAGAAATTCAGTGCTCATATGAGAAAAGATCCAGCACTGTTGCAAGGAATGGAAACAATAGTTCAGCCAAATGTTTCTTGCAAAGAATGTGCAGACACAATAAGTATGGTTCTAAAGAAGCTAGGTCAACCTGTCATGACAAATTTGTACTACAATACAATAAAGATGTTGTTAGAAAGGGTCAGTTCTGTCATGATTGATGAAGAAGCAATTAGAGTACGTACATGAAGTTCGTTTTATATGCGTAAATTTTGTATTTCTGTTTTTTACACTAATGATATGTTAACAGGTTTTAATCGGATATGTATTAGATTGTTTGAAAGGTGGCAATGTAATAGAAGAAGTTGGGCTCAATCCAAATAATGCAGGTGAAAAAGGTCTAAGATTGCTTGTGGTACGTTTCCAGTTTTATCGTTTAAATGCGTTTCTGCCATTTTTATATTATTAATTTATTTTAAATATGTGCATATATTACTTTTTATAGATGCTATCATTTGTATTTGGTCCACATTTTCTTCACAATGATATCTTGATGCAACTTGTCCATCTTTTAGAGCTGGAGGATGAAATGGTAGCCCCATTGGTACTTTCAATATTTACATTTTTAGGAAAGTATAAACCTTTGTGTGATGTTGCACCAGATATCATGAACCTGATGGTTCCGATATGTAAGAATTTCGCAGAAACGGGAACACCAAAACAAGCGAAGCAAGCTATTAGGTGTTTATTCGTTAACATGACCAATATACACGATACCATTTTTCCTGAAATCATTGAAAGAATTAAAAACAGCCTTACATTGACTTCAGAATATTATAGAACATCTATAGTTACACTAGGTCATATAGCTTATAATTTACCAGAAAAGTATCAAGTACAAATAAAAAATATGGTGTCTAGAAAAGTAAGTTCTACTAAAGTACTATCATTAAAAATATAATAACAAGAAGTGTATGGTGTAATTTCATGCGAATATTGTATATTTATAGATAGTCAAAGAGTTGTTAGTAAAGGAAAGCAGTGAACTAACTTCTGACACCATTGAAGGAGATTGGTGCAGAGAAGATCAATTACCTGAAGAAACACGTTGTAGATTGGAGGGGTTAAAATGTATGGCGCGCTGGTTATTAGGATTGAAGACTGATGTACTCTCTGCGCAAAAAACATTTAGAATGTTGAATGCATTTGTAGTAAACAAAGGAGATCTTTTGCAACAGGGCCGATTAAGTAAAGCGGAAATGAGTTGGCTACGATTACAAGCTGGTTGTTCGATGTTAAAAATTTGCGAACAGAAAGGTGTTGGTGATCAATTTACAGCTGAACAGTTCTATAACCTTTCTCAACTTATGGTGGTATGTTAATTTTTATAGTTATTTAATATTTAGTAATACTTTAAAATATGTGTGTGTGTGTGTGTGTGTGTGTGTGTGTATATGATTTAGCAAAATATACGTTTTATTTAAAGGATGATGTTCCACAAGTAAGAGAAGCTTTTGGTAGCAAATTACATAAAGGGCTCGGAAGGGGAATTCCAAATAAATGCTTGCCGTTAGATTTTATGGGGTATTATGCTCTTGCTGGCAAAGAACAAGATAAAAGACTAAAATGCGTTTTAAAAACCTACATGCAAACTGATATAAATAAAAGGAGGGATTATGTTAAAACATTGTCATTGGGTACAGTGGAGCGGGCGATGGGTAAGAAACTAAACAGTAAGGCATTAGTAAAATATTGTTTGATATTGTTTCTTTCTTTCTTTTATCATAAGAAATTTGTTTTTACTAGCGTGAACATTAATTTTTCGATTAAATTATATGTAACAGGTCAACTGCCACACATTCTTCCGGATTACATGCTGGTATTTGCAGTCCCTATTCTTGCACATGATCCTGAATTTACAAGCCATCTGATGATTAATCAGTTGAAAGTGATACAACAATGTCTATGGTTTATATTAGAACCTCTTATAACAAAGAATGAATATTATTGTTATGGCTTTTACAAAAATTTAATAGAACGAATGAAAAGTCATAAAGATGCTTTAAAGCCCGACGATAATAACATGAACTATGTAAATGTTTTTAAATACTTATTTATTATTTATAATTAAATATAAGAAATTTACCTTTTTTTTTTCTATGTCTGTGCAGAAATTGTGGGCTGTTTGTGATTTGGCTATGAATGTGATATACACTAAAACAACAAATTTCGATATGAAAGAATTCCCAAGTGAAACGCGGATTCCCACTATGTACTTTAAACGTGCAGATGAACTGATAGCTAATACTAGGAATTATTTACCTACTGAAATGCAAATAAATATGTCGAGCCCTAAAGGAAAAGTTTCACTTCATAATACACATTCTGTTAGTGAAAGACCACAACGTAGAGCCAAGTCCAAACAACAAAAGGAAGTGGGCATTGGGCCAAATGAAACTGATGCAAGGGTAAGATAATCGAAACAGTTTAAATTATAATTAACATTAATTTTTCGTTTATGATTTGAGAGAATAAAATTTACATAAATTACTATTTTTATTTTAATCATATATAGTATATACATGTATATGTATATGTATAGTGTGTTAAAAAATTTTAAGTATGTATGATATGATTTCAAGCTGCAAATTGGAGAAGTGGAATGTATTGATGCACAGGTAAAATTATTTAGAATTTCACTAGAGTATAGTATTTTGTATCATTTGTTTTGCAAATGATATATAACATATCATGATTGCAAATGATGCATAACATTGTAATTTCTTTACAGCCGGCAGAAGCATCAGAAACTAGAATTCAATTACCTGGATTAGAAGAAGAAGTAAGTAAATAAGTTTATATGTTAGATCGAAGCATAAAAAAGAATATAATTTTTCAGATCGAAGAACCACCGGCAAAGAGGGCATTAAGAGAATCAGATAAAGTAAATAAATAATTAAGTGAATGGATTGTATTGAAGAAGATGCTAGGAGTAGGGGAAAGACTTAAGAGACGGTGATGATCATAAGAATTAAAGAGTTTAAAGAACTTTACAAATTAGAAAACAGAATATTTTGGTTATGTACAACAATTAATAAACATGTCGTTCGCGTATGTCTAGACAGTAAGATGTTAAGATAATGATACATTAACGTCAAATAATTAATACATGTAAGCTTACGACTCAAAAACTTTTACAAAGTTACATCGCATTGGTAAAAAAATGAACAAATTTAGTATTTCACCATCCGGGATGTGTATTTGTTTTAATGATAAAAAGAATCATAAAATCATTTATCTTTTTAATTCTTTTGTATATTAACAAAGGTAATGGCATATTCATTAACATAAAGATAATTCTTTTAAAATTGATAAATGTATGATAAACATCATTTTTATAAAAGTTTTGGAAAATGTTTCTCAATTGAAGGTCTTTCTTCCTTGCGAAATATCTGACAATTGTTGTATTGTTCACTTTTGCATTAATGAATATAAATATTTGTACTGTTACATAGTATTTTCTTCACAGCTAAATGAAACTATATACGAAGGTTTTGTTATAAGTTCTAAACAATAAAATCTATATATATACATATTATCGCATATAACTGTAGTTTTCAGTAAAAAGAGAAAAAAGAAATAATCGAATACAAGTTTTATTACAAAAAACATGTATAAAACATACCTTTGTACGCAGAAGAGAACAACATAACGTTGTTGGATTTCTATAAACATCGTGTTCTAGATAAAAGAGTGGGTGTGTCAATTGGCTTTGTGATCCAAAGTTGTTTTATTTCTATTAATCTGATTATCATTATTATTCTTAATATTATTATCTTATTGCTATTATTATTATTTTATTAAACAAATTATGTCGTTTTGATTTTATAATAAGACATATATTGTCTCATAAAACTATCTCGTTTATACTTTAATTTTAAAATTAACTTAAATGAGATTTGGTCAGCGCACGGCCACTAATTAATTTATTTTAAACAAGGTGACCTTATAAATACTTCAATAGTATCTAATACATATATACATATAAATATATCTTTGATAAATAGTGCGCATTAATATAAAAACTTTTGTTATAAAAAATAATGAGAATACAATACCAATCTGATAACTGATTGAAGTTCATTATCCTCGTCTGTGACAGTTATTTTCGCATTAATGTCATTATTGTACATGCATTATAAACTATTTTCGTATCATTTTAATTCAAATTTGTATCCAGAGATAACAAAAAAGAAGTTAATGTTTTATGACACCTGCATGTTGTATTTACGGATATTTATATTTAGCTTATATATTTTCGTTTATTTCAAAGGCATCATTGTATTTTTACGATCAATCAAAAAAGTTGATAAAATGTATTAAGTATTTAATTTTGTTTACAGATTTAGGAAAGGAATTGGGTACAAATTTGAATGCAATTAAAATAATTTAAAATGGGCCTAGGTTTTATAAAATTTCCTTTTTCAACATTAGAATTCTTAGCATTAAGCAGTAAACTGTATTAAATTTTAAGATGAGAGTGAAAATTGTGTATGAGGCTGTGAATGAGGATGAGTGTTTGATCTTATTATATAAACATTATAGAATTAACACATACCTATTACCTCTTCATTGAAATTACAGTACAATGCATACTTCGCAGTTTCTAATTCTTTTTTCGACATTCATATAGATAACTTTATATTTTTCATGTATAAATTATTATTTCATAATTCATTACTCATACATTGTTACTGTTTTGAATTAACAAAATCTCTTACTGCGTATTTCTGTAAGTAATTTACAGATTTAGGCTACTATAAAATATGCTATGTATTATGTTCTACATTGTTATTGTAAAAAAAAATATGTTTCTGTGGGTATTTCATTGCATAGTACTGCAATTTTTTCAAACAGGTTATAGACTACAAAATATACATATTCTGACAAAAAAAAAAAACCAATTAATCAGTGCTATTCATCTGTCAATCTGTGAGACGTAAGTGACGCATTGTAACGGTTCTATAATAAAACAAATTAAGTAAAATGGTATGTATTTAATAAGATGTAGTTACAAGTATAAAAAAATTTGGTTTAACGTTTCCTAAAAGATTTCCTAGTATCCTTCTTTCCTCTGTCTAAATTGTGTGCGCCTTTTCTTTTCCTTTCATTTTTCTTAATGTTTGCCCTACAATAAATCAAATTTATTTATAAATGTAATATTATAATATGTAATTTTTAATGTGTATTATTACAATGAGATACATGTACTTACTCGTAACGCATTTTTTTTACAGCTTTCTTACTAGTGTCGGTCAAATCAGCAGCAAATGAAGATTTTAACCGTTTTAACGACCCTAAAATGTCATCAATTTTGGTAACTATATTATTAGCATTAAAACAAATAATTTGTCATAAAATATACCTCTTTTATTAGTCATAAATTTATCATCTACGACTGTACGGAGTTTCTTTTGTTTGTTCTTCTTTTTAGCTAATCTTGCTTGGAATGCCGCAATTTTTTCTAATTCTTTATTTGCCCTATCTTCCGCCGTTTCTTTTTTAGGTTCTTTGGATAATTTCTTTTTCTTATCTTTAACTACATTTGGAGCCTCATCACTTTGTCTTTTCTTCCCTTTATTAGCCTTCACCTGCTTTTCTGTTAGTGATAATTTTTCTAAAAAACAATAATATGAATTATTTTCTATAACTACATGTTTGTATCATTGCATTAAGATACCTTTTTCTTCTTTTCTTTCCTTCTGTGTTTGGAACCAAGTCCTTTGTACTGTTTTATTATCATCCTTTAGTAACTTTTCAACGCGATTTGCCTGATTTTCTATTTTAGCTAATTCTCTTTCATTTCTTTCTTCTTCTAAAATCTTTTTAATATCAGGTTCTAGAGATTGTAACTTTTTATTATATTTTTCTATTATATCGGGTGGTATTATTCGATTTTTTACTGGATTTTTTGCATTTTTGATAATTTCTTTAACCAAAGAACGTTCCTGTTCTCCAGCCAATGATACTGACACTCCAACACGACCAGCCCTAGCTGTCCTTCCTACTCTGATATATGAAAAGTGAGGATTATTTTTCCCTTCTTTGGGACGATAAGTTTGATCACTATAAATGTGTTAAACATATATAAATCAAATTATTAATACCTATGAATATAGTGTTGCATAGTTGCTGGCATTACGAAATTAATTACAGTTTTCACACCACTAATATCCAAACCTCTTGCAGCAACATCCGTTGCTAATAAAATATCTATTTCCTCGTTCTTAAATCTCCTCAAGTTTTCTAAACGTTGTGGTTGTGTAAGATTACCATGGAGTTCTCCAACCTATGGTACATATCATAAGAAAAATTATTTCTTTTTCAATTATATTATAAACTAAAACTGTTACATTACTCATTGAAATAAATTATATTTTAAATACCTTGATACCTAACAATCCTAATAGAATGTGCAGTCTATGAGCTTGTTTCTTTGTCTGCACAAAAACCATAGCATGATCATGAAAAGTTCTACAAACTAAAGCAGCTAAAACTGCTTCCCGATCGCCTTCTCGTTCTTTTCGTATTCTGTATGAAAAAATATATAACAGAATTTCATTAATACTTTGACAACATCTAATTATAGTTTTAATTTGTTTACCTAATAAATTCCTGACGCAAATTGAAAGCAACATCTTGATTACTATCTACAAATACTTTAACTGGTTTATCTAAAGATACAGCAACCAAATCTTTTACTTCTTCTGTCATTGTAGCTGAGAACAGCATTGTTTGTCTAGTTCTTGAACATTGCTGTATTATATATTTCATCTGTTCTGCAAAGTATTCATCTAACATCCTTAAATACAATTCATAATAATTTGTTAGTTATAATATACCAAATATAAATTAAACATTTTCTTGCAGTTTACCTGTCTGCTTCATCCAAAATCAGTACTTCAATGCTATCTAATGAAAATGTAGGTGTATTTTTCAAATGATCAATTAATCTTCCAGGAGTAGCTATTACAATATCTGGATTTTTCCTTAATACAGTTTCCTAATTAAGCAATGACAAATTCATTAAGAAATGTTTATTAACTTGCCATTTGCAGTAATGTCTGGTTAGGAATTAGGCCTGGAACCAGACATTACTGTACTTAGAGGTATCTAAATTTACATTGTATTAATTGTACATACTTGAACTTTTACATCTAAACCACCAACAGATAATCCTACTTCAATTGTTGTAAACTGTGCTAATTGTTTTGTAACTTGATACACTTGTACACCAAGTTCTCTTGTTGGAACAAGTACAAGAACTCGAGAAATAGCAGGACCATCTAATGGTCTATATAATAATCTTTCTAGAGTCGGTAACATATAAGCTGCAGTTTTACCAGTACCTGTTGCAGCACAACCACATATATCACGACCCATTAATGCAACAGGAATGGTAGCAGCTTGGATAGGTGTTGGATGGACAAAATTCATGGTTGTTATTGCCTATAATAAATGCATATTATCGATTATATTATCACGTTGTCCATTAAGTCAATTATCAATATATATATAATAAATGTATACCTTTAATAGAGGACGTGATAGATTCATTTGATAAAATGTTGCATGAGATTCTGAGTTTGAATATTCCTCAAAATCAATCGTTTCTTCATCATTTTCCTTGACATTTTTTTTCTTTTTATTCTTCTTTTCTTTTGTCTTAAATACATCTAATATAAAACACAATATTTATATTTAAGTACTTATATTTTATAATACTATATAATAAATAAATAGTATCATTACCTTTCTTAAGTTCATCGTCTGACAATGAAATTTCATCATCTTCTTTTTTAATTTCAGATGAATCTACAATGAAGTCATTATCTATTGTATTCTGTAAGAATTTATAAATAAAATTAGTTAATTAGTTAATAATCGCTATCGCGAAGTTTAATTGCATTATGGTCAGTTGATTGTTCGCATTATTTATCTATACTATGGCTTTGGAGACATTAATGAATCATCATGACAATTACACATATATATAATGATGTAAGTATTGACCACTTACTGTTTAAGGTATCAGTGATATGCAATTTATAGTACAGTGATGCAATATAGTTGCATACATACACATATTTTATTTCAAAAATTCTATCTATAAGGAAATACAGACCATAAGTATGACAGGTAAATACAAAACACTGACCTTTTGAACAGTGTTTTCTAATTTTTCTTTTCAACTAATATCTTAAATCCTATAGAGCTATAAAAAAAATATCTAAAATCTTGATTCATTGATAAATTATGTCTCAGTTACACACATGAAATCTAATATTGTCTTTTATTGGTCAATCATAAAAATTTTAAGAAAGCTGTATATACATATTTATGTAGCAAGGAAGTATCATATACACGTACTTCTTTCTCAGATTCATTTCGAATGTTTTTAATTTTATCATCCAGTTTTGTTTTAACTTTTCTCTTAATATACTTGTTTAAATCATTCCATGTATCTTTATTATAATCTGCAGCATCATTTAAAAATTGAAAATTCCTATCAAACTCTTTCTTTTCCTTTTTCTTTTGTTTATGAGGCTGAAACTATTGAAGCAGAAAATTATTTTTATGAATAAATACTGAAATGAAGTAATGTTACATTATATCTATGGTAAGCGAGCAAAAGAGTACAAGTCCACTTATACATACACTTTGTACACTTATAATACAAAGTACAAACATTTCTTCCTTTTTTGAAAATAATGCCTAATGCCATTTTGATCAAAATTTAATTTATATTCTTTTGCTTGCCAACCAAAGGTATACATATTGGTTAAGTATATCTTACATCGTCTTCTGCATCAGAATTTTCAGAGAAATCTGGCACTTCTTGATCATCCTCAATTGTTTTTATTAAATCATAATTATTATCCATTTTCCATTACAGAAATGCTGCAAAACTATATTTCAATGCTTAACCACGTGGTAACAACGAAAGCCACAAAAAACATGTGTTATGTAGTACCTTTACTGTCATACATATATAGATGACATATATATTAACGTGTAGTAATGTGTAACTGTGTAACTATTTGGATAAGTATATTACGTGTAACTAACACATCATTGGTTCAAGAATGAATTTTTATTATAATTTTTATTGCTTGAAAACAGTATTTATTATTGCACGAGGGAATAATATATATAAACAACAGGAAGTATTTGTTAATTAATTGTTTATTCCTTTGAAATCTTTTAAAATTTGACTATATACAATGTAAACATGTATGTACCGGTTTATAGCACTACAAACTATTCAAATACATATAATATATATACATATAGTTTGGTATAACCGTTGTGTGGATTATTCCAATTTTATTTAATTCATAACTTATGTTTTTTGAGGAAACATTATTAATTTGAATATTTGTGTATCATTATGGGTATTCTAGGTTTGGCTAAATTAATAGCAGATGTAGCACCACACGCTATCAAAGAACGAGAATTGAAGCATTATTTTGGTATGTTTTTAATCGTTTCAATAATTCAAAATTATGAATTACTTAAACTCAATTAGGTAAATTGCAAAGAAACTATTTTATATTTTACTTCAGGTCGTAAAATAGCACTCGATGCGCCAATGTGCTTGTATCAATTTCTTATCGCAGTTCGCAGTGAGGGTGCACAGCTAACTACAGCGGATGGTGAAACAACAAGGTATACATAATATATAGTATATGATTTCATGTTATAATTTTATAATATTAATTTTATATTACAGCCACTTAATGGGTATGTTCTACCGAACAATACGTTTAGTAGAACAAGGAATAAAACCAGTGTACGTATTTGATGGAAAACCACCAAATTTAAAAGGTGGTGAATTAGCTAAACGTGCTGAAAGAAGGGACGAAGCTCAAAAACAGTTACAAGCAGCAGAAGAGGCTGGTAATCATAGTTCTTGTAGAAATATCTTCATTTTGTTTTTATTTTAGTTAATCTTAGTGTTAAGCTGTAGTGTCTGTGAATGATAGTTAAGTTAAATTGCTATAATATATTTTTTAGGAAATGTAGAGGATATAGATAAATTTAACAGAAGATTAGTAAAAGTCACACAAGATCATACAAATGAAGCAAAGCAGTTATTGAAGTTGATGGGTATTCCCTATATTGATGTGAGTAAAAGGATGAAATTGTAGTTCCTAAGTTTTATTCTAATGTTATTCTTTTTTTTTTGTAGGCACCATGCGAAGCCGAAGCACAATGCGCTGCTTTAGTAAAAGCTGGCAAAGTTTTTGCAACAGCTACAGAAGATATGGATGCACTTACTTTTGGATGTGATGTTTTGCTTAGGCGATTAACATCCAGTGAAGCCAAAAAATTGCCTGTACAAGAGATTCATTTTGATAAAGTATTAGAAGGTCTTGAACTGAATCATAATGAAGTATGTGATGCTAATATTTTTATTATTTAATATACTTTGTATACCAATGTATACTTTGTTCATGTTCTTGATTTTTTACAGTTTATCGATCTTTGTATACTGTTAGGCTGTGATTATACAGGTAGTATTAAAGGAATAGGGCCAAAAAAAGCTATAGACTTGATTAAAACACACAGATCACTTGAAAAGATCCTAGAAAACATAGATACAGCGAAGTTTATAGTTCCTGAAGATTGGAATTATAAGCAAGCTCGACTACTGTTTCAAAAGCCTGAAATCATGGATGATGAGCAGATTGAAGTAAGGAAACATATATGTTGTTCATGCAGAATAGTTTTTACACTTGAATGTATGAAAAAGTAACAACAAAATATTTTAAGGGTAAATGTTCATATATTTATATTTTTGTTTTTTAATTTTTTTTTGAAGTTGAAATGGTCAGAACCAGACGAAGAGGGTTTAGTACAGTTTTTATGTGGTAAGCAATTTAATGAGGGAAGAGTAAGAAATGGAGCAACAAAATTACATAAAGCACGACATACTTCTACTCAAGGAAGATTAGACACATTCTTTAAAGTACTACCTAATCAAAATCTCAACTTAAAACGTAAAGTAAGTAAAGCTAGTAATAGTCGTTTTCAAAGTTACATGTTTAATAAAAACATATTTGTATTTGTATTATTGTAAAATAGGCAGAAGAAACAAATGCAGCAAATAAAAAAGGGAAAAAAGGTACGAAAGGAAAACCACGTGGAAAGGCAAAATAAATTTTTACCGTATTACTTCGAATTTATGATACACATGCTTGTATACAAGTATGATCAATGTTTGCTATGTCTGTCTTAATATTACTGTAAGCATTAGGTCTCAAATTTTTACTCACAATTTTTAATCTATAAGATTATTACAATAAACACAAGTGTATCTAAATCTTTGTACTTTTATTTCATAAAATAGATTATACATATTTAAATAATATTTTCTATTTCATATGTGTATACACGTGCCACCTAATATTTGTCAGTGTTTTCATAGTACATTTTTTTAGTACACAGTTTCGTTGATTCATTCATATAAATAGTTAACAATGCAAAATGATAAAAACTGTGTGATTATATATACATATTTTTATTACAGCATTTAATCAGTCTTGATTTTAGCACCAAATGTATTAATTATGTTTCTGTGGGGCGCGAGAAATTTAGTTTAATATCGGTTGATATTTGGCAGTATCGACATTATTTACAATGTGTAGTTGATAAAGATCGTATATTTACGTGATTGAAAAGAAAATTTCCTCTACTTACAAAATTCAATTGTCACTGAAATGTTATTATAGTACTACCAATGGCATTTGGATCTAGTATATGATGTAGTGCTTGTTCAATATAATGAGGTCCATATACTTTATCTACAACCATTTGCAACTGGTCAGCATCAGCTAAATCGCACAATGCTTGAAGGTACGTTGACCTGATCTTTGAACCTTCTTTCCATTGATGGATATTAAATCCAAACATATACTGTAATAAATTACAGTCAATTAATATTTGATACAATAGCATAACTTCAGAAGTTCTCCTTATAATTACAAACTTTTTAGTACCTGTACTAGCAATTTTATTCGTACACATCCAGCAAATATGCTTCCAAATACAAAACCTAATGAATCGGAAGTCAATTGTTCTGGAATTGTCGATACGTAAGAACCATAAGGTAATAAATGTTCTTTTAATATACATTCGTCAATTGGTTGGCCTCCAGTATAAAAAATAGCATCATACCTAAAAACAAATATTTTTTAACATTAATTACAATTAAAGCAAATATGGTATACATTTTACTTAACAATCTTAGCATTGTACATACTTATCATATAGTTCTAATTCCTTTTTAATATCTGAACCATTTAATGATATCACCTCGTCTGCTCCTAAAGCTTTTGATACGGGAATTGCGTTTGGTCTACACATTGTAATTACATATCCTCCCCACAACTTAACTAGTTGTGTTATAATACAACCAACGGGGGTATTTCCACCATATATAAGTACTCTATAAAAAAAAAATGGTAAAACTTAGTTTTTACATGCAAACAATAGTATCAACCTGTGTATAAAATTATACCGTTTTCCTTTCGCGTTGCCTTCTTCAATTGTAGACCTATTAACTAATGCATCCCAAGCTAAGCATCCATTATAAGGAAGGCTTGCTGATGTTTCAAAAGTAAAACGTTTTGGTCGTTTAACTACTTGAGTTTCAGGAATAACTATGTATTCTGCCATTGTACCAGGAGCCCATGAAGGTACAGCTAAGAATACCTCATCCCCAATATCAAAATTAATAACACTTTGTCCTATGCCTATCACTACTCCAGCACAGTCTCTGCCTAATATTACTGGAAGTTCTTTGTGTTTCTAGAAATAAATGGCATTTTTTTAAACGTACATCAATGATTAGTTCTAATAACGATAAAATAATTTAGAAAACACCTTACCCCAGAATTAAGGAGTCTTCTATAAATTTTAGAGTAACCATAACAAATTTTCGTATCGACCACATTAACTGAGACTGCTTTAACTTGCACTAGCAACTCATTAGATCTTTGAATCATAGGCATTTCTGCATCATCTATCATACACACTCCCTGAATTAATTATAACAAAATTACACATTTTTATATTCAATTTATTTCAATTATATGTCTACATTACATATTAAAAAGTATTTATGTAAGAAATTGTTTAATACTGTTTATGTCAGTGCAAATTATTTTGTACAATTTCACTTAATCAGTAAAGAAGTTTAGCACTAACATAAACAACTTAATGTATGATTTCATATAAACACTTTTTGTATGCAAACTAGTTATATATTATACAATACCTCAATACCAATATAATGGTGGCATATTACGGCTTTAATATTGTGCATATGATGAGATACGTGTCCCCAGGTAATACCATAATAGTATCCAATTAAAGTACCCACAATAATACCTGTTAGACAAAATGCAAGTTCCCTTCTTGACACTGAAACAAATAGTTCTAATTTATTACCAGCAATGTTACAACCATAGACCAATATTCATATTTTTTCAGTTATTCAAATACCTTCATTGTAACATAGAGATTCTATTTGTTTATAAAATCCTTCAATACTAAAATGTGCATTATAATACTGAAATTTCAACTGTTTCCAAGCTGTTTCAAGCCATCTAAATATGTGTTGTATAATATCTTTCACATTTTGCACATTTTGTTTGTTGTATAATTCATAAAAAAATTGATGTACTTGTGCCAGCCATGCTGTGATCCATTGTTGTCCTTGCTGGGCAACTAATGATGACTTAATCTATTCCAAAAAAATATTAATAGTAAAAAATGCACAAATTGAATAGGCCATAAATAAGCAGATTTGTTATATTATATATCAAATCTTACTACACTGTAGATTCTGATAACAGGAGTGAAAAATAAAGTAACTCATTTTTTCACAATAATTAATTACCTGAAGTGCTTCAAACTGATTTGATAGATGGAACCAGATCTCATCCATGATTTATGACCAGCTTGCTTTGATTAAAAATTTTAATTTAATGTAACGTTTTACATTATATATCGTTAACAATGTAAATCTGTACAAAGCAGCTGGCTAGTTAGAAATGCAGCTCGGTAGTGATATAAATAAATGATTAACACATTACGTATAACTCGAAATAGATATCAAGTACCTGTTTTAAAGTATGACTCCTTTCTGAACATCAGAAATCGTACCTTTTCGAATAATTGCGTTATATGCTATATAAGCTTCATCATCGGGTGACCTTCAAAAAAACTTTTTTACGGAAAGATTTTATTTAAGATAGCATCATACTTTTTCTGTGTTAAGTGAAACAGGTTAGTTTCAGTACCTAATGTGTTTATACGTAAATGTATTTAAGTTTACTACATGACATAACAACGATTGTGCAATTATTGTCACGTGTTGTAACTGCAATACTAGCGAAATCTAGTGGCTGCAGATACAAAAAAATATCACTCAAACTCCCTTTGATTCTATCTTTTTTTTAAATTAATTATAATCAGTACAAGATTGAGATATTATTAAAATAATTGTTTGACAAACTCGTATTCTCAAACTTGTCGTTTTAAAAGACCGCCATAAATTAAAATTTTTTAAAATTCGGATGTAGCGCCATCTATAAAGAAATCGCGGAAACTACTTGTCGAGTAGTTTCAGCCGTTTTCGTATAGATGGCGCAACGGTCGATTTTAAAAAATATTTTTGGGGTATCAGGGACCCCGTAGCATCATTTGCCTCTGCATACCGACCTACCATTGGGGTTCCAAGGACCCCTATTGCAGCGCCACTTGCGCCACCTATCGGGAAATTGCGGAAACTACTTGTCGAGTAGTTTCAGCCGTTTTCGTATAGATGGCGCAACGGTCGATTTAAAAAATATTCTTGGGGTATCAGGGACCCCACGCATCATTTGGCTCTGCATACCGACCTACCATTGGGGTTCCAAGGACCCCGATTGCAGCGCCACTAGCGCCACCTATCGGGAAATTGCGGAAACTACTTGTCGAGTAGTTTCAGCCGTTTTCGTATAGATGGCGCTATAGTCGAATTTGAAATTATTTACTATAAAGGGTTTAATTTTACAATTAAACTTTAATTAACGTTTTAATTTTTATGTTAGTTGCACACACTCGAAAACTGTCGAAAACAAAAGCATGTCCACTTTTGTTGGATCTGTAGTCACTGTAAAGATATAATTAATTGTTTAAAACATTAAAAACGCACAGCTTTATGTATGTATGCATAATATTATTTAGAGAATGTCAAACATTTTACAAAATTATTGATCATTATGACGCTGTTTTAATTATTTTTTGCAGTATACATGATTGATCAAAAAGATAACATTTTTAATATCAATTGTTGAAAAAGTACAATTAAAAAATTCGTATAAAGTCATTCATAATTTAAAATAGTTAATTACAAAAAATGTATTATTACAGGAAACGTTGTTGAAAGAAGAATATTTGCAAAGGTTATAAATCAGTTCAAAATGGCAAGCACAGGAGGTAATGTACTACCTAAATTTCGTAACACTTTTAAAATAGCAACAAAAGATCTGATACAATGGTTCCCTGGACATATGGGCAAAGGTGTGAAACAAATGCAACGGCAACTGAAAAATGTAGATTGTATCATTGAAGTGCACGATGCAAGAGTTCCAATTTCTGGCCATTATGCAGATTTTAGCAATTCTTTAACTGGATTAAAGCCACATATTTTTATATTAAGCAAAATGGATTTAGCTGATATGAACCTGAGAGATTCTATTATAGAGAATTTAAAACAAAAGGATTTATCTAATGTGTTATTCACTAATTTGAAAGATACAACTTGCAAAGGGCTTAAGAAATTATTACCTTTAGCACAAAAATTAATTAAAGAATCAGACCGTTTTAATAGAGCACAGGAATCTACATATCAAATGATGATTATTGGTGTTCCAAATGTAGGAAAATCTTCGCTTATTAATCGTTTAAGGAATATTAATCTTCGTAAAAGTAATGCAGCACATGTTGGTGGTGTTGCTGGTATTACAAAATCTGTATCCACAAAAATACTAATATCACAAAATCCAAATATCTATGTCTTGGATACACCTGGAATTTTAGCTCCTAGAATATATGATGTAGATACTGGTTTAAAATTAGCATTAGTTGGCTGTATGCAAGATCATTTAGTAGGACCAGAAGTACTTGCAGATTATTTATTGTTTTGGTTAAATAAATGTAAAAAATTTGAATATGTAGAAAAATTAAATTTACCAGAACCGAATGATAACATATTACATGTTCTTACATATATTGCTGCGAAATTAAAAAAAACTGTAAGACTAAAAAACTATGATGGACAGATTATTCAAAAACCAGACACAAGATTTGCAGCAGAACATTTTATCTCCATGTTCAGGAAGGGAGAGTTAGGTTACTATTGCTTAGATGAAGATATATTAAAATGAACAATAAATTAAGTACCAAAAATAGAAATAAAAAAATAACTGCAAATAATATAATTGACACTGTATATTTAATTTGTATACATATATGTAAACAAGTAGTTTTACTAAATATGAAGAAGATTGAATTTATTACTTATCTAGATTTAAAGAAACAGCTAGAAATGAATTTCTAATTAACATATAAAAATGTTTTTATTCAGGGGACAAAAAACGTTAATAACAATACATATTAAATAGTATTCAACAATTGTGTAATAGCAATAACAATAATAAATATAAGTTGAAAGTTTAATATGAATTGTTGAACTTTATTATAATCTATTAAAGTGATATACATCATCACAGATTTCTGTCTATAATAAAAGATAAATTTTTTATTCGTGGAATAAATACATATTCGTAAATAAATTGTCGCCCATTAAGCAGTTGGTTTCATAAGTCCCGTTATATCGGTAGCATTTCTTTCGACGTATTCCAAAGTCCTGTTAGTTTCACTGCATGAAACTTCGTCGAGTATGATAAGTTTTGAATCTCACTCGTCGAATTATTAGAATATTTTCAAATTTAAATTACAAGTAACTTTTTAATTATATTCAAAAATTTAAAGAATAATAAATTTTATTATTAAACGACAATTGTAGTGAAAATGTTTGCAAGATTTACGTTTTATCCAACGCTTTTATATAATGTATTAATGGAAAAAGTTTCATCACGAAATTGGTATGATAGAATCGACGAAGTAGTTATATTAGGTGCCCTACCGTTTCGCGGTATGACAAAACAGGTGTGTACTTATAAGTTATAAAATTATATATATAATTAATAATATTAATGTCACATAATGTATAAATATATAAAAACTGTACTATTTAAAATTTCAGTTAATAACTGAAGAAAATGTTAAAGCTGTTGTATCGATGAATGAAGATTATGAACTACGAGTATTTTCTAACACTGAAAAGGTACACCAATTATAAGCTACAATTAATAATGTTTAGTAAAAATAATATTGAATTGATACGTACTTTTTATTTTAGGAATGGCAGATACACAATGTTGAATTTTTGCAATTATCTACAACAGATATATTCCAGTCACCTTCACAAGAAAAGTTACTACTTGGTGTAAATTTTATTAACAAGTTTCATAATATACCGATTAAACTAAATAAATCTAATATCGATGACGAAACTTACCCTCATGGAAGTGTTTATGTACATTGTAAAGCAGGAAGAACGCGCAGTGCAACATTAGTTGGGTGCTATTTAATGATGGTTAGACAGAAAACAATATTAGATCACATTTGAAATGGGCAAAATGGATATTTATAATTTAAAAATAATTTTTAGAAAAATCAATGGACTCCAGAGGAAGCAGTAGCATACATGAAACAAAAAAGACCTCATATACTACTACATACAGCACAGTGGAATGCGCTACAGATTTTCTATAAAAATCATATAGAGAGTAGTAAATTATTTAAATAAATACAAGATTTATAAATCTGTTATTATTGTTACAATAGTATGTACAAAAAACTTAATTCGTTATAGACTAGTTCTGAACGACTATTTTCCTTGTATATATTTATAACTTACTTTGTAAAATAGAATTTCAACTGTTTTTTACATGTGTAAATGCAAAAGTTCTAGCTTCTTCAGCTGCTTCGTGTATTAGATGTTTCTGTGAAGCTTCTGAAATATTTATGGTTCTCATACTAGCAACTAAAGACGGATCAAAACCTTTGGTTGGAACATATTTTGCATTAAAAACATCAAGAACGATGTTCATCCACGTTCGTGCATTAAACGAATCAGATACAAGGTCCTGTATGAAATAAAATATTTTAATTAATTAGTCTACATAAGTTTAAAATAATTTGTTAATATGCTTTCTATACCTGCGGTACAGAACACCATGCTTTTATTGTTCCATTATGGTGTACAATAATAAGTATTGGCATATTTGGATAAAGAGATACAGCTTCCTGAAGTGATAAATGCACGAGGTTCTTATGCAAACAATGAACAACAAAAGAAGGCGTTGCGTTGAATTCATTTTTTATCTCCATATTTATAAAAGACCTTCAGAAAATAATACGAATAAATAAAATAAGTTACATTTGGTATGTGATCATGAATAAAGTGTAATACTCACTTTTCTATTTCTTTCGCTCTCATCTTAGCGAGATCATTTAAATCTTTTAATTTCAGTAAACAGTCTTCTTTAATAAGGTATGGTATTGATACTTCTTCATTATCTTTATTATTCATTTCATGCTCAATTTCTTTACTAATTGATTTAAATGTTTCATATGTAATTTCTTCAGTTTTTAATTTTTCCTCTAAATCAAAAATTCTAGACTGTACTTTTTCAGCAATTAATTTAGCAACTGTTGCAAGTGGTCCTACAACAGCTTTAACATTAAAATTTGCCGATCCTTTTGAATAGTAACTTTGGAAATAAAAATGTTCTAATATTCCTGTTTTAAAAACGTGTGTGCCGCAACATGCTTCTCTAAACAAAGTATAGGATACTAATTGTCATTAAGAATAAAACTACATGTAACGTAAAAATGCACAAGGAATACTTACTTTGATTTTAAATTCAGCGAATCTATTTCTACAACTCTGATACCCGTATAAGGATAGATTTCTCCAGGTATTAATGATACAGAATCTTCTGTTAACAATTCTAATGAATTTAATACTTTTGTAATGATTGGAACATTGGCTTCTATAGCGCTATTTACACGTTTTTCGATTTCTTCCAGCTGCTTACGAGAAAGTTTTTCTCCAAAAGAATTAAATTGAAACTTTAAATTATGCGGAAGAATGAGAGAATTACGCGGATAAACTCCCTGAATAATTTCCTTTACACATGCATTTAACAGATGTGCTGCAGTATGATGCTGCATTGTTCCAATTCGAAATTCAGGTAAAATAGAAACTATACAACTGTCACCAATTTTTAATTTTTCACCCCAAATTCTGAAGAAAAAATATCTTCATTATATTTTCTAAATATCAACTACATGTATGTAATTGCTTAGAAAAGAATTAATACTTACTTTAAATCGCTTTGATTAAACTTTCCGAAGTGTATAACATAATCATTAATTTTTCTCACATTATTTATACTGAAATTTAACTCTTTTGTACTAATGGAGCCTTTATCTGACACTTGACCACCTTCCAATGAATAACATACTGTTTTATCCAGTATAATTCCAATTTCATCTTCATCCGATTTTATACCATAATTTGCAGTATTTTTGGATATAATGGAATATATATTTTCGTCTCCTCGGTTAAATATTATGTTATCTAAAATAAATACATTTTTATGCTTTATTATTTGTGTATAATTGACACTAAATGCACATGTAGTAACTGACAAATTGTACCATTTATTATTAATGCTACAATTTTACTGTCAATGGTAGGGAATTGATAATTATCTCCATCATGAATATATTTATACTTGAAACTGTCATCAGTTTTAAGTACATGATTTTTCTGAAGCGTTTCCAGAGATTTCCTTAGCATCACTTCACTGCTCTTTACTAAGCCAATTCTTGATTGATTCCTGAGTTTTTCTAATTCATTTTGAAAGGCTAGACTATCGAAATTTAATGATTCAACTTCTGCTAGTTCACTTATTGTTTCTACACTTAAACCATGTGTATCATATAACTTAAAAGCAACTTTTCCTGTTAATATATCAGTTGCTTTCCTACAAAATTCATAGAAGATTCATAGAAAAACCTATATCCTATATCATGTCGAGTACACATAAATTCTGTTAATATTTACAATTCTTTAAGTGTACTTTGTAGATACTTATATCCATTTACTAGTCCAGGAGCTGTCCATTCAGATATGGATACTAGTTGAGGACGTGTTGCAACAATTTTTTTCCATTCTTTACCAGAAGTATTTTGTAATTTTATATATAATTCTTCTTCAAATTTTATTATTTTCTGTACCTAAATTACAATACGATATTAAATTATGTTTCATATTATTATGATTTCATGTTGCATATTACCGTTTTAAGATTATCCTGCAATTCTGGATAAACATCTCCTAAATTTTCTGCTACAGCATACGAGAGTTCATGAAGTATTCCTTGCTTCTTAAATATCTTTTCACCTACATCAATTGCTTTTCTTATTATTTTTCTAAGTTTATTACTGAAAATGTTTACACTTACAATAATACATCCCTTACTGCTGCAAATATTTAAGACTTACCTTTGTTCTGGAATCATTCCATCTGCTAGAGCCACAGAAATCATTCTACTATGATCTGCCAATACCCTATATCCACTGTCAAGTCCAACTTCATCATTATAAAATTTACCCTCATAATCTGGAGCTTTTGTATACTTCTGAATGGCTTTAAAAAGAGGCTGGAAAAGATCTGTATCATAATTTGAGCTTTTTCCTTGTAATAATGCAACTAATCTCTCAAGTCCCATGCCTGTATCAACATGATGTTTTGGAAGAGGTACTATTGTACCATCTGTTAACCTACCATCAAACAATACACTGTAGTTAACTTTTAGATCTTGTTTATATGTTACATACCTTAGGTATTGTATGAAAACTATGTTCCATAATTCTGTGAGAGCTGAAGAAGCTTTATTAACTTGCACTGATCGATTTGATAATTGTTTTGTATAATCTATATGTATCTCTGTACAAGGACCACATGGTCCTGAGATTCCCATTTCCCAGAAGTTTTCTTGTAATCCAAATGGTATAATTTTGTCTTTTGCAACACCAATACTTAACCAAATATCTCTACATTCTAAATCAGGTTCTAATTTCAATTTTTCATCTCCACCAAAATAAGTTACATGTAAAAATTCTTTATTAATATTATATTGGTTTGTTAATAGATCCCAAGCATAACGGCATGCCTTTTCCTAAATATGTAAATTTGTGTTGTTTAGTTGAAATTAAAAAGTAGTAAATCATTCTGAGATAATGTACTTCCAGAAGTTTACCTTAAAATATTCTCCAAAAGACCAATTTCCTAACATTTCAAAGAATGTGTGATGATAACTATCACTTCCAACTACATTTAAATCATTGTGTTTTCCACTAACTCTAATACATTTTTGTGAGTTCACAGCTTTCAGCATAGGTGGATCATAATAATTTAAGAAAACTCCCTTAAACTAAAAAGCAAACAATACTTATTAATATGTTTATTACAATAAAGATATAAAAGTAATTCATTACAAAGAAGTTCAGAGAACAAACTTACTTGATTCATTCCAGCATTAACAAATGCAACTGTATGATCATTAAGAGGTACAACAGGACTTGATCGAATAAAAGTATGTCCTAAATCTTGTTTAAAATAATCTAAAAATTCATTTCTAATTAAGTTTGCACTTTTTTTTATTGGACCAGAAGTATTAGAACAGTATGATCGTACTGACAAAATAAAATTCATGTCTTTTCTTTATTAAAGTATATTTATAAGTACATACACCATACATTAGTGTATTTTGAAACATTAATATATGTACATACAATATTATGTAAAACCTTTCAAACTTTAATTTTTTCAAAATTATATAAATTACGTATATTTACATTAACTTATAACAAAAGTATGGTTTAATTAAAAAGAATATTTCTTCAATTGGTTAAAATTACACGATATATTTTCAAATCTTGTTACTATATATATAGTAACAAATAATACAAAGTGCCTGGTTAGCATTACTTTTTTGCAGTGAGTTCATTTTTTTTTTAATTTAAACACTATTTATATCAATCCATTTATTACATAATGATAATGCTATACTTTGTTGATAAGCATTAAAATTTTTATATTTTCAACAGAAGAAATGTGTATTTATTCATGAAAATGTGACTTATTTGCAGATAATCTAGTGACTTTTGTCGTTCAATCTATTATAGGTGGCAATAGATAACATGAAACATTGCTTTCCGTCAAAAGTGTTCAAGGTGGAAATCGTTGACGCCATTTCGTATCTCGTTTCGCTGTTAGCGTCACGAAAGTTTTGTCCCTTTTTACTTTAATTTAATTTTGCCAAAACGTCGCAGCCACATGTAAGTAGTAACGTAATTTTTGTAGTGAAATATTCGATGGCCGAAATGATCTAAAAGAAATGTCCAATTTTGTGTGGTAAAGAGATTTCGCATATCGTCAATTACTACTAGGGCACGCCAAGGGCCGGTTGTTTTTAGATATCCTTTTGTATTATATTCCCATATTATTCTATTTTGTTTCTAATTCGATTTAAAATAAATTATTTCACTTCTTTCGGTCATAATAATTACGTTTAAGTAGAAAAATGTAATTGATTCCCTTTTTTTATTGATAAAAACGTGATAACTTTCATGGCCTTGAAAAAAAGTATATAAGCGTCTTCTGCGTTTACCGGAAAAAATACCCATTCAAAATTTTCTAAATAGCTTTCCCCTTAAGTTCTTTCAGCAGTTTAAGTTTAAAATTTATAAAATTAAAATAATTTTTTTATCTTGTTTTATTTGGAAAAAAAAATACAAAATTATTTTATTTGCAATTTCAGACACCTGTTCTTTTTTGTGATTGTAAAAACGTAAAACACTGAATTTTTACGTATAATGTATAATCATGTAAGTTTTATGCATTTTTTTAATATTCTTGAAATGCTGTAGATTCTCCATTTCAGGAAATTTCAAGGAAATGTTAATGCTTACATGTAACCATTTCTTCCAAAGGTATTAATTTTTAATGCATATATAAGTACTTAAAAATGTTTATAATTTACTTTTTTATAGTATTCATTTCTTATCATAATATTATTCTATATGTATTTATTGATATTACTAATGTTACAGTTAAATCGAAAGATGGAATTCACTTTTTTAAGTACAATAAATTTTCTATATTTAAAAACATATTTTCTTAGCATTACTATACAATGTATTTTATAATACATTTATAATTAATTTATTAAAAAATTTGTTTACTATGAATCAATTGAATCAAAGATATTTCTAGTTCCGATATAAATCAACTTGTAAGCATCATTTCAATATTTAGTTAATAGTTCACCTGTTTCTAACGCTTCAGTTATTTTTTATCATTATTTATCTTAAATTGTTTATAAAGAACATTTAAAAGTTTTTTTTTTAATGCATGGTTTAGTTCTGTTATATATATTAGTAAGATACAATATTAATATTGAATGTTTTATTTTGTGTAAAATATTATTGTGATTATAACTGTGAATTCTTATTGTATGATTAAACTAAAAAAAAGTAAAGTTTCATAAGTTTTACAGTTTTGTAACAAGAATAATCATAAAAATTTTACTACAAAAATTACATGCTTAAAAAGTTGATTCAAACAAAAATGTAATCTTGTTTGTGTATAAAATTATAATACAAATAATATTAATTGATATAAATGATTCCAAAATGTTCTATAAATTATTGGAAGAATTGTACAAAGCGTTACATGTATATTAGTTATAATTATTATAAGCATTAATATCAAAGTGGAATCATTTAAAAAGTGAAGCAATATAACTACAGAATATCAATTAATAATATTCTTTTTTTATTTTCAGAAAATGGTTTCATCTAATCAACCGGTAAGAACAATGCTAATAGTAACTTGTATATTTTCATTTGGTATTATTTGATGACTTCATTATTTATTTATTATGTATCAAAATTTAATTTTTTTACTAAAAAGCATTAGTTAAATGATATGATATGTTCCTGGGTATGTAAAATGTATATTTTTTTTTTTTTTTGTACAAATTCGTATGTTTTATACAAATCTTTAGTTACTTATTTTATATTTTAGAATTATAATGTTATACATAATAACGTGATAATTATAATGTTGATGTTGATTAGTAATTGTTGCTGACAAGCTCGGTGATATTACATTATCATTAACATATGATTCTTGTAATAATGATAATAGTTTTGAGCGAGATGAAATCTCTAACAGACACCATGCTTTTATGATAATAGAAGTATGATCGTTTTAGAGATACAACAAAACTACTTTTTTTGTAATTTATATTTAGCTATATATTATATACTTTATATATAAGTGTATATATATATATATATATATATACATGTATGTGCATGTGTTATAATTAAGTAAATAAATATAATGTAGAACCGTTCCTAATTAGATATTTTAATTTTGCAGAGGAAAACAAAAATATTTGTGGGTCGGTTACCAGAAAATTGTCGCAACGATGAGTTGCGAGCATTATTTTTACGTTTTGGTGAGGTAACTGAGTGCGATGTCATGAATCGGTATGGGTTTGTCCACATGGCGCGCGAGGAAGATGCGGCTGCAGCGATCAAAGCGCTTCACAATTCCAACTTCAAAGGGGCGACAATCAATGTGGAACAGTCTACCGGCAAATCACGTGGAGGAGGAGGAGGACGCAGGGATGGCGACAGAAGAGGTGGACCAATGAGAGGTGGTAGAGGAGGACGAGACGGTGGTAGAGACGCTCGTCCTGGACCTTACAATGATAGAAGAGGTTTGTATAACTTACATTTTATCATACTACATTTTAATGAAACCATTTTCTCATTATCAATTATAAATTCATTCAATATTTCTAACATATTAAGTATATGCTATTTAAAGGTACAGTTATTATTCGATGAAGATTTTCTTGAAAAAGAAAATCATCTGTTTTATTCTACGATTACAAAGTGTTGTTGATACAAGTTCTGTGATAATAGCATATACTTATTATAATGTAGTATAATGCAATAAAGTGCAATGAGAAAATGGAAAACTTAAAAATATATATTTATGTGTTTTAATACAGACTAAAATACCAATTGGATATCTCGGCATGCTTTGCAGTTCTTCCGATCCAACTCGTTGGTTACGATGGATCTGCTGCAGGTGGCGTCGCAACCGGGTACACCGATTACAATCGTGGCGCTGGAGACTTTAGTGGACGTGGGGCTGACTTCGGGACCGGATACACCGACCGTGGAGCGTACGGGCAAAACGTGGGTAGCGCGGCGATGGGCTACACTTCAACAGCGCCTGGAATGGGAGGAGGATACGGACCAGCCACCGGAGCAGTTGGAGGATACGGACCTACCGGGACAGCTGACTACGGCCGAACAGACTATAGCCGCGCTGCAGATTTTGGAGCTAGAACAGATTATGGTAATTATTATTTCATTTAGCTCGATAGCTATTAACTATAGCTGTTCGCTTTACAATCATTCTAACATAAGAATGTTTATGTTTGCAGTTGTTGGAGGTGGAATGACTGGGGATTTTAGTCGTGGCGCACCAGGTCCAATGGATTATGGACGTACTGATAACTTTGGTGCAAATCGCACTGTTGATTATACAGCTAGAAATGATTATGATCGAACTGCAACAGGACCTATGAGAAATGGTGGTGGTGCGGTTGCCACTACTGGGTATGGCACAGGGTACACAGATGTAGGATATGATGAAAGCCACTGGTAATCTTTTATTTGCTTTTCAACATTGGATATAAGATTTAAGATAATAATTTCGGTATTCTAAATTTAAACTAACATAACGTGCATATTTGAAAAACGCGGTATCAGAATAAAAAACTCTTGTATGACAGTTCAAACACAAAAATGCTGAATTGAAACTTCATTTTTATTCTAACCTGTAATGCTTGAACTAATTCATAATTTCTTAAATACAATATTACATACATACCTTTGATTAATCACGCTTGAGAAAGATTTTCTGGTGCATTATACAGGATAGAGTGAAAATAAGTTAATATATTCGAATTGTGTATGACACAGGGGTTATCCGGGCGGGCCTGGGGATATGATGGGTGGGCCCGGGGGGGTAAGTCAGGGAGCTACGATGGCCTATGACAGGAGGGATGGTCCCCCTGTTAATGATATGCCTCCGTTTAACAGGCCAATGAGTACAGGACCCAGCTACAGCACTGGGGCACCTAGTTACAGTACTGGTCCAGGACCACAAGCAGATATGTTTAGTAGAAGACCAGGCAGTGCTGTCCCCAGTGGTGGATATCCTCCTGTTGGTGGAGGGTAAGTTAGAGAATTAAATTTATTTCAATCACTGTAAATAAGAAGATGAAATATGAAAGAAATTGAATTTTTGTTTTAGTTATACCGAAGGATACGACAGACCAGACGCATATGGTCCTCCGCGTAGTGGTGGACGGTAAGTTTTCTTATCATTACTATTACATTTTAACATATCACACTTTTCACACGAATGCGTTTTTCAAAGTGACACTTATTACACAGCGTTGAAGAGCGATGTTAATTAATGCGAATAATGATCGTTCGTTAATCAGGCGACCACGCTCTTTTTGCGCAACGTTATTACATTCAGTTAAACCACTGATCCTCAATGTGTTCACGTTTCTTATGCGGATCGAATTAGGTTTAAATATATTTTCTGTAAAAGTATAAGGTGTGACACTTAGCGCGGGGGGAATAAAACCTTTCTTGATCATCGAAAGCGTACATTTGTGCATGCTACGGCACACTGTTGATCTTGATTGTTGACGAAATACAAAGATAATCGTTCTGCGACTTTTCTAATGTCGAGTGTGAAAGAGAACAGAGGTAGTTGTGTATTTCTCGTTTCAAATTAAACTTTGATGTTTATACGTTAGAAGATTTTCTTTTAATTTCATCTAATAATCTAAAGTTTATCGATGAATCGAAGCATGAAAATATTTTATCAACAAGTTTTTAACTATTTTTAATTAAATTTTAAATAGTGTAGTCTACAGATGATGCATTTAATATTGAAATCAAGAATTTGAATTACTTTGTATGTATAAAATCAGTTCTCTGAATAGTAAACCTTTCAATTTCTTTTTTTTTTTCTTATGAAGAATTTACATCTTTAGATCTTGGTTTTTTTTTTTTTTTTTTTTTTTTAATATACTCTTATGGGGGACGTTCGTTTTTATTAGTTTTCTTAAATGCTACCTCTCTTCTTTTATGTACTCTGCGCCAAAAGTCCGCGAAATTCAGCGTCCACGTCGAGAAGGTATTTGCGAGTAATCGGCCGATGATTTTGGCAGATGATAACGATGACAACAACGACGACGTTAAATAAACCATAATGCGTTACGACACACTGCGCCGTCGGTATTCGTGCATATCAATATACGCACGAAATTCAATAGAATTCATTTTTTTTTTTCTTATTTTTTTTTATGAACGTTGTACAAGAAACAATGCGTAATCAAGATGCATATATGTACGTAGAAAGGAAGCTCGGTTCGCCACGATAATTGCGTTTGCGTTTCTTATTTGTCACGCGTCTCTTTGCCAAGAAATGTTGCAACCGAACAAGGTAGCAAGACAATTTTGCCGATTTTATTCCGAAATTTCACGCTCTAAACGCATCGTGGTTCGCGGTTATTTAAACGTTATCGATCAACTGTTTTGCGAAAATGGCGAGAATGACGCCTTTTTATGCGGCGATAAAATAGCTTTAAACATGTGATAACTTATCAGACCTGGGCACATGTGTACGGCGTTTCTTAAATAGAAGCGTTTATCAATAGGGGATTATAAATTGGCGGGTTTTCTTTGTTACCCCTTTAGTTGGACTCTGCACAGTGCTGAGTACAGATCTACGAGGGCGACGATAAAAAATTTTTTGTTTCTTCTTTCCTACTTTCTCAAAGTTACTTTAATTTTTCTAATTTGATTTCTCTCTATTCTTTCAATTTTCTTCACTAAAGAATTTTCATAGAATCTCATTCCCCAGGTCTGTAAGTTGTATATCATTCGGTAAATGTGTGTTATGCATTCGTTGCGAGAATGAGAACCGAAAAAAAAAAAAAAAACGAATCAGGTTTCCGTACATCGTCGTATGATTGAAAAGATACGAATAATTGTCGAAAATTCGCGCGTACCAGTGTTACATCTTATACTTTCCAGCATTTTGTTTCGCCGCAAGGCGATTAGATGGAATTAATACTGCGATTTTTCATTTTTTGACCTTTTAGCTTCCCAGGTCCGGCAGACGCGATGCCACCGAGGTACTAAAAGCGTACTAAAGCAAAATACTAAAGCGCATGCGAAAGGCACCCTTAAACAAACAAACAAACAAAAAAAAAACAAAAAAAAAATACAAAAAACGAAAAATACAAAAAAAAAAGCCTCTTTAGTGTGGTGGTCATTCGGCTTACGGAATCGAATACCTAGGAACTGCCCTGTGTCCGACATACAGAGTCCATATACCATTACATACGATATATACTATGTATAATGATAGATACGATAGAGATACGATAACGTTTAACGCTTAACTTAAGCCACGGTAAGAAATAAGAAGCATCAAATATGAGTAATAATAAAAATAATGAACACAACATTGACGAAGAGCAAAGAAGAAGATCGAATCCCCCGATTGATGTGAAACAAACAAGAGACAAACGAACAGAAAACAAATACTATTCTAAGATGGAATCAAGGGATTTTATAGTGTCGTTCATTTTATTTTTCCAGCAAATAGCGGATATTCATTTTGTTTTGCAATTTCTGTTTCGTAGTGTTTTCTTGATATATTTCTTATGTTTTTCTCTAAATCTCTCTCTCTCTCTCTCTCTTGTTTCTCGTAGCGCTAAAAAACAGAAGCAACCCGATTAGAAAAGGGTTAACGGGTTGAACAATTATCTTTTTATCTATCTTATTGTCACATAATAATTACACAATTAGGATAAAATAATTTCGTTATAAGTTTATATATACATAAAATATTTAGATCAGCAAGATGATGGTGAACTTAGGATATTAAACAAAAATAAAAAAAAAACAACAAAACCTAATACATGCTGTATAATCTTTTTTTACACGTAAGAACTTGGATAATGTTTTAAATGTTCATTAATAAAGCAAAGAAACGTGTTTGCAGAAGAGTTATCAATGTACCTTGACGGAATGAAAAATAAAATTCAAACGTACATATCTTTAAGTCTCTGTTGGATTGAAATGTTTCAGAAGTGTACTGTTATATTTTTGGTAACAAAAGAAACCTTTATCATTATTTAGATGTGTTCCACGTGTTGTACCATTGAGGATCTATCTTTATTTTTAATTTTTCTTTTTTTCTTTATACTCTTTCGTTTCGTGCATTGATTATACGTTTGTTTATGCTTTTCAAGCAAACTTTCTACTAAATCTTCTCTTCGTTGAAACGTGCGAAGCTGGGCTAGCCGATAGAAGGGGATCGTCGAAGAAATAAATCTAATATGGAAGATGATATAAAGTGAAAGAAATGGTATATCAATCGCGCGGTATCGTTTTTTTCTCGTTCTACAGCGAACCAACTAGGAATGTTTGGCGAGCGTTCCATTTGTGGTACACAAATTATTATTATCTCAATGATGTTTTGCATTGCAACATTATTATAGAAATTAAGCTAATATAATTACATAGAATATCTATGATCGAGATCAATCGTTTGACAATATGTTTTTTCTTCTCTACATACATCCATTATATCTTTTACTGAAATTGCTTTTCATTTTTCAGAGTCGAACAGTTAGATCAGACAGGGATACAGAAGTGAAGTTTTCAAAACGCTCGCTGTGGACCAAGATATCGTACATGCGTCTACTATAGTTTCCACCATAAACATGTGTACAAAGTGTTTCCACTCGATTATCATTGGGACACTCTGTATGTGTATTTATAATAATTCATTTATTCTTAACTCATTGCACTTCAAATCTATCTCAGTTTGTATAAATTACAGTTCAAATATTTCTTAAGAAAATCACTGTGCAAAGAGTTAACGATAAGAAACAATGTTACCAAATAATTTCTTAAGTTTTTAAATATAACGTTGGAATATTTAGTGTTTACTTTGCTGAATGTATTCGGTCCACAGCGTCCGTACATCATAAATTTTAATGTTCCTATTATAGAAATCTCCATGTACAACAAATGTTTCTTTGTCAATTCGAATCTCCTACCCTCTGTAAGAAAGTTAGTAGTATAATACTGAACCATACGTTCTGATCTCGATCATTTGTATTAATTTGGTATGTTTAAAAAAAGAAAAGTTCTATTGAATGTACGAAAGGTACTTTGTTATGAAAATACAAGTGTAAATGCAGAACTTCATTTGGAAGTTGATGGAGAAATCTACAATGACTTGTACTTAGAACAGCGTAATCTTGAATTGTGCGACGAACCCGCGTAAGCGCAGCTCACTTCGAATCCTGGTGGCATATCAACGTCAGATTATACGAAGAGACGATATCAAGTCGCTTACCTATGCGTGTGGCCCGTAGATGCGACCACTGGTGAATAATGCAAGCTTCGATATGCGGATAACGTGCTACAAATTGCGTTTGCGCTCAAAGCTGGCGGTGCTTTGAATTTAAACAGAAGGTATGTTTAACGCGTGCGCCCTTTACTCTTTGCTCATTAAAGCAAAATAGAAATATTTATATATACATATATATATATCAAAGAAAAGATAATAAATAACAGAATGCGCTCTCTTACGCGCATTGTGTCTATTATCAATCATATTGCGAACGCTGAAAATGCACGGAACTACGAGAAAAAAAATAAAAAATAGATAAAATGTTAATACAATCGTCGATTGTGATATTACCGTTGCGAACGTGCTGCGATGGCGAATGTTTTCAGCATTTAACACGCGTTAATTCTAATTCCATCTCCTACTAAATGACCAATTTTGCTCTTTTTTTTTATTTATCAAAAACGTTTCATTTAAAGGCGCTACAGTTGAATAATTTAAAGTACAGTTACTTTGTTCCACTAGATTATTAATGTCGACAAACTTGTTGTTTTTCAAACTGATACACTGCATTTTAAAATTACTTTAAGTATATTTTTCAATTAATCAGAAGATTATCTTTATGGATGAACTGTTTGTTGCTGTAATGTTATTCTTGTAACTTGTGTACCGTTGTTCATACATACATTTTAGTTACCATTGATTATACTATCAGAAACTGAATAATATTAAATTCATTTTTACAGGCGCTAATACTAGACATTAAACGATACAAATTGACACTTGCGACAGAATGTAACGGGGATGGAATTAGGAGTAAATTAATGGGAGTACAGTTTCTTCATGTGAATATCGAAGCATCAAATTTTTCTTTAGTCTTAAGATTTCACAAGAAATATCTATGCTCGTCTCTGTTACGGGCTTTGAAAATCCACTGTGCACCAAATAATACAATATTTTTGATAGATTACAAGCGGGATGACGACTCAGTGAGGACAATGAGATGAACTCAGATTGGAAGTATGGGTCCTAATAATACCATGGAGTCTCTTCCTGTATACTCAGGTCCGTGGATTTATTCCATCAACAGGAATGTTTGCAACGACGTTAAAAAGAAGAAAGTTGCGGGAAAAGAAGAGAAAAAAGAATTTCTCTTTTTGTTCAGGTGTATTAAAGATGTAAGGAACAACGATCATTATTATTTTCTGAAGTATTTTATATTTCGTTCTGATACACATCACTGTTTGATACGTGAATGTAAGCAGTCAGTATTATTTTATTGTCAACCCTCGGATAGTGGTAATTTACCTTGTAAATCTAGATCGTCAGTTTAATATTTCTTACACAAAGAAATAGTAAACCATTGTACATAAGATAAACAAAAATCAGTCTCTGTTAATTCGAAACCACTATCTGAGGCTTAATGAAAGTTTAAAAAAAAGAAAACTTCAAACTGATGTCTACATTGCACACCTAATGTATCTATTGTTATACTGGTCCTAAACTTGTAAAGAAAGAAAATCTATGTAATAAATATTTTTTCCATGCATTATTAAATTGAAAATATTCAATATTTCAGTGATGTGGCTTATAACCCGGGTCTTGTTAACTTACTAATTCTATTACATAAATTTTTACAGGATTCTTTGATATTTAATACAAGCATTATATATTTAACATAGTAATGAACTTTTTATAAATGTATAAAGAGTACAAATTTTCAAAATAATACTAAAATATGTTCAAAATAAAATGCATAAAAATAATAATGCTACTGTATTAAATATTGTTTCAAAATCTATAAATGTTTTATTATGATTTATGTAAACTTTTATATTTTCATTGCAGTTTAGTTGGTGTTCAATAACTTCGCCGTAGGAATATGTCTGTCGTTATGAAAGTTTAGGCTCGGGCCCAACACCTCCTGCAAGTTTGTAGACTAATGATGCCACATCTACAATTAATTTCTTAAGATCATTTTCATTTTCACATTCTGCATATACCCGTACCACATCTTCGGTACCCGAGGGCCTAAAAGTATACATTTTTAAATATTTTTTTTATACTTTCTACATGCTATTAAATATATGATATATGATAATAATTACCTTAAGAAAGATCGACCTTTATTGTACCGTGATACAACTTTATCGATTTCCTTTTGTAATCCTGTAGGAGTTACGCATAGTCTTTCTGCGTCACTTGTTGTTATAACATTTTTATCAATAATTTTTACTTTTAGTTGCTTATTAGGCAAGTCATCGTAACTTCTTTCCCAATCTATAATACTCCAACCTTTTGCGTGTAAAATTGTTTCTACTAGTAACATGTCGCTAAAAGCATCCCCAACCGTTTGATTTATCACATCAATTATATTCATCAGTTTGGAAGCAGTCATTTTTTCAGTCGTAGACAAGCTACAAAATTACAGTATATATTTATATTGTACATTTTTTTTATATCTTGTTCTACTCAGTAGAGTTAGACAAAACTTACTGAGGATTTGTAGCAGCATTTTTAATCGCTTGAACCACAGTATCTTTAAAAATTACTGTTCCATGACCGTTTGCTTCAAAATACACTCCTATATCAAATTCTAATGCTTTCTTATGCAGATGTTTAATGCCAGTTGATACACAGACAACTGGAATTTGCTAAAAAATATAATACAAAAAATATAAATTTTCCTTGTGATATAATACTTATACTATTTTCAGAAAATTAACGCACCAATACATTTGAAATGTAATTAGTGGAACCACCATTGGCATATGCGGTTTGTACTAAGCCAAGTTGAAATGACAAATTACTTTCTTGTAAAAGTTCTTTCAAATATTGGGCAATAAGCGTTGCTATTCGGTCACCATCCATCAGATGGAATTTATTGTTTTCATCCAAATAAAAATAAATTACTCTATCTGCGTCACCATCTATGGACACGCATCTAACATTTGTTTTCAAAGGAAAATTTGCTGGTGGTGCTTGTTGTACTTTAACGTAATCAGCTCCACACTAAAATAAATTATTTGAAATTATTTAAGAATATATTCAAGTAAGTTGAAAGTTAAAATTATACCATGTGATTTAATTCTCCATTTCCATTGTTGTATATATTAATTTTGAGTGTTGTTTCTAAGTAACTTTGAAATTCTTTTGCTGCAATACCACCAACACCATTAGCAGCATCTAATGACAATTCTGCGACGTACTGTCCATTATTAATCTCACTTTGTCTTATGTACTTAAATCCTTCTGATAATTTTACATAGTAGCCATGTAGTGTAGGATTGCCATAACTGCCATGAGTATTTGTGCATACAACAATATAATGCAACTGAGGAGTTGTAACTATTCCAAAATCATTTAGAGTTCCATTTAAGGCTTGAATTCCTGCAATAGCAGCTTGTAGTAGTAATGGACCACTTTCTCTAGTATCTCTACCAGTTATTACAGTTGCATTTACAGACATATCAATATGCTGTTCTTTTAAAATCTGCTGTAGCATAGAAGGTAATTCTGAATCATCAACATTAGCTAAATTAGTAGCTATATGTTCCCAAGATGCTTCTAACATTTCACCAGCTGGGTCTATAAGTTTCACACCATTATCAGATCCAATGTTGTGACTTGCAGTAATCATTAAACCAACTGCAGCTATAAAAGAATCCTTTTTATTAGATAATAATATGAGTACAGTGTTGTATAATTCTATATTTTAACTCACCTTTTTTAATTTTAGACCTTAATACTGCTAGAAGTCCCATTCTATACATCACATGTTCAAGAACATTTGCCCTAAAATAGAATTAATAAATGTTTATAAATACTATTTATTATTAAAAGATAGGAGTAAGAGACTTACTTTGTTCTAAAACCAGCTGTTCCATATTGAATATAGTCGTTATCCCCTTTAATATATTTCGTATTAGAAATATTATCTAACTGAGAAGATTCCATTGTTTATTGTATTTTTATTCTTGAAACGTAAAATTTAATTTCACGTATGCAGTAACACCTGTTACATTTACCATATGGATTGATTGCTGGAGTGAAAGAGAAAGTGTATTTTCACAAAGAAATACTAAAATAGAATATCATCATTTCTGAGAACATTTTATTAAATTGCAATAAAATTGCTTGTAAAATATTAGAAATAGAATTTAATATTTACAAATAGTGAAGATAATGTTACTTAACCTTATTTTCAAAGTTTCTTAAAGTTATTGTTTTTTACTTAAAATATATTACTTCTTATTATAAAACTCTTTATTATAATAGTTTGTTCGGTTCTTGATATGTACTACTATGTATATAGTAGTTTTTATTATAAATTTTTATCCAGTATACATTACAGACCAACTACAATGATACTTTTATCAGATTGTATATAGTATTTATCTTTCTCCTTTTATCAGATTAAAAAAATGAATTTTTTTGTAACTTCTTTTATTGCTATGTTTGTATTGTTTAGTGAAAATTGCTTTATCTTTATTTCAATACCTACATTAATAATATGAATTATGGAAAAGAATGCCTTAAGATTCATTCAGGTATTCTTATCAGTAAGCACAAACACATAATTACTTATTCATTCACATTTATTAAAAATAAAATTAACCATATTTATAAAAAAATAAAATCAACAACATAATTCAGAACAGAAATAAATAACATAAAATTTTAAATAATTAGCGCTACTTATACATTTACTACATAGCATTAATATTAAATTGAAAATAATATTAAAAACAAGAAAACCAAAACTATAGAGATAAAAACAATAAATATATATGACTGCAGTAATAATAAAATACAAATATATCAGCCGAATCTTTCAATACTTTACCTCTCATCATCTCTCCTCTTTTTAAAATGTATTTTTGGAATTTTCACCATTTATTTCTAATTTAAAACTTTCAGTAGGTGTATCAGATTTAATGCAATTGTTATTCAATTGTGCATCTACATTAGTTTCGCTTATTGTTTCATCATTTTGTACACATTTCCTTATTTCGTGGCCAATAGCTGCACCAAGAGGAGGTGGAACTGCATTTCCAACTTGTCGATGTTTATCAAGTATATTGCCATAAAAACGAAACGAATCAGGAAATCCTTGAGATCTAGCACATTCTCGTACACTTACCACACGAGTTTCTACTGGATGTAATACACGCCCCTAGAAAATTACATAAATTTCTTATCTGCTCTCTCAAAGTATTCTTTCTAACAGTTTACTAACTGAAGTACCTGTTTTCCCATGGGCTCAGGGTTTGTAATAGTTGTACTAAAAAATCCATTCCATTCTAATCTTCCGTACAATCCCGACCAATGATTGTGACGATTTCCTGTGTGTGGTAAACACCATGGAATTAAAGTATTAAATTGTCTATCTGTAGGGTCACACGATTTTCCAATGCAACAACTACACACTCCTCGATATGCCCCTGTAGAACTTCTTCCAGCTTTTTTATCATCATAAGTATATTCCCTTAAATGAAAATTAAATATGTACAAATTGTAGTAACAGTGGTATAATTGAAAGGCAGATACATACAATTTCTTCGAATAAGTGCCATCGTTTAATCTCACAGCTATATTTGGTAAATCACGCCAATCTGAACCACTAGCAATTGGAATATGAGCCATTCTAGCTTCCACAAGAGGCGCCATTTCTTTACATATATGATCTTTTAAGACAGGTTGATACTGTTTACCTCTCATCTAAAAAATATAAAACTGATATGTAAAACATAGGATTTATGTATTTCTAAATTAAAAATATTTCATTACCTTTCTTTGGAAATGTGATAATGGTTCACTATTATACGGCATTTCTTCTTTATTCCATCCATTTTTTATTTCTGGTAAATCATACATTGCATCTTTGACTGTGATCGTTCTTAATGGTGCTGACTCTTTCCAACTACAATTTGAACTATATTTTTTATTATCTACTAATACACTTAATTGACAGGCACGTTTACTAAATACGTGTGTAGGTTCTGGATATTTTGGTAACATTTGTCCAGGTGCAGCAGCCAAAATGATCATTCTTCTTCTAGTTTGAGGTACACCATAATTTCCAGCTTGAAGAATACCAAATGTACATTGGTAACCCATGCGAATTAAACATCTTAATGTCAATTTCAAAACCATACTTTTCTTGAAAGATACAAAATTTCGAACATTTTCCATGATAAAAAACTTAGGCCTATAGTAATCACAGTACGCTAAATAAGAAACAACAAGGGAGTTTTTGAACAAAGAATATTGTCGTGAATTGAAACGATTCATTCCACTAAAACCCTGACACGGTGGACCACCGCATAACAATTCAACTTGACCTTTTTGAGGAAGTTTTTGACCAATTTCGTTTGTCGTATCACCGTTCATTACTTTTTGCAGTAATGTATTACAATCTTCTGTAAATACTGTTGTATTAGGATTATTTAAACGGTACGCATACGCGGCTGGTTCTTCTTTTTCTATGGCCCAAAGATTTTCAGCTACATCAGCTTGATGTAAACCTTCGGATAATCCACCACAACCAGCAAACACATCCAACGTTTTTAATTTTCTGAATATAGTCTTATATTCGATTGGTTGATTAGCGAATATTTTCTTCTTATTTTCCTCAGTCTTTTTACCTTTAAGTTTCAAGTTACCTTTACTTTTACCACATTTACCAATACCGATAGCATGATATGGTGGTTCATCAAATGATTTTTCTTGTACATTATAAGCTTCGTTAAAGTAAAAACGATTTGGTCCAGAAGCAGTCCATTCATCAATGGATTGATTTAAATTAACAGAATAAACGAGATAACATTTGCCAACAACTTCAGCGAATTTAATATTACATATTTCATCGCTCCAATAAACCATATTTAAATCAACTTGTTCCATTAATGAAACATCTCTGTGCGTGTTTTCTGGTCTATATAATTTGTTTACTTTGATATTAATCTCAGCAGGTGAAACTATCATATCATTTGTACTAGCGTATATTGTATTTATGTAGCCCAAGCAAAATGGTTTAGGAGTATCTAAATTTGAACCCTTCACATGATCAGAATACTTTCTATAAAATTCCGGATATATATCTTCATCAACATTTTTCTTTTTTGGCTTCATGGTATCTTGAAATGTAATTTTATGTTTAAATTTGTAAGCTTCTGGTTGTAAAAATACAGCTGTACCAACTCTGTATTCTTCTCCCTTGTACTTCACTACTCCATAAACAACTTCTTTGCTATTTTTTTCTTCTATTAACTCATACACCTTCGGTGTATTGAACTGCTGTAATGCTCTTAAACGAGCACAAGCAGGACAAAATCGATGAATAGTTTCTTTACGAGGACATTCTGGATCGATTGAAGGATCTTCGAATCTGGCCGTTTCAGGCGTGTAACGTTTTTGATAAAAAAATGTTCTACCATCCACGTCTTTTATTTCATCATCGAGACTTAAATTTGTATTACCTATTTCAGCCCAATTTTCTGGTGGTTTTTTAAAATGAACAGTACATTTTGTCTTAACAGCTTTGAAGGGGACATCATCACAATCGTCGCTCAAAAATAATTCTATAGGGTCTGATGTTTCCCCAAGAATAGTATCAGTTCCTCTGTGAAACCAATTAGCATGAAATTGTTTCAAACCATTTTTGTTCTCCCACATGTAAACGACTTTGGCAACGTGTAATGGAATTGCTGGATTTCTTGGTTCTACAAGTACACAATCATTTATTTCTATTCTCTCATCACCCACTGTAACAGACTTATAGAATGTTTTTAAATTATCAGCAGCAATTTGATCTCCAGTCCATATAATATCTTTTTTGAATTCTTTAAAAACTGTTTTTCTGTTTTCTTGTTCCTCAATTTTCTTGCTTTCCAGTAGAGCTTCATACTCGTCTTCATTTTCTAAATCAGAATCATCTGCTTCCTGTATGGCCATGTTTGGGCATCTTCTTTTAATGCAAGCCTGCTTGCCTCTTCCAGTTCCTCCGAATTTGATCATATCTTTACAAGAACTACAAAGACCACAATCGGGTTGCTGACAATTTTCACATATACCGCATCTTTGTCTTTTAGGTCCCATCTTCATTTTATCATCCTGTTTACTTAATTGATCAGCAAAAATATTTTCAAACGTATTGCTAACTAATTGCGTTGTGGTCGCCTTCGTCCAACCAGGTGTTTTAATTTTCTGTTCTCGACGTTGTGTTCGACGAAGAGCTGCTCTTTTTCCTAACGTAACACCCGCGAGATTTGCTAATGCTCGCATACAAGGAGTTGTAATAAAAAGGACATCATCAGAACCGGCAGAATTATCAAATGATAATACTTGATCACATATAAACTGTGCATGTCTCAATAAAGAATCCTCTGTGAATTTTGTCATACCTTTTGGTGGTACAATTGTTTGAAGTTTATTGAGTAAATCTTCATAGCTTGGACTAATTTCATCTAAGAGAAATTCAATAACCAATTTGCTCATGTATATTTTTTCTTTAACTACATCCATAAAAGGAGCATAGGCTTCGGATGGTTCCATTAAAATGTATTCACCAAATGCAGTATTGAAACCTATAAGGGCTAATTCTCCTCCATCAAAACCAGAAACATACCACTCATTTATTGGACCCATATCTTTGGCTGGTACTCCACCCTCAGGGGATGAATCTTCTTCATAAATGGCTTTCATATATCCAGAAAAATATAACAGTACATTTTTCTCTATTAATCCAGCATCAAAAGGACATAAATGGCCATTTTTATCATAAACACTGAAATTCATACAGCATAAATATATAGTTATGCATAAATTCTTTTGACAAATTATACAAAATTAAGAAATTTTACCTAAAATAAGTTAATTTATTTTGAGGGTGTTCGTCACTTTCATGTATAAAAGATTCATTTCCATTAAATAAACATAATCTTGAATCAATCAAAGCAATTTCTTCATCTACAGCACCATTTGGATGTCCAGGATAAAATTTTATTTCATCATTTAATTTTTGACGACAGTATTCACATTTACCAGGAAATATATTATTTGTCTTTCTAATTTGAAATTTTAATATATCTGTATTGTTGTTTTCAGTCTTAATTTTTTTTTCCTGATGTTCATCTGCATGTTCTTGACTTGTCTGTGGATTGTTATTTTCTTTATCCTGTTCAGTTGTATTTAATAAATTATCTTCACCTTTGACATCTTGACAGTTTTGTAAATGTTCTTCATTATTTCCATCAATGCTCATCCGCTTTCTTTTAGCAACTTGTTTAGAGAACATATCAATTATAGATAATCCATGTTTATTAGCTTTAGATGTACTAGGTTTCATTGTGATCTAATTTTTAACAATTAAATTAAAACGTTAAAGTATTTTTTTACATTTATTATATATAATACAATTTTTACTTACATGTTTATAAATTTATAATTAATTGTTAAAAATTGATAGAACTCATGTGCTTCATAGATGTTGTGTTTGGAGTTCAGATTCATGTATAAGACACTAATACTAATCATTTAAAACAACACAACTGTGTTATTTACGATAATATATTCTTACATTTAATCAGTCTACATAACGTAATTTAATATTTGAACATTGTAAATTGTAAACAACGCTTATTCTGTTCAAAGAACCTTTACTGTTTTCCTATGTTTTCCCGCCTTCACTGTTACCAAATTAATTATATTCAAATCTCAGGGGAATGTTAAATTGTTTTATAATTGTTTTATTTAAAGAAAATCATAGTTGGTGATGAATGTTTCTATTACTTGATACTTTAAAACATATTAATAATACAAATACAGAAAATTCAAAACAAGAAGATATTTAAAATGCAGATATTATAGGTTAAGTCAGTTTGCTATATTTTATGTAAAATTTATATATTCACATATTTAAATAGCGCTTACATTTGATCTGCAAAAGAATCATTTGTTTGTACTCCTTCTTTGAAAGAAGAAATATATATAGCAATTTAACATGAAACTTCAATGCACCGTAGAAGTTAATAACAGATTATCTACAACAAATGTAATAAGAAGAAAGCCACAGCGTTCCATTTTAGTAATTGGAAGACATTCAGTAAAAAGTACAGGCTTACATATTCTTTGGCAAACATTACAGAATAAACAGGGTACTAAATATAAGGTAAAAATATCAGAACATGTTTTTTATTATTCCATTCTAATTTTTTTTATTTGTTTCAGATTGATGGCAACATAGATCAAATATTTACAAAATTTATTAATGATGGAAAAGCTACAATTCGAATGATAGAACCTCCTCATGATTTAATTATTCAGTCTGATACAATTCAGTTGAAGAGTTTTATTCATATTTTAAAGCTTGTAATATCTAAGAAAGCAGATCCATCAGTTCTTACTATTTCAAATTTAAATCCAAAAGATGTAACTTCCATTCCAAAGACCAAAGTTGTAGTTAACAAACCATCAGAATATCCAACTCTGGAAGGCTTTCCAAGAACAACTAAAGAATTACATTTAACAGGATTAAATAGAAAATCATTTGATAGACAAATTTTAAGACTACAAAGCTTAAGAGTTTTAGATTTGTCCAATAATCAAATTTCATCTATACCAACAGAATTAGGTGCTTTAGAGCACTTACAAGAACTTATTCTATCACAAAATCGTCTCAATAAAGCATTGAAATGGACGTGGTTGGAGCAAACTGCTATTAAAACTAATTTAAAATTATTAGACATAAGTGATAATTCGGTAAGTTGAAACATATTTAATATGTGAATATAATCTTATGAGTACATACTTTTATTTTTTATTTTGCAGTTAATAATATTACCAGAACAAATTGGAAAACTTCATGGTTTAGTCAATTTTAAGGCCAGCAAAAATATGTTATCATATTTACCACAAAGTATTGGAAAATTATCTAGCTTAAAATATTTAGATGTATCAAAAAATAATTTAAATTATTTGCCTGGAAGCATGAAAAATCTAAGGCTCATTTTATTAGACGTTTCAGAAAATAAATTTCAAAAAATAGATTTGTATTTCACATGCAGAACAAGTGTACCAAGTTTACTTGAATTTGGAGCCAGAGAATTCCTTAAAACGGGGTTTGTGTGATTTATGAATAGCTATTTCATTTTCTATTTTTTAACGTTTTCCGATTGATGGAGAAATGATTAAATTTGTTGTACTTTTATAGGTGTCCATATGATGCAAGTATAATTCCATTCACGTTGGTAAGGTATTTAAATGAAGCAAAGTATTGTGTCTGTGGTAACCCTTGTTTCCAATATTATATAAGAAAATTTGTTGAGTATAATTTAAGTACTATAGCTAATAGTGTAAAATCATCAGAAAATAGTACAGTACAGTTTGATTGTTATTTTTGTACAATCAAATGTGAAAGTTGTTATGCAAAAGTACGGTATTAAAATACTTTTTTAAGAATTTAATTCTATCTTTTATAAAAATGTTTTATAAGTATATGTATAATAATTTATTTTCAAATAAACCTGGAAAAAAATTAATTTTATCATTTTAAGGGATAAAGAAAAATACGCAGGTTTTAATTTCACTAATTATTTAATCATTCGTAAGTTTTTGTAGTTTACACTCAAGGTAGACAAATTTTTCTTGCATGATAGATCATACGCATGTAAATACATCACACATACATACATATTTAATAATCTTCTTAATTAAAATATGAGCTATCATCACATAGTAATACTTAATAATCGATAAAGTTGTTATCATTTTAATAATTTTGTACATAACAGGTATAATTAATAGCTAAAATTTTTCACAGCACTGTCATACTTTGATGGTAAAAATCTTGTAGATATACCGTGATTCTAACTACAACTTACAAAATTTATAACATTTGCAAATGCATAATTGTCGTTTTCATAAGGTTTCTACTTTTTATTAAACATTTCAAAAATATGAAGTTATTTCATTTTTTAGAATCCAACATACTTAAACGTATTTACTTTACTTTGAAAAATTTACTACCTATCGTTATTTAAACACAAATGTCAATATTATTTGGAATTTTTGAACGAAGTCAATACCTGTATATACATCATTACAACAAAATCGATATCATTAATTACTTATTTAATATTTTTCCTTATTCTTGTTTTTAAAAAAATAGACTAAAGATAAAAGAATATTATTGCGATAAATATGTTACTGTTATTTCTTTTTCTTTGTATCTTTTTTAACAAAATCAAAATCAGAATCGTCTATGCTAAGAAAAAATTGCAGCGGCGTAACTATGGTCTTTTTACCCACATGTGGTACAGAAAAGTCAATATCTTGATATTTGTTTTCATCTATGCCCCCATATGCTTGTATAGGTTGCATAAAAATATCTGGATCTTCTTCATATGGAACTAATTTCATACAAGTGTCCTCACTTAAATTACTTGATGGAAAAACATCTGTGTTCTATTGTATGTGATATAAATATTTGTCAAGTTACTTGGTTGATATTATATTTTTGTAAGATCTGTAAACTTAAAAATATTAATACAAACCTGTACATCTATATTATTTTGATATTCTACATCTGTAGAACCAACTGGCATTTGTAAATCTTTTGTTGAGATCATATGATTTTTTAAAAGTCCTCTAATTGCTGCATTTTTATTGAGCCTACATTTCTTTAAAATAGTCTCCTCGACTTCAGTCTGTTTTCTTTCAACAGTCTTAATCTCTGATAGAGATGAGTCAGTACCACTTTCTACATTTGAATTGTTATAACCATAATTATTATTAATTGAAGACGAACTTTTATTTGAAATAGTATTGTGAGATTTTAAATTAGCTTCTGTTTGTCTAATTCTCCATTGTTCTTCAAGCTTTTCATTTGAATAATCAATACCACCTGTTGCCTGCAAAATTGAAATTATTTTTTTGATAAGTATCATGTGTATTAGCTTATAGGTTTACAAGTAATATTTACTTCTCTAATAGAGGATGCAATTTCATTTTCAGGAAGGCAATACTGCTGTTGAGATAAATTATCACAGCTTCCATTATAATTATTATCATCACTGTTACCATATAACTGCAAAATATAACAGGTATATCAACTTATTAAATAATTATTTATGAATTCATTAACTTAAATTAATGATTATATGAAAAATACTAACATTTACATTTTTTGGAATCTTGTGCTTCCTTATTCTTTGGTTTCTATTAATATAATCTTGTTGAAGTACAAACAATGGATTTTCATCGCTACAAGGTATTTGAGTCCTCTTCTTAATATCAGTAAATAAACTCATTGTAAGTATGTCTGAAAATAAAAGAAATATAAACTTAAATTATACATAATAAACCTGTAAGATTCAAGAATTATGTAAATGTTTCAAAAGAAAGTACAACTATATATTCATATAAATGTAGTACATGCAACAAAAAAAGTACCAGTATTCACTCGTGTAGATGAAAAACGCATTTAAATTTTGTTCATAAAAGTAGAAAATTGATTTTCTATATTTTATCTTATTACGTCTTAATCATATAACCTCACTTCAATCTACAATATCGCAATAAACTGAACTATGAAGTATTTAAATATAATTCGTTAATATCTTCTATATTATAATCAACAAGGAGATCCATAAATTTGACTGGTAGAAAAGTTGTCAAATGAACCAATTAAATTGCAGCATAAAAACTTTAATGTTTTAAATTTAAATTTAAAAACGAAACAAAGTAACCTAAATTTTCTTATAGCTTTGCATATTTCTTTTCAATTGATGTATATATTATATTCTCCGTTTAAAAATAATTTCTTATGTCAATTCTAAGACATATTCTTAATCTATATACATTGTTATCGTTAATTAAGATTTAATTGCAAGCATACATGTAAATCGGTATAAGAAAGATAAATTATGCTTTATTTGAAACGAGATTGTAGTGATTTGAATAAATATGTTCATTTTCTCGAGGGAGTATTATAAATAATCGTTTAAACAATATAAATTTAATAACAGGTAAATTAAAATATTGCCATATATTTTAATGTCTTTATTATTTATTCGCAAGTATTACAAATAAGCTTTACTATTTCAGAATGGAGATGTATCGAACATTTAAATATTAACACAAACAAGAAGATTTGTTCTTGTATTTGCACGGTTGGAGTCATTAGTAAATTCGTGAATTATATAAATTATATACCCCTTCTACTAACCTAAGTTCACTGGCTGAATCATGGAATGACGTTGTTTGGAGTAATGTTTGTCAGTGAACTGTCAACAGAATTTATCTTTCCAGTGGTTTTATTTACATAAATGATTTTCTTTACCTCTCGCAATTAGTATTCAGACGTTGTACAGATGTACGCTTGGTTTATAATACTTTGCGAGTGATCATTTTCTACGTTATTCGTCGTTTAAAGGATATATTTCTACACGTGGACAATGCAGGTTAGAATTTATTAATAAATAATAATCAATTTAAATTAATGTTCATTTTGTTATAACGTAATGATAGTGCACTTGCTAATAAACTTTCATTTGTGACATTATTTTGAAAAATTGCTGTTATATATAAGTTGACGGCAGTTACAATATTAAACAAAAAAATAAGAAAACATTTAAACAAATATTGTTTATCTTACAACTGTAATATTAAAGTTTGAAAATAGATTTTGGCATTGTTATTGTCTTCTGATGTTTTGTTTCAAAATATCGAAACAATTTATTCTTCATAACATAAGTATGTAAAATTCATGTTTATTATGTTCACATCCTAAGTAGTCATTTTCAGAGATATAATAATTTTTCGTAACTTTTTTAATCGAATTGGTTACATGTATAAAGTATACCTGTTAACATTCATTATTTTATAATTTGCATGTGCAGTATCGAATAAAGTGAGCTTCTCTAGGGAAAATGGCGTTACTGGAAAAATAGAAATTTTTAGAATCTTAATTTTAACGATGTTGATATTAAAAGTGACTTAGAAAACAAAATAATATAATTTTCGATTATTAAATATTATAAAATATAGTATATAATTAAGAAAGATGAATAATACATCAAATGATAAAAATCAAATTTTCGCGCGCAAATATTGTGCGCTAATGGTGGGGGAAGATGGGACTCGCTCCCCGTATAGTCATTCTCCAGGGGCCGCCTGCGGAGAGGGGCAAGCACTCGGGGAAGCCTATGCGAAGGGGTCGGAGTAGTAAGAGGGAGAAAATTTTGAAATATAATCTATCATACAAAAGCTTATTAAAATTCGAGAGGGAAATTTAAGATAGGCAACATGCTTGCAAAATAAGAGAAGCGATCTCTCTTCGTTAAATCCGATAATAAAAGACGTTTTTATAAGCAATACAACCCCTTTCAATCTTCATTATTATTTTTCACAGCTATAATAAATGGCCCCAGACAAAGAAGCAAATTATTCTAAAAATATCATGAAACAAAGTCTTTTAATTGTATTATCTCGATGATTACCAATCCACCCCTGTTAACAACAAATTATTAATAGAATTGTACAATGTTAAATGAGAAAATCACAAATTGTCAAGTGTTAAATCAGATTAGCCTGCCCTTGGGAGACTCTAGCACTCGAGGCGTTGAAAATTTCAAGTAAAACCGTAAAAAGGTCGTTTACTTTTGGACCTCTTACGGTTTCATCTCGGTGGTGGTGGTGATATCGAAACATTTGTACGTAAACCACACCACACGTGTCGAATACTTTCATTGGCGTATGTGTGTGGAGGGGGGCAAGAGGGTGGGTGGAACATTTAATTCGAGCTTACGAGGGAAGTCGTTGATTGAAGACGAGGTACTCGTCAGTTCTGTTTCGACTCTCTTTCGAGCTCCATTGTTTATATTTGTATACATATATATTTTTCAAGAAATGTGTCAATAATTTTGATAAGAAAACAAGAATTTCTCGAATGATTGTAAAGAATAATTTAACACGCGTGTGTTGTACGAAAAGAGTGGTCTCTTTGTCGTCAAAAGTTTGACTGTTCCTTCAATTGAAGGATGACGAGTTGGTCTCGTCAGCTTGTTCCTCGAGTTGCAAGGTCAATCTTTTGCTCCATAATTCACGACATTGCAATCTGAATAAAATGTGCTTTGTGCTGGCCCTTTGTGTGAACTGGCACCGGTATACAATAATTGCATCCGAAACTAACGGCAAACGTTTCTCTTGTAAGTTTGCAAAATATTTATCCTGAGAATAATAAAAAAAAAATTGCTATGGATATAGTGAAAAATGCTTACTTCGGTTATTCGTTGAATTTCAATAAATAATTATGTAAGGAAAGAAATGTGAAAGTTGCGAATTTAATCGGCAACCTCTCTTTTGCGAGAAAAGAAATTCTTTTTGAGAGAATACTTTGAATATTGTAAACGTATCACTATTACCTAAGGGTCTTCCAAATTTTATCAAATACACTTTTCGATAGTGTTCGTCATTTGTATGTTTGTTACAACGAATACGTGTACGTAGACTGATAAGAGTTCGTTATCGATACATTTATCTGTATCTTTCAATCGATAATTTTGTTAGTAATTTTTTATATCTTCATAGGGATAGGTACTTCCTATATACATAAAATATTAAGAATGGAATTTCTGGTAATATTTTGTACGTCGAAATGCAATTAAAATGAAAGTTATTTTTTTTTATCTTAAAAGGAAATCGATTCAATGTAAAATGGTAAAAAGATGAATTTTTCGAAGGGATATCAGAAAAACACGATCAGAGAAACAGAGTGTTATGAACGTTGCATCGTGAAACTAGCACGGGGCTTCACCTTTCCCCCTAATTAATTTCATAGTAATAGCAGAGTTAAAAAATGCTTATCTTCCCCTCTGAAAATGCGGATGTGCTAGCATATTCTTCAATCAAGTATCATTAATCGAGCTTTTCGAAGCCTCGACCTAATTAATAACCCTACGATACATTTTTATCAATTTCTTTTAACCCGTCTATTACTTCGATTTTTCTAATGATCATTCTTAGAGAATGAGAATCATCGATACCTTTTAGAAACGTACATACGTTTCCTTTGTTTATTCATCCTTTTTCTACTTTTCTGTTGAATAGAATCAGTTCCTTAGAATGGAAGGAGTCTCGTTGAACTCCTTAAATGGAATTGAAAACTGCAGTGATCTTTAGTAACAATAGATCTTGGAATGATTTCTCTTTAATTTAATTTTGCAAATCTCTGAAACGTTGCTGGAACCATTAGCATAATTAAATGGAAGATAGGGTGCTCTTCAGAAAAATTTGGATTAACCCCCCGATCATTCTATGATTTTAAAATTCTAGCCCTTGTTAAGAAAGTTAAGGAACCTGTTCCCTCCCCTAAAATGAAATATAAAATAATATTAACCCTTGGACGATGGATCTCTGGAAAAACGAAACCAGAAATTGAATCTTGAACCCTAAGGATTCGTCAATTTTGCTAAGAAAAATTGTAAGTTTTGGCCCGTAAGAGATAGCAAGTATGTCAAGGGTAGCCAGATGATCCTAACAATAAGAGGTCACTTCCGGTTAGTTGCTCACTCGCCTCGTATTATTCCCTCCAACTCGATACCTTTTTTAACGTATTTTGTATTGGCTATATATCTTTAATAAACGACGTGTTATTTGATTAGCTATTTGTCAAACAGCAGTTACTATCATTTACATTTAAATTAATGACTATCGTGAAGATTATTTCGATCGTTGTTAACAATGCGTAGTACTTGTTAAACATGTTTATGTAAATTAATGCTTGAACTAGATTACCAGGTAATTAAATGTATCCAACTGTATTTAAATTAAAGGGAATAATCACCTGCTGTTTAACATTTTAATCTGACATTACATGTCAAACGTATGTCATTCAATTTTTTAGGACTGCAATCTTTTTTATTAATAATCTCAAAACTTTCAAATGACATATCAGGAAATTATCATTTGTTGTTATAAAACCTTTCATCTTTGAATTTTCGTTCATTCATGTTTTTTATTTTGTAGAGTTCAACGGAACAATTAACCCATTACAGTACGGGAACGTTGGAGGAAATCCTGGATAATCCGGACGGAATAACAACGCGAACCGTTTCCGAAAAGATCATGAGTATCTGTAAAAATACTATACACTGGGTGCTCTTTTTGGATGTTTTACTCGCCTTATCAGGTTTGAACTTTCTATTTTATTTTATTTTAATTATTTTACTTCGATAGTAATTGAATACATTGTACTGCTAATACGAATAAAACTTAATCAGATCATCATAATTTGTTATCGAGCGGTTAACGATAAGCGATTGTGATCATTTTTATATTAATTCATTCAATTTGCACGTGTCTGCTAGGAAATGACGGCTCGCTAATTGAAGTGACGTTATTACATTAGGAGGTAACTATGCGGAAGTGCATGTATCATTCATTCTTCCTGGGCGATGTCTATGAACTTGGAAAGAAATTTAAATTTTTACCGCAACTCATGTTAATTGTTATATTCCCTATCTTTTAGGGGGGGATTATGGAACTAATTATAGTCACACTTCTAAGGATGCAAATAATTAATTATGTACTCTATATATCAATCGTAATTTTATTCTCCGAAAAAAATTATTGAAGTACTTGATTGGAAAATTGATTAGTTTAGAAGATATCTTAGGGAGAAGATATCTAAGATATCTTTTGAACTAATCAATTTTCGATTCAAATACCTTAAATCTATCTTATAGAGAATAAAAATACGCTTCTATTGACGTACAGCAAAGTACAAAATTCCAAAAAAATTGTTTCAAATAAAATTGCACATTTTTGTTCCTGTCGATTGGCGTACACCTTTTTGAAAATCACTGATATTGTGTGTACCATTCACTAAGTTAGTCCGATAGAATGTAGCGTGATAATCGATGACCATAAATTATTGGTTATTGCACTATCGAAGGTTCTATTTAAATAAAACGCAGACTAGAAACGAAACCATGCGTGCAACGAGAGCTGACTGGAAAACCGCGAACTCTGGTAACACAATACCGCATGAGACGACTGTCTGCTTAGAATTTTTCCGCTCGCATCGCGTTAAATAACTTGGTGCACACGGGTGCGGTGAAACGTCAATGAACTGTGCTAGAATACAAACTGCATTCGACAAAAATACCGAGTCTTAATTAGCGCTAGAAGCAGTCGCAAATGAATTGTCACACACGATATGATCATAACATTTAAAAAATTCACCCTGTGCAACTTACCGAAATAATATTGTAGATTTTCCCTTGTGTTCTCTAGTAAAACTGAACTGAAATGGCACCTTTTCCTCGCGACGATACGTTAAAGAATGTGTCAGCGAAAGAAGAGCCCGAGTTCTTCCACTTCAAAAAGTGTTTACACTATCGCATTGTTTCGTTCTCGACGAATTAGGGACACGAGTTTCGTACCAGCTGAGCCCTGATTCGTTGATTTTCGAACGGTCAAACACCGAAGCGCCTGTAGCACGGCAATTTTGACCCCCTATAAAAATTTGACCTAGATAGAAAGTAGCGAAGGACCTTTTTTTATTATTTCTAACTCGAACTAGAATTCCTTTGTTTATTTTTCGTTATTTTGATATTCGATAGTTATATACGATTTTTATTTGGCTATCATTTAGCTATCGTTGTTTATAAAAGAATTCATAAACAGAATAGTTTCTATAAACATAAGATAACGCTAGTGGAAACGAGTGGTAGGGTGATGCAGTTTCCGGTTGCGGTCGAAGGCACTTGGGTAATCGGATTTTCAGAGTTAAATTTCTTGCTTAATCAGCATACATCTTGAACAAAACGTTATTAACGTGTTGTATATATTTTATACATTAGATTTGCATCTCGTGTCAACATAAAAGATGCAGAATCATGATAAGTTTGCTTATTATTATCAGGTAAAACGTAACATCTCGCGGACAGTATTGCGCATGCGCGCGCATTTAATACTTATCTAGTGTCTGGCGTAATAGGCGCGCAGTATAGTGTGACACTTTACACCCAATTAGAGGAACCGCGCTCCTATTTTTTTTCTACTCTTTCCTCTATTTCTCGCTGTCCATCTCCATTGTTCTATCATTTCTTACGTTCTTCTTTCTTTCCTGTCCGTTCACCCTTTATTCTGTCATTCTTTCGCACGTTTACGCGTGTGCACGTGCCAAATTGAACATGGTCAAGAGCACGGGAAACGAGAAAGTAGCGCCGTTACGGAAGGCTTCTAAACTGGTCACTAAACGTAACGTGTACAGCATGTGTGAGTATTGTATAAGAATAGACAGAATAAAAGGCGAAGAGAATGCTGGAAACACGTGCATTTTCGTGAGTAATCGCGTAAAAAGTTATGATCCTCTGCGCATGCGCAATATTGTCGTGTAATGATTCAACGTTCCCGCTTATTAGAGACACATTGTTAATATGAGTCACGTTTATGTACCTTATGTACATAAGTGACTGTGAATAATAAAACATGGGAAAACAGAATTTCAGAGATTGCATTTACTTTAATATTAAGATTGGAGACGTTCGAAGAAGCTCCGGACTTCCCCCACAATTTTTAATAACCAGGGACGGATTTAGAGGGGGGCAAATCCCTCCCACACTTAGAAAATTTTTGCATGCATCGGTAACGCGATGTCTTTTACATTTAGATACGATTCAAAAACAATAATTTTTTTAATTATTAATCATTTGTTTTATATTTCAGTTATCGTACTTTTAGCAGTATTGGAATTCTGGACTCTCCCACAACAGGGTATCGGCTTTTACTGTAATGATCCAAAAATTTCATTTAAGTTTATGGGGGACACCATTTCTATGACCTTATTGATAGTTGGATGTCTCTTAATGCCGCTTTTAATAGTACGTATAATTAAAATAATTAAATAATAATTTTTCAAGTCGCTGAGCGAGCGACAACGAATAAATAGAAAGATAATTATGCTTCTTTTTGTAGTCTCTAAAATTATTTTACGATGTTTTAGATATGGATAGCCGAGTACACCTGCCATCCGGCAAACGCGTACAGCAAGGATTTAGGATGCGCTGGTTCTAGGATGAAACAAATATGGTTATGGTATGGTCATTATTCAATCGGAATAATTTCCTTGGTATTCATATGCGATGTCCTGAAAACTTTGGTCGGTGAACCGAGACCTCACTTTTTGGATACGTGCAAACCACGCGAGGCTGAGAATTGTACCGATGAGTTAGTACTTTTTTTTCTTTATTTTATAGTTCATTTGAAGCATCAACCTTCTGCACTCCGAGAGTAAAGCTTTTAAAAAGTAAAGGATGAAAAACTTACAAGTGTGATATAAACAATTATAAATATGTATCACTTTGACTAATGTATTTTTTGTTTCAGGTATGTGGAGACATACACGTGTACGAATACGATTGATTCAAGCTGGTTCGTCTCGGATTCCAGTAAATCATTTCCATCTGGACACTCTGCTCTTTCTATGTTCGCATCTATTTTTATTGTGGTAAGAATCAGTGATTTGAAAAAAAAATTCTCACCGAAGGTTTTTCCATAGGGATGTACACTTCAGTTTATTACAATTTGTCACAATAGATAAAGCTGGTAGGTTCTGATAGATACAGATAATTGTATTCAATAGCTTTTCACCTTTTTGACCATTTGTTCTCTTCGCTATTCCTTGCTCCCCCGTGACGAGCGATTTATTTATTATCTTATAACTTAATACCTTTTCGTAAGCCGGTGATTAAGTCATAAACCGGGATAAGCCTGGTCACTAATACCACCAGCACTTATTTAAGAGGGTCGTCCTTTAACGGGACACTAAGACTTCTCTGAATAATTACATTTAAGCTAGATGTCTGCATCTTTCAATTATACACAGTTCCCTTTTGTTCGCAATGAAAAGAGGAAAAGCTTGAGAAATTGTAAAAAATTTTTAATTATGGAATATTGTACATTACATTAACAATTCAATGCACCGGTTAGGCGAACTAATAAAATTCATATTTCTTTTAGTTGAAAACTACAAGGCAGCTTTCTTCTATCACCACCTGTTGCGGGTGACAGTAAATTCATAAAGCCATCGGATGCCACCCATTCACATTTTCGAGCTTAGAATTTCGTTTATAGCATCGTGCCGTAAAGCCATCTAACTAGGCGTCAAATTTTCAGAATTTTCTTTCAAATAGAAAACGCTTTACGACTTCATAAGTCTGCGATGCACCGTTCGCCAAGGGATTTCTACGAACCTCTCATACCTGAAAACGACCTCTCATCGTCGAATGCGAATGAAAGCCTCTATTCTAACTGATTTCATTTTTTTTTTTTGTTACAGTGGTACTTACAAAATCGGTTGCCAAGTCGGACATTTTTTCTGAAACCGTGGCTGCAATGTATGATATGCTTGTGGACTGTGATATGCTCTGCAACCAGGATCAGTGATAACAGGCATCACTGGTGGGACGTATTAGCAGGGGATATCTTAGGACTAGCTTTTAGTGCGCTAACCGTGACAGTGGCATGTCGTAGGTTTCGTTTTAACGGGGACGTCTCGCAGATCTATAACGACCCTGTAGAAAACGGTCAGATCGGTTTTAACAACAAAAGGCAACAAAGTGTGAAGCAACTGTTGCCTGAAACAACCGTTGAAGAAACTCGTGAACTGAAAAACGTTAAACCGACCTCGTGGAAGGAATAAGAGAAAATAAGTATTTTGATAAACTATACTTTTTACACAAAAATTACCGGTGAGACTTAATGCATAATGCGACGCATTAGGCGTTGCACTCACTAAAATTTATTTATTTCTTTCGAAGTTCGTGAATATTCAGGATTACTTTGATTGCTAGTCGAAAAAAAAAAAATTAACAATAGAGGAATAATGTTAAGTAGGGTACAATTACCTCCGATGGTAAAAGGTGTTTCCTTGTTTTGAGATGGTGAAAGCCATTGAAAACAAGTAAAACGTGTTCCACCAGTTTTATTGAGAGCTTTGGAATATTTTCAATAATTCCTTTCAGTCTTTAGGAAGCTACATATCAATATGAGTAACTGTAAACTTACAGTCACCATGCTAATAACATTCCCTATAATAATGATTAAACGTATCAAACGACAAATTTTAATTTTTCAACAATATTAGTAAGGGTTTGAAAATAAATGAAATCTAATTACCTCAGTATACAAAAGATTTTAATATAATAATTAAGGTTTTATGATTCTACAATTTAACAGTCAGTGTACTGAACAAACAATAGTTACCGTTATTCTTTACACACGGTACTCCAATGATATTATTGTAAATAAATAAGAATTTTGGTAGGAAAGAATAGGCAAATAATCGGCTGGAAAGGTGACGGAAATCAAAGGTGGATTTTTATTATGAATCGGTATTCTAAATTCGTTAAATTTCGGTGGTGTAGATAAAGAGTATTATTATAACTTTTATACCTATATTCTTATAGAGAGATGTAGTAATTTTGATAAGAACAAAATATTTTAGAAAGTTCATAGTGAATAATGTAATGGATTGAAAGAATCCTGTATGGTTTTATAAAACATATACAAGATTTTTGCACTCGTTAAACAACTTAAAGTATGGTGCAAACTAATATTCACAAATATAATAAATTATATCGCGAGTTTGTATTAAGTTAAGGAATGAAAAAAGTAGCTTTTACTGTTTCATATGGTAGCTACGAAAGTAATTCAGTTTTTAATTTCAAAATAGGAGTACATTCCCAGTAATATTCTAATAGGAACACATAAAGAGATCAATTCAAAATCGTTTGAACAAATTAGAAACTTTGTTCAGTATTAAACTAGAGGGTCCATTAATAGTATTTTCATAAACAATTCTTGTAGTAAGTTAAAATTCTTTTAGAACACGCACATGAAAATGGTTCAGTATTAACCATTTATCTTTATGATCTTATGATAAATCATAGTTGTGCATGTATAATTCTATATTTGCTCATAGGAGTCTCTTAAGTCTTAATTTATGATTGTGTATTAAAAGTTTGATGGTAGCTTGTCAGGTGATTGAGGATTTATTCATTAATTATAACATTCCGATTGTGATGCAAAATTGTAAATACTATAAGTGTTCTATTTAAAGAGAACAGTGGGTTGTTGAAAGTATTGTAATATAATTGTGTTTTAAGAACATTTGTACGTATATATATATCTATATATATATACACAAATATATTCCCTCAAGTTTGAATCTATATTAATTTCTGTCTTCTTTCTTGTACTTTTCAGTTGAGGCACTATGGATTTAATTTTGACTTTGAAAGAGTGAAATGTCACCCTATCATGATACTTGAGGGTTGAAGTACAAAAGTAAAGTATAGATGACAGAGCCGGTCATTCGTCAATGACGTTGAAATGAGAAAAAGAAAAGACTTCGGTGACCCAGAAATTTCCCTTTCGCGGTTCGTTCTCTTTTCTCGTATTTTTTTCTGTTCGCGCGTAAATGGATGGGATTTAATTTAGCGGTCAGGTTGAAGCAATTTTTTTTTTTTTTTTTTTTTCGTCAAAGCTGCTATCCGTATATGCGCGTAGAGTAGCGTCGTGTATTTTTTTTTCCTCCTCTCTTTTTCACGAACGAAACAATCGGGCAAGGGGTGGAACGTGGAAACGGGAGAGCGTGGAGACTTGGATAAAAGAGAGACCAAGTGGCAGATTAACGTCAACCGACGTAGCCCATTCATAACTGACCTCTACCGCCTACCGCCTACACGCGAGCCTCTACACACGACGATTTATAGAATTGGAAAAGCGATATCGGAAAAATAGTAAACTTTATTGATGAATCCCTTCCCGACCTTTAAGCGCGATATCGCCGCGATCGAGTCGACCGCATTCCCCTGCTGGCATCGTGCTACAGGTGGCATGTAAGCCAATCCGTGATACTCTACCTCTTTTACCAAAACATATACGTGCATGCAACATACGTCTTATTTATTTTTTTAAATAATATTTTGTGTAGGGTTTAGGATTTCTAGGTTTTCTTCGTTAGAGGTAACAGTGTAGAGGCAGAATCCACCTACTTGTCTTCAGCCTTGAAAGAGCCCAAAGAAAGCCTCGAGCTTATTCAAACTCCCAGCGTTTCTTTAATAATTGAAATTTTAGAAAATTCATAAACTACGCTTTAAATAACACATTTTTATTTATAAATCAAAAGGAATTTTTGATTTGACGCCGATGGCAGCTAGTAATCGATGCTATAACTTCGCCATTTTGTAATATTATTACTTCCTAAAAATTGATATATAAAGTTCAAAGTTACATTTATATCCCCCGAAAGAATGAAAAATTTTCTATTTGCGATTATCTATGAAAAAAATTCGCAAAGATCGCCTATTCTTAAGCACCTCAGGGTGGTGTCTCCTCAGAACGCTTGGGGTACCCGAGTACCTCAACCCTTAATCATTAACAGAAGAATTAAGAAAACTATTGATATTCTTATTGAACAGACGCATCGTTAATTAATTCGCTAAGAAAAATTAATGAAAGCGTGGAACGGTGGATGAAAGGTGTAGGGGGTGTAGGTTGTGCAGAGGCCCAATAGTGACCGGAAAGAAGGCAGTATCGAAGATATCGGCGTATGGGACACTGGCAGCTTTGCGGGGTTTAATATCGCGGCATTCCCTTTATACTAGGAACGGAGTACAACGCGAGATCCACTTTAATCCTAATATACCATACGTACGGTGCGCTGGCAAACTAATGGCCGCGCCTCCGAAACGTCGAAACGACCGTCATTCGTATAAACATAGTCGAAACGAAAGAAATCATTCGCCACTGTCATCAACGAATTTCTACCGGATTTTCTGACTAAGCGAAATTTCAATCGAGCCGCGTTAGATGGCGGTACCGGTTGCACGGTACCACGATGCTTCGGACAAAACATTTTCCGCTCGCGATGTTTGTTCGAATCGTAGGAAAATGTTTGTCTCGTACGCCTCCTGCACGACGTCTTCCTGACGAACAACGAATTTAGAGAAAATGTAAATTTCTCTCTGGAAAGGTGCATTTATAAGGGAACTTGGTATAGACACTGAAAATTGTTGAAATAATTTTTATGAATTAATTATAGAAAATATTTTTCGTTGCTCGATTGGTCAATTGTTTCGCCACCTCTGGTATAGGCTAGGGAGAACGTACGCCAAGACCAGAAGGACGTCCTGTGACGCATTCAATTGAAAATCTCAAGGCACCCTCGTGCACCGTTCGAAGATAATATATAGGGTTACATTACCTGCAAAATCGATCGGTTATTTTGGTTCGAAGGAAAATTTTTAATGAAACGCCGTTAAAAATTTCAAGCAACCCGATACTTTTCTGCGCCCTTTTAAACGAAACTACGTTTACTAAAAAAAAAGGCAAGTGACACCCTCATTTTTTATTCCTTTAATCAGTCCGCAAATTATTTCTTTAAATTTTTGAATTTTCCTCGCACTCCTTTCTTTTAATTTGTAACATCTATGGACCGAAACGAGACTAAATTATAGGCGGGAACATTTAAGGGGGATGGTGGAACATCGCTCTGGCGTTCACCCTCATCGAAGGAAGGGTAAGCTAGCAGAAGTGGGACCAGCACTATTTCTCCGATCCTTTTAAGGATTAAATGAAATTTCTAACGTAAGGATATATTAATAAATTGCTCCATGAATTTAAAAAAAAATTTAAAATTCCTTTTGAGGCCCCGGGCTAAGGATAGCTCTAATAATAAATCATTTTTTCCAGGTTTTCAACCGATGGTCCCGACGACCCTTCCGCCCCTCAGTCTTTCGTGGGTTGAAATTTGTCCTAAAATCGGTTAACCCTTTGGCCCGGACACAATTCTGATCATTCGTCCCGTGCCAGACAAAGATGGAGGATCGACAGGCAAGAGGGAAGCGAATGGTAAGAGAGAGGGAGTAAACGAAGGAAGGTAAGTGGAGAAGAGAGGAGGGAAAAAGATAAGGAAAGAAATGAAGTCTCGCAGGTTCGTCGTGGCACTTTCACCTGCCGGGCCCTTAAGGGTTTCAAAGTACGCAGGAGGAGCTGCGGTAGAGGGGGGCGAATGAAAGAGAGAGAGAGTGAGAGGCTTACGCAGACGCTCGTTACACTCGCGTAAACAGCGGAAGTCGCAAGTGCAACGACGAGCCACGCCGATTCCTTTAATTTGACGATATCCGCTTTAACGGAAAGCCGGTTGATACGTTCCCTTTAATATATACAACATAAAAAGTTTCACGACGAATAAAGCGACTGGGAGTAGGAGAATGGAAGCGAGCGAGCAAACGTGCGAAAGAGAGAATGCGACAGAGTGCGGAGTAGGAGGGTGAGATGAGGAGTCGTAGGTGGAGTGTGAGTTAAGGGGCGCGCGCGCAAGAGACAGAGAAAGAGGGGGAGCAAGAAGGAGAAAGAGAGGAAGTACCGACGGGTGGTGGTGGGGGGACGACACGAACGAGCGAGACGACAGGGGAGATCCCGTTCGACAGAGACGGTAAATACTCGAGAAGATTTTGACCAACTCCCGATCCTAGTGAATTTTTTTTTTTTTATCATTCGTCTTCTCTCGCAACGTAAATACGTCATCCTTCGGGATCTTTGTTCGTCGGATCGAGACTAGAGATTCGAAAGGATCCGACGTTTTGGCGAATAGAGAAAATCATTGGTTTTTCACAGGTAGGACCGGTCAATAGTTAACCGTTCGATCGTTCGAAAGACAAAGAGAGTCGCGGCACGAGCGAAAGCCGCGGCCGACGAGAGAGAAAGAATACTTTAACCGTAAGAGAGACAGAGATAGGTAGATCCGAGATAGAGTAAAGAGGACAGCGTACGGGATAGACGGAGAGAAAGATAGCCGAACGTGCAGAGACGATGGCTCTGAGCTACCGGCAGCTTTCCTATTGTCCACGCATCCCTTCGGATAAATAGCCCTCGGAATTTACAGGTAGCTTGAAAAAAAATCTTTTCTCTCTGATTCGATAGCGTTCATCGCGATTCGTATTCTCAGAGATACGTTTCATTTTTATCATGGAACGAGAAAATTGTAGGAAAATCCTGAAACGTTTGCGGATGGTCAATTCCATATCGGTCGGCGGGGTCTCGTTTATTTTTGCATTTTAAGGCATTGAAGAAAAGAAAATGTTAAAAAATAGGAAAAAGCGAGCGCTCGGGCACAGGGTGAGCCGAAGAGAGGGCGGCTCGAGGGAGGAACCGGGGGAGTGGGAAAGATGTGCACAAAAACGTACTGACGAACATACAATGAAGCAAAAAGAGGTATCTAACCTACCAACGCGAAGTAGAAGTCTGTAGACCCGGGAAAGAGAAGAGTTGCGCTCGCAGGATCGGGCTATACTAGCTCGACCGGACTAAAAGTAGAAAGAAGACGAGTTTCGTCGACAGAATTCTTTAAAACACTTGTACAACCCCACCTACGTTGATGCACCATACGTCGTTTGTTACTGGACGACAATGACAGGAACGTTCATCGAAAGAATTCCTATGTTTATTCGCCATTTTCGAATGAATTTATTCATCGAAAACTTGCCCTTTTCGTCTATAGAAATCGTAGTGTAATTCAATACGTAGTTAGGATTTTGCTATCTTCTAATTTAACCCTAGCCGGCTCAGTCTTGATGCAAACTTAGAAACAGGTGCATACGTTTACGTCAAGTTTCCAATCGAACGATTTTTATATTTCGTACATTAAATATTACACAATATTTAAAAAAAAAAAGAATAGTACAAAATTTGGGAATTGAGAATGAAAACGAATCTAAATCATTAAATTTTCAAATCAAAAAGTGTAACTTTCTCTATGAGTTTTAATATTAAACTTGTTGCACAGTTTTCAGATTTTCAACCAAAGATTTTTACATAGACAGCTTTTTTTATACATTTTTTTCCTTGTCCTGCGCTACCACGCCCCTTTATCCCTCAAGGCATCCTTCTAGATTGTCCCTTTTCAAACAACCTCGAAAACTCTCGGTATTGAGTTCGTTCCGAGAAGCCTGATACCGCTATACACTGTCCAACCTTTTTGATTCTGAATGACAGAACTAAATGTCGGTTTCTAAAGAAAAAAAAGGCTGTATTTTTAGTACAGAAAAAATATTTCTAATGAATACATTCATTTTAGTATAGTTAACTATATAATATTAAAGAAGAATAGTTTAGTAAATTCTAATACTTTTGTTATAGAATTTATCCTAGTAAAATTTCTTACTTCCACATGATAGACTGATACTTACTGGTCCCTGGGATTTAACCCTTAAGTATCATACTAGAATGACGCCATAGTCACTAACAACCCAAAAGGTTTCTGCATCCTTAAAAATAAAATTTGAAAAATTATTCCAAACATTCCAGTTACAAACCTTCATGTCTAGTTTCGATGCTACATATCATAATAATTACCCAAATTGCCAAGGAATTTCAATGTCTACGTTTACTAAGGAATTTACAGAATATCTTGGCTGGTGCAAAAAAAAGAAGAAATGAGATTCATATTCGTGTGTACGATAGTTTAGAAAGACGGAACGGTCGGGACAAGAGAGAGGGCTGACGAAGGTATTCAGGTAGTTTCCTACATTCAGGCGAATCCGTTTACTTGCCCGCCCTGGAGCGCCCTGCACCGCGATGAATGTCTGTGCGTTTCCCTTTTGCCCTCTGCTTCTCATCCCGGCCTAACCATCGTCAGGCCAGGTCTGGCCAACCATCACCCGATACCCTGTCCCACACCGCACCGTGCCCTCTGCTTTTGTCTCGGAGAATGTGCACAATACCTCTCCCGAGGAACCCAAGCCCTGCATCTTTCTTTGCTACGTCTCGATCTTGCTTTCTCTCTCTCTCTCTTACTCTTCTCTTCTTTTTTTTTCTTTTCTTTCGTTTGATTCGGGTTCCGTGACTCTGTGAAAAGAACTTAATCACACGCGGCACCAAGGATTTGTCCCTTCTCAGGTAGCCTCGTATCGCATCCAGAAACTCTTTACATTTCCTTCCTTACCACTTTCTAAGGAACAACATTTAGCAGGTGCATTTACTCGCTTTGTCTATTTTATTCCATACTTGGGAGCGTACACCTACGTCCTAAGACCTATCAGATTAATAAGTTGACGCTTATGCATTTTCATTAATTAGAGATAAATAATAATTAATACAAAGGTGGCTTTACACATTCCATTACTAATTTTCCTAAGTTTAGCTCTTACCTCATATGCGCATGCGCACTCCTATGCGTTCTATCACTGCGTGGAAGGTTAGAAATACTCAGGTTTCAAACTTTTAAAATAGTTTACCAATATTCCTGTTTCTCTATTTTATCCTGTCCATCTACATCCAAGCACTCTGTTCAATATGTAGGAAATTAGAAATGTTTAGTGCATCAAGCTTTTAAACAGCTAGAAAGAAATGATTTATACTACCCCGGCTTCATACTTTCAGTTTCCCATGCTCCTCCATCTTGCCTCACACGCGCATGCGCACATCTGTTTGGCGCGTAAAGGATTAGCGATGTTTAGTGTTTAAATTTTGAAATTTAAAACAGAGAATTCCAAAGCATCTTCTGTCGTTGAAGTTTCTTATATTATTTTATACCTTACCTTTGATGTTAATTGTTCTCTGAAAGTGACATTGAAAGGATTTAAGGAAAGAAAAATAATAGATTCAGCTTTTGAAAAACTTAACGTATTCTATATTTAACAAACATTTCTTTCATGTTCGATATTTACAATCACACAATGCGCGTGTATTTACTAACATATTCGTCGTTGAATATTTACAGTACATAATTACAAAGTGCGATACGGACGGAGGCGATCAGCAGGCCGAATTCCTCTTCTCCTGTGTACGTACACAATATTTCCTTATTACGTACAACCAACTACATGATAGTTGAATATTATTTTATGCTTTCTCTTTCTCTTTGTTTCTTCCGAAAGAATACAAATTCTACTGTTGGATGCGAAAAAAAAAACGACCTTTCGTGTCGAGAAAATTAGTCGAATTATTATGAAACTATCTATAACGTTTACAAATTTAATATAAGTATTCTGTGACCATTTTCATATCCAACAGTACAATTCTTTTCTACTCCGCTATCTACGCAATTATCATGTGAGGCGGAATGAAAACCAATAAACAAATAAAAAGAGAAAATTAAAATTATTTTTATCGTCTTTGTTCGAGCCAAAGAGATACTGAATTTCATTTAAATCTTCGTTAGTTTTTTGTATTGTCAACTATAATATGATTTTCTTTGGCTCTTCCAGAACGTACAATAAATGGAATGCTTCGAATAAGAACACGCGAGTTAAAAATTCTCCCATAAACAATGGAATACGATCACAGTTAAATGAAAATTACTTCAACTAATTTTCATTCGGTTCTTTCGTTACATGCTAAACGATTCGGAACGAATAATGTATTATTTATCAAACAAAGAAGTACAAATGAACTCGTAACGTTGAAATACGTACAAAATATTTGGTGATCATTATCAAACGTAATATTAAAATATTTCATTTCTAATTGATCGTTTAGGATGCAACGTGGTTTTTTTTTTACCATAAACGGTAATTAATTTAAATTACAGTCATCACGCGCAAACTTGTATTTTTTTCCCCCTTTAATTCTATCTAACATCTAAATAATAGAGTAGCTTTTGAATTCGGCGCGCCGAAAAGACACTCTCTGATCCGTCGTTCGTTTCTATACATGTAAAAGCTTATACAACGGTAAGAAAACGAAAATAGCTTGATACGTTGAGACATTTCGATTTACAGTAGTCCCTACATTTCCTCTCGTTCCACTTTATCGTTATTCCTTTCGGTGTTCACCACTTTTGCACAATGCCCACCTTCCCTCCTCTTTTCAAATTTATAAATAAACATTTCGTTTGAAGTGAACGCGAACGGCAATCGACTTCTATCGATGTAATCGTAAACGAATAGAATTATCGATATATCGACTGACACAGTAGAAATGGCGCACCATAGTGCACGGTGTATTACGGCAAGAATGTCTCTTCAAATCAAGTGATAAGTACAATTCACATTATTCTCTTTTTATTTTTATAATTACCTGTAGATTTCTTAACATTTCTATGGGGTCCGGTGGAACCCGCCAAGCTATAAGTTAGTTATAGGTTAGAACAATTATCGAGAATTGTACCGCAAATTAATAAGTACCTTCTATCGTTGTTTTGTTTTTTGACTTGTTAGAAAAAGAAATTTAATTGTAATTAATAGTAGATTTCTCTTCAGAATGACAATATTCTGAATACGAATAATTGTTTGATTACACCGTGACAAATACAATTCAATTTGAATTTTTATCTTATCTTAAACACGCTATGTATACGTGTATAAAATCAACAGCTTCGTTCATTGTACAGGTATCAATCGTCTGATTGTTTTTGTCAGTTTTCAGAATTTTGTAGTGTTAAAATAGTAAATTAAGACCGGTTGTGCTTCCTTTATGCTATTTTCTTCATTCTTATTGACGAAAGAATGATGATTCATTATTGTTAACTTTGTAATTCTAAAAATTTGTTAAATTTTTAAGGGCTCAGTGCCATCTATGTTCTTTTAATTTCCGGTTAACACGATGTAAGAATTAATTAAAAAAAAAAGGAAAAGTAGAAACAAATGAAAAATGAAATAATGGTCCCGAGATGCCATTTATGGAAGAAGGAAAGAAATCTACATATATAAAATTGCATAAAAATGTAAAAATATTAATGAAACGTTTGCAAGAAGAATAGCACCGTAATTGTTTCGATGAACACATAATTTTTCAAGAAGTTCATCATTTCATTATACAATTCATGATTAATCTCTTACTCCTTAAGCTACAGTTTCTTATTTTGAATCGTATACGTAATTAACAATATTTTATCGTTGTGAAATCTAAATTTCTTTATAAAAAATTACATGTTATGCAATTGTAATTCAAAAGAAAAGAAAACAACAACCATTTTAACGATCAAACATGTAAGAATTTTATAGGGAATTATGTGAGGTGAAGGATGTTAAAAAAAAAAAGAATGTGTTTATACAAAAATACGAACGAATTATTATTAACAGTTAAAGAAATATATTATAAAGAATTAACAAACGCAATCACTTGTCGCTGCATCAACGAGAAAATTCTGAAACACGTTTGCCATGTTTCTAACGAATGTACCATCACATTATCAGAAAAAGAATTTTTATTTTTTTCATAAAAATTTATTATTCTAGGCGATACAAAAATTCACTTGTAAAAACAAGGCACGCGTGAAAATACGTATCGAAGGTACCATTAAAGATGGGAAATTTAATAAAAAGAAATATTGCTATTATTTTCATACATCGATCCGAACGAGTGTTTCCATTACATCCAACTAAAATTTCTCTTGTGCTCTTAAGAAATTCTAGTCGAATGTATTCGGTGTTCATCGCGTATGTTCTTTATAACAAAATACATCTTTCAACAAATACAACGTTAATGGATACAATTTGTTTCTGAAAGAAAGAATACTGAAAGAAAATCAGTAACAAACTGATACTTTCTATGCATAATAAACGCAAAGAAAACAAAATTATATTTTCATCTTCAATCGATGAAATCTGATGGTGCATTCGATGCAATTTAAATATATTTCGACCTAACTTTCATTCCCTTTATCTATCTACTTACGTTTACGCAATCTTTGAAAAAAGATGCATGATTCTTGTATAATTTGCATAAAATAGAACGTCTGTTTCAAGTATGTACAGTAGTGTCAAGTGGTATCATACAACATGCATTGGCGTAACTAGGCAAGGATCATAGAGGGCCCCCAAAAATGTGTCCCTTTGAACAGTAATTAAAAAGAATAAATTCCTTGTGGTAATTAACGTGTTATTACGTAAAATGATGAGTAAAAATTATATTAAATTTAAGCAATGCTTTTAGTAAAGCTAGGAAAGATGGCCCATCTTGAACATAAATCTTAGTTACGCCAATGGCAACACGTGGGACCTATTTGAATCGCACATTATTAATAACATCCTTTCGATTACAATACACCACGTACGCTTCATCAAGGAGAAAAAAAGAACAACGATTTTTGCTAACCAACAAACAATAACGATCCTTTCTGTCTACAAGGAATCTCACATCGAAATAATTAATTAACTATTGCAATACCAATATCTAAAAGTGGAATATAAACAGTTTTATAAATTCTGAAAATTACAGATTTTTAAATATGTACCTGTTTTCGCGGGGATTCTTGAGACAGTAATGGCGGACACTAGGTATCGCCCCCCGGTATTGCAAAAGTTAATAATGTTAAGAACAAACGAACTAGACACGATTCTCTTGTTCTAACCTTCGTATTTTCTTTGGTATTAACTTACGAGATATTAGGTTGGTGGATATAAAATGTAGTTCTCGAAAAAATTCAACTTTCTGGTGTAATAACCTAAATGTTGCTATGGTGATCTACCGTAGGGGTTCACGGTACAAATTCCACGGAATTTCGGTGATCCACATACGATATTAGATTCCAAGCGTTAATTAACACACCGAATACTATGAAAACTCTATGGTAATTCTTAATTATAGAGAAATTGCAATCGTATTATATTTATTACTTTCGTCTCGCCATTTTGTTTCGAACTTAAACCGAAAAGTAACCTTATAACATTATTATATTTGATGTTTTATAACACAAATATAACACGTTCTCTAATAATTTTTCCTATTTCAATTAAAAACATCTACCTTCCCCTGAAATGTGAGAACTTAATTGAAATAATGACATTTCATAGACACCAACCTAATAATTCTGAAAGTGGTGAAAGAAAATTGGTTCTTTGATCAAGCAACAAATCCAATGCTCTCGTAAAAGGCACATGAATGAGAAAAAAGAAAGAAACAGAAACGTGAGACTATTTTTCTTATAAGATCCTTACGTTTCTTCTACATTAAACTTAACAGGGTGTTCGTATAATATAGAGATCAATCGAAAATGAAGTATATAATTATAATAAGAACAGAAAGGTTAGATAACCAAAATAGAAAAACATAAAATTAACACGTAACTCTCATTAACCCTTGTAAGCCTATGACATTTTAATTAAAAATAAAATCTTTCATCAATTGTAAATAAAAATTCACATTCTTACGTGATAAAAATTACTAAAATCGGTCTACAAGTGATCCAGTCACAGGCCAGCAAGGGGTTATCAAAATGTTTTTCAACCAATTGTCTCATGCACAATTATATACTTGTAAACGATACTTTGGCTAAATCGGTCGCGATACTGACTAAAGATAAAGATTTACAACGGAATATCGCGTGTACAAGAGCACAGTTGTTACAAACGAGTAAAGAAACAGCGGCTCGACGTACACACACGCCTTCTGTTCTGCCTATTTGCGCTTGGAAGAAGCATAAAGAAAGCACAAACACATCGGGCGAGTCCTACTTTGATCGTTAACAGAAGAAATTCGTTATTACTCGAAATTATTCCCCGACACGGAGTGTGGACAATGAACGAAGCTATTCCGTTGGAAAGATGTAAAGATGCGTAATTATAAAGATCATTTAGGATGTAGAGGAAAAATCGAAGGAACGTCGGTTAGAACGGTGATCGCATCGCGGTTAAAAAGCGAATGAAAGGAGGGCGTTTCGTTGCTGGCCTTGATGATTTTTATAAAAATGCGAAAAGTGAGAGAGGTATATTAGGTGATAGAAAAAAAAAAAAAAAAAAAAAAAATAGAAAAAGAAAAGAAATAAATGATCGATCGGCATGGTTATGTATCCGGCGAAGTTCCGCAGGCACCGAGGGAACACCTTCGTCATTCGTACGTACGAGAGTATAGTAGGGACGCAAATATGCTGTGTTGTAATACACCGTTTCTTAATATTTTGTTTCGTTTAAAAAAGCCATCACCGCACGTGCCAAAGACCAAGATTCAACGTACTCAGCTGCGGCAACTTCATGATCCTTTCCAAACCGTTGGTACTTATCCTGGTGCATCCGTAAAGATCGATGCATTTCAAATGCTTCATACTCTCGGCGATCGAGTACAATCCTTTGTCCGTTAATCTGCTGCACTGACCGATATTCAACGTTTCCAAATCGTGTAACGTTTTGGCGATCTTGCATATACCCTCGTCGCTGATCTGACACGCGGACAACGAGAGGGATTTCAAATTGAACAGTCCTTGGGAGATGTGGACGAGGGCTTGATCACCGATTTTGTCGCAGAACGAAACGTCCAACGAGGATATCCTGCTGCCACCTTCCGCGAGATAAGCCATACCGATGTCCGAGATATTGTCGCAAGAACGAAGATTCAATTCTCGTAGACTGGACATCTTGGCCAAGTGTTTGACGCCTGAATCGGTGATGCATACGCAAAAGGAAAGATTGATAGACTTGAGGGTGGCGAGACCGATGGATATGTGCCTGAGTGCCTCGTCGCTAAGTCGTTGACAGTCCTGAAGGCTTAAATGTTCCAACGCGAAGTTACCACCGGCTGCTTCCCTATTGACACCGGCTAAATGGGCGATACCCAAATCAGATACCTGCCAACAGCTCCGTAAGTCGAGTCTCTTTAATTTTTTCAAATTCCACGCTATACACAAGAGTCCGTTATTAGTTATATTGCAGCAACCGCCGAGCTCTAAATGTTCGAGATTCTTTAAATACTGCACTATCCTACCGAGTGAAATGTCCGATACTTGTTTGCACAATGATAAATTCAGTTCCGTTAGGGTCGAGTACTCCTGGCAAAAAGCGTTGATCAAACCCGCGTCGGTAATGTTGTAGCAACCGGAAAGATTTAACGCTTCCAAGTTTGGCACACCTTTTAGAACGTCGCCGAGACCACGTCGCAGGGATAACACCTGAACCCTTTTCACTCCTCTTCTCACGAGACTGGCAAACAACGCCGGCGCTTGCTTTCTTAAATGTAACCTCGCCTCGACCCCACGCCAGACGGACCGGTAATACGCCGCGTCCCTCCACGCGGTGCACACTTGTGCCGCCCGTCCTTTGTCCCTGACCTCGAGGTAACTAAAAATTAACGCCAATATTTCGGGATAGAGGGAAGAAATGTGGGTGCTCGCTGTGACAGCACCGCGAGCCACTTGAGGTTGTTGCCTCGACGAAATGCCGCCTTGAGCGTACGCCGGCACGCTCGTTGCACCGCTTGTATAATGCGGCGTATTACTCGAATTATAAAGGATCGCTTGACTTTGAGACGTTGGAATCGCTAGGTGCGGCTGGTGCAATTGATAATAGTGTCCCGAACGATGAAGCAACGTTGTACCGCGGCTTGGCGTTAATGCCGGAAGTTCCGTCATCAACAGCTGACTTTCCTCCATATTGCCTGAATATATGTACACACACACACGCATGCATGCACGCACGCATATACAACACGCGTTTCTTAAAAACCTCTTCTCCTCTTCTTCTTCTTCTTCTTTGCTCTTCACGTTACTTTGTATTCCCTTCTTTCTCCATCTACTTGTCCTCCTCTCTTCTTTTCTCTTCTTTTTATTATAATCCTTCTTCTTCTTCTTCTTCTTCTTTTGTTGCCGTTACTTTTTCACCTTTTTTTTCTTTGTTATTCAAAGCGAACTTAATACTGGTGTACAGTATACTCCACCGTACGAATGTTAATTCGAATCGAATATTTCTCGTTCAACTTGTTTCTGCATCGTGCGCGTCGATGGTTTTGATAAAATGTATCATCGATGATCGATTTGCGAGCAACCAAACGAAAAAGAGAAAGTTTATGGATTGTTTTGTTTCGCGACTTTTAATCCCACGCGGGTCTTACCACTCACGAAACATCGTGTCGCACATGTAACACACTAGCGTATCTTTTTTAATTCCTATTTCCCTTCTTCCAATACGCGTGTGTAGCTTTCTCTGTCACTCTTGGCTTCGTTCTCTGTGTACCTCTTACTCGCTCACTCACTTGCTCACTTCCTCGCTCTCTCCCCCACGCGACCACCTTCAACCTCCCTCACACCGCCCTTCTCTTCTTCTTCTCTTTCTATATATGCATAAATACGTGTATGTATTCATCTACAGTACAGTACATACACACACGCGCGCACATGCGCGCGTGTGTGCTTTGTGTGTTCGTTCTGTAGGTTATGTAGTATACTTTTTTCTTTTTCTCCGCTATTTGTTGCCCCACCTCTTTCTCTCACTATCTTGATCTTTCTCTCGCACACTGAAATCAGTTTCTTCTCTGCTACCGTTCCTCTCTACCACACTAATCACTTCTTTTCAGACGCGATACGAATATATAAACGGATACTCGCACGCGCAACGTTCTTCGAAGACGAACGACCAAAAACGGACAAATTGTGTCAAGCACCAACTTGTACCTTTTCCATGCGTGTGTATCGTGTTATCTTCCTCGTATTCACCCTCTCAACGGTTAAATGTGTCATGGAATCACTCGAGCAACTGGCTTCGAAACGACACATCGCCAAAACGTGGACCGGTGCGCTGCCAGTCGCAAACTGTTGTTCCATTTGCCTAAAGTCAGATGTCGTGTCGTCGTTCTGTAACACAGGCAAAGTAAACTTCGTCCTAGCGGATCACCGATTGGTTGACAACGCTCGAGTTCATGTCACGTGACTATGTCGGCGAATATCGATTCGGGTTGCGCTGCGGCGGCATTTTTAAGTTTTCGTTGAGAGGTGGGGGTACGGCATTGTATACTCCGAACCACGTTGCGATTACCACTGTTCCTTCAATTTTCTCCTGTTTCATTTTTTACTTCTTTTATCCATATCCATTTAAATTCATCGATCTCTTCTTCATCTTTTCTTCTCGTTCATTACAATTTTCTTACATACCTTTTAACACTGCCAGTTATATTCTCGATAAAAGACCATTCAAGAAAAAAATAATCCCTCTTGAACTCTTAAAAACACTTACGTGTATCTTTCTATGTAATGCACATTACGCATGTAAATTTTAATCATTCAAATTATAGTATTACTGCTCTACAAGTTCGTATCGATCGATGTCATATAACATAAAATATAGTTTCTTTAAGAAACAAAAAAGAAGGCATTTGGTCTTACGGTATGGTAATGTTTTATTTGAAATAAATCCATACATACATACGTTTGTAGCACATGAAAATCTTAAATTTATATTCTACTTCATCGTTAATCGGTTAAAGTAAAACATGAAAAATAAAGTTGCAAAGTACTAAAAAATATGTATCAAGCATCCATACAAAAATCATTTATTCATTTTATTATGAAACTATCGTTTAAATATAAAAAGATTCAGTTAATTAATAAACTGTTAGCTATAATTATAACATGTAAAATATGAAATAATTCGATTAAAATTGGAAAGTAAAAGGAGAATAGGTAACAAGTAACTTAAAAGAAATATGAAATATGTATGTGTACGCGTAAAGTTCTATTTATTTATATCTTAAAAGTATATAATAATTCATATTACAATGTTATAACTGTATAACAGTAAACAATATTGAATATGCTTGATTGAAATACTTGTGACATGCCACTAAAACTGGCAAGTAGAATATTTACACATTATAGGATGCCGCTTCATTGTCTCGTTCAAAAGATATGTTATTCTGACCAAAAAATACAACATCAATTACAATAATTCATTGGGTGTTGTTCCTGACGGTATTACAGCGGCAGCTGGATAGATATCCTAACTATTATCACAGATGGAAAAAGACATTTATTGTATTATTATATATAGTTATGTTAACCACATTATATTTATCACCAAACATGATAAATTATTACATATTCATGTGTTCGTCTTTCCTGCTGTTACAAAGCTTTTTATCTCAATTGCTAGTAATTTTTCACCTCTGAATTGTTACATTATAAAAACACTAGTACCTTTCAATGATTTCATATTCTCAATATTATTGGTAATCAAATGTTTCTAAGTAACAAATTATGTCATAATTTTATTATAAAAATATATCATAAGTTAAACCATATCGTAAACGTTACAATTTCCACATACGTTTCAATTTTACAAAACTATTATAGTACACATATATTCGTACTAAAAAACAAATCTACTAATTATAAAATATCTCAATTTCATACTGTTCGTTATTTTACTAGTAATACAATAAAAAAGCAACAGCTTTACTTAAGTTAAATTGACAATGCTTATATTAATGCAATGTAATCGTTTTTGTGCCAATTACAAAGCTTGCCTCTGTCATACCGTAAACACTTTTCGCTGCTCGATTTAATTTAATGTTTCTTTTAAAGCCAGTTAAAAAGCGTCATCAAACTGCAGGAACCTTGCACATTAAAATATGCTAAGAATTATCTCAACCTGCTGATAATATTGATCGCCTTCGTTTTGTTAAATATTAAATGTTAATGTATTAACAATATTGGACTCATATTATGGTAACTCATTAAGAAAAATTTATCCATAATCATCAAAGTCTCACGCATGTAATATTTTTATTTTCCTTTTGTTGAAAAAATTTCGATTAAGCTTTGTACAATGTATATGTTTTTTTTTTTTTTCATCTTTTGCTTTATACCATTTTTCTTTAGAAATAATCGTATGCGATGCAAAATATGAACAAGAAGCAGCTATATAATTTCATGTCTTTTTCTTTCTTGTGCTTATTGTTTGCAAGTTGTACAATATAAATAGGCCTTTATATTTGTAACGCCACATCAGAATATGCAGCATGTTAAAAAGTGTGCTGCTTACAAAGATACTCTCACTAAATGAACACTACACACTTATAACATTTGCATCCTATGTATATTGAACGTTACTAGCATCAAAGTATATGTCTATGAGAATACAATCTTCGATGTTATAATTTAGATACAAAACTCAATAGCTTTAAAAAACATCATTGTTACATTATGTGACCATTTTGTGGCTAGTGCATGCTCTCTGTTTCCTTTTTCACCTTTATCTCTGTTACTGTATTAAATGATATTAAGAACAGATTGCATGCTTGTACAATCCTGTTAACAACATCTCTTTTTATGCTGTTTTGTGCTTTTTCTCAGATTGACTGTTTCACTGGTTTGTATAGCTTGCCGTTCCTTCCTTTCTTTTTTAGTTCTTAATACTTGCCGTGTTATAGCCATAAACATCTAAACAGAAAAAATTAATACAAAAATTAGAATAAATAAAATAGAGGCAGTAGTGATTAATGGTAGATACTCCTAACTGATTGTGAGTATTACAATACTTTTTAAACCTATTACCATAAAAAAAAATTACTCACTTCTTGAACATTAATGTTGTCTTTAGCAGAAGTTTCAAATAACTGAATTCCCATTTGATTAGCAAATCTTTGCGCATCTTCTGTTAATACCACCTTTTCGTTAGGTGAATCATTCTTATTTCCTACAAGTACCCTGTTGACCACATCACAATTTTGTTCAATTTCGTGTAACCATCTTTTAACATTAGCAAAGGAATCACCACTGGTCACATCATAAACAACTATAACACCGTGTGTTCCCCTGTAGTAAGTTGAAGTTATTGTCCGAAATCTTTCTTGCCCAGCTGTATCCCAAATTTGCAGCTTTACTCTCTCACCATCTACATCCACTGTTTGTATCTTAAAATCCACTCCTATCGTTGTTATATAACTGCCATTAAAAGTATTGTCAGCAAATCGTAGGAGCAGTGAACTTTTGCCTACACCTTAAACAACAAATGAAACAAAAATGATCCCTATAATCCAGATATATGCAAACAAAATAAATGTCAAGGTATATAAAAAGTATTTTATATAATATAATTATAAATACTGTATAGAAATTTTAAACTTGGACTGAAAGAAAAAACTTGTAAACTTGACATTTTCATTATGTTTTTCATAATGGAAAAGCTATAGATAGTTGTAAAAAGATTTATAGTTTTCATTGATGTCATTCAAAAGACCACTTTCTATTAACTCCAGTTATGTTAAATTTGTATTGTCTGTTGTTGTTTAAAACCTAAATGACATATTAATATCTTTTTACAAAAATTCTATCTTTTTGTTGTACATAATTATACACATAATTATATATATCTTGACTGTTCCATACATTCGATAAGATAAAAATTTAGATACTCACCACTATCTCCTATTATTAGAAGCTTAAATAAATGATCATATTCCCGGGCCATTTTGACATGTATGATGTGCAAGTTTATCAAACGTTTCCTCTCGAAAACAGTTCGAAATATAGTCGATACATTCACTGTATCGCAAATTATTTGAATTATCCGAGAACAAATGCAAAAAATGGAATATCTGACTTGGTGCAAATTGCGACAAGGCTTGCGGCTTGTCCGAAGTAAAAGGCTTCGGTATCAAATAAGCGCCATGTTTATTTGCCGCGATATCACAATTCATTATCACTACAGAGAAAAAAAATTATGTTCGTTAACCATGGTAGCTGTTTCCTACCAATTCGTAATAATTGGACAGTTTCATTTACTTTATAGACTGTGTACTTTCATATAATAATAATTATTTGTACGTTTCTGATAAAGGCCATTAGTCAAAAAGGGATGGATCTTTAAAAAATGTAATTGTTCAAAATATTGATTATTTCATAGAATAAATTTAAAAATTAAGCTTTCTCATTTCAGTTTAATCGAATAACATATGGTAATACATTATTACAGATAACTAATGGAATAAAACACTAGACATATATGAAAATAAGTATTTTCTCCCAGTTTACACAATCAAGAATAAGTAGGTATTTCATTCCCTACTTCGTTATTTTACATCAAACCGATGCTTCATATATTCCACGTGATGTGGAAAGTCTAGTATGCATACTTAACATAAAGAAACTACAATGTAAATTTATTTATATATAATACTAATTTAAATCAAGGAAATAGATAATAATAAATGGTAAAGGAGTTTCTAAAGGTGAATAAAATGCTGGGCATTTATTTGTTCACAGAATATATTCTTTCGCATAGACAATATTTAATGTAATGTTTTAAGTATGTAAAAATATATGTACGAATGTATGTGTCTGTGATTATCATGAGATATCGCCTTAAAAATTACATCGTGCGCATTGAAAATTCAATAATCGTTCCTACGTTGTATTAGTTTATATAGCTCTCCATGAAGGGTTTGACGACATTCAAAGGCTTCGTTATGAAACCTTCATTTGGCAAAAGTTGTAGTGCTTGCTAATTGCAAAATTAATTATTTTTAAAAACTAATTGTCGGTAAGTCGGTAACAACTCGACTATTGCGCCATCTATACGAAAACGGCGGAAACTACTCAACAAGTTACCGATTAATTCTCCAGCACGTGGCGCTCTCTAGTGGAAAACGACGCAAACTACTTGCCAATTTATCGACTGATCTTCCGGCTGTTAACTCCATGCATCCCTGTTTATAATATGTGCGAAGCTGTTTTGTGGTTACAAATAATGAGCTAATAAATTGCAACTATACTTACAAGAATTAATGAAAGATGATACGATTATTATGAACAAATATAGTTCAAACAGTAGTTACAGTATAAGAATACAAGTTACCAAACGGAAATTGTTATTAAAATAAAGATAACCAAAAGAAGTAAGTTCATAACATTTCTATTTAAATTTGTAACAGTTTTAGAATTCAGGATTTTAAATAAGCGTGGATTAAATTAAACCTAATATAATAAGCATTTGTACATAAATGAATGTATTTTATACAATTACTTGAATGATGATCATAACCTATCTTATATTAACCTATTAAATTTTAAGCTATTTGATTATGTGAACTGCATCAAGTATATGTAAAAAAATCATTTTGATGAATATATATTCTTTTAAGAATATAAACAAATGAAATAATTGCTATTTAAGTATTACAATTTCATATTACTATACTTCATATTTTATTACAGAGTTTTAAGTAATTTATTAATTTTGAATAATCATAAATAAGATAATGTCAGGACCAATGGTATTGTGCCAGTTATGGATGGGTGGTGTAAGTAAAGATTATTAATTGTGTATAAGAATATAATATAAAACTATCATTACAATATACAGAAAATTATTACGAAAAGGATGATATAAGCTCCTTATATTTTGTAATTAAAATAAAGCATATATTTTGTTTCAGCTAGAACCATATATGACAGAAAGTTTTATAATGAATGCTTTTCATAAAATGGGAGAACAACCTCAAACAGTGAAAGTAATGAGAAATCGTTATACGGGTGAACCAGCAGGTTATTGTTTTGTTCATTTTCCAACCGATGAAATGGCTCTTGATGCTATGCACAAATTAAATGGGAAAGTGATTCCTGGTTCTAATCCAGTAAGGATTTGTAAAGCTTTAAATATTTTATTTGAAAATTTATATTGTTTTGTATTTATATTATACTATATTTCTGTATATTTACACTAAAATATAGAATGTATTTATTTGTTAATTTACTGTGAGTGACGAGATGTCTCGTATTTTGCTAATGGAATATTATTCGTTGCAATCAAATATATATATTAACTGCGTTATAAATTTATTATTCTATTTAGTTGTTACTTTGTCAAGTTAATAAAATTTCACAATTTACATAAAACAGAAGAATTCCGAAACAAATGCGTCGATCACTATGACAATTGCACGAGTAGAACGCCATATGCAATCAGTTACGTGACGTTTTTCAGTTCTTATTTGCATGTTCCAGGCTGTAAGATTTCGATTAAATCATGCCAGTACGACGGGAAAGCCAGCAGCAGAAAGAGAATTTAGTATATGGGTTGGAGATTTATCAACAGATGTAGACGACTATTCTTTATACAGAGCGTTTGCTGCCAAATATAATTCGATTAGAACGGCAAAAGTAATTTTAGACAGTTCTGGATTTAGTAAAGGATATGGTTTTGTTAGATTTGCTAATGAGGAAGAACAGAAAAATAGTTTAGTCACTATGAATGGATACAGAGGATTGGGAACGAAATCATTAAAAATTTGTAATGCTGTTCCAAGACCTTGGAATAAAATAGCAGGGTATAATATAAATATGTATATTTTAATGTTTATGAGGATCACAAATTATTATCTAAGTTTATTAATTGATATTTTCTACTTTGTAGATCTACACCTCCGCAGTCGTCATCCGAATATACACCATCAAATATGAATTCGGATGCGTATAATTACTATGATACATCATCATACTGGAATAGTTATAGCGCATGGCAACAAGGTTATTATGAAAGCGAACCCACATCAGATGGGTATAACAGTTATGTATCAGATCAGAAACCTGAAGAAGATGAATTAGAATTGATTGGTAAAAAACAAATTGGATAATCTTTTAAATTGTTTACTTTTCTAAACGAATAATGAATCTTTTTTTTTGCAGAACATTCAGTCCCCATAGATATAGATAAACTTAATAGAGAAACAATAGAACAAGACTACAATTTATGGGATGCGTTGGAAAGTTCAAAATGGATTCCGTGTGACACTTTAGAATTATGCTATTAAAAATTGTGTATATTTTAGTATTTATGTATTTTTACTGATAGCTACTACGTACACTAATTTTTTCGCGAATATTTTATTTCAGTCTAAGAATATTATCGATTCTTGTTAGTATCGAAATAGTATAACTCTCATAGTAGTCAAATTGTTGAAGTAAAAATTATCACTGATTCGCTTTAAACAAATATACAAATATGTACAAACACGTATATAAAGTATATGAATACTTAAACAAAATCACTATTCTTTATAAAAAATTAACATGATTATTAAATAAGTATCTTAACTGAAAGATTTAGTATAAAGTTTAATAACTAAGTTGCATTTTTATATTAAAACAAACATGAGTTAGCACTTAAAAAAAGAACGGTTCTGATCGCATATAAATTTGAATATTTGTTAATATTTTTAAATCAGTTACTCACATTCTGTTTTTACCGCAACCGATTCCGCGTCTGACAATTTAGTTGTTACTGTGGCTAGTAGTTCTGGCGATAAATTTATAGGCGTAATATTAGATTCTTTGAGATTTTCAGAATTAACATTTGAGCTAACCATGTAAACTTGTAAAACATTTTTACCAGGTTCTTCTGGCGATTCTTTTGACAGAATTACTAAAGATCCTGGTTCTACATTACCAATACTTGGTATGACTGTTTTAATAGAATCAGCATATTGGGTTTCTGAATTAAAGTTAGCGTTATCGGAAGTTAAATTTTTTGATACTTCGGTATTATCGTCTAATGGCTCTGTAATTTCATAACTATTAGAACAGTTATTAGATCTTTCACTGTCAAGTGTATTTATATCGGGCCCCTGTAGTTTTTTTACTTTCGGTATCCTTCCAGATCGTGTTGGTCTCACACGATAAATTTCTGTATCACTATCAACATCACTAAATACACTTAATGTTTCTTTATCATCATTTGTTTCACTTGATGACTTATCCTCCCGTAGTCTTTTACATCCCTTTTTATTTCGTTTATTTAAAGTTTCTTGGCACGGATCACTTTCTTTTGTATTCTCCGCGTTTTGCATTACATCTGAACAATCTGAATTTTCTTCATTGTCTGATGCATCCATTTCTCCAATACTGGATGCCACAATCCCTAAAAATAGGAATTGTAAGTTTAAAATAATTAAAAGTATTCATTAACTGAACATATTTACCATGTATTTGAAAAAATATACTTACTAATTCTTCGCCTTTTATGAAATTTCATATTCTGTTTATCTTTTGATCTTTGTTGTTTCCGTTTTTCGAATAAATTAAGATGTTCTTTCGCTGAATCTTCAAAGGTAGCTGTTGATAAATAATTAAACTTATTAAATTAATCAAGAAACGAACTGTTTAGTACTTTAAATACTACATAATATATTATTTACATTTACCTAATGATTTTTCCAACATGTCAGTATCAAACTCTTGATGATATGCAAGTGCTTTTTCAACTAAATTTCGATTTACTTTTTCTTCTTTCTTAAATTTTACTTTCATTTCTTGTCTTGTTCTATTTGGGAAAAGGCTTTGCATCAACGAAAAATCTGTACCGACTGTATTTAATGCTTTATAAAATTTTAAGGTCTCCCATTTTGGCCAATCTTTACTCTTTTGACGCTTTTTATAAAACCCGCTTCCGTTATTTTCATCATCAACAATAGCTTCTTTTCCCAATACTTCTCTACTCTTTTTTGCATCTGTTTGTTCTATAACAAGGCTTTGTTCATCTATTATTAATTGACCGTTTGGTCCAACTTTCACTTGAGGTACAGGCATTGCAGATGATGGATCATCCTCATTTTCTTCTTCTTGACATTCATCAGGCCTGTAATAACAAGTTATTATAATTTAGTTTACATCAAATTAAAACTGTAGCATTTCCCAAGTATTATCACTTAAGATACATACTGATATTCTATTACTTTTCTTGGTGCTGCTCCTGATTCTTTAGATTTTTTCATAGGATTAGTAACAGGATTGTAATATATCAAATCATACATTGTAAGTTTGCTTCTATCTGGTGTTTTATTTTCATGTTTCAAATGAAATTCTCTTCTAGCCTCTGCTAATTTTCTTGCAGATTCTGAAACTAACATACGTCTCTTCTGACCCATCTTAGATTTTATTAAGTTATTCTTGGTGTTATTAACAACAGTATCTTTAGAAGGTTGTGATGATTGAAGTGAATCATTTTTTGTATTATTGGCAAGAGTACAAGTTGCTCTTCTACTATCATCTTCAGATTCACTCGCGCTTGCTCCACTTCCTTGTATACTATTTCTTCTTACTCTACCACCGCTATCTAGTTTAGGAGTTGGTCTCATGAAACCCAAACGATTTTGCGTTGATTTTATAGGGGAAGCTAAAAAATTACAAAATGTTTTTAATCACTGTTACGTCCGGATTATTTTTAATAATCCGACTGTGACTAATATCTATTTCTATTAATACAAGTTAAGCTTCCTTGGGACAATTGCCCGTTGAAACAACGTATTGGAAATATATAGAAATTCAAAACCGTTAAGGTTAAGGAGAGGTATCATAACATCCTTCGCCGAGCGGTTAATCAGTGCGACGCACAGAACAAAGAAAATGCGATTTTTGTTTTACTTCATAGGCGAAATACCTCTCATACCCGTAGAGCATGCGTCGGCCGGTCCTTCCACGGGAGAATGAGTACAATAAAGCATGAAAGTGATCCGATTTGAATGATATGAAACGATCTGAATGAGAATGAAAAGCGAGGTTTGCGTGACAACCACTGGGAATTTGAAAACGTCGACGGGGTTAATAAACACGTATTGTTGCAATAAAATCTGCCAAGCGGTTTCAAGGAATATTCTACAATAAATTCATAGAATGTTAACATTCAATATACGTGAATTTGCGTTAAAATACGAACGAAATGCTCCCATAATTAATTAGATTGCCCTATCCCTCATCACGCAAGCCGTAAAACGCGAATAACGGATAAAAGATCGATCATTGAATGCGTCGAACGAATTAATAACAAAAGGATAGCGTTAATAAAATGTTTTATCGATACCAGAGTATCGTTTACAAAGGTCTCGTACCCTGATTTGCCAAATGATGTTCCCATTTTGGGGTACCGATCGCGGGTCGAACCCTGAGACACGATCGCTTGACGCGAAGTACACAATTCACGTTATGTATCGTTTGTTGTAAAGGGCTATGCCCGTATATATATTAGATAAATAAATAAATTAATACTCTAATTTTTTTAAATATTTTGTACGTCGCGCGACGTAACATCACATTATGGTAATATACTAGAGAACTGATTATACCTACTAATTTGTGTTGCATTTGAAATTTCTAATGACTGTATAATCTCTTTCTTTGGTTCATCCAAACTTTGTATAAAATTATCTTTAGGTTCATTATCTTGATTAGCATGCAAAGATTCATTTTTTGTATGTTCCACCACTAAATCTTCTTGTGCTTGGTTTTCTTGGAGACTATTATCTATTGCCTGTTGAGAAACCACAGGAATGTTCTCAGTTATATCTTTATCTCTTTCATCACTTTCAGTCACATCAATGGTTTCATTAGGTGTATCTTGTGTTGTTTTTCTTCTTGCTGGGACTGTAACCATAGCTTTTATACGTGCTCTCTTCATTTTGTTGGATTAACTTTACAACCTTAATGTATTTACACTGAAAAAAATCTCATAACTTACATGTTACATGATAACAATATGACAAAGATTGCTATTTAGTAAAATTATTAGATAATTATCTATTTTTCAGTAAAGTATCATGTACACTTTACTTACCACTTACAATACTTACATGTATCTGAAGTTGATATTATAACGTTCTTAATTATTATAAATCTTCTTCGATATTTAAACATTAATGCTTTGGTTATGAGTATCACTACTAACTCATTGTTGTATTTTTCTTCTTGTGTAACTCGTATCTTTCAAACTATTGGTTTCCTAAACTTTTAACTTGCATTTTCGGTCTTTTCAGATCAAAGACTACAAGATTTGATAATTTTTAACCAACAATTTTTGGTCCTTCAAGACGAAGTTCAACCACTTGGGTTAAACTTGGCGTACTTTGCCAGGGCGCCATATTGTCCAATGAGTGGAGTCGCCGTCTGTTTAACCCTTTTTATATTTTAAATACTTGCGCGAATTACTAGTAATTGTAATTTACTCAACTTGATAGCGCGATTATTTTAAAACGGGATCGAAGAACTATCAAAATAAACGTTTGACAAACTTGTATTTTAAAAAGATCGCCATAAATTAAGGATTTTTCAAATTCGATTTTAACGCCATCTATACGAAAACGGCTGAAACTACTCGACAAGTAGTTTCCACGATTTCCCGATAGGTGGCGCTAGCGGCGCTGCAGCCGGGGTCCCTGGCACCCCAGGTGGTAGGTCGGTATGTAGAGTCAATTGATGCTAAGGGGTCTCTGGCACCCCGGTGGTCGGTCGGTATGTAGAGTCAACGATGCTAAGGGGTCCCAGACACCCCGAATGCCATACTGTCAGTATAGAGGGAGAGTCAACGATGATTCGGGGTCCCAGACACCCCAGGTTCGAATCAGGTCGTACCCATCACTACCCTGAACAAGTGAGTTTCACGATTTGTTTGTTTTTCGTTCTTATATTTCGCTAAATCCGGTCAAACCCATCACTATTCCGAACAAGTGAGTTTCACGATTTGTTTGTTTTTCGTTCTTATATTTCGCTAGATCCGGTCAAACCCATCACTATTCCGAACAAGTGAGTTTCATGATTTGTTTGTTTTTCGTTCTTATATTTCGCTAAATCCGGTCAAACCCATCACTATTCCGAACAAGTGAGTTTCACGATTTGTTCGTTTTTCGTTCTTATATTTCGCTACTTACTTGGGGTCCCTGACACCCCAGATACAATATCGTCGGTATGCAGAATCATCGGGGATTCGGGGTCTTTAGAACCCCAAGACGATACCAGGCGGGTATGCAGGGAGCGCTACCGATGCATCGGGGTCCCTGACACCCCAGATGACATAATGTCGGTATGCAAAGAGTGTCACCTGCGCTCCGGGGTCCCTGACACCCCAAGACGATACCAAGTCGGTATGCAGACAGCGCTACCGATGCATTGGGGTCCCTGACACCCCAGATACCATAATGTCGGTATGTAAAGAGTGTCAATTTTCAAAAATTGAATTTTTAATATTATTGAAACGTTGATAATAAGGTATTCAATTTAGAATAATAAATAATTAAAAAAGGACTTTATGAATATGTTTTTATTTTATCGAATCTTGACTGTTATGTTTTCACAGATGTAGCTAATAACAATATTGATTTTTATATCAAATAAACGTCAAAATACATTATTGTTATAATATTATGAAATATGTGGCAAGATAGTGAAATTCGATTTGATGTTTCTTATGTGTAATATCTTTAATATTTTTAATTTAAATCTAGAACTTTTAAATTTAAGTTTTATTTTTTATTATATTATCAAAGCTTATATTCACAAATTTTATGTTTTTATTAGGCAAATGCAATTACAGCTGGGAGAATTTGCTGTTGATAAATTAGATTTAATAGAGGATACAAAAGGGAATGCAGGTGAAAGAGGAAGACTTATAGTAACAAACCTTAGAATTATATGGCATTCTCTGCTTCTGCCTAGAATTAATCTAAGTATGCATTATTATTTTTAATTGTTGTAAAACACATGAGATACATAAGTTTCTTATATAAATATTTTTCCACAGGTATTGGCTATAATACTTTCATAACAGTGAATTCTAAAACTATTCACACTGTTAGTATATTTTAATAAACTCAAGTGTCTTTTATTTATATGAATAACAATATAATTTTTATAGTTACATGGAAAATATATGCAAGCTGTACATATCTTAGCTTCTTTCCGAAACTGCAGATACGAATTTATATTTATAAATCAAGATTCAAAAAGTACAAGACACTTTACATCTGTTATTGGTATATACAGAGCGTACGTTTCGTCTAAAATTTATCGAGAAATTAAGTTAAGAAGTGGAATAATCAATGACAAACGATTAATCCTACTACCACAAGAAACAATTCATTTAACTCTGCAAGATATTTGGAATTTATCATTAGAGCAGGTAAAAACCATCTGTTGTTTATAATAATTTCTGTTACGAATAACTTAGTAATTAAAACTTATGTTGTTAGGGAAATATTGGAACCTTCATTGTAACAAATATACGTTTAGTATGGTTTGCTGACATGAATGATCAATTCAACATATCAATTCCTTATCTTGTAATAGAAAAAGTAAGTAAACATTTTGTAGAATGTTAAAATTGCGTTACGAATAATATAATTAAAAGCTTTTATTTCTTCACAGATCTCTATAAAAAATTCAAAATTTGGCCCAACATTAGTCATTGTAAGTACAGAATCTAGTGGAGGCTATATATTAGGATTTCGAGTTGACCCTATTCAGAAGCTTTATTCTCTTCATAAAGAAATTTTAACGTTGTTGAAAACATTCGAAAAATTTCCTATTTTTGGTGTCGATTATACAGTTGAACATCAGGTAATGTTATACTACTGTTACAAAAAATTTATTAAATAAATAAATACATTACACTGTAAATTAATAATTCATCAAGTATTACAGGCTTCGTTACAACAAGATTTCAATGTAGAACAACAATCTGAAATACAAGATAGTCAAATTGAAATTTCAAGCGTGTTTGGATACTACTTTTCAGAAGAATCAAACCAGAGAAAACCCAGCTTTTCAACTTACTTAGGGCTTGCAACAGAAGAACCTAGAGAAACTAGTACATTGCAAAGTTTATGGGAACTAGTACCCCCAAATTAATTGACATACGTCAATAATTTTTAAATATTATATAAAGATTACTTTGTTGTTATATGTATAAATTTACATACAAATTTAATTTGTAATGGATTAATTTTTAAAATGGAAGTATAATTACATATTTCATTCCAACTAATTATTTAATAAAAATAAAACAAAATTTTGTAATTTGCTTCCTTCGATTTCTTTAGGGACTCTGTTGATAAATTTACAAAAGAAATAGAAATATAATAAATCTATGTACATAAACATTATATAAGATATTAACTGCATTTAATAAGTTGTTTTAACAAAACTATTATTGTTTCAACGCATTGTTTCTCCAAGTATACTTCGTTATTTTATATATAAAAAATTTCACGACTGATGTTCCATAACTGTTTAATACAGCTACTTTGCTTTTACTTCAACAGTTGTATTATTAACAGTTTACCAAATATTTTTTAGTACTTTATTTATGGAAAAGTCAACGCCTATAAGGAATTGATAAAAAAATAGATAATTGCAATTAAAGCATCAATATTCTACAATATAACACTGAATAAGTCTTTAGTTATTTAGTTGCGGATTCGTACCACTTTTTAAACCTCTTTTAAAATTTAACTTGGTCTACAATTCAACGGTTGCACAATTGACTGATCCTGATGATCGTCACCATCCTCGTTTAATTCAGCCTGTTGGACCGGAAATCGATATCCCATATTCATTAGCATCACTTCAAATGGATCGCTGTTCATACGAATTTGATTTGCAGATGCGGCATCTTCTAAATTTTGAATTTCTCTTTCGTTTACGGTACCATCCTATATATTTTTTTTTTAACAAGGTAAAATTAATTAAGTATATATTTTAATTTGTCTAGTTTCGATAAATAATCACACCGAATACCTCGGGTAAAGGACTCCATAATCTAACTACTGGATCAATACCACTAGTAGCTAATAAACACGTGGATGGATGAGGTTGGAGACAATTTACAATTCGTTCGTCTCCTCTTAGTACGCGTACAATATTTGTAGTATTACGATCCCAAATAAAGAAAGAACCATCGTCTGATCCTGCCACGATATACTGACCATTGCTTAAAGAAAAAAAATTAATAATTGTAAATGGAACGAACGCTTAAGATTCTAATATGTCAAGTATCTTCAAAACATGTACTTACTTTCCAAAAAAATTAGCTTCTTTTATATCAGTTGTAGTATTGCAATGTCCACAAAATCTCATTTTATAATCAATAGTGTTGCGTCTCCATTCTTGTTCATATTCCGATATTTGTAACATCGTTTGATTCGTATCGTTATCTCTACCTGAATAACACGAAAGATGTGGATAAAAAATTAAAAGATACCCTCTGTTTAGCTTTGACCAAAATAGATACCAGTATCTATAGCTTCTTTTATGTCCATTTTTAATGCTTTACACGCAGAGTTAGATGAATACTCGGGAAACTTTTGCTGAAAATCTTTGATTACTTTATCAGCTTCGGTTGATCGATGTAAATCAAAAAGACACCGTGCCAATCTATAAATTTATATGTATATACGTGTACCAATCATCTTATAATATATGTATATATTATCATAATGTTTACAATTACCTAAAATGAGCTTTTACGTGTCCTGGGTCAAGGAGTAACGTTGTCTGACAATCTTTAAGGGCGGCGTATACATCACCATCCCTAGAAATAATATTAAGTTCCATCTCTAAACTCAAAAAGTTATCCGTCTCTACTTACCACGTTCGTTTCATATATGCTGCAGCTCTGTTGGCATAAAGCACAGCTGCGGTAGGACATAAGCTGATCGCTTTATTGTACAAATTAATTGCCATACTATACTTCTGTTGTTCGAAACCTTCATTAGCCTGAAAGAAAAACAATAAGAAATAAGGTACATGTGTTATTTTGTAAAATATGCGAACATACTTGTCGTTTCAACTCTTCAACATGTGGTGGCAGGACTTTAACATTCTTTTTAGTATAATCTATACTATCCTCGCTATCTTTTTCTATACTACATTTTCCACAATCTCCTGTAATATTAACGTAATTACATTACATTTATACTTACATATTTTATATACAAATGTACCGAAAGGGTGATACAAATAATTACTTAAATACGTATTCGAGGAATAACCAAAACAAGTTTTCGACTTTTTTGGATTGTTGATGTCGAATAAATATATTTGTTCACCGCCCATGTTAACAAGTAGCTCATTCCCATCAGCGCTGAATGTTAAATATGTTGTAGTGAGATTCCTGTTACTGTCACGTTGTCGTGAATGCAGGTGGCCTGCTCAATATCAAACATTAACAATCTCTGTTAGAGTGATCATGTAATATGTAACAAAAGAGGAATTAAGGGTAAAGGAGTCGCGTACGCTATCTCTGATCGTACGAACGAACCCGCGATAAAGTACTGTGCGCAACCCAATGGTATATTCTCATCTGGATCGCCTTCACCAGCTCTGCCTGTATTTCCTCTTGTCAGATCACTATGTTGAGAAGAAATAATAGGCACCTATCGTTCAAAAGTTATGAAACAATTAAAAGAAATGTACTTTGCCATTTAACTGATACTTGTAAAAAACACATTACCTGAGAAAGTTTAATCATTCTACGGTCGTACATTCTTATATACGCATCATTCGCTCCAACGGCTATTAATTCAGGTTTTTTTGGATTTACCGCAATACACTTGCCTTCTGCATAGCGACCCATATGATTAACAAGATTCACCAATACACTATTACAGTCATTGCTTTTGCAACTATGGGGTGCACGAATATCGTATTGTAAAACGAGACCATCTTCTGCAGCACTCCAGAAGAGGAAAGGTACAGTGGCTGCTGTGGCAATTCGTTTAACGCGGCCTATATGACAATTACACCAAAATATGGGTTCAAGAATAGTGAGATCACGAACTCGTACTTTTCCATCCCCTGCACCTGATACCAATATTCTATCATTTGATTTTGGCATGAACTAGAAAAGAAATGAATTAAATATTCTCAGAAATTAAACACGTTATTCTCTGTATTCACTGTTAATAAAAAACCGTTTAAAAACATTAAGAATATGATTCCTAAAACTACAATCTTAACATCTAATACATCATATATTTAGAATTATATTTAAATTACCTTTGTTAATACATAAATGTAACATTACCTTAACAGAAAATATATTTCCTTGATGACGTGTACGTAGTACCAGTTTTTTTTCATACCGAAATGGATCCCACAAAATAATATTCATATCATCGGATGCTGAAGCAAGAATTCTACAAGTAAATTAAAATTTATTTTATTTTATTTATTTATTTTACCATGTATTACATTTTTATTATCATATAACTAATACTTACTGTCCGCTTTCATTCCATTCTAAACAATTAACACATCCTGTATGACCAACCAATTCTTTTTCAAGTCCTAATCGAGATATTAAATTTTCTGTGACATGTAATTTCTGAGAAACTTTATACGCCACTGAGTCCTAAAGAAATAATGTGAATAAAATTATTATTTTCATAAACTATTAATAGTTGATGCAATATAATTTACATATTTATAGATAAATAAAATATTATTAACAAATATATGTTATGATAAAGTAATACTAACATTTGATGATATTAAACAATGTTAAGTTGTAATATGGATACATATATAAATTTTTATTAACATACCCGTATCTCACGTTGACGTACTAAATCCACAACCCTATAATCTTTCTCGTGTATGTTCGGAAGCATTTCTATGTTTCTTTTATAAATCCCTTTATTATATTAAAAAACTTTAATATCCTCTGAAATTCATAACATATACTTCTATTAAACATATCACTCTCAAACGTTCTTTAATGAAGAAAACAAATGTAACCATTATATAAAAAAATAACCCATCATGTGGAGAATGTCACTCATCATAAAAATATAAAAATAATTTGCGCGAGACAAAGACAGTTTATTTAAAATTAACATGTTAATACAAAAAACAGAGTTATTAACAAATTAATGCATGTTTATACATCATCGTAACGTTATTACAACGTACTCACGCTGTTGTTTCTTCGCACAATACTCTCAACATAACTTTTGTACTTTATCACATTCTATCCTACGGTTGATATATATATTGTACATACATATATAAGTATATGGATTCACATGTTATGCACAATATATATACATATATATGCTGGTCATATGCCTAAAGTGCCGTATTAGTCTATATATTTAGATTATTATTTAATAAATTTTCAATTTCAAAAATTATATTAATCTTTAGAACATAACAAGAACAACTCCATCCACGGATCTAATAACTAATTAATCAATCCATAGAGATTATTTTAGGTTTATAATTAACATATGCACGTAAAGCATTTTAAACACGCCAAATACCTTTCTAAAAAACAAAAACAAAAATAATTAACTATAATTAAAAGAAAACGTGTGAAGAAAGACGTATGTCAAAGTAAATGACTAAAAATACTCAAAAATTATATACAGGACTTTTAATTTTAAATAAATTATTGCGTGTAAAGAATAACTTACACACTGACATAATAAAATAACTTATCGAAAAGGACTTTTATTTATTACCATTAATTTTTATGAAGTTGACATTTAGACATACTAATCTTTTATTCTCAAATAATTTACATACCATATAGTTTATAATCACGTCTCGAGCATACTTGCGGCAGTGACTAAAAAAGACGGGACATGCCTTCGTTCTCGAGGGGTAATGATTTAAGGGGTCCCAGACAGCCCCACAAAATTCGACTACTGCGCCAACTATACAACAGCGGCGGAAACTGCTCAATAAATTACCGACTCATCAACTGAACTTCCGACAGTCAGTAATCGACACTTCGGCAGTCGATAAGTTAACAAGTAGTTTGCGCCGCTTTTATATAGATGGTGCAATGGCCGATGGCTTGGGGTGTTAGGGAACCCGAAGCACAGGTGACACTTTGTATACAGACATTATGGCATCCGGGTTGTTAGGGACCCCGAAGCTATAATCTGATTAGCTGGATCAGCTATTATCTCATGAAAACTTTGACCCCCTGCGCAGTCTTAAACTCCTCTTTGCCTAAACCGTAAGAGATAGACATGCGCAGTAGATTTTTTACAAAGAACCTTAACCAAGATAGGGCAAATGAAGCACTCTTAATAGTTATGTAATTAGTTTTTATTTGTCCCTGAAAAAATGTCTCTTACATGTCTGCATCCTTAACATCCCTGTATCCTTTATATCACTACGTTCCCTATATTCCTCCATCTCGTATATGCCAGCATCCCTTACATGTCTGCATCCTTAACATCCCTGTATCCTTTATGTCACTACGTTCCCTGTATTCCTCCATCTCGTATATGCCAGCATTCCTTATACCTCGGCATCCCTTACATTTTTGCATCCCTTACATCTCTGTACCCTTTATATCTCTGTATCCCTTACACTCCCGAATTCTCCCTGCATCTCTTGTATCCTTTCAACCCTTATAATAAATATATTATAAATAACATACTTATGGCCACTGGTTCGAGTAAAGGTAAGTAAAGGTAAGTAAAGGTAAGTAAAGTCTCGTTGCAAAATTTAGTTCCTTTTTCCGAAATCAGATGGCGCTGATTCGACATCGAAAATTTAGTTCACATTTTTGCCGCCAGAGGGCCAAAATTGCTGCGAGGTTTAGTTCCTTTTTCCGAAACCAGGTGGCGCTGATTCGACATCGAAGAATTAGTTCACATTTTTGCCGCCAGAGGGCCAAAATTGCTGCAAGGTTTAGTTCCTTTTTCCGAAACCAGATGGCGCTGATTCTACATCGAAATTTTAGTTCACATTTTTGCCGCCAGAGGGCCAAAATTGTTGCAAGGTTTAGTTCCTTTTTCCGAAACCAGATGGCGCTGATTCTACATCGAAATTTTAGTTCACATTTTGGCCGCTAGGGGGCGCTGTTTTTTCGAAATTTTCGATGTAGGGATCAAAGGAATGTAAGGATGTAAGGGATGCAGGGATATAAGGAATGAAGGGATGTAAGGAATGCTGGGATGTAAGGAATGAAGGGATGTAAGGAATGCTGGGATGTAAGGGATGCAGAGATGTAAGGAATGAAGGGATGTAAGGAATGAAGAGATGTAAGGAATGAAGGGATGTAAGGCATGAAGAGATGTAAGGAATGAAGGGATGTAAGGCATGCAGGGATGTAACGAATGAAGGGATGTAAGGAATACAGGAATGTAAGGAATGCTGGGATGTAAGGAATGAAGGGATGTAAGGAATGAAGGGATGTAAGGGATGCAGAGATGTAAGGAATACAGAGATGTAAGGGATGCAGGAATGTAAGGAAAGTAGAGATGTAGAGGATTTTTTTTTTTTTTTTTTTTAACGTGGGGAAATCTTGCATAAGACCCCCCACCGACCCTTGGTCCAGGGTGGCGGGGGAGTGTCAGATTCCTACTGACTAAAACCCCACGGCGGCTAAAGGAGGGCTCTGGGGCCATTTGGGACCATCTGGTACCCTGGAGCCCTCCACATATTTACCTGCCACATTGGTACCCATCTCGGGTGCTTAGTATGTATGTAGATGACCCTCACTCACAGACATATTTCCACATTATTAAAAGGGAGGATTACAAAAACTGGTTCGAGTAAAGGTAAGTAAATACCGCCCCGAGATGACGCTTATGAGAATTCCCTCTTTTCCCACCCAACGTCTAGTCTTTTTGCATCTGTAGTCTATGGCGCCACTGTACCAATCCGTTATTAAACTTTATCGTGTTCCCCCTTATTATTCCAAATGCGGCAATTATTAAATTAATAATATATTTGTAATCAGTTTTAGAAATAAGTCAAAATGTTGGTATTATTCGAAACTCCAGCGGGATATGCTATATTTAAGGTATACAATTTGGGAAGATTTTGAATAATATATAACCTAAAGAACGTAGCACGTGTTCATAGACTGATAATTTTTCTTTTTTGTTAAATGAACTATGAATAATAAACAATAAATATGAAAATTATTTCGATTCAAAAATGATACAATGTAAAATATCACTTTTTCCTTCCAGGTACTGGATGAAAAGAGACTAGCAGAAGTAGAGAATCTTTATCATGAGTTTGAGACTCCTGAAGCAGCCAGTAGAATGTAAGTAAACTTTCCTGATTTTAATTTAAAAATCGATGAACGTTTATTTAAACAATATATTATATTTATTTCTGATTTATTGCAGAGTTAAATTAAAACACTTTGAAAAGTTCGCAGATACTACAGAAGCTCTTGCAGCTACTACAGCTGCAGTGGAAGGTAAACTCTGTAAATCATTAAAGAAAATTCTTAAAAAACATTGTAGTGAACTTCAAGAACAATTAGCTGTAGCAGATACTAAGCTAGGCAATGCTATAAAGGATAAACTTAGTTTGTCTTGTGTAAGCAATACTGCTATACAAGAATTAATGAGATGTATTAGAAGTCAAATCGACAGCTTGTTAGCTGGACTCCCAAAGAAAGAAATGACAGCAATGGCATTAGGTTTAGCGCATAGTCTTTCCAGGTATAAATTGAAGTTTTCACCGGATAAAATTGATACTATGATCATACAAGCTGTTTGTCTATTAGATGACTTAGACAAAGAATTAAATAACTACGTTATGCGTTGCCGTGAATGGTATGGTTGGCATTTTCCAGAACTTGGAAAAATCATTACAGACAATATAGCATTTGTAAAAACTGTAAAAGTAATTGGAACTAGAGAGAATGCCATAAATTCAGATTTATCTGATATATTACCAGAAGATGTAGAGCAGAAAGTAAAAGAGGCTGCTGAGATATCTATGGGAACTGAAATTTCTGAAGATGATATTTTAAATATTCAATATTTAACTGACCAAGTTATTGAAATTTCTCAATATAGAACACAGTTATATGATTACCTTAAAGCAAGAATGATGGCAATGGCACCAAATTTGACTGTACTTGTTGGAGAATTAGTGGGAGCACGTTTGATTTCTCATGCAGGTTCTTTAATTAATCTTGCTAAGCATCCAGCATCTACTGTACAAATACTTGGCGCAGAAAAAGCTCTTTTCCGTGCGTTAAAAACCAAGAAAGATACTCCAAAATATGGTTTAATTTTTCATGCACAGCTTGTTGGACAATCTTCGGCAAAAAATAAAGGGAAAATGTCTAGAATGTTGGCAGCGAAAGCTTCGTTGGCAACTAGAGTAGATGCATTAGGAGAAGGTGACAATTTTGATCTTGGTGTTGAACATAAAGCTAAATTAGAAGCACGTTTGAGGATATTAGAAGAAGGGAATCTTCGTAGGATTAGCGGAACAGGCAAAGCAAAAGCAAAGTTTGAGAAATATCATAGTAAAAGCGAATACGTACAATATCCTGCTGCTGCTGATACAACACTTCACACTGGAAAAAGACGACACTCTGATATTGATGATAAAAAGCCGTTAATTGAAGAAATTACCAAACAAGATGAAGAAATACCTAAGAAAAAGAAGAAAAAGCCAGCTACTGAATGTACAGAAGAATCGGTAGCTCAACAAGATGTTAAAGTAGAAGCTGATGAAGAAACTACACCAACATCAAAAAAGAAGAAGAAGAAATTAAAATTGGAAGTAACAGAACCAGGTGGTACTGAAGCTGAAAAAGTAGAACTTCCTACAGTAACAAAACAAGAAGCTGAAGCATCAGAGGGTAAAATTTTTATTTTGTATACCTTGAATCTATTTTCAAGATAGTCTTGAAAAATGTACTAAAATTTTCTTAATACTTTATTTTAGGACAAACAAAGAAGAAAAAGAAGAAGAAAAATAAACAAGAATCACAAGATGTAAATGTTGAAGAAATTCAAGAAACTGTACTTCAAACTGAAGAAGTCACAAGTGAAAAAAAGAAAAAAAAGAAAAAGAAATCTCAAGATGAATGAGATTATTAAATATATACATATGTATGCATATAATTAATTATATTTCTAAAGTTAAGGTTCACCATGTAAGAATAGAATATGAACTGATTTATTCATATTTACACCTTTATAAACATTCTTTATCTTCTATTTTAATCATTTAATATCAATAGAATATATATTTTCTTTATTATGTAATTATGTATTTTATAAAATGTATTATTTGAATACAAATATTTTAAGTATTAAATTGTTATTTCTTATCTACCGTAAAAATAAAGTAGCTGAAGCATTCTCGAGTGATTTTCTTACAAGTTTATTGTAGAACAAGATCGAAAAATTATTAGAATAATTATTTGACAAACTTACATTTTGAGAAGACCGGCTGGAATTACGTATTTTTAAAATTCGACCACTGCGCCATCTATACAAAACCGGCGGAAACAACTTAACGAATAGTTTGCGCCACTTTTGTATAGATGGCGCAATGGCCGATCGCTGGGGTGTTAGGGACCCCGAAGCGCCAATGATTCTCTCTGCATATCGACATGATATGTCGAACTCGAATCCTTGAAATTTACAGGAAATTACCTTACCCCCGTACGCCAATGTAGTGTACAAATCTTCGCGCTTTCATATATGTATTACGTACTTGTCAATAATTTACAGCATTTAACGTTTACATTCTTTGAAATTTTGTATCATAATTATTCCTAAAAAAATAAAATCGTTACTATTTATTAGACATTTCCTCTACAGAGAATCATATTTTTTCTAAATAATCTAAAAAAATGTTTGAGAGTTAATACTTTAGAACCGCCACGTTAGTTTAACACTTTGTAAGTAGCGCGATTATTCCGTTAGTATAGTTGTTCATAGTTCCAATACATTAATTTATATCTGCGACATAATGCATTAATTGTTAGCAAGTAGAACGCATTTCAATAAATTGTATATTAAAAATACGTAGTAAAAGTAATATCTTTTTGTATGATATTAACATTACAACAAAAAAACATATTTATAAAGGTTAGACACCTACATATATCGAGGAAGAACGTCGAGTTAAAAGTCCTATGCGACTACAATAAAATATCAATCAAGTTTATTTGTAGGTAGTAAAACTGAAAGAAAAATGGAGAGTAGTAAAGTGGACGAGGAAAATCAACGTAATATTAATGACGGTGACTGGATTTGTCCTGATTCTCAGTACGTAATTTTATAGAAACGATATGTGTTACAGAAATTGAGCTTTATGTACCATAATCGAGCTTATCTCCCATAATCATAATATATATATTATCTATAATAATTAATATAAAATCAAGTTAATAAATAATAAAGATTGTAACTATCAATGTACTTAAGTGCAGTGTTGATTTTTCAATAAGCTATTGGATGTCAAAATGTTATTTATGTTGTAGCGGTGTAAAAATTAAATAAATATATCAATTAGTGTACTATGCTTACTTGCATTAGCAATAGTATCATTATTGTATTATATTTGTAACAAAACTCAGTATTATATTTTAACAAATGCTTGAACTTTTGCTTATATTATAATAAAACATTACTATGGTTCACGAGTAATAGTAATAAATGTACAAGATTACTTATATGTTAAGAAAACTGGAGTATATTTGTTAAGAGTTCAGTGATATTGAACATTTCAGATGTGCCAATGTAAATTTTGCAAGACGAAATTCTTGTAATCGATGCGGAAAAGGTATATAATGTTCAATATGGTAATGTATAAAACAGTTTTCTAATAATCTCTTTAATTACAGTGTTTTATCTATAATTGATTTCCACTATAATTTTAGCTGTACTTTACTAATGTTACAATACATAAAATTACATGTATGTATTTGTTCATGCAGACAGAGGAGAATGCCCAAAGAAAAAAAAGTTAGGACAAGAAATTGGGAAGGCAGCTGCTGAAAAAAGTAGAGGGCTGTTCAGGTAGATCATTTTCTTTTATAATAATAAATTATTCAAAATTGTGCTGTGTATCATGTTTTGGTTTTAATGTTTCAGTGCTGACGATTGGCAGTGCAGTAAATGTGGAAACGTAAATTGGGCGCGGCGGCAACAGTGTAATATGTGTAATGCACCAAAATTTGGAGAAATTGAAGAACGTACAGGATACGGAGGGGGGTACAATGATCGGGGAGTTGTTGAATATAAAGAAAGAAGAGACGACGACGACGAGTACGACGAATTCGGACGGCGTAGGAAAAAACGGAGGATTGAAAATCGTTCGGACGATGATTCCAAAGATTCTAGGTATAGCAGTCCACCGCGTAACAAATCTAAAGACGAGGATGAAAGGGATGAGGTACAGAACGAAGAAGAGCATAATGAGAAAAATGTAATTAATACCTAACATTCGTGAAATGAAATAAATTAATCCAAAAATGGTTGGTTACGTTTATTCTAAATTTTAGAATGCAAAAGAAGAAGTAGAAGAGGTGGAGGAGGAAGAGGTGGAGGAGGAGGAGGATGAGGAGGAAGATGACGAAGAGGATGGTGATTTATCTAAATACGATCTTAGCGAATGGGATGATATTGCAGTTAAGAAAAAGTAAATATTCATACAATTAATGCTCTTTATGAATCAATGTATTACACATTGTTGATTTTCAGTACAAATGGGAGCACTGCATCTTCGGAAGAGCAACAATCAAGGTAATTGATAATAATTTTGTCTGATAATAATTGACAATGACCGTGATATATTTACAGAGACAGAGATGATTGGCGTGATTCGGGAACATCCAGTCAATGAGAGTCTGCACAGAAGGAAAGGTTTGACTTGGGTTTCGGGTATAAAAGTTGATCATGACAGTGAACGATGATTTTAATTATTTCAATCACTGATATCTTTTTTTTCTATCTCTTTAAAAATTGTATTATATTATATGATAGTTTTAGTAGAATAACATGGTCAAAAAGGAAGATGTAGATTAAGCAATTCTAAAGAAATTACAATGTAATGCTTGTTAAACAAATGACTTTTTACAGGTGAGAGAAAATCCCGAGAGCGACTGTTGCTCGACAATTAAGAGATACACAACGCAACAAATTTAGTGATTTAGTGAGCACCTTTGGATAAAAGTGATGAACAATGTACGACTTATTGCAAAGGGAATCGATTAACAATAAGCTTTACAATCTCTGACTGAACACGGATAGCTTTGTTGGCTGTATGGATGGAAAGTGAAACGTAGGTTACTTGTTTACGCGATATTGTCTTAAATATTGCGTAGTAATTGCGAAAAATACTTGAGCGTAGATAAAATATTTCGCTAGTAAAGAAAAAGAAACCCAAATGAAATGTGTAACTATGACGTAATTCGTTGAATAATCTGTTACACGGATCGTTGTAAAAGTTGAATCATGAATTCGTAAAAAAAGAAATCTTATTTCTAACTGAAAATATAAAATTTTGAGAAAGCTCTCTATCATGTTACACTTTTAGAAGTATTAATTACGTTATCACAAACGTCCGACGTTCTTGAAACCACGTCACGATTCTCACTTAAATATTGCTGCTTCGAAAAAGATTAATCTTTTTTTTTCCGTTTCCTCGCCACGTTCTCTATTCACTTCCTTTTCATCCGTACCCATCTTAACATTTACATAAACGTAATGTAGTATTAAAGAATCATTCCCTAATGAATATAGATATGTATTGATGTCTTCGGAACGAAGAGAAAAAGGATACATTTTGTTGCTTTGACTATCACAGATCCGAGTAAGCTGGAAGCAGCTTGCTTTAATTGAAATCATGACATGCAGTTTAAAACTATGTCGATAAAAGGGCCGCCGTTCGATCGGCGGGCTTAATAAAAAAATAAGTAAAATATCAAAAAAAGAAAAGAAAAACGCTCAGACACTCGTTCTGAGATAACTACAAAAATCATTGTCGATCAATTCTAGATACTGACTTCTTGTAAATATCTTTATTTTTCATTTATAATAAAAATCATTCATCAACAACATAATTGTTCTTAGTCAATTATTCTTTTCTCTTATAATCGTTAAACTACCTGGGGTCATGATTATGCACAGTGTTGGTCACAAGGGATCGGTGAAGGGAATTAAAGGGACGGGCGATACTGTAAGGAGTATGTTGCAACAGGTATATATATATATAATATGTATATATATATATATATATATATATATCGTATATATGTACAATTATGAATTTGAGCTTGCTTGACTGCGTTTAAGTATTTAGTGATAAAAAGGAAGGATGAATTATTTCACCGGCATATCTTTCTTCGAAATATTTTTCTTAATGAATTCTCGGCACAATTACTTTTATCACGAGTAATTGTTTCGAATAAAGGAAGAAGAGACGCTTTGCCTTTTTTTTTTTGTTTCTTTCTCTCATTTTTCTGATCCACGAAAGTCTCTAGCAACGATTTATCGTATATTCCGATCGACGAAATAACGATTACTACAAAGAAATTAGATTTTACATTAGTATTTACACGAATCGCGTAAGGTATACGCGATAAAATATATGTTTCCAATTTACAGAGAGAGATAATTGTGATACAAAAAAAAACGATATCTCTAAGACGATGGAACAGATTTTGTTTGAAGACGCGAGACATTAAAAATGTCATTGAGATTTATGAATTAAAACGCTTATTGATTATAACACATACATAAACAACACCGTAAATAAAGAATTGAACGAGAAATCTCGTTACACGCCAGTCTCGACAACCATCATCTAAAAATGGTTATCATTCGATAATTATCATCACATCAACATTAGAACCTTAACAAATTTGACTTCTTAGTCCTTTACAAGATCGCGTAATTTTAATAAAGTTTTACATTCTCTGAAATGTGTACCTGTTCTGTGTATGTATGTTTCTGTGTGTTTTCTTGTCCCGTGTGTATGTGTCTGTGTATGCTTCGTCCTCGCAATGAAACTTTAGTCTCTGGTAAAACGCAATTCGTCAAAAAGGACACAGAAAGGCCACCACAATTGTAATCATCACCATATTACGATATATATATATCGATCAAGATAAGTTTTATTTCGGCATGAAAAACTGCTGATGAGAATGCGAATTCGGCGGCGGATGTAAATTAGGATGCGGTGGTCCGCTACCCCTGGTACCAGTAGCGTAAAGCTGTTGCTGGAAGTTATGAAATTGTTGAGCATAATTTGGATCCGACATACTAGGTCCACTACCAACAAATGGGCTGTTTTTAAAATTACTAGTAGCACCACCCATGCTTGGCGGTAATGGTTGAGTCGCGTCGGGGGGAGGTCCTAATCCCATCGGGCTGCCTTTACTACCCGACACGTACATGCCAGGATTCGGCTGGCTGGGAACTTGCGATACCATGTCAGGTGGGAAGACTTTATCCGGATCCATCGAACCGCCTGGAAAGACACCTCCGCCAACCATGTGCTGCATTCGCATTAAATTAGGCTGGGGTCTCATGTTACCGACCGGTCGCATCGATGGATGTACACCAACCGACGTGTTCATCGATTGTCCATCCATCCTTGGAGATCCACCCATGCCAGGAAGTCCACCGCTCATGGCTGACGGCATGCCGCTATGCGGGCCCATGCTGTTCGGTACACAACCGTTTGGGAAGTACTGAAGATTTACAGAGGGTGCGGCCATTTTTGATTCTAAATTAGTTAACGGATTGGTGAATCGTTGAAGGAAGTCCAAACTTGGCGGCCCTCTGGGAGTGTGACCAACGTTCGGCCTCGCCGGTAAGTATTGTATCGTATTCGGAGCGCTGGGTTTCACTTGAACGTTCGCTCCGTTGTAGGGGCTAGGACCGGTAACGTGTCCCGTCATTAATCGTGGTGGCGGCGCGTGAGGATCGCCGGCCGGGTAACCACCGCCCGTATTACCCGAGTGACTACTCATCATACCGTGGCCCATTATAGGATGTCCCATTTTACTAGGTACACCAGGGCTTCCCGTGTGCGATGTCGTAGGACTATAACTAGTTGGTGGCCCCGCAAGGCCCATGCACATTCCCCCTACTTCGCCTGGCTCGCTACTCGAACCAGCCATGTGACAACTTCCATTTAATTCGTTGCTCATTTGCATCATATGCATACCGTGCGGATTGCCGAATTGCATCATTCCAGTGTTGCCCGAATGAATGGGTCCTTCGTTACCCAACGAATTACTAGTTGCCGTGTTAGTGAGTTGTTGGCTCATCTGAGCCAACGAAGTTATAGGGTCAAAGTGATTTGTACTCATAGCTGTTAGATTGCCGAGTCGACCTCCGATATTGTTTGGATTAAGAGGCACATTGTCTGAAGGTTGACTCACGCTTATAGAAGGTCTTCCACAAGGGAAGGCACCGGTTGGACCGCCTAACGGAGTTACCACCGAGTTGTTCGCAGAATTACTTGGATTTGGGACTGTGGACTGTTGTTGCTGCGATTGCTGTTGGGACTGTTGCTGCTGTTGTTGTTGCTGTTGTTGCTGCTGCTGCTGCTGCTGCTGCTGTTGTTGTGATTGTTGTTGCTGTTGCTGAGACTGTGTTGACTGCTGTTGATTATCCGCCTTGGAAGGCGGAGATGTATCAGGTTTTGTAGTAGGTGATGCTGGTACCGTTCTGGGGGGACCCATACTGTCTGTGATGTTTGCATTGTGCGCTGGGCTACTCTGTGCACTTGCACTTGACTTGTTTCCAGGTTTCCCAGGGTCGGCTGGAGTATGCGGAGCACCGTTACCAGGTGTATGCGGAGTGTGAGGAGTGTGAGGACTGTGTAACGAGCCTGTGAAGCCGCGATTCATGCTGTCCATCTGAACAGGACTCGCACCTTCCGATCTGGCAGGGAACTGATTACTGTTGTCCATATTTCCTGATAGAATCCTGTTGGACATCTCTGTATTGCTAGACGTGTTTCTAAAAACACAGAATTACATAAAATTGTGTACGTCGTTCCATTCGGAAATAAATAAAAACTGTTAACAGAGAAAGATCTATTAAATATACTTACGTAGATAAATTTCCATCCTTAAGACTCGTATTTGGTTGTTTCTGTATAGTTAATTCCTGTCCTTCAAAAGTATTAAGATACTGAATTTGTTGAGGGCTTGGAACTGGCATCAGGTTCGCCTCCTTAACTCCTGCAGCATTCACTCCTCCGGTGTGTTGCTGCTTTTGCTGGGCTAAGGATTGCAGCGTGCGGCAAAACATACCATCCACTATGTTGTAACACATAACATGATGAAATTCACTGCATGCTATTTAAGCAGTGAAACTTTTAAAATATTTTATATGTATAATGTTAGCATGATTATTGTTACTTAGTTCTTCTATTCGAGAATCCTTTGAATGCAATTTAACGCAAAACGTTGTTTAGTAAACGTGAAATAAGATTACAAAAATCTATCACATTGGTACAAATAATTACTTTAATTTAGGTCTTACCATTTGGAGGTTGACCGGTGGGAAAGTCTAAAGACGAATCTTTTTGAGCATTCGTTCCGCTTGGACTAAGCGTCGAGATGTGCGAATGAGAAACGGGCGTCCCTGGATTGCTGTGGTTTAGCCTCGTCGTTGATACAGCTGACGCATTTCCTACTGTCGGATTTGGAGAATCTTGACTGGTGGGACTTTGTCCTGGTAAATGGCTCGTTCTTTGATTGCTAAGTTGAAATTGTCTATTGCAATCTGCGGGTGAATTTAATGCTGAACTCGCGCGAGGTGACGGTAACGATAAGTTACTAGTTGGGTTGTTAGGCGAGGAAGGATTCGGGCTTTGTATCGCGATCGGCACGCTCGCGGACCGAGTCGTTTGATGATACGGAGGTGGCGGACCTTGGCTACGTGGAACTCCTACCATATTAGCACCACGTAATGGAACTCCAGTTCCAGGACTTGCAACACTGGTCTATAAATAATTATTATTTTCACAATTATTGTTTATAATTTAAAAGAAAATCATTATATTATTTTACCTTATTTTTTCCATCAAGAAACTGATGTTGCAACTTATGCCAATCCATAGTTGGAGGGCACTGAGTCGGTACTGAAGGAACATTTGTTGATGGACACGATGATACCGCTGTTCCTTGTGTCGCGTCTAACGCGTTTCCAGGTTCCTCTTTATGTTCAGGAAACAACATCATTTGCATTTTTCTGATTGTCGCTAACTGAACCTCTCGATGTTGTCTTTGTTGCGGTGTTAAATTTTCATCTGGAACTTTAACACCTTGCAGTGATGGTTGCAAACTACCTGGGCCTGGACTTGTAGTACCTCCTAATAAATTGGGACTGTGGCCCATTGTAGTACTATTAGGAGGTTGTGGATTTGCTGTAATGAAAGGTATGCTTCTAGTGGCACAGAGTGTACGAAGAATGTGTTCAAAAAAAAAAAAAAAAAAAAAAAAGGAATCGCAAGTACTTCCAATTACAATTTTAAACGCCGATAAAAATATGTATTACCTGAATTTCCAGGTGAATTTGGTACAAGACAAGGCACATCTATATTTGCATCATCCAGGGATGGTTCAGAATTACCAAGGGAATTGCCACCATTCAGGTTTCTTAAATTAGGTTGTTCATTCCAGAATGGAGGGGCATTAGGGTCAAGAGCTGGTAGATCTGGAGGTTGTTCATTTTGAAAAGTGTTATTTGTAGTTCCTTGATGACCTTTCTGTTTCATCATTGCAAGATTGTTTAACCATTGTGCAGGATTCTGACGAAATTGATTTACCTTATTCGGATGTTTCTGAAATATCGTATTCTGTTAGTAAATAATAATACGAGCTTTATAAAACATTTATATATACCTCTAAATATTTTTTAGTGCCTGGTTGTGCACAATGATAAGCAATTATTGATGGATATTGCCCCTGCAATACCGCGTCTGCACCTTTATTTGCTAATGTTGTAGAAAATACAAAAATTTGACTTTGTTGTTGCATATATTGAGCTTCACCGCTTCCTGTACTAGTTCCCATCTGTTTGCCAAGAACATTACTAACTAGGGGTTGAATACCGTCAGCACTGATCACATTACCGCTACAATCTATACATACAAAAGGAATATTAACATTGAAAATCAATAAAGTAGAGTGAATTATCTATTTTTAAACTAAATCATACCAGGTATATCATCCGTAGGATTGTTATGATCGCCTTCTTGTTTCACTGAATTTAAAATTGGTTGATTTGCACTACTGTTTTGATTTTCACCTGCTATTGTACTTTCACCATTGGAAGGATCCAAACACGAATCTCTAGGACATTCTGTTGTGTCTTCTCCAGTTGTATCATCATTATTACCTCCGGTACCTTCTTCCTTAATCTTGACTGGGTCTGCGTCAGGTTCCTCTTTGACAACAGTGGTTGGTACGCAACTTGGTTCGCTGGGCTTCTTTTCTGTTTTCATCTTTGAAGCTTGCTGAGTGATAATTCTGTCAGACCTTGGTCAGCTGAGTAAAAATCAAACACATGGCCACTATTATCCGCAACGTGCGGAGTAACAATGCATGCGAACTGTAGATTATCAGAAACGATATCGTATTAGTAACACCACGTTGTACCCGCGTAAGACGTATCCAAAACATAGAATGGGGGCCAATGCACGCTGCACTCAAATTTCCTTGCCATTCGCGAGCATTGTTCTCCAACTTTATTTGTCACTTCATGGTCGCTTTGATTATTTATTTCTTTTACGCATGGCTGCCAACCGCCCGTCGAAAGTTAGACATCGTTTTAACGCGCCTCGAAAAGGAAGCGTTCATACTTTTACGATAAATAGAAGAAGATAGAAAGAGGCGCACCAGCCGTACTTGACTCGTTCCCTTACACTTGATTGCCTGCAGGGCTTACTATTTTGGTCTTTCTTTACTTATATTTTTCACCATTCTTTCACAGCTTTATCGTGAGTATTCGTATACGATCGCATACCTTTATCTATCCCTTTCACGAAGCAAAACTTTTATTTCTCCACGGTATCTCCCTAGACGCGAAGACATCATTTATTTAACACAGAATCAAAACTCTGTGAAATTAAATTTGGAATACACGAGAGCAGGGACGAATCAAATGATAGCGGTGCCTACGTTCTTTAACTTTTCGTTACCTTTTTTCTGTATGCATAACTCACAATTCCCATCCAACTATGGATATACTTTCGAGGCGGTATTTTTAAAATATAAAATAACATTATAAAAAAAAAATATAAATGTTCACTGAAAATGTTGAAAACGTGTGTAGTTACTTATATAAAACTTCAAGTTATGCGAATAGATGTTGATGTAATTCATTGTAATCTATTACAATTATATGATTCATCATATACGAATGAAACATAAATGGTTCCATGCAACATATATCCAAAGGTGTGATCTTGTGTTAATTAAAAATTTCATATCCTATGGATATACACTTTTGAGATACCTATAACTATTTATTTTTATTATCTATCTTTATGCACTGTAAACATTTTTATAAGTATATGTAATATATTAATAAATTAAGGTAATTTAATACAATAAGCAGAATTGATAACAATACAATTGTTAGAAACAGAGAAATAAGATTACACATACATATGTTAATTGTTAAATATAAATGTACTATATTTTATTTTTAAATATAATATCGAATGAAATTATTTAAAAACTTTATATCTTGTAGGTTATAATAAATATAAGAATGTCACACTTGGAGTTGGATCCCCAGTTTACACAAGGTTTACACCTTTTACATTCTACTAATAAAGATTCAGCAGAACAGCTACGAGCACTGTTAGATGAAGCAATTAAACAGAAATATGGGCCCTCAAAGATGTTATCAAATGTATTACATAAAAAGGTAATCAAATTGTGATTGATTTCAACACTATACGCAGGGTAACCAAGAAGAAGTATTTGAATTAGAGCAATTTTATATTAACTAAGATATTATAATTACAGAGTTAGTTCTGATATCAGGGCACTCATGAAGCATAGGAGATTTCATTCACGTAAAAAAAATGTCCAGTACTTGATCCCTCTGTATGAACTACCATTGTTACTTATTTTCTGAACTTGTATTTCTTGAATTTTCTGTTTTTTAGTATATGATGGAGGAACCAGTATTAAGCGATCACAGCAGCAACAGTAGTAGTAAAAAGAGTAAAAGTTCAACATCTTCTAAACATTCGAGTAAATCTAGTAAAAACAGTTCACCTGTGAACCTGCCAACGCGTGACACACCACCTGATATTATACAGACTGATAATACTCTAGCATTAGAAATATTAGAAGATGATCTTACATGTGTAATTTGTAAAGGAATGGATGTTGGAGCAAGAAACAGGCTTGTTGAATGTTTAGAATGCCACTCTTTGTATCATCAAGAATGTCATGTGCCACACATTTTAGATTCGCAAATAGATGTACCAGGATTAGTGTGGTATTGTTCGAATTGTTCCAAATCTCAGGTGTGTGTATTCACCCACATCATAGTTTATTTAAAATAGAAAGTATGCAATAAAAATGAATCTTCTTTTTCTTTTTTTGAAATTTCAGGCCTCAAAAGAAAGGAGCTCTCCAAAAACAGTGATAGAGAGCAAATCCAAAGAACAGAAAAAATCAAACTCCAGTAAGTTTCTTTCACCTAAAACACGAATCTTGTGAATTTGATTAAATACAATTATATTTCAAGTAGGTGGGGGAAATAAAGTGACACCAAATATTCACATTATAAGCGCTGATAGAAGATTAAAAGATATGATGAAGAAAGCTAAACAGGACAAACGAAATACAAATACTACCCCAAATTCAAAGAATTCTTCATCAAATTCACCGTTATTGTCTTCGACGAAATCTCAGGAAAAATCCTTACTGTACAAAATTAAATCAGGTGTAGAGTGAAGTTTTTATCTATATTAACGTTGAAACGATATCTTATATTTATACTAGAGAAAAAATTTGAACAAATTTCACTAAAAAGTATAGCCACAATGAATATAATTAACTTCTGATAGCAAAATCAATGTTTATCATTGAGAATGACATAAATGATCCCTGAACAAATAATCTTAATTGAGTACCTTGCAAGGTTTCAAGCATTAGGTTGAATCTAATATTTTTACTTTTTACATTGCTGTTATTTTATTACAGTCAAACAATTTTTTCATTGAATTTGTTATGATATATAACAAATATACAATGTAATTTGATATTGTAATTTTAATTTGTACAAATATATCATTGAATTTCTTTAAAAAATTACAAGTTAAATAACTTATTAAATGTAGATGTAACTAAAAGTGGAAGATCATGGGAATTTTTGAACAGACATTACAATATCCATTTCATTTATAATACCAATATATTTTTGCAATTTTTCAAATGCTTATTTGTTTGTCCCTACGTCCCATTGAAAATTTGGCAAGAGTCATTTCGTTCTCGAGTGTTACTTAAAATCTACTTATATGCGAGATGGGGGGTTGAATTCTATTTACACAGGGCTTTTCGTTACGTCTACACGCTTACGTTGATAGATACACACTCACCCCATAACACATGTAAAGCAGCATTTAGCACACTTTTCACTCGTTATTACATACATACGTATTTTACGTGTAAGTTATATAACGAGAAAAGATACATTCAAAATCCATTAGGAATGAAAATGAGCCCATTTGACATTTTCAACCACGGTTCCCAAGATTGTATATACTTAAGGTGTTTCTTTCAGGGAACAATCATCCCCCCATCGTTTTCCGAAGCTTAACAAAGAATAATCTTAATTCGACATGATGTTCGGATTTGTCTATACTACGAAGCATGACATTACTAATCGACTCGTAAACCGTTAAACATTCCTCAGTTAATTACAATACAATACATACGTTGGATGCAGAATTGACAAGCATTTCAGATGGATGGAGTCAACTGTCGAGCGTACAAAGAATCCAGAAATTCCGCTGTATGGTATATTCCTTAATACCATATCTAAAACACAACAAATTAGTCAACATTCTCAATTTCTTGAAATAATAAATAATATGCTTCTTCTATATAATATATTAAAAAATATAAAATGAATTCTAAAATGATATCTTGCACTGTAAGGATTTAAGTTAACATGATTGATTCAAGGAATGAACAATGAGATTTTTTAAACTTAATGTAAGAATATGACTTTTCTTAAATGTTTCCATACTAATTTATAAGTACGTAAACATTTTGAACAATTTTATATAATGAAGGCTTTTAAGGAAAAACAGCAGAATTCCATTGGAATTTGTATGTGCACATTATGCATTTAAAAAGTGGCATGTTACACGGCCTTCCATCGAATTGTGCTCGAACTTATAGTATCCTTTACATACCATATAAGATATTCTACATGAAATTCTGAAAATAAACAATTATAAAAGATGTACCACATAGTTATCAAGAATTTATCTTCAGACAGTAGAGACAAGAGACATATGTTATATTCGTATATGTTGTGTGCAACTATGTTAGCATACGTCAATCTGTGCTATATACAAAGATTATAAATTAAAAAGTTTTGTATGCCCTTCAACAAATTAATTCTTACATTATGGACGTTGTATAAAGATTATCATTTGTCTGTTATACGACAAATTATGAATAAAAAACATTTGTTTTATAAAAAATACAAGTTAATTTCGCAATTCCAAGAGCTTCGTTTTATCACTACACTTTACTATTTTCCATACATTCGAATAATATAAAAATACGGATATTAATATTCAATGAATATAATATAAATAATATCTTATGGATTATATACAATTAACATCCACAATTTAAGGGCTTGCAGTATATCTGTTCAAATATACACACAAATATATATTTCAATAGCTAATTCGCTACAATTAAAACCATCGCTCTTTATCGCCAAATATTTGTTGTACATTTTATACAATAATTCAATATAAAGGAATCTAAAAATATATCTGGAGAAAATAGCACGTGTACAAATAAAAAAATATCATCTTTTTAAGTAAAAGTTCTATATATCATTCATCTATTTTATTTTGATTGCTAATTTGATAAAGTATAAAAATAAAAGTAATTTTAATGTGAGATTAACAAAAATTGTACTATTAAACAAAAAGAGTAATATACTTTGACACATCATTCATGTATGAACACTATTTTGAAAAACTTTTAGTAGCAGCAGTAACAATGTTCAATATTTTTAACACTGTGTTCTGTTTTGTTATAAATTATTTTAATTATATTCTATGGACGACAAAGCGTGATAGTAACTTAATGATAAAATTAAAAAAAAAAAAAATGTTTAATATCATTACAACTAAATTATTGAATGTTTGTGCAAAATGAGATTCAGAGCATCAGACTTATAAAAGTAGGTTCGTTATATCGGAACAATATTAACGCCAATTAATAAAATTTAAATATAACATTATTTTTGAGATTTCATTTTGGAAGACTACACCTAATAATTTTATACAATGAAAATGAATGTAAGCTTAATGTGAATACTATCTACAAGAATGTTCTACTTTGTATATTTATTAGTAAAAGAAAATGCATTACTTGCATAAACAATTGTTTCTAATAATTGTATCATACTCTACAATATAAAGTAGAGGAAGAATATATAATTTATTTGGAAATGTGATTACTATTCAGTTTTTATACAACAGTGAATATCTTGTACACCCCTCTTAATTTGAATTAAAAAAAAGTACTACTCTTTTGTAGGAATCTAGAAAATTATTTCAAACATCTTGCATAATGTCGTTTAAATTATAAAACAAAATAATCTCTATATTTTCCTGACGAATTCATTGTATAAATAAACGTTGTTTAACAAAATAAGAATACCCAACAGAATAATCCTCCATTATTTATACGTAGTACGTATGTTTTAATTCAACATACAAGAAAGTTGACCTTAATTCCTTATTAGATAATAAACACACATTAAATAACGTGTTTAGAACATTTCAGAAAAAGATGACAACAGAATAGATCTATAAAATTCATTCTGTTATCATTTGTTCCATATTCACAGCTTACACTTTGCATGAAATGCACCCTGGAACGGTGTCGTGTACAATGTAAAATTAATCTATCATTATAACTTGTAACGTTTATGTTTTCTCAAACGTTTCTACGTGGACGAAAAACTGAATTAAAAATATAATATTTCAGGAAAACTGTAAGCACGTATAGTAAACATAAATATGCACATAATTATTTCGCACAAGATACGTGAAAAAACAATGCGCTAAATCACATAGAACAGATTGACGTACGACTTTCCGTATAGATAATTTGTTCGTCGGTATATAAATAAATATAATATACATATATAATAGAAAGATACGTAGGTCTGTTGATCTTATAAAAGAAATCTGGGGACCTAGTAAAGTAGTTGAAATACACGAAAGTGTTAATTAAGTACAAGAGTGAGCGTAACTCCAGTCTTTCCAGACTTACAGGTTGACAAAATGGTTAAACAATTTTCTGTCATTAAATTAAATTGTTACATAGGTCTGTTACAATATAACAGTTTGTAAAAGCGCATGGAAAAACTTGGCAGTGTACAATGGGCAGTGAATTGAATTGTTAAACGCATAGTTGGGATAATGTAAAAAAAAAAGAAAATAAAAATATTAAATGCTTTCATAAAAATGCAACCTTGAAAATCAGACAGTCTTATATCGACTAAAATGTAATCCCAAGAAAAATACTGCTTGTCGTTGTGTCTTGCAAAATGTCTTTCGATGCGTTTTAACCATGGTGTTGACCAATTGACAAAATCCTCTAACACCTAAAACCAGCGCCAAATACTTATTAGATGCATACAAAACTTTTTACACGTTTTCCTCAAGGTTCATTTTTCTTAACAATCGAGAGAGTTTAAAACCTTTTTCTCGTCAGTGTACAATATAAAAGATCTTTGCATCAATTATGTGTTTTATGCTTAACAATATACGATAATAACTATTTTTGAACGGATAATGAATTGATAATTATATCTCTATAGACAATAATACAACTTAGAAATAATAGCTGTAATATAGTTTGTAAAATAGTTGCAAAATCATTATATGATTCACATAGTGGCCTTTAAAAATTATAGCAACAGTCATACTTATATACGAATAAATGTGTAAATAGAAACAGACTCAAAAATTGAAAAAAAAAAAAAGAAACAAAAAGAAAAATTTCTTTATGTACTGAATATACATAGATAGGCCTAGAGTAGTCCGAGCTGCTCTCATAATCTTTTAATTCTTCACTTCATTTCCTTTGTAACATTTTAATTTGAATTACCTTAATTTAATATTATCATCTCTTTCTCTCTCGCTTTCACCCACGCACATTCATACACGCGCGCGTGTGCGCGCTTTTTCTATCTCTCTCTCTCTCTCTGAAAGGGTTTTCTACCCTCAACTTATATAATACATATACAGACCCTCTCTAACTAGCTCACTACGATCCGTGGAGGTGTATGTTGTGTGATCTTTGCTTTATATATTTTTATGTATATATATATAATATATAACATATTAATAATTATATATCGTAATGAAGATAGTAGGCATAGCCACTCGTGCTCGGATCACAGACTACTCGCTGTCGTACTATTTTTGTACAGACAGTCTGATGGACACTATGGCTTCTTCTCACTTTTAATTTTACACACATTATTTCTTTCATGTTATATATGTTATCCGTATTTACGTATACACGTATAGACATTCGGTCAACGAAGAAATGAAATTGTTAAATTTTGTAGATAGTATTTTGCATAAATTTCGCACCTCAAATCCTTAAACGTGTACTTGGTATATATATATATATATTTTAATTATATAATAAAAGATCTCTTGTCACTGAAATCCAACTAATTGCATTGAGATTCTTTTTATAATTTAAATTTAATTCCTTATAATTATTATACGTATATACGTATAGATCCACGCATATATGTATACTGAAATGAACGATATCTGTAATATTAATGAAAAACGATGTAAAAGTTTAAGGGTCAGAGTGGCATTTGATCAATTTATACTAATATCTGTACGTGTGCACGAGCGTATTTCGATACGGCCATGACATATAGACGCAAAATACTACACCAGGACTAAACTTATCCTGAAAATAACTACCGCCTGACTAGCCTTAACGAAATCGCACGTATTTACGGCATTAATTATTCACATGGTGTGTAGATTTGTACATATGTAACGAGGTGTATCTGATGCATGAAATGGAGGCACTAGTCTGTGTTTCTGGAGAGATTGACGGGTCCTGGGATGGCGACGAGGAGGTTGTGTCAGCAGGCACTGGTTTCCTCTCCTTCGAGCGTGCACGCTACGTTTTCTAGCCTATGCGCTAGATGTAATTTGCGACAGCCCGCGTCTGTCTCCAAGGCCTCTAGGATCTAAAAACATTTATTAATTTAGCTGGCAAAATTATAAATGATACACAGAGTCTCTGAGCTGTGAAGAAACAGATGTCTGGTATTAAGAGTAAAGAGATTAAAAAATATAATTTGTAGCTTACTTGTTCATAATACTTGCTGACATAGATGTAAAGTTCTTTCAGTGCTGCGATCACATCAAATTCATTCGCATGGGACGCGCTCAACTGTTGCATGGCACTAGACATTTCTTGATCGGTAATCTGCGGCAGTCTTTGTACGTCCGTGTAAAAACGGCCAACTTTTTCTCGGTAGTGCGGTATATCCTTGGCAAAGAGTAACTTGTTAGAGGGTGAATCTTTTCCTAACCTATGCTCCGTCATCGAACAAGAGTCCATAAACGTTTGCGCTATCACGGATAAACTCGAATCGACCGTTGTAGATTTATTAATATCAAACATGAAGTCTGGATTTTTAATAAAATTCACCCAAAATCTAAGCGGTAAACTATTCGATTTCCATGCATGGGGCACTTCTGGGTCGACGATACCGTGTTGCTTCGCAGCATCGTCGAGAAGATCGAACAACCATTTGACAGCACTGGGCAACGCTTCGTTCGCTGTTAATATCGTGTTCAAGAAATCGTCGACAAACTTTTGTACGGTACCCTTCGTCGACAATAATCTAGTCAAAAATATCTCAGGGATCGCTTTGTGCGTCCGTTCTGGATGATGATGCTTGCTACCGGTGAAACCCATTCCCGGTGGATAATGGCTGTCCTCTATAGGCCTTACTAAATGATACAATCGTTGATTACCACCGTGACCGCTTTCAACGTCACCGTTCGCCGTTATAATTGGCGGCGAGTGTTGGGATTCGAAATACAAACCGGTGACGGGATGATTGTACAATACAGGACTTATTAGATTGTGATTAGGCGTGGATGGAAGATGCGTGGACGAACAATGATTCGCGTGTCGATGTAAATGATGGTGATGAGGGTGGTGATGAATCGACTGTTGCTGATGATGGTAATGAGACGGTTTGCAGTTGTGACACGGTGGTTTGCAAGCGACAGAAAATCCATCGTTCTGTCTGGGAATCAACGACATAACCGCCGATTCCTTAACGCCATAATGAGCCAGAGTGTTTATCTTTTTCCATTCACCGCTACATTTTGTCGTTAGATCTTCGTCCTGAAGAGTCAAGTGGCCACCTCTACCGTGTCTCCATTCCAAATCTACGTCATGAACGGACGGCCTCAGTGAGAAAGGAGTATTTTTGTAAAGAGCATCCAATATCTTGGATTTTACTTGGTTAATAGTATCACAATCCAACACTTTGCATTGTATCTTCTCGTCGAGATCATCTTGGACCACGTGCAAAGTGACGACGCTATGCTCGATTTGTTCGCGAAGCAATCTCTCCTCGGACAACGAATATCTTGCGTCGTGTGTTATCACGTCTACGGGACCTTTTTCTATTTGATGCTTTATCGCTTTGAACAATAAAAACAGAGACGAACCCGCGTAGTCTTTCAGATAATTGTACATACAAAGCGCCATCCAATTGGTTAACATCTTCTCCACTACGGACTCTGTTCTCCTCAGCATCAGCTGTGGATGTTTAGTGTTCACCGCTTTCTCGATGAGTCTCAGTAAAAGGTTCATCAGTATGTCGGTCGCGTATTCCATCTTTCCCATTAAAACGACCATCAGTAAAGATGCAACGTTCACTTTGTCTCTAATGTTAAAGTCTTTCTGAGCCTCTAAAGTTTCGATGAACGTTAATACAAAGTACTTATTATTAATAAGCTGTTCGAACTGGATCATCGCCGCATCGTAGTTCGTTCGTGAAACGTTGCTACGCGATCTGGGATCGTTTAATATCGGATGATGGGTAACACCTGGAAAAAATACTTTCATAATATAATTTTTATGATCGAGAGTCGGTATACCGGACGATTCCAGGTCAGCGGTTAAATCCGTCATATCTGTCTGTAGCTCGGCAAACGCTTGCTTGCATTCCATTCTAACGTTGCTCTCAAGCGTATCCATTTGTATCTGTATGCGTTTGTACTCTCTCTCAGCTTGTGTGCTTTTCCTTCTATATATTATCAACACCAAAACAAACAGAAACACCAGGCCAAACGTACCAGCTGCGATTCCAGCGATTGCTTCCGGTGGAATTGGATAAGATTTAATTACGTCGTAACGTAAATAGCCAATGGGAAACCTTAAGCTTCTACCGACACGTACCACCACCAATGGCAAACCGTTCTCAGTTTTAATTCCAAGTTCATCGGTATCAGCTGGTTGTTGATCCGGTGGTATGCAAACTAATTGAGTAGAAGCAAGAGATGTTACGTTGCAAGGCATCATTCCAACCGTGACGTTTACATCGGACTCGTCGCTGGCGAAAATCAAATTTTCTCCCTCGATAACCAAAGTATCACCCTTGTACAATTTAACGTTTCGCGGAAATGCTAAGAATTTCGGGTCCTCCACGTACAGTAAACGGTATCTAAGATTCTGAAAATGCTTCTCCAAGTCTCGGACGCTTTCCACGTTGTCCATGATAAATGCGATTTTCAAAGATAATTTTGATTCCTTCAACTTCAACGACTGTGGCAGGTTCGGACCGTTAACGGCACGCTCGCTTCGTCGAAGACTCACGAAACGTTTAGCGATGCTGGGGCTAGGACATTCCATCTGTGTCGGATTTAATACAGTGCAAACAGTACGGTTTACCGGTAACGCTTCGTTGTCGAAGTATACCTCCATTTCAGGTTTTTGAATGGTGTCCAAATTGGTACCGTGGACGGTGATCATTCGGCCACCGGAAGCAAAGCTCGTCAATGGTTTAATCTCCATGATAGTAGGATCGTGGGTGTAATTGTAAGGATTACCCTCCAAAGTACGGTTCGCACCGTCGATGCTCAGAGTCAGCCTCTCGATTTTTCTCACTCGATCGGACTTGCTCGTTACGCAGGTCAACCTGGTGCTGCTTGCCTGTGTTGCGTTCACGTGACACGGCAATTCGTCCAGGTAGGCTGAAATGGTGCTGCCAATGTTCAAGTACATACCGGTTATGGCAAGCTGCGTGCCACCGCTTTGAGGGCCGACCGACGGGTAAACCCCTGACAGTCTTATATCTTTGTAATTAAATAACACCGCGCTCTCTGTGTAACCAGCGTCGTTACCCACCACCACCGAGGCAGTGTCTGTGGCTTTGTGACGTCCGGTACGACAAACTATGCGTACGGATACCTCGTAGTCGACCAAGGTACACGTAGTGTTACCAATCTGAATTTTCCCTTCCACGTCGCTCTCTTTCAATCCCAGATTACTTCCCTCGATGGTCACCAGCGTACCACCTTCGATCGGTCCGCTGAGAGGTTTAATCATGTCTATCCTTGGTTTCGGGCATTCGGTGAACGGCGAATGCAAGCAAGAATGTCGGTACACGCAACTGTTACCGCACCAAGTACATTCGAATCGAGTGTCTCTGGTAACGCAAAGAGAACAATCAGCGTGTTCGCGATGGGAACCAAGTACCTCGCACTTGTAAAGTATAATCGTAGTTTTGTCTACGTGATGATGAATGTTCCACACAACTGTTACCTCTGCCTCGTATTCCCCGGTGATCGCTTCGTACGAATAAACGGTTTTATCACAAACTATGTACCGGCTACTGTCGACCCGGGCTTGTACTTTCAACTTTGCACCCTCGATCGAAACGATACATTGAAAACCACTGTGTCCCACTTGCGGATGGGG